CCAAGAATGCGTTGTATTCAACGCAGAATGTTAGGTTGATGGAGCATCATTGGTCACGGTATATTCCAGACCCATCACCAAGAACGGTACACTGAAACAAGACAACGTTGACTTTCAGCCGCGCCAATAGGTTCCAGCAAGCTCATAACTTCAGTCACCACCGCAAGTAAGCGTAGCCCAACGGCAGCCCAACAGCTCCGCGTTGGGCTACGTTCGATCTCGAGGAGCGGCTGGTGGTTTTCCAACCAGCTGCAACCGTCAGCTTCCCTTCGAGGGCCGATCTTTGACCCAGCAGAGCATGCAATGTAGCGCTCTGTTGGTGGTTGCCTATTAGTACGCGAGACAGTGGTTATGATAGGGCCAACACGAAGCTTCAAGCGGAGGGTCTACCGTCAAAATATAAACTCTCCGTTGTGCCCGCTGCAGTGGCATGTTCGTGACTTGACACGAGCTTCCGACACGGAACTAATCACCACCATCCGCACTGCCTGGAAACAATGAACCTGGAGATTAGCGGCAAATTGCAAAAGCGTTTCATACAGGATGCCGTACTTCTTCACAGGCTTAATCCGGTAAGGGGCAGCCCGACAGCCTACGGTCTCGACCGTCATCCCCACGATGCGGATGGGTCTCGAGAAGTGCTTCTCAGACGAAAGTTCCTCGATTCCATTGCTCTCGTGGCTTCGACGCACAAGGATGCAGACCGAGTGTCAGCGGCGACGTTTGAGATAGGAGCGCCAGAAGGCACAATTGTCCGCATTGCTAGCAATGCCGGGGTGTGTGACTCGACATTGCTCCTGCTTCGAGACTTGATGGCAGGCCTTCATGACGTGTCTGCTATGGGTAATATCATGCCTTCTGTCAAGAATACACGAGTTGATATTTCGGATAGGTCACACAAACGAACGGAGAATCGATATCCTAATGAAGATCATCCATCTCGACATGGAAAAGATTCGCTACTATTTCAAGAAGCTCCATAAAGCTCGGTCAGACATCCCCGATATCGAAAGCACCGTGCAGTCATTTTCTTCCACGTCTGACGTTGTCGACATTCAGCAATTCTCTACATGGATGGGAAATCTTAGTGCGATCACGGCCGTCCCGACAGATACGTCTGCTGAGCAGATGTTGCCCCATATCCTTTGGGCAGAAAAGGCGAAATGGGAATACTCAACGTACATTGAAGCAGTGTTTTCTGCCCAAGCCAAGCAGCTACCCTGGTGGATATACAACATCTACAAGTTGGGAAGATACGCAGTCGCGTCCAGGGCTTTGTGCCAACTACCGGCGGAATTCCCCGGGCTTTTCTGCCCCATGCGGATAGAACCTATTCACTGCCCCCCACGGCTTGACTTTGCGATTCCCGAAGACGAACAACCTCTAAGTGAGGTGCTCCGCAGAATCTCTGGAGGTCGAGAAGATGAACTCTTGGCGAAATTGGCTCCCCTCTGGGACACTAAGAACCCTGACTTAGACTTCCGTAAGGCCTGTCATCTCCGCCTCCCTGTCCATGCCGAAATGCAGCTTGTGGGTTTCTACGGCCAACATCCCGAGCTCATGCCTTCTTTTCGGTTCATCGGAGTGAGTAAGAAAAGCTGCTTCTTATGCCAGAAGTTCCTCCATATTCACCCAGCTTCCTTCTCCGTATCTTCCTCCCACCAGAAGTTGTACTTGGCGTGGCGATCGCCACCTGCATCAAACTCAAAATCATATAAGACATATAAATCGATCATCGCGAACCTGAGTTTGTCAATGGAAACGATGGCCAGGCAAGAGCTGCAATCTCGAACCGGGAGTTCTAGGACTATTCAGCTAGACTCTACTGCCGGGGTTTCTTTATCGGGTCTCATCGAGTACAGGCCCGTCAGCCCTCCAAACACCACCATCGTTCAATACGCATCTTCTTCCCCGGATTCGACTATCGACAATGAAACCCCGGCAGGAGCGCTCCTAAGGACGGATGAAAGACAGCCGGCTATGACCCTGGAGGGAGTGGCATCGGCGTCCCCTTCGCCAGATTGCAACAGCTATGCGCCCACCGGGTTTGTCTTCAATGTTGTGCGCGCCGACGATAATCAGAGACGAGATATTGTATCCTCTGATGACATTCTAAGTCCGTCACAGAAGCCCTCATGGCGGATGCTGGTTGATCTGTTGAGTGCCGACGAGCAGTTCGGCATCCGGTTCAATGAGGAAAGGGAGTTTTTGATGGTCAACAATGCACTATGGGTCAAGAACGAGCGACAGTTCCACGCTTGTCTGCAGTTCTTACGCAACTCTGCGTCTTGTAATGCGGATGTTCTGGTCCGTACTTATGCATCGCTCAGCGCGAATGTTACATAGTCTGTACATTGTCCATTGGCCTTTCAATCGTTTAATACATATAACTTGAGGGGTATCTATGGCTACGCTGACAACTATTGACTGATCATTTGGTTTTGCCTTGCATTCATGCCGGCATAAAGTCGCCTCATCAGTACTGCCAATAGCTACTTTGTCCGATGCGCTAAGGACCAGCTGTGTGCAAAAGTAAAAATGCATCGAGTTCGTGTAAGACGTTTGATGTTGGCCCCGGACTCCAGGCAGCTCCAGTTTCTCGGCAGCTTGTACGCAGCCGAGAAAATCTTTGGTCTTCAATCACTCTACCGTCCATAGCACAGGAGAGACATCGAGACTTTGGATGATCCAAACAACTTGGAAGACTTTACTCACTAGGCCTGCATCATTCTTTTTGCGCCAACAGCCCTTTCGCTCATGCAAGTTAAACGCCTTACTTCCATTCGCGACCTGTTGTTGGTCCACGTTGCTACCGCCCTATACTAGCTGCGTGTATGATACGACGTGAAGTCGGGGATTGCAGCTTGGGTGGCCTCCTGCATGTGCTGTCCAGGCATCCCGAAACACTTCATGGACGCGTTGATGCCAGACCATACGAAGTGTACTTACTATTGTGCAGAAGCGATGCCTGAAAGGACGCCCACAACGTCAAATGCCAATAATTACAGAACGTGCATGATCCTCAGGGCTCAGCACGCCACTTATAACATCACAATAACCCAAATCCGTTTGCATTTCAAATCAAATACCGAACTTGTGCCATGGTTAACTTCTCGTCAGTGTTTGCACTTCATTTGAACCAGACCTCGTGATCTCTCTTCATTGACCTCCCGGATGCTACGACATGGCCCCGCGCAAGAACGAGGTCACAGAGGTCTACGCTGTACTCAAAGGGCGTATCGATGAGCCCACAATCTTCTCGTCTTGGTATCACTTCCGGCTTCTGTGAATTTATTGAGACTAATCCGGCTAGGGGGGACGTACACCCGCGGGTGACCGGATGCGAAGCTGTGTACAAACGTTTCAGTACTCCTCAGAAAGCGCTAGCTTACATGGAGCATCATACGGTCTTTTCACCGAAACAAGTGAAGAAGAAGGGAGCAGGAGCATCTACTCCTGGCGGGGGTTCTGATGGGTATTATGCTGTCGCGAATGGTAGAAAACCAGGGATTTATCAGTATTGGCGGTATAAGCTTCCACGATAACCCCGCATTCGTTGCATTCGAATCCGATGCTGACTGAAATTAGTGGTCAAACGCAGGCATTGTCTCAACTGCACGAGACTCCTTATGCCTGCTGTAAAAGGTTTAAGACAAAGGAGCAAGCAGAGGCATTCATTGAGGACTGGAAACAAACCGTTGATGATTTGTTCCTGAGAGCCATCAGAGAGGCGTTGGATCAAGGCTGGCGGCCCAATGACATGAGCTTTAGCATTGCCGGTTTGTTGGACTGGAAACAGGACAAGATGGCGGGTCAAAATGGGACAATCGGCCTGGACCTCGAAGCTCTTGAGCAGCTCTCACATAGGGCCCTCGTATGGACCCTTACCAGGAAAGGGAAGAGAGAAGAGAATGAAGAGAAGAATGGAGAAGAGAAGGGAGAAGAGGAGGTAGAGAGACCACAGTAGGCTAAATCTTTCACCTGTTACCTAAGTATTCTAAATGATGAAGGAAAGACTGTATAACCGATTGCTTAGTTAGGGGTTTATAACAGGTTCATTTTGCTTGGATTGCTAGTATCCTTCGACAATCCTCATGCTAAGAAGAGACGACGTCCGCCAGAATGAACGTTTACCGAGGGGGCAGACATCTCTTCATCGGAATCTGTGATATCATCAAGCAGAGCGGTGCCGCCAGCACACAACCATCAAGCGTCTAGCTTCCTGCTCCCAGCTAGTACGCAATACACGTTTTGGCTTTCATCTGCTTGTGCCAGAAGAGGATCAACCGACCGCATACTAGATAAGCTTGCTTGACAGATGGAGCTGAAAGACATACAAATGCACACTCGAGCAGTCATTCAGCATAAATTGTATCATAACGAAGTTACTTAGACAGAGAATCCATAGCCGACATCAGTCCAAACCTCAACCTCCGTCGTCGCAAGCAGTAACTCATCCCCGGTGCGGATGCTTTCTTCCCATGCTACATGGAGACTGTCGATCGGAGGTTCGTTGTGTTTAACTTCATGCTAGTTTCTAAACTTGGTCACTATATATCGCGGGTGCGAGGGAGTGTCAGGCGGCGGTCCAGGCCACGTAATCCTGGGCGGCATGGATTGCCGTGCCCCCCATACAAGTTCAATACCCAGCACAATAGATGTAGCAATCCTTCCATGTTAACTTCCCCATATGGATCAGAGCCTAGGCACCTACATTCATCTACTCATACAATACGTCCCCATACACTATTGGCGGTTTCGCCGCCATCCACGGGCACCCGAGCGAGGCCTATCTTGCCGCACCGCGTCACAAGTTCGCAGTGCCCCTTCGGCCTCAACTGAGTCAACTTGAGTACCCCCTAGGCCTTTATTATCGTTTCCAGCCGCTGCTCATTTGGGATGTACGCCCTACAAACTCTCGAAGAATCCACCAGTTTCGATATGATGATACGGCTTGTACCTCCACATCCACCCCTCAACAATGATTTTAAAGGCTCTCCTTAAATCCCCTTCACAATTATCTCAAATGCTTCCGAGAATCCAGGCTCTTTCTTCGTTTCGGCCCATACTCTCTCCTTCAGCCCCGTACCCTCGGAGGTATACATCACACTCGGCCATCTGCCACACGTCAGCTATGTCCAACTCAGGTCACGCGGAACTTACGGCTTAATGACCCCATCAGAGGTAAAGCTTCCATGACTCTCAGGGCCCTTCACGAGGGCGGCATCCAGATAACTCCGCGCACCAACCTCAACGCTACGGCCCAAAGTCTTCTTGAGCATGCCCATGAAGAAGGGCTCTGCTGCCGGCTTGACAATGTTGGTACCCGTTGTGAGACCCGAGTTCGACATGTTCACGATGACATGCTCCGGGTTGACGTGTGTGGCCAGCTTCGCCACGAATAGCTGACCCAGGAACTTGGACAGCTGGTAGTTCTTCGCCGAACCCCAGAGCCGTTCCTTGTCCGCCGGCTTGAACAAGGATCCAGTCACCATGTCCTCCTCGGGAGTGTGCCAGTACGTCGTGTCCGTGCTGACCACGACCATCCGTCCCGGCTCACCCGGCGGCCGCTTCTCCTTGAGGATCGGCAGCAACAACAACGCCTGCAATGCCGTGGAGAGGTAGTTGACCTGGAGCATCAGCTCGTGGCCCTCACGGGACTTGGCGAAGGCCGGCGCGACGACCCCCGCGTTGAGGATCACGATGTCGATCCGCGACAGCTCCTTGCCACACCTCGTTGCAAAAGCCCGCACGCTCTCGTACGACTCCATTTCGAGATGCCACACCTCAATCTGAGCCATGGGGAACTCCCTCCTCAAACCCTCGGCGAGGGCCTCTCCTTTCCCCGTGTTCCGGACCCCCATGATCAACCTCCCCAGCTGTCGCTCCAGAAACTGTCGGCTAGCCTCAAGACCAAGGCCGCTGCTGGCGCCGGTCATGATGAGAGTCGCATCGGACAGGTCGAACTCCAACGGGATCTCGGCCGGGGTGATGACGGCCTGCCGGTAGACGAAGGCCAGCGGGTTGGCCTCCCAACCCGCCTGGCCGGCCATGTTGTTGGACATGCTGGGCTACCTTGGTCGGGGGAGGGGCTTTGACGGGATTGGGGCGAAATTGGCAGATTGGCGAGAAAGCTTGTCAACTTGTCAAAGGTCGAAAAGTTGGCGGGCGGCGCGGCGATTAGCAGATGAAGTAGCCCCCGGAGGACCCGTTAATTATGGGGATGAGAAACATAAAACGAGATTGCGAGCCCCTTGGCCCGATTATCTGTTTGTATCGGGGTTGGGCTGGAGCGGGTGTTAATATTTGATGTCATGCCCTCCCTCCGTCGCATTGCGTAGCAGAAAGGTTAGCCTTTCCCGGGTTCCCCCACGGGGCGCAGTGCGGCCCCCGAGGACCGGGCGGCGAAGATGAGTTGAGACGCGCCAATGTGCAACGATCAGACCGAGGAGAACCGCTTATTCGCGCTTGAGGGGGGTTGGGCGCTTAGTGGTATCAGACATCGTTATGCGTGCGACGTTGAACAACCACCATCTCGCGCTCCAACTGCCAAGAGGCCGCAATGGGGGCACGGAGGGAGGTTGTTTGACGCAGGATCGGCAGCGGGCTCGGCGACGGGGTCAGGGTCCACGACGCTCGGTGTAGCAAGTCTGTGCTAAGAAAAGAACGATGTTGGGGTCCGGAAATAGTCAAGGGCCGATCAACGCTGAAGATAGACAATTGGATGTTACATTGCAGACTATGAATACACGTTCTGTTAGCCGCGAAACTCTTAATCAGAGTGTCGCGGAGGAATTGAAGAAACATCGGAGAAGGTTTCAGGGGATGGTGCGGCGGCCGGGATGTGTAGATAAAGTCCGGTCATGTCCGGTGAGAATGTGGGTCTATTTCCGGAGCTCTCGGTGTAGATCCGTATCCGGCAGATGTGGCTTTCGTCTGTGGCTGCGACGTAGATGTGGCTTATTCCCGAGAGAACACGACCCGAACCCGATGTTCCAGGTCTGCCCCTCCAGAGTTCCACCCCTCTTCAGCTTGATTCGTTAGGGTTGATGCGATCTAATGGTGGGGTAAGTGTTGGTGGGTGGAAAGGGAAATGCAACCTTGGCCTTTCTCAGGGTCGTTTCGCCTTTCCCGAAAGTCCATCACCGCCAATCCTGCCATTAGAACCGCTCACCGAGTTCCACGATTAACCCCCTTTCCTTTTTCCCGCCCTTTGGGACCGAGACGAACCGCTCTCTCCCGTCTTTGCCTCCGGTCCAATTCGCGTTCTCTTACGCAATCAATCTCTCCCCGACCTAGCCGTCCCGTCCTCCTCCCTCCGAGTCTCCACATATCGACCTGCCGACATCCCTTCCCGCCTCCTCCACAAAAGCCCACCATGTCCGGCCTCGACGCCCCCGAAATCGCCGCGGCCTACGACGCCGTCCGCTCCGACAAGGACGAGACCAACTGGCTGCTCATCTCGTACGCCAGCGCCGTCGGCAACAAGATGAGCCTGACCAAGACCGGCAAAGGCGGCCTGTCCGAGCTGGCCTCGGAGCTGGACATCGCCCAGGTGCAGTACGCCTACGTGCGCGTCGAGTACGCCAACGACGCCGAGAGCAAGCGCGTCAAGTTCGCCCTCGTCATCTGGATCGGCGAGAACACCAAGATCATGCGCAAGGCCCGCGTCAGCATCGAGAGCAGCGACGTCAAGAAGGTCCTGCCCCACCACAGCATAACGGTCAACGCGAGCGACAAGGGCGACCTGGACGAGGACGACATCGTGAAGCGGTTACGCAAGGCCGGCGGCGCTGACTACAACGGCGGACGCGGATGAGGTAGAAGAGGAGGATTGATATTTATTTCAAAAAGAAAAACACAAAAGCACATACGGGGCGGGGGCGAGCAGGAGCGGTGAGGAGTGGCACGTCAAAACGGCGGGATATGAGCTACGAGTACACGGTATCTGGCCAGGCGGAGGCGCTTTAGGAGCGATATGCATACTCTTTTTGTTGAAATACAGCATACACCTTGGACAAATATACTGGCCTCTTATTTGGAGGCCCGGCGCGAGCCGAGAGAATCAAGGGACACATATCCAATTCGACGCGTGCCGGTCCAATTGCCAAAAGGAGATGCAAAATTGTCCGGTCCAGGAAGCCCCCGTCTTCCTTCTTCGGGTTCGTTGTTTAAATCAACATGGAATACGTCTAGAAGGACTGCCGAGTTTCTGGACCCTGCCGCCTAATGCTATTGGTATTGCGCCATCCAATGTCGAGCTATATCTGCGTCTAAGACATTTCCCGAGTCGAACTTTCTTTATGCTGAGACCGAAATGGCCACGTCAGTAGCCTCATTGCTCTACTTCCTCACCATCTGGGTCGACCCCTGCAGTGGTATGGCATCCACAGCGGGAGGGAAGCCTACATGGAATAAGCCAGTCAACGCGGAGGCTTGTGTATTCTACATTACATTATTCCGGTAATCGAAATTTCTCAGCGACGGTTATGTCTTATCGCCCCCGTCACCACTTTATTGACCCCTGAATCCAGCACTTCGCAGCCCAACAAGCTATGAGGGCGTCATTTCTCTCAGCTGGCAGGTCAATGGCCAGGCGAAGGGTACCTTTTGATTCAGTCGCCACTAGTATCCCTGACCCGTCCTTCCACTTCGTCTCCTTGGACAGCACGGCAACCGATTCTCCCGCGAAAAGCAATTCGCGTTTGATCTCATCGTTGGCGTGATAACCGTACTTCTCCAACTTGCGCTGATTCTCGGGCCTCAGCATGTCGTTGGCCTCGTTCTTCGTAATTTGCCAGAACTGATGCGCCGTCGGCGTCCTCTTCAGCTCCACGAACCCTTCCAGCGTTCGCGCCTTGCACCCGCGGATCTCAATTTCCGGCAACGACCAAGGGAACAGCGCGTGAGTGTTGGCGATGAGATACAAGGTGAGGTCGTTGTCAAACTCCACCAAAGACTCCTTTCCTTTGCCAGGTACCGCCAGGCGTCGACACTCGGCGGTTGTGAGGCGCCGTAGACGCAGCTTGTACGGCTTGTTCGCGCTAGTCCGGAGCTGAGCCAGCTGAAAACGAGGGACCATCAGGCCGGCGTCGGTCGATGCTGACGAGATGAAGGGGGCTTCGAGGCGGAAGATCTGGTCGTTGGGGTCTTGTCGCATGTACTCCGGAGGCAACTCGAGCAGACCCGGGCTAAGTGGGGGCTCGGGCGAGGCCGGGGGTCCGGGCTTCTCCTTGACGTCCGTCGCCGGAGCCGATACGGCCCGCTGGAGGTCATTGCTCGGACCCGGTCGGTCGAGGCCGGTGGAGGCGGGACGCGGCCTCCATGGGTCCGGGGGCTCGGCGGAAGATGACGCGAATGGGATCGACTCTTCTAAATGCCGATCGTAGGACGGAGGTTTCTCCTCGGGGTACTCGTTTGAGCGAGATGGGTCCATTGCGACGAAGGCACGTAACTACGGTAGGGTTGATGATGCTACGGCGTCGCAAGAATGCCGGGACACTAAGATACTTACATATACTTGACATCAGAAGACAAGCTGGTAAAGGCGGGTGGTGAGGCATATCTGGATGGCGGGTGTACCGAAGCCGACATCCATTCGATCGGCTAACGGCACATTTTAGCACTTATGTCGGGCGGGGGCACAGCCACAATGCGCACAACTGCCAACAGGCCCTCTTCTGCCCAGCCTAAATCGCGGGCCTCATTCCTGAGCTGTTTATCACTCAGGGCTCAGTCTAGGCATCGCTGTGTTAGATTGAGACTGTGCTAACTATGTAAATGGTATTTCTAGTTCCAAGAGATCAGTCAGGCTGTGGCTGCGTCTCATGCAATCATCGGTCTCATTCTGCAAGAATAAGTGACTGCCCCAACCAATGAGACGGACATGGAAGTCAGCTTTTCAGGCAGGACCACATGCGGCAGCCTGATTATATTGCCACATAGATTTCCCTCTCAGCCTCAATCTTATCCTCTGACATCAATGTTCTCTACTCAACTTCACCCTCTCTTTGGGATACAGAACACACCCATACAACCCAACGATCACCATGGATGGCCTCAGTGTTGCTGCTAGCATTGTGGGAATAGTTTCCCTAGCAATGCAGCTTGGACAGACAACCCGCAAGCTCATCGGCTTTCTCGACACCATCACAGACGCCCCGAACGAAGTCATCCGTCTCAATGATCTGTTGAAACTCATTTTCGCTGTTTCGGCAGGGGTAGTGAACGCGCTGGAGCACCAACGCAGGCACCAAGGCGACGGGGCATCTGGCCGGGAGCACATCTGCGAGGTCCTGATCGTGTGCCTGAGGAAGCTTACGTCGATCCAAGATATCGTTGACAGATCGGAGAGATTGCAAAGCGGAGGCAGTCGCACATCTCGAGGCTGGGCAAAGTTCAAGCTCGCGTTGAAGAGGGATGAAATTCTGGAGCTGGAGCGGCAACTCGGACAGGCTTTGAGCGTTTTGAATGTCTTACTTACTACAAGCGTAATGTGAGTGCTGCAGTATTCTATCGTCCAGTTTCCCGTCATAGAACTTACTCTGTATAGGCATGACAACGCATTCCGGGTAACCGAATCGACATCCTCAGTTATGAGTACACATAGTCTCTCTTCGCCTGCGCCAAACCAAGGTGGCGGGCATAATGAATTACACAATGGGCCAAATTCGAGCCCGGATCTCCAGGTCGACAAGATTATTGACTCCTCTAAAAGGCCTAAGATTGACACGTCAATGTCCCAGCAATACATATGTCTCGGCAACTCATTTTCAGCATCATACAAAAGGAGGACCAGAAAACAAGTAGTGCGGGACTCGAGCACGGAAGAAGCACGCAGTGAGGTTCGCAAAGAGACCTTTGAGATATCCCTGAGTTTCTTGTCCTCGTCGATTGATCTGGTTGTCAGTCGGCTGAGTTCCTGTTCTCCATCACTGGGACTTCGAGTTCAGCACATCATCTCCATGGCCACATGGCAAAGTCATATTTACCATGTTATGGACAAGGATGACGTCGATGGCTTTCGGAAACTTGTCAGGAATGGGCTCTGCACCTTAGACTCTTGCAGAAAGGATGGAATCACTATGCTTGAGGTAGGTTTCTGCAGGCTACTCCGGAGTGCCGTCAATGGAAGGATGAATCTTTGGATGCTGACAAAACGTTGAAGATAGCAGAAGCAGCTGGTTGGACCCATATTGCGAGTGATCTCCGATCTCAGGGTTGCGAGCTAAGCTCAACATCTGCGTGGTACACGTGAGTCAACAGTTCTTCCTGGTTCTTTTACTAGTTCAGAATTTCCACTATTTCAAAACGTTATTAACGAAGTCCGTACAGTCTTGTAAGCGGCGGGAAAGCCCGGAATGGTTTCCTGCCCCCCTCAAGATTCCGATCTATCAGCCATAAGTTGGATCTAGTTGAGTACGATCCCGAAGACATAATTCCTCGCCGGGACAAGAGATGGCCGATAAATGGGTCTTCTCTTCTCGAGGCCTTCGAATGGTTTGCTTCGACCGGATCGCACGAGACAGCATTGCCGTTATCGGACTACCTCGGTTCCTTACTCTGCCTCGTTTGCAGCTGGTGGGGCATCCTGGATGTCGACGGCTCAAGAGAGCGACTAAATCTTCTGGTAAGCGGAATGATTAGTAGAGGTGGCAATGTTCATCATCTAGATCGACTTGGCGGAACACCTTTGCAATCTTTGATCCGTTATATGCCCTCCGTGGACGATTCTTTCTTCGTCACGAAGTGGCTGAGCCTTCTTGACGATGGTCTGGGTAGCCTTCCGAACTACGTGGAAACGGAATGTCAAATCTGTCCTGGTTCATTCGAGACATTCTTATAAGATTCCCGTGGAGGTTCGCCGGATTATGTGTTCACTCTACCAAGAATGATCACCATGAGCATGATTGAAGGCAACCTGATCGACTCAGACGGCCCAAAAATAACATGGGTTGACCCAAGCAGCACAGCAGTTGAAGTACTGCGAGAGTTCACGTTCCAACGATATATCTATATCTCGAGAAGCCATAACTGTGACTACATGAGATACTGGTTCGACTTGTGGAGGAGAGATCCGCAATTTGTTCCAATGGAAGGGAGATCGATCCGCGACATCATCTACCAGTGGATAACTGAGCAAGGCGCAACACCCGAGATCGATTCTGCGAAGAATCAATATCTCCTCCCTCGGCCAGACGAGGTCCAATCAGCCATCGACACGGGAAAATTAGACACACTCACTTTTGCCAGGCTGGTGGGCGGTTTCCACCTGTGTCACTGCGACTTGACCGGGAAGTACTTGGAGCTCTGGCCGTTCAACGGGAATACACATACGATGTGTCAGTCTGGGAATCTGATAGGACGGGCTTGCCTTGACCAGTCAACGTGGTGTCCGATGCACTGCTGCCGGTTCAATCACGAACGGTTCGAGAGGAAGCAGAAGAAGAAATGGATGAAGCGCATGGGAATCAAGACGATCAAAGTGCCCCGGGTGCCGGGTGGCTGGGTTGAATAGAGAGCTCAACAACATGGGATCGGAGGAACGTGTAGAAGGGGTATCGGAGAACACGTGAGGACGCATATTTGGCTGCATGGCGTTGCACGATCAGGCTCACTGGGCTTCGCTTCACGTCTACGCTGCTCGCTAAACATGTCCAATGGTTTCCGTCTTGGAAGACCGCAAGCTGCGGTGACCTACGTTTCCAGCAAAGGCGCGACGTGCGATTATGCTTGGGGTTATCCAAGATCGACTCGGTGTGACGATGAGATCTGACGGGTGAGACACTGGGGATCAGATGGCCGTTTAATGTCGTTCAACAGGCGCGGAGTTACGTTTCAAGCAACGGTCGTTTGTGGAATATCAGTGTGGAAGCATCGGTATCAACGGAAGTCCTTTGCCGGAGATTCTTGGTACTCGCGTCCGGACTTGAAGATCCGGGCCGAATGCCATCTCGGAGCGGGGGTCCTCGGGTGATAGCTAGGAAGCGTCAACATTGAATGTCACAGCCATAACACAAGATCAAAGTCGTGGTGAAGTAAAATATCGTGTGGTATCATTGACGTCACAGAGGCTGCACATGGAGCCAGGCAATGTACAAAAAACGGCGTCCTCAAAGTCTTGGTGACCGAGTCCTCAGCCTCCGCCAACCGGCATTTTTCCCCCCACATTCATTCGTCTATATCCAGAGGAAGGAAATCATCACTCGCATTACACCACATCCAGCTCAAAGCGTGTACATGAAGTCAGGGCGCCTATCGCCCGCCACCCACTTGTCCTCGTCCGTCATAGCGGCCCACTGGGCGTCCATCTTGCCGGCCCTGCGCTTCGAGTTCTCCCTGCGGAGGGCGAAGTGCATGAAGACGGAACCGCCGAGCAGGAAGAGAACTTGGTATCCGAGAATGACGCTGTGGCCGGTCCAGAAGCGCGGGGATTCCCTCTTGAGATAGATGTTGGACGAGACCACGCCGTTGAGGTTGCCCCATCCGACGACCATGCCCAGGACGAACGCACGCTTGAGAGAACCCTCGGTGTTGTTGATGACCCAGGACAAAGTGTTGGAGATGGTCGGGTAGATGCCGGCCGCGCCCAAGAAAGTACCTGCGTACTGCACTTGAGGGTTTTTGGTCGCGATGAGCATGACGAAACCCACGATGCCGATCGTCACCGTCGCCATGTTGCAGTATCCGCGGTACCGCGTCTTGTCGGCAATGACACCGACCGTGACGGTGAGCGCTGCGGCGACGGCGTAGGGCGGGACGGACAGCAGCTGGGCCTTGGTGCCGGAGTGGCCCATGCCGTTGAGAATCGTGGGCAGGAAGAGGGAGAAGGCGTAGAGGGGCACGAGGCAGCCCATGTAGATGACCATGTAGCCGTAGGTCTTCCAGTCCTTCAGGCCGGCGTACATGTGGCGCTTGTCAAAGTCCTCGGCGGTGCGGCCCTGCTTGTCGGCGATGAGGCGGCGCTGGACGCGGATGCGCTCGTCGGGGGTCAGGAAGCGGGCGTTGTCGGGCCAGTCGAAGACCATCCACCAGCAGAAGACGCCGACGAAGACGGTGGCGAGACCCTCGATGATGAAGATCCAGGCCCAGCCGGGGCGCCCGCCGACCCCGCCCATCTTGGCGATGGCGGCCGCGAGCAGGCCGCCGAAGGAGCCGGCGAGGGCGGCGGCGGAGAAGAAGACGGCGGAGCGGACACCGATCTCGGATCCCTTGTACCAGCAGGAGAGGTAGTAGTTGACACCTGGTGCATCGTGTTAGTGGTCATGTTCGTGGCTGAGGGCATAAGAGAGGTTTCGACTTACCAGGGAACAGTCCGGCCTCTGCGATGCCGAGAAACCAACGAGCGGCAAGAAGGCCCTGGAAGTTGGTGCAGAGACCCATGAGGGTCATGATGGTGCCCCAAGTGATGATAATTCCGGTGAAGAAGATGCGCGGTGTTAAGCGCTTGAGCAGTGCGTTGGTGGCGGGCTCGAATACGGCGTAGCTGATGAAGAAGACAGTAAGAGAGAGGTTGTAGTCGCTGCCTTCATTCATCTTGAGGTCTTTCTCCATACCCGCGAGACGGGCATTTCCAATGTTTGTGCGGTCGAGGAATGAGAGTAGATAGCTGGAACATCGTGTCAGCGACATTGTTTGAGGTCATCGCAAACTTTTGGGTCTTACAGCAATGACAACCACGGAACTAGCCAAAGATCGACTTTCCACATCAATTTCCTGTCCTATTCGTCGCAAAATCATGAAGGTTAGTTATGCGCAATTCTCTTATGGGCGCAAATACGGTGATGGCTTCAAGGGAGGGAGCGCATACAATCTCGGCCCGTTCCTCCGGGGTCTTGCCGGCATCGGGATCGGGCAGCTCAGCCAGCATGCGCGCTTGCTCGACTTGCGCCTCGTTGGGCTTCTCGTCCGAACTCTCGTTCACCTCGACATCGCGCTTGTTGTAGTGTTCTGTCAAGCCTGCCATGGCTACGGGATTTGGGTAAGGCGAGGTAAGGGGGCGGGTTTGGGGTTGGATGCGGGTGCAAGAAAGCGGTCGGGCGGCGGTCTCTTTCCGTCTGGGGGGATCCGAGGGAGTGTTTTTGTTTGCCTTTGCCCTCTGCGTCGGCCAAATGCTCGGGTGGTTCAAAGAAGCACGGCACGACGGGATTATCGGGTAGGGAGATGACTGGAGCAAAGAGACAAGAAGAGAGGGTTGGCAGTGGGAGAGAGAAGGGCGTGAGAGGGTTTTGATGCGGTGGAACGCGGGCCAGCAAGCAGCCAGAGGAGAAAGCGATTGTTGCGCGTGCCGGAACAAAACACCTCGAAGGGCTGGGGTCTGAGGGGTAGATCGAAACCAAAGTGGGATGAAACCTTGAGCCGTCTTTATAAAGAGGCAGACCGGACGAATGTGACAACATGGGATGGACGAACCATGTCGGCGTCCGTCTGGGTCCTCATTGCTGGTCCTCCGTCGCCGCCGAGTGCTACCCCCGATCCACACACACGCTCACATATCCGTACATGGCTTTGCGAATTCTGGTGGGAAGAGAAAAAGCTACCATACGACACGCTCTGGGACTGAATCTGCAGATTCGGAGATGGCAGAGAAGACATCACTGTGCGCGCATCCGACGGGAGGGGGCCAGGGTACATGCTTCTCGGTACCCTGTGGCTCTGCCAGTCAGAAAGATGATGACCCTCACGCGCGCATGGGTGCAGTGAGCCAGACTTCTGGCTGCATGTACGGATAGGGCTTTTAGTGCGTAACCTGCAGCTCGACTGGCAGACAAGGGTTTCCGGGGAGAGAGAGTGTGTGGCTGGCTTTCGACTGGCAGCCCTGTCGTGTCCGAATGGCGAGTTGTGTCAAGTCGCATCCAGCAGTCCAACTTTTGTCCGTACGACCGGATTTCTTACCTGCAATGAGCGCCCAGAGATCTTGGCACTTTCCGTGAACCAACCCGGACCGGGTCTGTTGCTAGTGATTGGCCGGCAGGCCGGGGGTGTCCGGGGCAGTTGGCGAAGGGGGCCGGGGTCAGACGGTCACGGAGCTAAGGGAAGACGGGGTTGAGGAGGGAGGAGAATGGGGGAATGGGGGAAATGGAGATGGATGAGGGGGGCAGACGGGGCTTGGCCAGACGTCGCGACCAAGCACAACAGGCGGCGGAGAAGACTCTGAACGGCGTCCAGAAGAACTCAACATCGAACGATGAATGGCTACTTTTAACGGTGAACAAGACCTACGAGGAAGATCCATGACTCGCGGCTTGCATGTCGCAGTCTGGAGCCTAGACACGCTCACCTCACCAACAGCAAGTCATTATCTAGACTCGGAAGACAGACACAGCAGTAGTTCATCAGTATTTGAGTGGGTGATTTGAAAAAAAGGTAGCCTGCAGCGCCCAGAGCCCAGGTATGGTGTTTGTGTCACTGCATGGCGCATAGAAGGTCCGAATGTTTGCTACAAATACACAGCCTGCTTGGAATCCCATGTATGGTCCCAGGGCAAAAGAGGAGAAGCTGAAATGCGAAGAATATTCGGAAAACACCCGTTAGCTCCCTTGTTCCGGAAGCGAATACCATGATGCGGACCCGTCTGAACTAAATGCTCCATTGAGTTCTAGCCACCCGCAGCCACCGTGAAGCTAATAAGACTGTCACATCAACTTCGTGACAAGCTTGGGCAGCATCCTGTGGAGGAAGAGTTGGAGAATTGGGAAGGTGAATTGAGTCGTGAGAAGGACAGGGGTATGTCGGCGGTGCGAGATGACGGTGGGCATTTTTGAAAGAATTTTCTTCTTCCTCCAGCTCCAACAAACAAACAAACATCCCTGGCTTCCGGCTTCCGCTATCAACACTCTGTCGTTACGGTCTCCATTTCCCCTCACGACTCCCCACCCATCCACCCAGAATAAGCATAAGAAACAGAGAAGCAGTTCGGACAGTCAGCGAGCTCTCGGCAGACTAAATCGACAGGGTTGACAGGCTCACAGCCCTCTCGAACCGCGCGCAAAACTAATCCCCAACGCCCCCTCTCGTCGTTTCCCCCGCAATCCTTCCCTGGTGTTCCCCGCACGAGGATTTGAGAAAGGAGGAATGTGGATGGCCATCAGTTACATCAGTGGTGGCCGGCAGTGGATCGCGGACCACAGTCCAGTCTGGGGGAAATCCTGGCGAGAGAGCTGTGGAGTTTTTCTCTCTGGGATTCGCCTCCAGGTTGCGCCCTGGTTGTTGGCGGCTTTCGAACTTTTGACTCCGGCTCGCCGTCATGTGCGATCACGTTCGTTCCATCGGTGTGGATGGCTTGATAGTGCCCAGACTCTTGCTTCATCAGCACGCCGGACTTCTGTCCGTTGGCGGCATCCCAGAGAGGCCGATACCGGGGAAAAGGCCGGCTTTATTGATGATGCCCTCCGAAAAAAACACGGTTCCGGCGAACCCAATAAACGGGAGCGTGCTTCTTTGACCACAGACCGACGGACAGCTGCGTTGTTATCGATTCTTGGGCTTTTCTCGGTGAACGCCTCCCATCTTGGCAACGTATTCCTGATCCATGTCTTGGGAACCGCGCCGTCATCGCCCGAGAGGCAAGCAGCCGTCGAGACCAGACGATGAGATAAGCTTTGCGGTCATGGGAGGTTGACATTGACACGAAAAAAGGGGGCGCATTCGGGCCACACTAGCGTCGTCGTCTTGTCCCATATGAAAGGCAAAGAAAGACCCTTTCTGGGGAATGCAAAGAGAGAATTACTTCACTCTTTCCTGGGGAAATCTGGAGAGAACAGCTCAGATTTCGCAGAGGCGAGGAAAATCCAGATCTCGGCGCCCATCTTCCCCAGCTTTTGACGCCTGTATCGGCCCATCTCCGACGGAAAACACACCACTGCTGATGTCCCTGCAGCACGAATGCGGAGTTCCCACGTTCTCCCTTGCACCGACTGGAGCCGTAGACAACGAATTGAAGAGGCCCGATTTGTAGCTGACAATCACCCGACTCTGCAAATCAACTCAGAAACCTTTGGAAGTGTCGGCAGAGATGTTGACAGGTCCAGACAATCCGCTAGATTAGTGCGAATGCTGTAGCCATGTCGCCCACGTTGTCTCCCCGTCTCACGTACGGATACTGGCTCATTTCTAATGTATGTTGGCGCGGACACTATCCGACGAGCCTCTCAGTCAACATGCCAATCCTACGCGGCCACGCGACAAATGCCGTCCGGGTGCCCTTGAGCCCAATGGCGGACCTTGTGAAGCCATCCCGAGCATCTGGACAGAAGCGGCAACTCTATTTGAATTGCCATGGGAAAGCTCAAAGTTTTCAGGTGTGTCATCACAGCAGACGCCCCGAAACGATGATTCTTACGAATCAAGGGTCTTCCGGCACCCTCGATGGCTTCTGGCCCCGTATCACCTCGGCCGCCTAGGACCGTTCCGCTGGTTCGGCGTCCGCAATCATCACACGACCAACGCCATCGACACACAATTGAATGACTTTTAAGTAATGAGTTGCGGGTAACAGAGTCTGGAGTAGTTGAGGCGACGATATGCTTGCGGAGAGCATTCTGGTCTAACCCAGACAAGGCTGCAAGCCAGCCATCTTGACGCCGCCATGGAGAAGACAACAACGCCGTGTTGACCTTGAGAGCTCAGGCGAGAGAGAAGGCAGCGAACGAGATCACCTCTGGTACAAAGATTTCCGTTGGCTCGCCAACTGAAATCCTTTACGCACGTAATGCGAATCGCCATTTTCTGTCCAACCCATCCCACATGTCCACGCAAATCTTCCCTCGATGGGTAGGTGATACAAACATCCTGCAACATTTGCAGCGTTCCCAATTTCCGCGGCCTCGGGCCCCTCCCTCCGGTATGTCTTGCTGCGAGAAAAGGCTGCACGGCAACGCAAACAATACTTCCGACCCGCTCATTGTTGCTTTCTGCTGCGGCCACTAAAGGCCGTAAGAAAGGGCCGGGAGGCTTCGAGTCCGCGATGAGACAGGAAAAGACGAGGCAACCGCCGAGGCCGGGTCGCCTCGACACCGGCCCGGACGACAAAGATCGCAAGATGCCCGCGCGGACATGATGCCTAGGCGGGACCCTGGCGCCGCGAGATCCGGATCTCGTCGAAACACGTGGTGTTTGCTTCTTCTTGCATGCAAACTGCCTCCGCTGGCTCCTCTCGGCAAGCTCTTCCGAATCCCCATCCATGTTCCAACAGATGTCCAAGAGACGGCCCTGCCCAATGGGCCCTTCTCGTTGGAAGCTTGTACGTTTCGCACGGCGTGATGAAGACCTGAATCTTGCGTAAAGTCTGGCCTGGGCATGGTGATTGTCCCCTCCAAAAAGCGAAAATGCCTCCTTGCGTCTTTGTGGTGTTTTCAATCACACCCCTGACACCTCGAGACGCGCCTCTGCATGAGGGAGGGGCGGCGATGCAGGCAGCCAACCGATGGAATTTTATTGTATGCTTCCACCCGTCTTCTGTTACTATTCGAAGTAAACAGTAAGAATTGTGTCAAATGGCCACTTGATACCTCGCAGTTTCGAGAGGATTGTACATTGCTTTGCCTTGAAACCCACGCCCAGGCTGGGCAACTCAACGCCACGAACTGCATGCCCCAACAACATTTCTGTCCGTGAATCACTTCATTGAACGTCCGGAACAGAGGTTCCAGCTCGGCACGTCCAAATCGCGGCCCGGACTCAGGGTCCCTGGTCCTTCCGGCGATCGGCCTCGTCCACCTGCACGATGCAGGGGACTACTAGGGCGAAGCAGAAGACACCGGATTCCAACGCTGCCGCTCTGAGTGATCAAAGCCTTCTTGAGTTATTCCCTCCTTTCACATTGAGCCCGCAGCAATCTACTTTGCGAGATCGGAGAAGTAAAGCATTAAGAGGGCCATTGAAGGTCACACTTGCTGAAGTACATGTAGGTAGGATGCCTTGTCGTTGCGGTTTACATGCCTATATCAGTAATAGGAGATCATATTGGAGACATATGCTATTTTCTATCAATTACCTTTGCTAAGAGCCAGGCTTCTGGTGTAATGGGGTCCTCATGAGAAGACAAGATGGACGGCGACATGGCGATTGCATCGAGGACCACCTGAACAGGCATCGGGCAAGAGCAAGAATAGTGTAATCGCACATCATGCCATCATATCCGGTCACGAAACAATGAGGTTAGATAGCCTATGAGTGCACTGTCCTCATATCAAAGCTGTCTGTCAAGTCAGCTTGAGAGCTCACATGGTCCAGTCAAAAGCATACACGATGGGCTTGATTAACATACCTTTTACTTCGGAGGAAAGGTATCGAAGTTGCGCGGGTTTCAAGACTTTCAGCTGGTGTGATGTAAGTTGCCAGCAACATTCTTTTCACTCACAGATGCTCGTAATGCCGAAGTCCTCGTATACCTCGCGAGTTCTATTGACAAGGGTCGAGCGGGCAAGACCACACCCACCTAACATCCATGGCATTCGTTGATAACTTACTTATTCGGTTCATCACAACTACTTTCTCTTCGATCGAGCAATGGCCAAAAGTTAACGATTCATATACCCAGGGGGTTTGCATATGTAGGGACCATTGAGCCCCCATCAGAACTTTACCTGCGATCACAGAGCTTCCTTACAGCCAAAGGAGCCCTTAGGTGGGCGCTTTTGTCTTGGAGGCTGATTTTTGTGAGAATGGAAATATCGAAAAGACCAAACTACTCATCAGATGCCACGTTCTGACACCTCAAAGCTGTATCGTCATCGTGAGAGGGGTCTTTCCGGAATAGTGTAGATCATAACCCTTGTCCATGAACCACCAACTACATCATCGCGGCCCGGGGTGATCAAGGCCCAGCGACCCGACCCGCAAAGCGATCCACCACTCCAACTGCCTCAGCTTATCGTCCCCATTAGCAATCCCCTCATGCCAAGTTGACAGTTCTCACCTTAGCGAAGGGCGGGCTTTGTTTCCGCCGTTCAATACCCGGATTGGTGTGAAACGGTCCTCGGATGCCGCTGCCGGAGACCCGCCCTTCGCCATTCCGAACCGGCACCGAGTGGTTTGGCCGACTTCTAGGCCTGCGTGGGTCCAGTTTATCCTCGGTCAATTTTTTCCTCTGACCGATATGCGGAAGATGTCCGTCGCCTGGGCGGTCAGTACCAGATCATTGGGCACGAGACCTTTTGCCTAAACCTCCCTTCTTATTGTTACCTTCACCAGGAAAAATCGAAATTGCTGCATCTGGCCGACGTGGTGAGGCGAGTTCTCCAACTTCTTTTGTATAGTTTCCGGCCCCGTAATGGCTGAGGCTAAAGACGCCAAGAACGAGTCCGGGGCCGGGTCCGCGCCGGCGCCGGAGCCCCTCACGCTCCCGCTCGGGGAAGCTGGGGCGGCGGAGCCGTACAGCATCTTTACACGCAAGGAGAAGTGGTTCATCGTAGCCATGGTCGCTGTGGCCGGTTTCTATAGGTGAATATCCCGAGCTTATGGATAAGGGCGAGTAACTTACGAGATGTAGCCCCTTGCCAGCGAACATCTACCTTCCGGCCATTCCAAAGCTCTCCGAGGCGTTTGGGAAGTCGGTTGAGCTTCTCAACCTAACTGTCACAGCTTTCCTAGCTATGCAGGGCATATGTGAGTATCAGCCTGTGATGAACCCTAGCAGGACGAAGGGCTGATAGCAGGACAGCGCCGATGCTCTGGGGCCCTCTGTCGGACCGCTATGGACGACGACCGGTCTTCCTGGTGTGCCTTACTATTCTCATTGGGGCTTGTGTTGGTATTGCTGTTTGCCCGACAGATGCCTTCTGGCTCCTCATTGTCCTCCGTTGCCTTCAGGCAGCAGGCTGCGCGAGTACCATTGCGCTCGGTAAGCCAGGCAATTCCTTCCCCCGCGGGCCGCAACGTGACTGACCCTCGAAGGCGCCGGTGTCATCGGGGATATCTCGACACCTGAGGAGCGAGGCGGCTTCTTCGGAATGTTCAATCTGGGGCCTATGGTAAGTGTCGATGTTCTTCCCTCTCAACCTGTCCGTCTAATACTTACCATACTAGATTTCACCGTGTATAGCCCCCGCGATCGGAGGTGCTCTGTCCGACAAGTTGGGATGGCGCTCGATCTTCTGGTTTCTGATAGCCATGGCTGTCTGTTGCCTCCTGTTTATCCTGCTGTGAGATCCCCTCCATCTTGTATCTGTTCTGCCAGGAACTAACCCCGACCCCTAGCTTTCTTCCGGAGACCCTCCGCAACCTGGTTGGAAATGGAAGCGTCTCCCTCGGTGGTATCTACACCCCCTTAGTTCCCGTCGTCGGAAGATCGAGAAAGAAGCAGAAGACTACCCCTTCAAAGCCTGGAGTACGACCCTCTATCAACCCCTTCGTCATCCTCGTCTACCCCGACGTCGCCATCACGCTGGCCTTTACCGGCGTAGTCTATGCTGTCAACAACACCGTCGTCACCACCATCGCCTCCTCCTTTGCTAGGGTTTACCCGTGGCTGTCGGAGACGGCCCTTGGTTTATGCTATCTGCCAACAGGTTTCGGTATGATCGTTGGCAGCACGCTGACGGGTAAGTTCCTCGACTGGGACTATGCCCGCATCAAGAAAAGGGTCGAGGAGGCCGATGGTGCTATCGAGTTCCCAAAGGAGTACGCTCGGTTACGGACCATGCCCGTGCTATTGGTCCTATTCTCGGGTGCAGTGATAGCTTGGGGCTTTTGTGTGGATAAAGGGGTGCACATTGCAGTTCCTCTCTGCTTACAGGTGTTTTGTAAGTCTTCTTTTACAACTCTGTGAGGGACTTGTACTGACATGTCGCAGTGGGATACACGTCCATCTCGATCCTCAACACCACGATGACCCTCATGATCGATATCCTGCAGAGTAGAAGCTCAGCGGCGACCGCATGTGTGAGTAAATCCCTATCACGGCCGTCGTACCCTTCTAACCTCCCTTCCAGACCAACCTAGTCAGGTGCCTGCTTGCGGCGTTGTTGGTGGGTTTGATTGATAGAATGACTGCGGCTCTCCGAGTGAGCTGGAGTTATGTGCTTCTTGGCGGCGTGTGCGCTCTCCTGCTGCCACTGATGTACATCGAGATGAAGGTCGGGCCTAAGTGGAGGTTGAGGCGGGATTTAAAATCGGTGGATGATTAGAAACGGCTTCAAGGGCTGTATGTATTGCTATTACACCTTAATGATAATCAAGCGAAACCAGCCCACCCTACAGATTTATTTTGGCTATCAGATGCGCCCCCTCTGGTGGGAGGTCCTTGTTGACCTCTTATACCAATCTTCGGCTTAGAGCCCGCTAGCTCTCAACCAAGACAGAACTCATTGTTAAATAGGTAACACACACAAGTCTCACACACAGTCTCCGCCGAGATGAGTGAGTCTCGGCTCGCGGAAATACCTTTTAGACCTTTTCGCGTGCTCTGAGACTCTCATGATATACAATCTGGTGTACAGGCATGCTCTTTATCGTCCCGTTCTCGACATATTGTTCCCATTAGGCCCGGGGAAGCCATTGTATTGCTTCTCTGTCATGCGTTCCAATCGCATTTGCCAAATCCAACACCTCTCTAGCCTCGAAACCCATTCAAAGTATGCCGAACGCCATTAACAAATCCATTCACCTTTCCATTCGGCCTTTTCCTCCCTAAGTCCGGCAAACCTGCTTTTACCAACACACCATCAACCTCATCTAGGTGGTCAAGGAAGTGAGCCTTAGCACCGTCCCACAAGTCCTTCGACGGATGGAGACTTCTCGACCCCTCGCCCTCAGTCGCCCACTCACTCAGCATGACCGGCACACTGATGTGGAACATGAAGGCCACGGTATTCTCGCATATCAGGTCAGGCTTCAACTCCTTGGTCGTGGCTTGCTGCCAGGTCTCATACGTCTCACCATGGGGCATGTAGCTCCCTTCGTAGCTGAGACCGCCCGGCTCAAGGACGTGACTGCTGCCGCCGTACTTCCCATACAACAAACCCATCATCTCTGTGGACATGTTGCGGTGGTAGTACGGGGGTCTGAAGGTGTTGGATGTGGGTATCCACTTGGGCGTAAAGACGAGGATGTCCGTCAGCGACACGCCCGCAACCTTCGACTTGGCTGTGAGGACGCAGTACACCGTCGGGTCGGCCTGGTCGTGATTCACGTTGGCCACGTTGATGAACTTCTCTGTCGCGTATTTGTACGGCACGAGATTTCCTCTCCAAGCGACAACGTCAAATGGTGTGTGGCCCTGTCGACAGACGTGTAACGATCCCGCCAACTTGTACACTATTTCCCAATCGGAGGTGTCGACGTCGAAGGACGCTACTGGGCTCTCAAAGTCTTGTGGCAAGGCCATACCGTTGGACCCAATGGGGCCGAGTTCTGGAAGCTCGTAGTGCGTGCCGAAGACCTCTTGGATGTAACCACGACTCGGGCCGTCGGGGAGAAGAACCCGGAACCGAAGACCCGCTTGAATAACAACTAGCTCGCCGGGCCGAATCATCAACCAGCCCAGTTCGGTCTGGATATTGAGCCTGCCCTGCTGAGGTAAGATAAGAAAGTCCCCATCGTTGTTACAGAATGCTCTGTTGCTCATGGACCTCGAGGCAGTATAGATGTGTACCGCAATTCCTTCCCTCAGCGTCGGATCACCCTGACCACCTATGGTCCGCAATCCTTCGACAAAATCCTGCGCTCGTTCATCAAGGGGTTCCCCGCCAGGCATGCAGAATGGATCCCAGACCTGCTGGGCCGCGACATACTTCACTTTATTGTTGAGGGGCGAGAAGCATGCCTGTAACAGGGGGTTGAGCTCTGGCGCGGGGACAACCTCTCGATGTGCAACAGAGGGCCATATGCGGTACATCCAAACATGTTGCAGTGTCGCGCGAGAACTGATGAAGGAGGAGCCGTTGAGCTGCTCCGAATAGAGGTCGAATTTGCACCTCTGAGGGGCATTCCCGCCAGCGGGCAGCGTCCCGGGGACCGCCTCTGAGCAAAACCGATTTCCGAACCCGGTTTGGTACCGGTGAGGATCCGAGTCATTCGGCCCCGTCGAGAAGGCCGTGGCGGCAGTGGCCCCGACCATGGCGCGAGCGCTTTTTTGGGATTGTGCGTGAGGGGTAGGGTATAAAGGAACCACGCGGCTGATTGTGACTCGATGATGTAATTCCCAGCTGCAGGTCGCTGACTAGACAAAAGCTGGCTGCTCAAGTCCTCGCTGATGCTGCTGCTGATGGGCGGAGATGTTGGATGTTGAAAGAAGAAGAAAAGATCCTGACGAGAATGTCCGAAGACGATGTGAAGAAATGCGTTTCATGGCAGCAGCATATTAGACTCCAACAAACACATGATGGCAAAAGCTTCGGAAGGCTCAATGGAGAATGGAGGGGTCCAGCCCTGAGGTCTGAGCTGCATTCCGCCGCTTCTGTGTAAGACATCTGAGTTGCTTTGTCACTGTTTTCCGGCAACTTCAGAAGCTTATCGGATGCAGACATAAAACTTGCCGGGGTGCCGGCAATCCGCGGCCAAATGCTCCGGCAAGCTCTTTGTCGTCCACTTGCCCCTCCCGACATCTTCGTCATACTAGAATGGCGGAATCAGTTAGGTCAAACTAGGTCAGACCTTTGCTGACAATTCAAAATCACCTCTCCTCACCTCTAATTATCCAAGAATTTCGCATCATGTCTTATCACGGGAATCCGTGGATGAGTACGTGGGATATCGCCAAGAGTTGACGGAATCCGACCCTCTTTCCCCTCGCAGGCAGAATTTCTTGCAACAAATCCGGGCTCCTCAGGTCCGCTGGCCGGTGTGAAACGTCGGTCCATGATCACAACCGAGAAAACCCTGCGTTGACATATGCGCCCCTACCAATGGCTCTCATCAAGCTCATCACCGTGCACAGCACGCACCTCATTGCGGTCTTCTTCGTCGCTGCCATCATCTATAAGCTTCTGACCCGGCGCGGCCCCGCATATCGGCGAAATCTCCGGCTTCCGCCGGGCCCACCCGGCGAACCGATCATTGGGCATCTCCGCATTATCCCGACCGACAATCCGGAGTACGCTTATGCGAACTGGTCGAAGGAGTATGGCTCCGATGTGCTTTATTTCAACGTCCTTGGGCAGGATATCGTGGTGCTCAACTCTGTCCGGGCAGCCGTCGATCTCCTCGACAAGCGCGGGGCGAACTACTGCGACCGCCCGAGATTTGTGCTTTTTGAGGAGATGGGATGGCGAAAAACGTTGACGTTTCTACGATGGGGTCCGGAATTCCGAATGCACCGCAAAATCTTGCAGAAGGCCTTCCAGAAAACGAATATTCAAGCATATCACGACTTACAGGAGAGGGAAGCTCGCATACTCGTTGATGGCATCATCAAACAACCTGAAGCTTGGGAGGCGGCGCTGCGGCGATATTCAACAGCCATCGTAATGAAAATCGGGTTTGGAGTGGACGTCAAAAGTGACAATGACCCATACATCCAGATGGCTGCCGATGCTTCATACGCTCTTGGTCACGGCGGAGCACCTGCTGGCACTCTGGTTGACTTCTTCCCTTTCGTTAAGCATCTACCGGACTGGCTTATAAGAGATCGCTCTCTAAGATTTGCCCGGGATTGGAAATGGGCCATCCGGAAACTCCACGATGCACCATACGCAGCTGTCACGGCCCACAAAACCCCTGACAACAGTCTGATTAAAATTCTGCTCGATCAACGAAATGAACAACTTAAGAGTGGCTTCTCGGATCTCTCAGAAGATGACATCAAAGGGGCTGCGGGAGCTGTTTATGCCGCAGGCCAAGACACGACCTGGTCTACGCTAGTCGTGTTTGTTCTTGCAATGGTTCTTCACCCTGACATCCAGGAGAAGGCCCAGACGATGATCGAAGAAGTTGTTGGAAAGGAAAGACTACCGAGGTTTGGAGACCGCCCAAGACTACCTTACATCGACTGCATCGTGCAAGAGACCCTTCGCTGGTGTCCTGTATCTCCTATTGGTGTACCGCATCGATCTTTAGAAGATGACGTCTACCAGGGAATGTTCATACCTAAGGGGTCGCTCGTGTATGCAAATGCTCGAGCAATGACTCACGATGAGACCATTTATTCGAACCCAGAAATCTTCAACCCAGAAAGGTACGTGCCGGTAGATGAGGGTGGTCTCGGCGAGCCTTTTCCGTTGGGACAATTCGGCTTTGGCAGGAGAGTATGCGTCGGGAAACATCTTGCAGAAGCAAATGTTTGGATTGTGATCGCATCAATGTTAGCAATGTTAAAGATTGGGAGGATGAAAGAGACTTGTGGGACCGGTGTGATACCTTTGGTTGAATTAACAAATGGGTTGACGAGCCATCCCAAGAAAGTTCCTTGCCAAATATCATCAAGGCTTTCAAATACTTAGGAATCTGTCTGATCAAGAGAGATATTAGAAACGCTAGTGGACCTTATCTGAACTTCTATCGCTAAGGTATCAGACAGCATGCACGGGTCTCTCAAGGTTTTTCTCCAGTGTTGATGATGTTGTTAAGCATGTAGGGTACTGCAAAAGATATAAAAATGACTTAAGCTCTACTTTATTCGCTTTCCGCAACTGCAATATCACTTCCCGAGAGCTCTGCATTTGCTTCGTCCACACCTGACCACCTATTCAACTCTAAACATCGAATGCGCCCTTCTCCCAGGCCGTGTACGTAATATCCGAGTTGGACTTCCAGGCCCATCCCGACATCAGACTCGCGACCTTCATCATAGCGCATGATAGACGCATGTTTCTCCATCTCTTCATTCACTAATTTCTTCCGCTCGTGGTCCTGTGTCGGAAGAATCCGACAGAGCCAGCCGGAATCCACAAGAAACTCGCTTTCCCTTTTCACTCTAGCACTAATACAAACAGTTGCCTGAGCATCTTTCCATTCGAATCCCGTCATCCCCGTTGTGTCCTTTATTTTGGTTGAAACAACAAGATATCTCATCCTTCTAGTTGTGGAATGTGTGGAATCAAGCCACATGATGTTTTTCCCTAAGTTGAATCTGAGATCTGTGCTGCAACCCCTTACCCATGCTTCACGTAAGCCACTGGTTACAAAGGTTGGGTAAATACCAAACCTTCCATCGAGGGGAGGGGGGGAAGTCGGTCTTGGAAACGTTGATCTATTGTCGGATTTAATGAGAGGTGTGCGCCACACTCTGAGTTGGGTTGTTTCGAATGTCTCTCCATCTTGTTCTCGTTTCACAATGATCGTTTTCTGGGTTTTGATGCCTCGACTTTGAAGAATAAGTGGTGTTTTTGGATAGGGCACTCGCGCGACGTGAAGAGTGCCATTTCTGTCCTCCCCAGTGACTGGTACCCAGGCTCTGCAATTCTTTAGTGACGAAGAAAGGCTGCCTTTTTCTTTCAGTGTTGCGTACATCGCAATGATGTATCCGCTCATGGTATATAGTGTCGGCAGTCGCATTGATAGACCGGCGTTGGTCATTTGGTATGTCGGGACTTCTTGGCTGTGTCGGCTGAACCTCTTTTGAACAAAATCTCCGCAATGTCGAAATACGTTGGGAGACGGTGCGAGAATACTGGTCCAGTCTTTGGGTACGGTTTCGTTCCAATTCCAGCAGAATATTGTTTGATCATTGGAAATTTTGATGATCTCCTCCTGCAATCTCGTGAAGGCTTTTCTACCCTCTCCATATAGTAGCGGCATGTTGATGTCGAAGATCCCCAGCATACAATATGCGAGATCTTCCGGTCTGGTTGTTTCTCTGTTCGAGATCCAAGACATCTTCTTAGCTACGCTGGCCAACTCAATCGATTTAAGCCCCCGAAGATACAGGTCGTCAATGCCGGTGGCTCTCGTTATGTGTTGGGCCATAGACCTTCCGCGGCTTCCGATTTTGGACCAGTCCTGCGCATAAAAGATAACATTTTTGGGAGCTAGTAGCTCCTGCAGTGTCCATCCTCGAGTGAACCACCTACTCTCCCTGAATTGTCGGAGGATATTGTGTTTGTCATGGGCTGTTGGAACATCGCTCAGGAAGGCGTAGCACTTTTCCGAATTTCCATACCAAGCAAACATCGAGTTGATCGCTTCAGACAGCTCCGCTGAGCTTGTTTTGTCGATACAACAAGTGTCAACCCAGAGCCAATCGTGTCCGTCAATGTATGCTTGCTCACATGCGAGTTCGATCTTTCTGAATCCCAGCTTTGTCTCTCGGCCAATCTTCTTCCAGCCCCTGAGTGACACCTCTTCTTCTTCCCACCTATGGGACAAGATAGCGTAGGGCGGTATCTCATCCCCGTGGAACTCCTCAAGCTCGAAGTTATTGACGTTGATGAGCCGCATGGCATAGTCCCTATGATTCTTCGGAGAGTGTTGAGAGAGTCCACTCCGCCGAGCAAATGATATCGGCACGGCGGAAGGAATGTATGCCTCGTCTCGTTCAGTGCACAGGGGCGGATCGGTGGCCGGGTTGGACTGAGTCGTAGAGTGTCTATGGCTCTCTGTTCTCGGTTACTTGTATTGAGGGTAAAATCATTTTAAGTCATGCGGGGAAGCCTGATTTAAACAGACAGCGTGGGCTGACCCGACGTCGAGGGCTTTGCAGGCCCATCGAGGCTGTGTGCCTCAATAATGCATATGCAGGCATGCTGCATGTCAGCTAGACCTAATCATAATGTTGAACCAATCAGCTATTCATTGCAAAATGATACTTCGTCCAATCAGAATGTCTGTCAAAATCACAAGTTTTCTAAGAATTGTTGTCAGATCCAGTCCTATCTCCTTCTAAACGGTCGAAGATAGAGGTTTGAGGTGATTTCTCGTGCTATTAAAAGGATTATGGACACATTATATGAATATATATGAAGAAATGCGTCTCTTCATTCATCTGTAATCTCTTGAGTTGTAGTTGGTCATGGAGTTTGATCCATGGTTTCGTTCAACTCCATCGTGAGAGTTTTAGGTGGGCGTCGGGGTGATTTCTCGTGAGACGCTTCCGGTTCTGTTTCCGTTATTCCCTCCTTCTCCGACCGTCTTATGATGAATCCCCAGATGAATTGTCGGATGTTCGGTATGTTGGCTGTGAATACCGCTACGTAAACCTCAATGTTGGTCCATATCCCAGCTGGGATGATGGCAACTGTGATACTACATGTTAGTTCCCATGAGCGGAATGTTGGTGTGTAGAAACACACCTGTTGGGTTGAGCGGGTACTTTGAGAGGTCTTTGATAGTTACAATGCGAATGATACTCACTACTGTCAAGCTTGTGGCTGTCAGAATAACTGGGGGGCAATAACAACTGAAGAAGATAGACTCACAAAAGACCTAGGCTGAACATGAACATCACAGCGAACTTCTTTCGCCGCTTCATATTCAAGCCCCATACCTGGGTAGCAGGAAGGATGAGCATCCACACATCCATGAGGACATAAATGGTTCCTTGCACCATGCCCACATGACCTATACTGATGCACTGGCCGTCATTCTCGCCCGTCCAGAACCTCCACGCCAGATTTATAGGGCGGCATTGGAAGAGGCTGATGAGTAAGAAGATGACGCCGACGGTGAGGTTGAAAATCTGTGTCGCCCAGACAACGAGCCGAAACTTTTGGTCGGGAAATATTCGTAAGAACATGAACAAAATCGAGGTTTTGACAAGCGTAATTACGCAATTGTAAAGACACTGCAAGATGTAAAAGTCCTTCACGATGTTAGAAACGACGACAAAGGAGTGTGTGGCGCATCTCGAGGTGTATACCTGGAAGAAAGACGTGATTTGATCCGAGCTCAGTGTCCATAAATCTTTTCCGAGCCCGTAAGACTCCCCTACATACGTTGGTTGTCGCGTCAGTAAGGTAATAACTACCGGTTCAATGACCCTAAGTTTTCGTGACGTACAAAGCATATCCGCAGAGATAAACCCGAGCGTGACACACTAGAGATGGTGTTAACTCAGGTCTTGTCAAATTCTTTTGGCATATAGGATTTACTCACGTATGCAAGTACGATTGTGGTATCATCAGCCCCCCACCGCGAGAGACCCGCGGCCTTTACTGCCATTCGAAGTATCATGGAGAGCGTGGGCAGGAGCATGAACAGGACGATGCGAGGGACCCTCGTGGCCGGAAACTCGTCATGTAGCTTGAACTCGCATGCTTCGGCTGTGATCTTTTGCGTCACTGCAACGGGATTCTTTAGCTGCGGCTCCTCTGTAATGTGAGGATTTCACACGAACTCACCCAACGCATCTTTCAGAGAGCAATTCGCGACCGAGCATGTCTGGACATGATGAAGGAATCCCTGGTCTGAACACAAACATTCCTGATCTGTTGTCCCGCAGTCGGATATTCGTAGGCCCTCTAGGAGACATGGTAGCTTCGTCAAGTCAGAACCAATAGTAGACGCATACCGCAAGGATGAGGCCTTACAGTGCAATCTGGGTTGTCGGACAGATGATGAACCTGCGCAAGGATTGGCCTGCAGAGGCAGAGGAACAGAGCAAAAATTAGAAGCCAGGCAGATTTCATGGCCACAGCTGGAGGTGATTCGACTTGGCGTCACTGCCTTGGACTCTAGAAAGTCAAGGTCCTGAAACTGATACGGCCGGAGATCGTATTTCAGACGACGAAGAAAACAGCTCGTCTCAGGTCCACAGCACGACGCGATGACATGAGAGAGTGAAGAGCATGACGGCGTTGAACTTTCGTCTGCCTCCACGGAATCACCATCTCAGTGGCTCTGAGCCACATGTACGATCAAGGCATGTCTCAAAGGACCTCCGCGTGCGGGCTTGCACCGGCAAGCCAGGCCAAGATCAGCCACCGGCCACGCTGACTATACTTCACGAGTCGGCGAAACCGGAACAAACTCTTATTATTAAGAAGTTACTGCGAGAGTTCCAGGATTGCAGTGGCACTCTAGGAATCGACTCCGGATTAGGGCTAGCTTCGACAGCTGATGCGCTGCTTGCGGGTGGCGGAATCGACAGAGCCGCTATCGAGTAATGAGTTCGGCGAAACTGATTCAGGCACTCTCTATGGTCTTGTAATAAGTCTCCGTAAGTTTGCAGCGCTAATTAGCTGAAATTCTGTTCGGTGTGGCATGCCCGGCGCCGCCGTGGCGTGACGGCCGAGCCGTCGAACGGTCGTGAAGTCAAAAGCTGCCTTCCGCTCAACCGCATCGTATCCTACCACTCTGAGAAGTTCTCAGGGTACGACCTGACTAATCTTACCACGATTCTTGACGCATCGCCGCCGTATCGTCGTAGTATTCAAGGCCTGAAAGTTCAGTCACCCATCTCAATCAGTGTAAGAATGATGATCCCTCTACAAATTAACTCCCTTGGGCTTCTCGATCACTTCTTGTGCATTTGGTTAGCTCGATGGCGATTGTGTGGCTATGTGGACAGCTTCCGCATCCTGATGCCGGGCCGTAGCCTAGAAGCGGCCCCGGGCCCGTCCCCGTCTAATATTAGACCCACATACCGGGGCCATCGACGGTGAAACAGTCGGCCCCACTATCTGCTCATCCGGCTTAGTATCCCGGGTGGATTGTCCGGGCCGCTCCGTCCCGATCGACAACAACCTGGATTGGAAGTCCTGCACCATTCCTTGTGCACTCAATGTAATCAGAAATTTTGCTTGATTTCCTCAGTTAGACCTGGGCTGTCATCAGGTGTCAATGCTGCATTCGCAGGGCCGGCCAAGGGGCTGGCCTTCCAGCCCATATCAATCCAGGGGCTTGTCATCTTCATCATCACCACCATTGAATTGATTAGATCCAAAGGAAAAGAGTTGCTGCATTTCATTGCGCGGTGAAAGGTAGTTGTAGTTGCTACACGCAAGCACACCTGCTCGCATCATGATCCATTCTCATACATCACGCTGTCTTGTCTTGCAGCAGAGTAGATACACGGGTGCAGAGTTCGGTACTAGAAACTAACAGCGACGCCATGTTTGGCTATTCCTAGGTGATTTGCGGCCTCATCCGGGTAAGAAGCTTTTGAAAAACCTTTCACGGTTGCCTACTTTCGCCACAACACCAAGAATACGCATCGATGTCATACCAGAACCCAAAACATCACCAAAGACAAAGGACATCACATGAGAGAAATATTGATTCAAGTATTTTTGGGGGTTGAAGTGATTTTATTGGATTTGAAGAGCCCTGTGAGGTGATGGGTTAACTCTTCTCTAAAGCTATGTTGCCGGTCTCCCGCCACCCTCGTTAAACCTCCACGCCCCCAAGCGTGGTAGGAAGAGTAGTGTCGTTTGCAGAGTACCAAGTCCCGCACATAATGATCCCGTGCTCGCATATCTCCTCCCCGGTTTGTTTGTGTGTTGGTTTCTCGATTGCGCCGAAAGCCGAAGTGGTGTTTTTTTTTGTAGAGTAGTGGTGAGGTTGGGTGACTAGAACTTGGAGTTCCGGTTGTTGATCCAAGAAGGGATGCGTTGAAGAGTGTTCTTGGTCCTCCACCACTGGTATCTCATATCCGCCATTGTGTCTGCCTTGATGCTCCTGAACTTGTCGGTGATGGTTTGGCGTTCGGGGTGAAACGCGTCGTCGAGTTGGCGTTGCTCGAGAGCAGTGAGTTTTCCGAAGAAGCAGGAGTCCATTTCGAATGTGGGTGAGGGTTTCGAAAGGTAAGAGGAGGGAGAGAGTAGAGGTTGCGTTCTGAGCAGAAGGCGATATGGCGAGAGAGTTGTTTGGTAGGTAGAGAGGTAGAGAGGTAGGTGGTAATCGGTTGAGGTATGAGAGTGAGGATTGATGAGATGAGATGGTTTGAATCTGAAGAAGAAAACCCAAGACGAGGGATCTGGGCCTCTTTATATAGCATACTGGGGACCGAAGCTGTACTCATGGTGATTGTGATTTTCCCGGTTGTGATTGACTTTACGATTCCCGGGTCGAAAATATCGACTTACTTTGGGCAGTCTGCGGATTTCTATGTATCTCCGGGAGTGCCAACCACCACCAAAAGATACGTACCTGCGGACTGAGCCGGTTTATTTGTTTGGGAGACTTTTCCATCCAATCAGAAAATTCCAGAGGCCGTTTCTGAGGAGGGAGGGAAGGGGTTTTTTAAGTTTTGGTCGGCCGGCACTCGATGGGATACCAAAGTTGCCTCTTTGATTCCCGGCACTACCAACCCTGGTGGGAAACCTCGACCGGGAGCAGTACGGACACGCATATTCCTTCTCAACTTCGTTCTATTGTGGACTGTTGGCTTCTTCATCATGCCAAAGCATCTCCGTTGCCTCATGAGTTGGCCCTCAGGGTCGTCCAGCCAGCCTCAGTGAACCGCCACTGAAGTTGGCCAAAGTCGCTGCCTGAGATGAGCTTTTACTGGAGTTTCCCATTTTTATGAATATATCAGGAAGCATTTGTTATCGCTGGGTATGGCAAGATTCAAAATAGAGTCAAAAAAGAAAAGGATTGGCACGTTGTGTTGGACGACTACTATACATTATTAATAAACATTTCTCTCAAATATTCTAAGCCAAAGTCTAAAGCGTGATTAAACACTCGGGAGAATACTATGAAAGTTTCATAGGCACTGTCCCGCTGACTTAGTTAGCCGTGGAGGTGTGAGGTGGACAGAAGCCCGGTCACCAAACCAGGCAGCACCTTACACGACTATATGTAAGAGTCACACATATAACTGGTACCAATCAGGGTTATAAAAAATGAACCTTCTAGTGAAATCTTGAATCCGAATGATTGTTGGAGAATGGTTTGCTGATATGTATCGTCTATTCAGTATGGTTTCCGGAATATGTTTGCAAGAAACCCTCATATCTGCGTTTTCCACTGGTCAACGATGTTGAAATTGCATAGTGACAACCGTTGATTTGTTGACAGGGAGTTGCTCAACTCCTTCAAGTTCATCTATCGTCCAGCTTCCGTTCTCCCCATTCATTGCTGTTTGCAGAGTAACAAATTTCCGGTATCCCTTGAGCGGAAAAGGATATATGTACGTGTATCGTCCTTGCCCGGGACACGTGATGCTTTCCAAGCAACAAGCAAAGCAAGCAACACTCGACCGTACCGCGGTCCCAACCGAGCATATCAGAGCGTCCCTGTCTGTCTAAGCGGGTGGAATGTGTGTACTTCAAAGGGTCCGCTCGGATTGCCACGGTGAAAGCTTAATTTAAAGTCAACGGCGCCAAGGACATGCACTGGAAATCTTAAATGCGACGTGCGATTAGTTCTTGATTCGGAAAATGGTATATTCTTGATTATGCTCGGGTGCTCCATCCGGTGGCTCCCAAGTCGCGCTCCACGGACGCGAAGAGGCGCGTCTGCCTTACAGCCACTCACTCACTCAACCAGTCAAATTTCATAACCAAAGAACTCCTAGCAAAGGGCTACTGCAAAATCATTTCTAGCGATGCGGATGAGGATGGTTGTTGAACCCCAGTGTTGCCTCCCATGCTTGCATGATGCTCTACCCAGAGCTTTAGATATTTCCAAAAACACGGCATTATTCTATTTTCACATTACGACCCCCGGCCATGCGCCGTGAAACAGTACAACATTCATAATGAAAATGCTCAGACGTCGTCGACAGTCGCGCTGGGCTTCCATTCCGGCTCGACAGAAGCCTCGGGATCGGTCCAGTTGACGGGCTTGTGGATGCGGAGAAGGCGCAGGAAGTAGTCCTCGATGACCAGGAGGTTCAGGAGGACGCCGTTGCAGTTCCATGCGATGCCGCAGACGATGGCGCCGGCGACGGCGTCGAGGACGAAGTGGTTGGCGGTCGCGACGATGGCGGTCAGGATCAGAGCGGGATAGGACATGCCGGCGGCGACGATGGCGAAGCGCTTCCAGGGGCGCGAGCGGATCGAGGGCAGAGGGAGGGTGGCGACCGTCAGACCGATGAGGAGGGAGTAGCCGAAGTGGAGAGAAGGCATGGCAGCTGTTTGAACGGTTAGTTGTCTGCGTGAGATGGGGAACCCTGATAGTGACAAACCGTATTGGTTGCAGAACTTGTTGGTAGTCCATACACTGCTCTCGCCGTCCGCGCTGTGAACCGTGTCCACGAAACCAAAGCTCTTGGACTCTCCGGCATCGGGACCGTTGTAGTTGGGGTCGCTTAGCAGGCGAGGAGGCATGCAAGGCCACAAGGTGAAGACGACGAAGGCGAGGAGGTTGCAGGTAGCCATGGTTCGGCGACGAGCTTCGTAGAGTGCAGGACCGGCGGAGTTCCATCGGACGTTCTCGTTGCCACCGAGCTTCGCGGAGATGGCGCGGCGTCTGCGCGTTGTCGTGACGTAGTAAAGAATGACGAGGAAGAGGATGGTTCCGGGAATGTGGATGAATGAGTAGATGCGGTTGATCCAGTGCATGATGGTGGGCATCTGGAGGAAGTACTGCTGGACGGGCACCTCGATGAAGATGTGCAGGCGCTGTTCGAGGTGAATAAGCTGTAGGGCGTGCTTGCGGGCAACGTCAACAGTGCCCTCGTTCAAGGTCAGAGCCGTGAAGGCTCGGCCGACCTGGTAGACCTAAGACACGGCCATGTTAGTGGTGGTTTGATGAGTATGTGACGTTGTTTTCTTACCCAGTAAATAAGAGCCCAGTACCATGCCTCAACCAAGAAGGGGAATTTGCGGAGCACGCGGGAGAGAAGTCGGTCTTTGAAGACTCTTGTGTTTGGTGATGATACCAGGCGCTGATATCCGAAGAACTTGATCCGTCGCATTCGTCGTGGCGGCTCCTCTTGCGGAGTTAGTGTTGATGAAGAGCTCCATGCGCCGAGCGAGAGGAGCGACTCTTCAGAGTCGGGTGTGGAGTTGCCGGAGCGGCGCTCATCGGAGCGTTTGTGTTCGCCATCGTCGAATTCGGATCCTTTCCACCCCAGGTTGTCGTATGCGTTGCTGCTCCCGGTGTTGCGGTTGAACCAGGTTCCGCCGAAGAGGAGGGTGATGACCACCAACGGCTCTGCCACGGCACCGATACCCATATTTTCCTACGTTCGGAGAGGGTTGATGGTGGTGGTGGTGATTATGGGAAAGGCGAAAAGCTGATGACGGAAGAAACAGCCGACAGTATGGGGAACGTTGCGGTGATGAGTGAGCGAGAGAAAATGGAGACTTGGCTGCGTCGAGGTCCGCCGGCGCCGCTTCCTATATGAAGGGGGCGGGAGGCTCGGGAAGGGGATCTGTTGGTCTCCCGAGGCGGGCGGGTGGGATGGAAATCTGACAAAACCGATGTCCACCGTGCCGGGAGTGGTTCACGGAGGTCCAATAGTCGTCGAGGGGGGCTGCCTGCTTGTCGTTTTACGTGAGATTAAGATTGGTCCCGAATCCCAAGGAGGCGAACGACAAATTAGCTATGCGACGTGTGGTGTTCTGTATGCCTTATGCCACAAGGTCAATGAGTAGCTGATGGAGTAGGTAGTTGAGAAGATGTAAAGAAGAACCTGAGACCCGGGAGAGAAGAATTAGCACGACGCGGAGGTAAGGTATGTGGTCAGGTAAGCAGCCAACATGCATCACGCAGGCAGGTGTGAACTGGAAGCATGGATGAGATGGAGCATGGTAATAATACCATAATAGAACGTGGACATCGGCACAGTTTGCGCACAAGAGTCCAGGCTCGGCACAACCCACCAAGCTGGACCTTGCAAAAGGTTGCCCGACCGCGAAGAGAGTCCAGACAAGGTTCACTTCGACTTTGCATTGCGCAGGAAGATACATCTCGCGCCGTCTCTTTCGATTTCTTTCCTCCCACATATCCGCCCGCCGTCCACATCAGCGGGATCCGCAAGGCTTCCGTCCCTGGTCAATCTCTGCCTGGAGACTGGAGACATCTGGAAGAGAGAGGATCCAAAGCCGCGCACTCACTCGCACAAGGGGCCGGGCTGGTCGCGTGGGCTGGGCAGAAAATGCTCTGTGAGTGGCCCTATCGACGGTCCCATCAAGACGGAATCCCGAGCTTCGGCCAATTATGAGTTGGAGTTCTTGAATTTTTCTCTGGGGCGGACAAGCGTTATCCAAGCCATCCCTGACGTGGACGAATCGCCCGCCAAGTGCCGCGAGCGCCAAGGGTTACACCTCTCTCACTCTCACTCTGCGCGTACTTCGTACCGCAACATGGATGAATACTTACCGCAGCACGCAGAACGGGTGGCATTACTTGTTGCTGCGGGTTGGCGTGACTGTGAGCAACCGGGATCTGTACCAAAGAGCGTGGATGTGTTTCGCTCTGGGTGGCCAACGGGTGCTGGGATCTGCGGAACAGGACAGAAAGAACACGCAGAGAAGGGACGAAATGTCGCGTGCTCAATCGCAGTGGTTAGCGGACGGGTAGGTCTCGTTGGCAGGTCGCCGTTTGCCGCTCTGACGTGACGTACGAACAGAGCTTGTTCCCCGTCCTACCGCAAAAGCAACAAGATGGAGAACTTATAATTCGTCGTTCTTTTCGTGCTTCCAAGCCGAGGCCCGTTCGTTTCGCCTTTCCTCTCGGTCTCAGCCAAGTCGCTCGTTTCGGCATCGAGCTCTCGGCCAGAGACACTCTCGCAAAAGTGCTTATTCCCATCAGAGGCAACCCGACGTCTGGATAGGATACGCGGCTCTGTCACTGGACGCGCCAGCAATTCCAAGTGGGCACGAGGGATTCTGATGACGGCACGGCCTAGGGCAAAAGACAACCATGAGATGAGCGACACACACTTGTGCAGGGGTTTGTAGGGGGCTGTGTGGGGAGGAGTGCATCCGCGACATCCGAGAATCCGTCTTGTCGTTTTGGTCCGTTCGCCGTCCACTCTCCGCCGTTCCACCGCGTAATTTTTTTGGTCCAACGGCGGCGGGTGGAAAACGAAGAAGTAAAAGACAGAACATGCCAGTGGACTTTGGAGAGAGGGCAGAGTTTCTTCTGCAGCCTACCGCTCGCTGGACTCCAACTTTCCGCTCCGCCCCGTAACCCCTTTCTTCGTGTTGGAGACTCTGGAGTGTCGTCTCCGGCCCCGTCACACAAGCACGCGACCTGTGATTAGGGCTGTCGAGGAACCATGTGGCAGGTGAACGACATCGACATCCCAAGCTGGTCGGCGATGATGGGCCACTCTGTTGGATGAGGAGGTGGGTTACACTTGGTGATGGTTCGCCGACCTTCGTCGCTCCCACGGAGCGTCGGCGTGCTCAAACATGCCGCCGCCATACCTTCCTGGGGGAACAGAGAAAATCGAACACCGCCATTTAATTTGCGACTTCTGGCGACGGAGCTGATGGTGGGTGGTATGACTGCTGAGAGAGGGGCCGGGGCTGCCGCCCTTTCAATGCAAAGACTCGATGCGAAATGTCTTGGCATACATCACCACTTGGCGCGTTGACGGTCGAAACATTTTGCTCGGGCTATTCCACTTGGGTAGAGTCGTCCTAGAGCGCACTGCATTGCTGCTCTTGGTCCCGCAATGCGTCGGCCTCTTCGAGTCAGGGAAGTACAACACCACAGTTGTTGAGATGCTTTCGAGGAATGATTTCAGCAATATGAAGTATCTCTTGTGAGGTTTGAAAGAGACAGATGATACTGATGCGACGATGGGCGCTTATCATGTCACCTCCATGGCCACTAGTCTCTTTCTGGCGTACCCGCGTACTCTGATTCAGACCGTCATTTACGCGGTTATTATGCAACGCATACGGTCTTACCGCGTACTCTTCAAAAGAATGCTCGTTGCATTTCCCCGTGATCTACCCTGCCAGTCATTTCCGGAAGATACCGAAAATTCAACATAGTCAACGGCTTTGAGCTGTCGTCGGGCGATGTCCGTGCTGGCTTCTCTAGACCATCGGCGAAAACTTCGATCCCGGCCCGTGATTTCGGGCTAAGCAAGGAGTTAGTTGCGTAGCTCATTTAGAAATTTCAGGCGTGGGAAACTTCACTCGTCCGTTCCGGTGGCTCCGGGGTACCTCAGCCCTACTCCGACTCCTCCGCCGACTTGTGTCGGCATCGGTGACTTAAACTTTCCGCCCCTCGGCGCCGACTTGCTACTAATCCCTTTCCTCTTTCCGGCCTCGCGACGAGGTTATTTTTTGCTCAGGGGGCCGTTATCATAGTTCTCGGTGAACATACAGCCTGGGCCCGATCACATACTTATTCTCCCATCGTGAACGCGATCATTTCAGGACGACGTTTAGTCAGCGGACCCGGGCCGGTCTCCGGACCTACCGCTCCGCCGTTCGCACATCTCGTCGGCCGCATCGAGTTTATTTACTTAGCACAATGTGCTAGCCTCATCGTCCCGGAGACGGCCATGGCTCATACCCCGAGTTGACACGAGAACACTCCAAACCGCTCGCCTTATTTTAGACGCCTTTAATCAACATTGTCCCGATGTGTCACGTGAGGTAGGTATGGAATTATCACAATATTCGCGGAAACATATACGTAAGGGAGTTGAGCATTCGCCCGGCTATTATTAGAGGAAGAAAATTTGTTTTGAGGCACCACGGTGCTTAAATCAATCATGATTTTGAGTCCGTACGGCTTTTCGCCCAAGATGTATTGAGTGGTGAAGTATTTACATCTCAGCAGCTCAGCTAGGTACAATGATACGAGTTTATTTTTATTTTTTTCGTAGCTCGCGATATACTGACTTCGTCCACGTAGGTACGTTCGTCTCGCTGCGTCACCCTGTGAGCGCCTCAAGGTTAATCTTTTCTGACTAGAAGTGAACTGACTCCTATGCCAGAGTAGCTTACATATCTCGTGGTCGGATTCTTACCGACCAAATGTCCGAGTCCAGCTTCAGCTATGACCGATCAAGTCAGATCGTCTCTTCAAGTATTGCAGAACAGATGCAGCTGGCGGTTTACGGAAAGAATCTCTGCCATGTCGCATACAGAAGTTGGATCGGGTTTCGATTAAAATCAAGCAAGGCGGCTTATGACGGTTCAATTGCTTTCGTTGAGCGAGCCCTCCCACGCCGGCTAAGAGATTAACCCAGCGCACATCAAGTTACAGTTAACAGATGCATAGTTAAGTGCGACAACGGGGCGCTCAGCGGCGGCAGTAACATCTGCAAAAAGCTGACTCTATATCCATCTAGCCTTCGGATAATAGTAAAAGTACTTATAATAATACAATGATCGAATAGTAACATGTTGTGGTCCAACTTCGTTCCCATCCTCGTTGCCATCTTCCTTCCAACTTATTTCGCTACAGAGAAGGCAGCCTTCAAAGTCGCGATCTCACGTTCAACCATTTAGATCAGTGCAAGTCGCGCAGCTGCTGGTTATTCCCCTTCGATCCGAGCTGCCGCGTCTCAATCTGCGGGCAGTTCCGGGGAGCCGGCCAAGTCACGTTGTCGCTCTGCCACCCCCTGAGTCGCGAGAATCTGGACCACCAGTGACGCAGCATCCAGCCTTCCATATCTGTAAGAGCCGGCGGCATATCGAACCCGCCACTTCCAGGGCACATCACAAACTTCTCCGGGGCGTTTTCGGGAATCCACAGAATGGAGCAGATCGTTCGGTTCTTCGGCCGGGTGAAGTCATCGAGAAAGTCTGGAAAGCTGATCGAGTGTCCCTGTCAAGAATTCAAGGTCAGTCGCTCGGCTCGTCTGTACTGAAGCTGATTACTTCCGCAACTTACAAACTCATGCACCAGCATCGGCCAGTCTTTTCCTTGGCTTCCAATGGTCTCCCAGCCGTAGAGGCTGATGCTGACTCCCGCAGAGGACGCTGCTCCCATGTTGAATTCTCCCCATGACGGATCTAGGAGAAGAAATTGGTGGAAGCGACGCTCGGGACCACCAGGGCAGCCGCTGAAGTCACCGTCTGGGTGCAATTCGCGGGAACAGCCGGGGTTGCATGTCGGATAGCCCTGATCGTCGTTGAAGCCGGTATGAACGTCAATGCCGCCAGTCGACCCCTGAATCTGGAACTTGCTTCTGGCCGCCCATCCAACGACGTTGACGTTGACGCTCTCGAACGGAAAGTTGTCCCATCCCGGAAGCCAGCGCATCCACTCCTGAACGCTCTTCTTGTACACGGATTCGAAGAGTTGTCGCTCGGCTGCGGGCAGGGTCCTGTTGGCGCTCTCAGCCGCCCGTTTCGCCATTGTCGCAGCCATCTCTCATGATTCTACTATGTTGAATTGCCGCTTTGATTGGCATTAATAGTGTACATGATGGAGGTGTATAGATAGAGCCTGGAAGTAGGCCTCTATCATAAGTAGCCGTATCTAAAGTTATTGTAGGTATTGTTTACTGTTTGGGTATCAAGCAATCCTCTTGCGGGTGCAAATTAGAGCGGGTTAGAGAGCCGCCGGGAGCTAGACATACTTTTTGAAGCAGGCGCAGATCACAAACACCTTCCTCACCAAGCCGCCTTTGGATCTTCCTGATTGCTTCTAAGATTGATTGCTTGGCTTGCTGGGGCGCAACCTGAACCGGTACAGACATATTTTTTGTTTGATTATGAGCTGGTGACTTGTATGACAGCCATTATGTCCATTTTCAATCAAAGTATGTACACGAAAGCCTCCCCCCTGAAGTATACTTAAAGCCACTATAGACCGTGGTGTCATGATCATATCCAAACTGACTCTTGCCAAGGCCGCCGTATGTCATTAAGAAGTGCTAATTTCTCAATAGCGTCCACAGTATTGCCCTCTCTCTTCTTCATTTAAGATAGTCCCAAGCTTAGCAGCCCTGGCGGCCAAGAGCGCGAACAACGTCGATGCAGGCAGCACCGGTGTACAGGTTATCGGCCTGTCCCTCGGGGCACGAGCAGTTGGGGTCGATGAAGGCGGGGGTTCCCTGCCCGTTGACGAAGGAGTCGCCGCAGATGTTGGCGCAGCGGCCCTTCTGGTACTGGCACGAGATGGCGCCGCCGACGCAGATGCGCTTGCCGTTGGGGCCGACCTTTTGGGCTGCGACGCCTATGGCGATGAGGGTAATAGAGAGAATGGTGGAAAGCTGCATCTTGTCAGGAGGTGGTTTTGGCGAAAGAGAGAACGTGAGAGTTGTGAGGTGAGTCGGGGCGGGATATTATTGAAAGTAGGAGAATTGAGAACTTGTTGCTGACTGGAGGTTCAATACAAAAGACTCTCGGGCCGGCTTGCCGGCTTTATAGACATTCTACAACATAAGCACTTCTCAGAAATCTCACGATGGTAGATGCTGTTGGCTGTCACATCACATTGCTAGGTTCAGTACCGCATCGGGATATCGCACCCTGATGTCAACCAGGATCATAAAACGATACTCCCCGCAGTATAGATCCAGCGTAACCGTTTTCAGCCTCCGCGTATCGTCTATAGCAAGGTGCGGTCCGAATAAGGCACAACTTCGGTACCCGGAAGCCATACACGACTCAGTACCCTTTCCTATTTGTCGATACGGGGGAAGGTACAGTAGCCACGACCCCATTAGAAAGCTGTAAGCGACGAAGCCGCAGGCAGTACCCGCAGAAGCGAAATTGAAGGTAGTCAGAATATCGGACAAAGGGACCTCAATATTCAATGCACGTGGCGACAGGTGAGCATGTACATTGAATGATGTGTTCGTCTCCCCGCTTCTGATCGGGCAGCAGGGGGCGCCTTCGGAATGTTGCCGATGGCTAGGGCGTTTCTTTGCACGTGGGTGAGAGAGAGGCTGAACGGAAGATGGGATGGTTTATCTGAGTGTTGCCAGCCGGAGCAAGAATATTGGAGGGCGTCGTTGGGCATATTTTGTTTGCAGGACCATGGTAATATTATGTGTATGTGAACAAAAGCCGCTTGTAAAAATATGGATTAAAGTAAAAGTGGCCGTCGCCGTAAGGCATGACCGTCATTTCATGGCGTTAAAGCGAACATGGATCTTCCCTCCGTCTACGATAAGACGCCCAATATGTTAAAACCAGTCTGAGTCCAGGTCTCCCTGCAGTTTACGGGAGAGGTTCGTCGCTACAGGCAGGCACCTCTTTAAAATTAACCGTATTCACACATCAAGTGCTATTTCGAGAGTCTATAGGAGCCGGTCACATCATGAAGCTGCCAGTCTTCGTCTCACGGAGCCAGACTAAGTATGTCTCCCACCAGACGATTTTGGCCCCTTCCGCGTCTTTTCCGTATTGAATTTAGAGTTATTTTATGCCATAAGTCCAGAGGCCTCCTGAGCATACGATTGACAGACAGCCAGCCTTGACCGTCCCTGTGCCTCAAACCATCACACGTGGGCGCGCCCTCTAGAATTGAATTCAACATGACTCAAATGCAGCATGTTACGGGCCCAGAACTAGACAAAACGTGGTTAAATCCAAGTCGTTTTCTAGACGGCTTTCACATTCGATTATGAGCTGGAGACCTAGCGGGTTGGTTCCGCACCTAAGTGACTTATACGTGTTTGGGTGCCTCTGGGCCTTGGAGTCTAATCCAAGAGAGTAAAGGAACGCCAAGAATGTATTCAAGTCCGGGATTGTGACTCGTTAAGTCTAACGCCATGTCCGCTTTTACTCGCCTGGAACGTGGCTAAGCGACGAACAATAACATATTTGAGCCCTCATTGTTCAGTCAGAGTAGGTCAGTAAGGCGATAATCCCGACGAGTAGCATGTTTGAAGGCAGCATCGAAAAGGCGTCCTAAATTGGCAGCCACCTCGTTGGTGTAAAGAGCAAAGGGGTAAAGGAGAGTCATATTATGATAAGGATGGATCGTCATTGCGCGGGACAAAAGCTTCCGATGATAAACTCATATATGCATCGTTAAGAGTCATTAAGTACCCATAGTCCAGTCAACTTGCCTAGCTGTAAAGTGTGCCCCTCGCAGACATCCTCCTCCTCCGCAAATACATCCCTAGATGACCTTATTAAGTCTACGGCTAACAGAATTACACGTCGTGCAACACAATCTGACTTGATACCGACAATACGGCCTTGATAAAGCTAAGCAACACCATCAAATTTCAAAGAGTAGGGTTGAATCTATCTAAAAGGAGACACTTGTACGCGAGCGGTTCCATGGTCTCATCCACGCATACAAACCCAAACCCTAAGACGCCTCCATAACCACAAATCCCTCCAACTTCCCCTCCCCCATCCACCGATCCAACATCCTCCTGAAATCAATAATCCCCGTGCCCCAGACCAAATTCGACACCCCCATCCCCTCCTCCAACAACTTCGCGTTCCCGGTAAACCACCCGGGCGTACAAGCCCTCGACAGCGCCGTCCATCCCACGCGCTCCACCATCTGCCCAACATACCTCTCCTCCGCCTCCCTCGCGACCTCGATCACAACCTTCCCCGGATCCGCAGCCTCCCGGCTCGCCGTCGAGATGACATGCGCAACGACGTCCGCCGCGTTGACGTATACGGAGGTGATATTCGGCGACGTCCCGATATTCGAAAACGCCGCAAAGAACAAATTCGGGAACCCGCTCGTCGCGACCCCGAACAGCGAGCCCGCCTCGCTCCCGTTCCACTTCTCGCTCACGTCCCGCCCGCCCCGCCCCGTGAACCGCGCGCCCGTCTGGCCCGCCGGCGACCCGTCGCCCGCCGTCACGCTCCGGAACCCCGTCGCGAGGATCAGGAGGTCGAGCTCGATCTCCCGGCCGCCGGGGGCGAGCACGCCGCGCGAGGTGTACCCCTCGATCCCCCGCCCGTCCGTGTCGACGAGCTCGACGTTGGGGAGGTTGAAGGTGGAGAGGTAGGACTCGTGGAAGGCGGGACGCTTGCACCAGACACCGTACCACGGCTTCAGCCGCTCCGCGAGGTTCTTGTCGTGGACTTGTGTTTCGATGTGGTTGCGCACGCGCTCGGCGCGGGCGGTCGAGGTCGACTAGCTCGGCGAGGGCGTCCTCCTCCGACGCGGCGTAGGGTCTCGGTGAGCCGATGATGCCCGCGAAGGCGCGGCACTCGCTCCAGCCGTCGTTGCAGAGGTCCTTTTCCGGGGGATCGTTGGTGAGTTGACGGTTGAGGTTGTCCATACGCTCATACTGCCATCCTTTCTTGTTAGCGACCTCCTCCTTCCACGTCTTCACGTCCGTCTCCCGCTGGCCGCGCTCCGAGACGTATGTGGGCGTGCGCTGGAAGACGTAGAGTTTCTTCGCCCACTTCGCGACTTCAGGGATGACCTGGATCGCGGTGGCCCCGGTGCCAATGACCCCGACGACTTTATCCTTGAGCTTGACAAGATCAGGTCTCTCCTGCGAGCCGCCGGTGTAGGCGTAGTCCCAGCGCGCGGTGTGCATGAGGCGCTTGTTCCTGTTCTCACGGAAGTCCTCGAGCCCGGGGAGTTTCGGGAGGTGCGGGGAGACGAGGAAGCCGCCGGCGGAGAGGAGGTACTGGGCGCGGACGGTGAGGGGGAGGGGTGCTCTGCCGGGGCCTCTGTTTTGGCTCATGCAGACGACCCAGCGGCCTGCGTTGGCATCCCACTCCTGGGAGGTGACGGTGGTGCCGAACATGCCGCGGATGGCGAGGTTCGAGGCGATGGTCTCGAGGTGGGCGCGGATCTCGCTGCCGTGGGAGTACTTGTGCTTCGGGATGTAGCCGGTCTCCTCGAGCAAGGGGAGATAGACGTAGCCCTCGACGTCGCACATCGCGCCGGGGTACCGGTTCCAGTACCTGTGTCTCGGTCAGTCACTCATCTTTGTAAATGTGTTGAATCAACGCTGGCTACTCACCACGTCCCGCCAAAACCACCCGCCGTGTCGACAGCAACGAAGTCCCGAGCCTGAAATCCGGCCTTGATGAGGCGGTGGGCGAAGAGGAGACAGCTGATGCCGGCTCCTATGGCGAGGAACTTGACGTCGTCTCCGTCTTTCAGTGGTTGCCCCTTTTCCAAGTTGTCGTAGTCGATGAAGGGATCCACGGAAAGGTCCCGGAGCTCGCTGTTGTCGCGGAAGCTCGCGTACTCCTCGGCGCGGACGGCCCCGACACGCTTTACGCGCTCCGCAGCGTACTTCTTGAGGGTGGTTTCCAGGCTGGTCATGTTTTGCTGTTTGACGAATGAGAAAGATGACGTGCGTGAAACGATGAGAAGTTGAAGCGTGGTGTAGTCTTGCTGATCGAGGCTGCTAATGTCTGTGCCGCATCATCCCAAGTGTAATGTGCCGTTCGTCCTGTTTTATATCGTGATGTCGACACCCATCAGTAAGAACTCATCTTCATATCTGGCGGGGCCTCAGCATCCGACGGCCGGCCCGAGATATCACAACGGAGCTGCAAGCCCGGCGCCGACGATCGCGGCGAAAACCCATCGGAGAATGCCAAGAATGCTCTACGATGTGTCTAATCAACTCAAAGGCTTATTATGCCTGAACGTCTTCAAGTAAATCACTACGGCCTACGGTCTCCGCCTTTGCGTGCGGCGCGTCCGCAGCTACAAGATCCGGGACTCCGATGTGACATTGACAGCCCTTCGATTCCTCCGTCTCCGTCTCCGTCTCCGCCTCCGCTCCCGTTCCCGCGGCACAGGCCCGAACGTCCATGGAACTGTCTTTCCGCAAGTCGCTGCTGATGTGCCAGTTTCATGGTGCGTTACGATGCGTACAATACGACCTCCATATGTTTGCATGCGTAGAGACCACTCCTACGCCCCGGCCTTACCTAGATGAAGCAATTTAGCCTTAGAATGATCAAGAGCATATGTTATTATTTTCTATAGCACCTCATCCCATCTAATGCACTTGTAAAAGATAGAAGGAAATCAGGCGTTTGTAAACTTTCAGGGCTGAATCGTACGGCTGGAAATCGTCAAGCCTGACGGAGTACCAGAGCATCTCCATCGGCATAACAATCCTGGGCATTGACGAAGTAGCTCAACGACCCTATAACTAATACGGAATTCCGCGGCTGCCGCGTCTAGAGTAAGCAAAGTATCATCAACATCTTGCGGCGCTTACGATACCCAAAAGGGAAGTCCAGAGTCGCAACCCCCCTCCTAGTACAAACGTTGAAGTTACTGAATATCCTAGAAACACGTCTGCTCCGTGATCGGCCTTCCAAAGGCATTCTAAGTGTCGGCAGATGCAAGACGGCGCCCGGCAAGGAGTCCAGGTATGTCCCGATACATGCCCATGTGTAAACACTGCGAGTTCTGACATTTTCGCTCCGCGCGTATCACTTAGACATCACTCAGGGTAAACGACCTGGCCAGGGTGACGATGGGTATATCAGACTCCCGCACGCGCGGGAGAAGGAAATATTATTCACGAAGAGAACCAAACAAAAGACTGCATCTGCTGCGCTGTGGCAGGTGTGCAGATATGGGGGATCCTACAAATACATATCCAGAACACCGTCGCCCCCGGAAAAAGCCTCTCGTGCTTGTGAAATTCGCGAAAAAAAACACCCGGTTTATATCCTGAGCACCCCCCGCCCGATCCCGTTGGGGTCTCCGTCAACAAAGATGTACACATCCCATCCCATATCCCAAGTGGCACTGTGCGTTGTTACGACACCGGGTACTGCCACTCTCCAGTCGTTTTGTTCATGTAGCCCAGCTGCTCAGCGGCGGCCGTGAAGTCCTACTCCTCGTGCACACTGCCCATAGCCATGCCCTTGTTCGACTTCTTGCCCAGCTTCAGCATGCTCAGCCTCTTCCTAACGCTGCCTCGCTTGACGACGCCGGGCGCTTCTGCGGGACGCTCGTCTCTGTACTCGCGTTCCTTCTCCGTCAGGTTCGTGCCCAGATCCGAGCTCTGCCGTCCGCCAGAGTCCGTCACCCACTCACTCGTGACGTCGTTGCCGCCCAAGATACGTGGTTCGGTGGAAGGGGCACGGAAGAAGCTTCGGCGATTATTGTTGCTCTCCTGGGTCTTGCTGAAGCTGCGGCTCCTGCTGCTGACCGTGTCGTCCACTTCGCCATTTGTCTGATAATCGCCGTTGGTCTGTTGCTGCACGGGAGATTCCTTCTTACGACCCCCAAGGAAGCTAAGACGCGTGCCGCGACCTCGGACAGCGATGGGCGCGACCGTCGCGGCTTCTTCAGCGATTACACCATTGGTCATGACACCGGCGATGCTCTGTGGTTGAGGAGAGGCCTGCTCGGTGGATGGCTCGGATCGTCTCCACGTCGGAGAGGCTGTGGACGAGTCGCGAGATGGTTGTGGAGGTGCGAAGAGGGCGATCTCAGGCGCAAACGTGCTTTCGAAGTCTAGGAGAGTTAGATGAAGGTACCGCGGATCTTTCGGAGTTGGTGACTTACATTGCTGGAGTTCCTCTTGCCTGAGAGAGAGGATCTCATTCGAGCTTCGGGCGAAAGTTCCCAGGCACCGCCTGATCATGATGGCATGATCAACGAGGGCCATCTTGATGGCGTTGTCCTGAGGATCCAGCTCAACCTCTTCTTCCTCTTCGTCGTCCTCGCTGTCACTCTCACGGGGACTGGGAAGCAGTTGGCGGTAGCACGCAACACTGTTCTCGGAGTCTGGGTTGACTGAAATGCTAATAGCATCGAGGAGCAGTTGTGCGTTGTCTTCGTCACCATCGGCGATACGCTTCTCGATCATCGTCATCTCCTGCGTCTTCCTCACGATTCGTTCCAAACCAGTCTCGTGAGCGCTAAGTTTGATCTCCTCAACATTGACGATTTCGCTTCGGCGCAAGATTGTTGGGAACGGATCTGCCGTGGTGTAGACGATTTTCTCTGCGTAGTGTTCTTGGACAGGCCCAGATGTGCTGCGCTTGGAGGATACGGAGAAGCTCTGGGGGTGGGCGGACACGAGATAGTCGCGGATGACTTGAGGGACGCGAGCGCGCTGGAAGACGTGATGAGTGAGGTCGCGATGAGGGGTAATGGCGGAAATGACAAGGAACTGGCCTTCCACGTCGTCGACGTCGCCAGTGACGATCTGAGCAGAGGGATACTGCTCTTGCATGCGGTCCGTAAATGCAGAGGCACGTTCCGTCGGAGAACCCTCGTAGACGAACTCCTTGTCGCGTAAGCTGGGCGGGAAGCCAAGGCCCTTGTAGATGACCTTGAAGTATTTCGGCACCAGCTTGTCGCTCTTTGAGATGGTCTCGTAGATGGTGGCAATGGCGCGCTCTGTCCTTGCCAACTTGGCGAAGTCGAAAATGTTACTCTCGTATTGTACTCGCAGTTCCTGGTATGCCGTGAGGGCGCTGCTCCAGGCCTCGCCGTCCTCGAAGTGCTTGATCATGTCGAAGTAGATGCGCTCCTTGCGTTCGAAGTGTGTCTGGGCGGGGAATTCGGGATCGTCCAGTGCCGGAACCTGCTTGGTCGGGTCCCATTCGTACAGGTCGGCGTGAAGGCGCAAGGCCAGACCGGCTTCGCAGTGGTTCCTTGCCTCGGCTTGCAGAATCGCCAGCTGGTGGACATAGCGGATAAAGATCTCCTCCTTCTGCATGTCTCGCAGGAATTCCATCAGCCTGAGGCGGTTGATCAGGTGAGAGGATTCGCTTGTGATGTCGCCGCTGTGAACAGCCACGAGGAGGTCGAGGAATTCGTCGACGGTAGCCATGAGGTCACGAAGACCGGCGTACAGAGAATCGTCAGGAATGGTGGATAGAGGCGCAAACCTCTCGATGACCTCGTTGACGAAAAGCTTCTGGAGGATGCTTTCCGTCAAGGGCTTAGACTTGAAGTAGTGATCGAGGCAGTCGATCATCTCTGTCTGGATCACGGAGAGATCCTCGCTAAGGGTCCACTCGCTGACAATCATGGTCTGAAGCACCTCCACGGCCATCCGTCGAAGACCTTCGTGCACACTAAGACAAAGCTCGACGATCGGACCGACCAAGGTGGGGACGTATTGGACCTGATAACCGCCCATCTTGGACAGACCGTACCGTGCCCGCTCGTCGCTGCTCGTCTCCCAACCGATGGCCTCCCAGGTTCGCCTCAACAACTCAGCCCCGTGTTCCCTTACGTCACCAGCAATCTTCCAGACTGCCCTACGCTTCTGCTCGGGGAAGGTCTCCAGGGCTAGAGATGGGCTGCCGACGAGCTTAAGCATTGTCGTGAAGAACATCTTCCAGAGCTCGGTGTTGAAGTTTTCCGCCTCGTCGGGATGGGGCAAGAAGGACTCCAGCAGGATGCTGGACAGGTACTGCAGTGTCCTCATGGTGGACTTGTGGTGATAAATGTGTACGCTCAACCATTCGGGCGGGAAAGCCTCGCCCATCAATATGCTCATATGCACACGAAGGGTATTTTCTAGCAGTGCGGTCAGGTCGCCTTCGGTCAACTCTAGTTGCATGCCGCTTGGTGAATTAGAGATAGCAGAAAGGATGGCGGAAAGCTCGATTAAGGCCTCATCGAAAGTGCATTCCTCCGCGACAGGCTTCGAAGGAAAGGGGTATGACGTCGGAAAGAGAAGGGAAAGACGGTTGCGCGGCTTGATGTCGGTGGAAACTATAGACAAATAAGAATCGATGATCTTCGGGAGGTAGTCGGGAATCTCGGCGCCCAGGTTGTCAATCTGGCTGGCGAGGACGGAGCAGCAAAGTCGAACTTGGTCCTTCCACAGGTCGGTGACTTCTTCGTTGTGGCCCCAGTGCGGCGCGATCCAGCGGACGGTGTTGGCAGTAAGAGCCGCTTTCTGATCCGGGTGGGAGAACATGTCGAGCTTGGAATAGTTGATAACCAAAACAAGCTTGTACAATACCAGTTTGCCCTTGACATCAGCGCAAGAGTCGAGGAAGTCGATCGCGATGTGGAGAATCTCTTCGGTCGTCAACAGGCCGGTCAGTTCGGGCAGCCAGGTGTGGAAGTGCTGCACTGCAAGAGTCTGACTGCCAACGAGGACCGGGGCAGTATTACGCATCATGGCGTCGAGGGCCTTGAAGATGTTTCTTAGCTCCCGGGTGAAGCCAGGTGTAGAGCCCGAAGTCGTGATTCCCAGTCCGGCCTCCTTGGCCTTCTGCTGACCGCGAGCATGGGTAATGAACTTGAGAATGTGTCGAACAACCTTGATGGTAGACCGGAGCTTCCTCGACGACTCTGGCTCGGTGGGTTTCTCGAGCAAGCGAGTGAGCGACCGGACGAGGCAGGCAGTGGCGAAGGGATAGCTGAAGCGGTTCTCGGCGTACTGATCGACCAGAGGACCCAAGTTGAATCTCCGGTCGTGAACAATGCCCAGGACCCTGACCAAGGCAGTGAAGACAAGGTCTTCAAACTCGTCGTTACCAGAATGCTCGACAAGGAAACCAAAAAGAGCGTCGAGAACATCGCTGAGAAGCTTGACGACCTCGATCTCCGGCACGAAAATGAGGTGCTTCAGCAAAGTCTGGATTTCCTCCTTGGGGGTGTCCTTCCACTTGATCAGTCCCAGGACCACGCGATCCTGGGAGAATCTAGTGCTGCACAAATAGGTGTCTGCACGGAGAACCGCCAGAGGCCCGGTCACCTCTGCCGAATGCTCGTCATTCCCTCTAGCGCTCCACTGGAGTGAGAGGTAGCCTCCCTTTCCGGAGGGCCCTGCCTGGGCGGAAGAAGTGTATTCGTCCATCTTGTACAGCAGCAAAGCGTGGGGACCGTCTCGTACAAAGGCTTCCTGATTCCACAAGGGCATGTGGGCAACCGCGAAGGGGGCATTGGGGATCTCGGATAGGAACATGACGAGGTGCGACGTGAAGACGTCCTGCGGTGGAACGGCAAGTCGAACAATCTGACTCCAATGTTCCCCTCTGTCCACGGCTGTAGACTTCCATGTGGTCAGCCCTTCGGTGTTAGACGAAGAGAAGATGCAGTTGGGGATCTTTTCTCCGCTTGTTCTCCGCACTTCAAGTGTCACTTGCAGATTGTTGCCATGCACGCTGCTGGAGAGTGTAGTCGGGTTCCCTGCAAATCTAGAGAGGAGGTTCTGCTTCGACAAAACCGCTGTGTCCAGTGTGAAGTATATGTCGGATCTTGGTTTAGTAGGCGCACCAGAAAATCCCATCTTGTTGGTTTTGCGAATGCCGGATAGCAACGTCGGTGTCACCTTGACCAATGTTTCCACGTCGGGGTGGTTGAATGACTTGAGATGAACTTGGACTCGCTCGGCGCGGCGCGACTTTTCGTAGTGGCCACTCGGGCTGTCCATGAGATCCCGAATCAACATGTCCCAGTCCTCATGCAGGCCCTGCTTCTCTGTGGGGAGCGTGAGCGACGGCGACCAGACACTGACGACTTGCTCAACTTCCTCGTCCTGCTTCATGATGGCGTTCAGCTTCAACACGCCGATCCCGACCGTGCGCTCAGCCATGTGAAAACCTGTGCCAGCATCCATAGAGCCTCGAGGTCTTGACCCAGCCGTGCTAGGGGGGGCCGCGCTCTCTTGTCCGTCGTCTTGCGTTCCGGGACGGCCCTCCTGCTGCTCTGTCACGGAATCAAGTCGCGATGTCGCCCCTCCTCTTGAGAACGCCCGAGCCGTCTTCGATCCCCACATGAGACTTCTTCTAGAAGGCTTGTTGTTGCCAGCAGAGGGGGGCTTGGCGGGGTCTTTATGCGCACCGTTGCCTTGGGACTTGGCGCCGGACCGTGATTCGGGCTTTCCGCTGGCCACGACTTGCTGACTGGACCGTACCTTGACAACTAGGTACAGCTCTGTTTCCGCAGATGCGACGTCGCCAATGTCTTGCGAGGAAAGGTCGGAAAATATCGTCCTTGTTTGGCCAGACTTGGCCAGACTGCCTATTGTCCCGCCGGGCGGGATGTCGATGATGAAGCATTCGGAGAGGGCTGCCGCCTGGCCGCCAACCGGCTTGGCTACCAGATACACAACGAGAGAGGTCTCTTCGGCGGAAGCGCCAGCAAAGCCTCGAACGTCGACCAGAAGATGGTGGAGGGCTGTCGGCTCATTTGCTGGCTGCGGGGGCTCGTCGAGTACACTCATGACGGACTGCAACTTTGTGACTTCCACCACCGAATCGTCGCCTGTCAGAACGCGCCCTCGTTCCGTCGGGTCGCGAACAATGACCTCTCCTCCGCACAGCTTGTTCACGCGTACCAGGTCCCAGACCGTCTTTTCTCGCAGCTTGTCGTATTCGAATGTTGTGAGGACATTATGAAGGAATTGTTGCCTGCTGAGGTTGAGAGTGGTGATTAGTTGCGACAACTTGTCGAGGCGGCCATATTGCCGCGACAGCAGCAGACCATGGAGGTTGGTGGAGTGCCACTCGCGCAAGCAGCTGGCGATTTCGTCAATGAGAGGTTCGGCGGCTGATGTAGGCGTCTCGTCGCCGATTTTCAGCATAGGCACAGGCGCAGCAGGTCGAGGGGCGTCGGGGTCCCGCTTGACAGGTACGGAAAGGCGTCCTTGGGTGCCATTGGGGAGTTCCTTAAGAGGTTTGCGCTTGATCTCGTGCTTGGATCCTCGTGCGCTCTCGATGGACTTGTGGCCGTCTGCCGACTTCTTCTTCTCGGCTGCTGTTGGCGTTAGGCCGCTCTTGCCCGAGTCACTTCCGATGTGTACATCGCCGTTCGCCGCCGCGTCGTCGCTAGCGGCATCTTCACCGTCCTCTGTCTCATCTGACTCGCCGAGGACCTCGCGCACCTCGACGCAGCTCCTAGGGAAGATGCCGCTGAAAACACGAGCCTCGAGAGTCTGCCCCTTGACGGAGGTCAGTCCGGCCAGCAGACTGGGAGGTGCCACCAGGTAGCCGCGCAGCCAGTTGCCGTCGGGAGTTTCCTCGATTATGTAGAGCTCATCACCGATCTCGAGGGGGAGGTCGGCCGGGCCTGAGGCGGCGAAGGGGTAGGTCGCGACGGCGAAGGCGATTCGGGGAAGGGGCTGCCAGGGCATTGAAAGCTCGGGGGTCGACGTAGAGCGCAAGGCGTCGTCGATATCGAGGTCGAGGTCGAGGTCGGGAAGAGGATCGAAGGGGGATGGTCGGGTGTAGAGGCTGGTTGAGGAGGTCGTGAATCGGGTCGGATGCACCACGACCTGCGTCCGATTCGAGATGTTGCTCGCAGAGCACCCAACAAGCTGGCTGGGCTATCCGATGGTCTGGTCTCTTGAGGCTGTGGACCCTGGCAGGGCTGCGCGTGGTTGAGGTGGCCTCGTGGGGACGATCGGCTATCGATTCATCAGGGACAGGAGAGTAGCGGGCCGGGTCGAGAACGAGTGATGTACAGGCACAGCGCAAGTATGCGTCAGACACGCTGCACCGCAGACAGGTACAGGACAGGCAATGCGATAGGAGGCGCGAATTGTCGAAGTGACGAAGACGTGGGGGCTGGTTGTGAGGAACGCGGGAGAAGGTCGAAAAGAAGCCCGGCGTGGATCGACCGACGGTTGACGGGGGAAGGTTGGAAAATCACACTAGAAAGTCGTGTTTGTTTCCAGTGTTACAACCTAGGAATAGCAGCGCTGCTTGCTGGTTCGGTAGTGAGCGAATGGAGCAATGCCAATGGGGGTATCCGTATTTTTTCGCCTAGGGAATTTCGGCGGAGGAAAAAAGAGGAGGGCCGATGTGGGAAAAGCGGCAGACCAGGTTCAAGGGGCAGCCGGGGTTTGGGGATGAAAGGTGGAAGGGGAGGGGGGGTATCAACAATGGAAGAATCGGTAAGAAAGTGAGTGAGTGGAAGGAAAGTGAAGCGACAGTAGAGAGAACGTTTGGCGGTTCGCGATGGAGACCGTTGAAAGTGTCTAAAACACCCGTGTTGAGAAATTGGGGGAGGGATCTATCCGTAATGGCCTAGAATGGACCTAATGGAGGGGAATTCAAGACACGCAAAGAAAAAATTAATTACGAATAAAGGGGAAATCTCGAGGCATCAATCAAGACACTCACTCAACGGCCAAGTTGCTGTTTCCGTTTACTTGGGGGGGAAGGTGAAGAATTTCTGTCTCTGAGGACGGATTTGGGAGGATCGATGAACATCATTCGACGGATGGAAAGAGCAGCAGCCAGCAACGCGCAACGCGCAACAAGCAACAAGCAACCAGAGAAGGCGCCCGCCCAGACCAACAAAAGCAAGAGCCCCTGAAGCACACAGAAGCGATGCTGTATTGAGGCAAGCGCGGATTGGAGCGTGGTTTGTGGCAGGTGCGATGCAGGACCAGGAACAGCATGTGTGGTGTGCCGTGCCTGCCTCCTGGGAAGGTGTGCCTGCGACGGGCTGTGAGTGGTCAGCGGGGAAGAATTGAATTGGCCCGGGCTGAGACCTGGGCTGCGATACGACGTATGAGTGGTCGAAGACGACAGACAGTGGGGACCTGAGGACAGGGTACGCATGGGCCATCAATCAATCAGAGGGAATTGGGCAGGAACGATTGAAATAAATCGGCAGGATGAAAAAAAAGATTCAATTAAAAAAAGGCTGAGCGGCATCATCACCACTTTCCCAGAGGAGTGCACATACTCCATACTATTCATGCTATGATTACAATCTGAACTTTCTTATGTTGCTGTGCCTGACTGAGCAGACGCTGGAGTGAGTACGTATGCAGAGACGTTGGTTGACCCCCTTACTGATCTCGAGTAGCCATCCGTACGTACTTCTAGAACAATTGGACCAAGACACAACACAACACAAATGCTCCGGCCGCCAAACATGTCGCGTGTTTGTTTGCCTTCGATAGAGCCAAGCCCAAGATTAAAACTTCAGGTCAGACCGGCATCACGAATTGCGATCGCTGCAGCCGGGGTCGCATTGAGACAAACAGGCATCACCGCGTCTAAAACAGAACATTGTTGAAGTCCTTGACGCCAAAGCATGTTGTCGACAGCAGTGATCGCAGCAGGGTATGTCCCGTCCCGTCTCAAACCGGTCCATTCGAGGACGAACACCCGTCCTCGTGATGCCTGTAATCGCGTCCATGGGTGAGCGTCATGCAAGTGCAAGTGCAAGTGCCTGGACCTTTGGGCACTTGGACGTTGGACCCTGAACTTTTCGAAATAGGCTCTTGCTCTTCAGCCCAGCCCAGCGCGAAAAAAGAACGAAGCAAGAATAAAAACAATGTGCACAGACGGACTGGAGAAATAAGAATAGTCAGCATGTGATTCCAGCCAGAAGGTACAGCGTACAACAAAGCCAAAGCCCATCCGTTGGCCGCCCGTGTTGGAGGCGTTTGAAACCATCCTCCCGTAGTGTTCTTTGTGTCGTTGCCCGTTCAATGCCTCCACATGTGGTCGTTTGCCGCTGCAACTGCCTCAGCCGTTTGATGTTTTCTCTTGACCTCGTCATCATCAGAGTTTTCAAGTAAGCGTTTGTCTGCCCAGTCTATCGACTCGTAGCTTCCTTCTTCCCTTTGATAGCCATTGTGCTCTTTCCCAAATGGAGGAAGATGCCAGTCGACCTGAGGCTAAATCTCCAGACGGGTGGGTCCCCTCAGTGAACAAAAAGCTTGTGGTTGGCCCGGGCCCGTGTCAGTAAATGGTCCGCGCCCTCGCTAGCCCCGCGCTAGACCACGATAGGCACTCACTATTCTTTCCCTAGGGGATTATCGTCCCGGGGGACTTTCCTCCCGCGACCATCTCTCTTTCCATTGGAGACGATTTGAACTGGACTGTGCGACGGACTGCTTTTCAAGGCAAGTGCTATGTAGAAGCAACAACACCAAAGGCAGGAGCGATTGGTTGCCAGTTGCCAATTCAGATGATGGTCGTTCCTGCATTTTGCCCGTCGTGCAGCCGCTGCAGGCGCAGGCGAGACGGCCTCCTGCTGCCAGCTGCATCCGCCACTGCCACTGCCTCTGCCTCTGCCTTTGCCACTGCAAATGGTCGTCTCTAGTTCAGACGAACACCAGTATTTTGTGCATCTCCAGTTTTCCTCTCCTCCAAAATTGCTTCAATTCCAGCTCCCTCCGTTTCTTCGCCCACCTGAAAAGCACATCAAACTTGTTATTACTTTTCCCCTCTGCCCAGGGCCCCCACGCCTTGGCCCCCAGGTGTCATTTCGCACCCACCCAACGCAACGAATTTGCGTCTCCATCCACCACTTATTCTGAGACGCCGACATCTTCTCGTTCCCGTTCCCTCAAAAAATCCTACCTTGTTCAGCCGCCGACCCTCCGAAGATGCGCCCTTGACTCGACGCTCGGGCCTCGTTGAAGCGAAGCGCACAAGATGGCGATACCACCCGAGGGTCTCGGAATGCGTTTGTGCGCCTCCGAAACACACCAAAGCCGTTCGAGAAGCTTCAACTTTGGCCTCATGGAATCCCACAAACCTAGCCGACGACGTGCTGGAGGGCGTCTCGACTGTCGCTGATACACAAAGCCATCAGTTTTGGCACGCACTCGGCCGGCCTTATTCGGCGACATTTCTTATCGGCGGCGTCACGTCGTTCTCGCGTTCCGTGTGTTCGCCTTTTAATAGCTCCATCGACCTGATACTTCGACAGACGCCTCCAGGATTCCTGTCCCGGGAAGATGGAACATGCGGCCAGTGCACGAAACATTCCTTCGACCTTCGATTTGTTTGGCATTGCATGGTCCGATGAGCGATGAGGCTACACTACTGACGGCTAAACATTGCCCGCCTTCGACCACACCCATCTGCACTGCATCGATCGAGACTTTACTCCGGACACCGTTCTCGCCTCCGACCTGACCGGAGCGCCGAAATGACGCTGCCGCCGAACCCTACCCACCACAGCATCGCCGGTCGGAGTCATGATCAATGTTCGCCGCCCTCCAACAAACAAGTCTAGACCCTGTTCCCACTATCTGCTCGCTCTCGGACGTCTCCCCGCCCTTTAGCCTGTCATGAGCTTTCAACGCTGCATGAAGCGCGCAAGACCAGGCATTCCCTGTTCGACACAGAACTACCAGCGCTATTAACTTCGAATGCGGTTTGGCTGCCTGTACCCGCTGATTGCACAGCCCAAGCCGTCAAACGGCATATCCGATCAATTGAGGAAACATCGATGATTCGGGAGGAAAGCTCTGCCTGGAAAGAGTGTTGCTATTGACGACGAGGTCGACGAGCGCCCGTCTCGGTTCGTACCGAACACGTGGCGCTGTCGTGGCGCGAAATTCATTCTCGTGATTATCTACTTCCATTTCCCTATTGGGCATCGGAGGCGACCACCAACTAGGACTTTGTCGAACGATACACAATCAGCGCCATTCTCGTCGACTGATATTTGAGCCACTGGCCATGTCTGAGGAGTTCGGGCGACGCGTTGCCTCACATAGCAGCCACGAGCTTCCTCGGCGCAGCTACTGCAAGTCGGCCTGCACTTCCACTCATCCCAACTTCTGTTGATGGTGCGGACTTGGTGAAGCTTTGCCGGTTCCAATCTATTCCAGGAAAAGGAAGCGCTGCGGCATATCTCAGCATCTTGGAGTCTACCAGCCTCTGTTGGGGCACACCACACTTGGATGAATACACGCAAAGTCTCTTATGTCGACATGAGTAATGGGCAAACTCACGTCAAGACCACGTGTGATAATCGAATGAACTTCATGCCACGATGCTGGATCAGATGATGGCTTGGCAGCATCCTGGTGTGGCTTGTAGAGCTGTCCTAGACTTCCTACTACATCTACTTACGATCTTCACGAACTCGCCTTCTCATGCTAACTCGGCCTCGATAACACTCTCAACGGCGCGCGGGTGCCTCGATATACTGTTAATCTTGAACCCAGCCTCCCTCAACAATCGTCTCCAGTGCTCTTCCGTGCGTTCCAAGCCCGAGACGCAATTCATCAACTGCAAGTCTAACGTGGTCATCAAACTCGTCGCTCCCTTCGCAGGCAGCACAACCTCGTAAATCAATAACTTCGAGTAACCCCTTTTGAACGCAGCTTTCACATTTTCAAACATCCTCACACAGTCCGCATCAGGCCAGTCGTGCGGCACCGCGTGGAAGAAGTACGCTCGACTTCCGACTAGAGGCTGCGGCGTGAAGAAGTCATACGCAATCTTCTTCGCCCTGGTGTCCAGCTCTTCAGGGTTCTGCGCAACTACCTCCGGCGTATCCTGCACGAATAACACCCCGTCCGGCAGCTCCGGGTGTCGAGCCAGCAGCCTCGCCGTGTCCAGCCCGTGCATGCCACCGACATCCACAAACACGGGCGCCCCGCCGCTGACATCGGCTCCGGAGATCAGCTCCGTCGTGTCGTAGACATCGGTCCAGGGCATCTTATGGTTCCGCAGCGCCGTCATGAGCCCGATGAAACTGCTCCCTAGGCGCTCCGGATCCGTGGCACACGTCGCGAAGAAGTCTGCCCCGCCTGTCATGTCCGCGTAGTTGTCCAGCTTGGACTTGTCAAGAGGCTCTGAGTAGTCGTATCTGGCGAGGAAGCGAGGGAGGTTGACTCCTGCCGGGATGATGTGGTCGGTACTGCGAGCGTCAGCCAGTCATGTTCAACATCCTAGATGAGGATTAACTTTGTGATACTCACCCACATTGTATAATCTGGTCAGCGTGCGTCTTACTCTGTCCCATGGCGAGGGTATACGGCGTCAGTCTCCACGTATCGACGCCCGTCTCCTCGAGGACGTACAACGCAGCCATGTGTCTCAGGAACCGACCTAGCCACCTCGTGAGCTTCTATCTCACTTACATCGTTAATCCAGAGACATTAACAAACTCACGCAAGAGATTCTCCTCAACACCCGTCTTACACCACCCCAAAACCGTCCTCAACCCCTGCGGCGCCCCTCCGGACCTCTCGTGCTCCCCCGCCCACGCCTCCCACATCCCCAGGTCGAGCCCCATCTGCAGCCCGGCCACCAGCACGGGCGTCTCGAAGGCGAGGGCCCATCCGCGCTCGAAGGGCGTCTCGAGGCGCGCGAGGAGGCGACGGGCCGCCTCTTTCGCCTCGTAGCGCTCCGCGTCCGTAGCGAAGCTGGACGGCGTGATGGCGTCTAACTTGGCGATTGTCTCTCTGGATGTCGAGCGCATCTTGGGCCGATAGCAATTGGGCTACAGTAGTAAGTAGTGACAGGTTGATAATCAAAGGAATTTCGGAGGCGGGGTTGAGGGAGGTTCAGATGGAGAGAGTTTGGGTTGGGTGAGTTGCGATAGCCTCGTGCTTTTGCCAAGGGCAATAACGGCATGGGTTCCGGGTATGCGTTGGCATTGTTTTGATGAACTTGTATGCATCGGATGTTGATCACCTCGGACTTGTGCCTGTTGACGTCCAGATGGTCCGACGTTGGTATGCGAGGCATAAGCACAGCGTAGCAGGGGGGATCCACCTCGTCTGCATTGTACAGCACGGGAGATATCGTGTCTTGGGAGGTGATGAGCCAGATATTGGAAGTGGTAGATGGTATGACTTTTGATATTGCTTTTGTTCTCGTGCCGCGATGATGTCTCGCATACCTACAGGTGTGATGGGTAGAGGAGTACTCGATCGAGGGTGATCGCGGGTCTCGACTGGCCTGACAAAAGGACACCTTTTCCGCTGCCGCGTTGTCTCTTGTTCCAGGCCAAAGCTACCTTAGCCTTGGATCCATCGTAGCCTCGTACCACAAGCTCGTCCTGTCCCCTAATTCTCTTTCCCATCCGCCGCAATCCTGATCTTCACATCGCGAAGCCCCCTCACGTCGAAGACGTCCTCAAAAGTGGAAACACACACGCATCCTCTTCCCTCAGCACATCTACACTCCCATCACAGTTAGCCATCACTGCAAAATCAACTTCTAACGAAATAACGAACCTTCATTCACCCCTTTATAAGAACACTCCCTCCTCAGACACGGCCACGCGCTGCTCACGACCTTGGGCAGCTTCGAGCACAGACACGACGTCGAGTTGGAGACGGCGCAGGTGTCTGTGACAGTTCTCGGGGGTGCGAGGCATTGTTTTGAGAAATCCGGGGTTTGCTGTGCTGCCGGGCATGTGGATGCCAGGAGGGGCGTTGCGTTGGAGAGGCCTGCGAGGAGGAGGGTTGTGAACTTCATCTTCTCCGTCGGTGCTTCTTCGTATGGGTCTGTAGTAATAGTGAAGTAAACTCGTAGGTCGACTTGTGTTTGATAGTTGAATGGTAAGAAATATACTCTCATGGGATTCCGAGGGGGTTCTTAAGGGTAAAGTAGTCGATGCGGAGAAATTCTAGAATCTCGCCGTTGGGTGAGGTCGGTTCTTTGTTTGATGTGAGCTGTGATGGGTGGTATACTGGGGTAAGACACGACTAACCCCCGGACCGGCCGTGGCGATCCGGGCTGGGGGGCCCAGATGTCTTGGTGTTGGCCGGATCCGGGGGTGGGATGGGACTGGCTGGTCTAGATGCGTGGAAGATGCCGTGTGGGAAGAGCTGCAGCTTGAAGCTTGAAGGTTGTTCTCGATTGATGAGTTAGTAACTTAGCTTTGATATTCCAAGAGACTCATGTATTGTCTCATTTCTCTGCAGATAGCTATTCTTGTCGTGTCATTTCAAAGGTTTGTTTAGCAAGGGCTTTTGGGATCTGATCGTTAGCGAGATGTGGGCAAACCGGCTCGAGAGGGAGCGGAACTATGAGCGGGCGCATGTAGTGAGCCTTTTGAACGACCCTGATTGTATTATCGAGTGAATAATGCGATGTATGTCACACTAAATGAAGGGATCTCGAGACAGGGTCAAGTCAGCGGTCTTACAGCGTCGCAACTGAGGCGGATTTACCCCCGCAAGGCGAGCTAGAATCTCCGGCGGCGAATAGGCATTATGCCGTCTCCCGCGCGTATATTGACCTCGGGTAGATCCTTCAACTTTCTCACAACGACAAATACCCCAACATCACCAGTGATCACCATGACACTTCACGTATCACCGCAGCTTCCCATGCGAATCATAAGACGAGGCTTGACCTCTCACAGACCGTTGAGAAGAGGCCTCAACACATCACCCGCATCACATCAAAACCGCCGCCCCTCCCTCGCCATCCTCGACGACTACCTCAACACATCCGCGCCTCACTTCGCCCACATCCCACCCTCACAACTCCAAATCACAACCTTCAACGACACCATCGTCCCCGTCACCGACGCCGCGCAAGACCGCCTCGTCGAGCGCCTCCGCCCCTTCGACCTCATCTCCACCGTCCGCGAACGCACCGCCTTCCCGGGCACCCTGCTGCGCCGCCTCCCCAACCTGAAGATGCTCCTCGCCACCGGCACGCAGTTCGAGATGTTCGACCTCGCCGCGGCCCGCGAGCTGGGCATCCTCGTCGTCGCGGCCCCGGGGCTCGGACGCGGCGGCCAGCTGCGGCAGAGTATCAAGAAGGGGGCGTTCCATCCTACCACGCAGCACGCGTGGGCGTTGATTCTCGCGCTGGCGCGTAACGTGGCGGCTGATGATGCTGTGATGAAGGCCGGGGGGTGGCAGAGCGAGCTGGCTACGAATCTGTCTGGGAAGACGCTGGGTGTTGTCGGATTGGGCCGTTTGGGTGCTGCGGTTGCGCGCGTCGCGCACCTTGCGTGGGGCATGCGTGTGGTTTGCTGGAGCGAGAATTTGACGCAGCGGAGGGCTGATGAGATGGCTGTCTCCGTCGGGTTGTCTGTTGACGGCAGGGTTCAGGGCGGGAAGACTTTTGAGGCTGTGAGTAAGGAGGAGTTGTTTCGCGGCGCGGATGTTGTGAGTTTGCACTACGTTCTGAGTAACCGCTCGCGCGGCATCGTTGGCACCCGGGAGCTGGGGCAGATGAAGCCTTCTGCGTTGCTTGTTAATACGTCGCGGGGGCCGTTGATTGACCAGGAAGCTCTTGAGGATACACTGGAGCATGGTAAGATCCGAGGAGCTGCGTTGGATGTTTTCGATATTGAACCATTGCCGCTGAGTAGTCCGTGGAGGCGGGCTGGGTATTGGGGTCGAGATGGACGTTCTATTCTTCTCACGACGCCGCATATGGGATATGTTGAACGTGAGCTGATGAATAATTGGTACGGCGAGACAGCGGAAAATGTCGAGCGCTGGATTCAGGGGGGAGAGGTTCTTCACCGACTGGCTTGAATAACTTCCCAATCTTTCATCTAGTGGGCTGAAGAATTCATACCACTCACTATACAACGAAACCATGTGAACCTGTGGGCAAAAGCCCAAAAAGCCCGGGCTTGCCAAATACTAGAGGATGTTTATTTCATGGATCTCTATCTAACTGGTCCTTTGATTCTTAGTTTAGTCATGAGTCCAGGAGCTCTTCCTACCAGACTGACGTATGATTATATCGACCTCGAACCCGTGTGGCTTATTGTTCTTCGTGCCTGAAGCCTCAAAGCCTTGCCCTCACGTTATCGCCGACATCAATATCAGACGCCAAAGGGACGTTTGCCAACGCTCTTGGACCGCTGCTACCTTCCATCAAGACATTGTAAGCCGTCTCGTCCTCACTCATCTGCCTCCACCTCCACAGCTTTGATGGGATCTGCCCCTGACCTACTCCCTCAACCGCGTTTACAACCCAGTTGCCAATGTTGGGGAGATACTTGAACGCATGTCCGCTACCGCCTGTCGCCACCATCAGCGAGCGTTCGGTGCCGGGCACGTGGTCGATGACGAAGTGGTTATCGTAGCTATCCGTGTACCAGCAAACCCTCGTGAACGACACTTCAATGCCAGCCTCACCCAGCTCTGGAAGGTTCTCCGCCAGAAAAGCGCGGATGACTTTCAGAGCTTGCTGCGGGACCGTCTTCAATTTCTCACCGTCGCCGGAGGTTCCAGCAGAAGACCACCTCGTGACCGGCACACTGCGCTCCTTGCCGTCTGCCTGGGCGACGGGGTTGGTGTACTTCGTGCCGCGGTACCCAATTTTCAACCATCCATTCTCGTCCCTGGGGAAGCCGTAAAGCCCGCCCTCGGCGCCGTCGCGGACTTTATACGTGAACGTGGGGAAGTTCTCCGGCGCGAAACGGTCGAAGAGAGGAGATGAGCGGGGGATCTTGAGAAGGACGACGGATCCAGCCGTCGTTTCGCAGAGGCCGTCCATGGCGGGGAGGATGGAGGGAGTCCAGCCGCCGCAGGCGAGGATCGTCAGCTTCGCAGTATGCGTCTTGCCGTCGCGAGTCTTGATGCCGGCGATCTGCTTGCCTTCATACACCAAAGACTCCAGCGCCCCGGCCTCGGGGTCCAGGACGAACTTGACGCCTTGAGAAGCGGCTTTGTGCAGCGCGAAGCGGCAAGCTTTATCCGCGACGGCCATACCTCCCGTCGTATCGAGAACGCCGGCCGCGTTGAGGCCGCGCTTGAGTCGGCGGAACGGGTCCATGCCAAACGCGAAGCCTTTCGCGGCGGCTATTTTCTGGTGTGTGGGGGATATGGTGATGAGCTGGGTGTTCTTGTGTCCTGCGTTCTCCATGTTGTCGACAGTGTCCTGCTCGAACTGGGGCAGGGTTGCTGAGTCGGAGAGGGACAGGTTGCCGTTGTTGATGAAGACTCGATCTGAGGTCGTCATGCCTGGGGGTACTGTCTTGCCGGTGGCGAGTTCTTCGTTCCAGGCGTTCCATCCCTCCAATGCCTCTATCGTGAGACCTTGGTATTCTGTCTGGGAGCCGTAGGCTGAACGAATAATCTTGTTCATGTCTAGACTGTGTCAGTAACTTGCAAGATAGGGTGTTGGTGTAAAGCTGTTACGAACCTGCGGATGCGCCATCGCAGCCGTTGAAGTATGAGTATAGAGACTTGTGGTATGGTTGTTTGTCGAAGACAGTGACATTAGTGTATCCCCTACGAGAGAGGTGGACGGCCGTGCTGAGGCCGAAGATGCCTGCGCCAACGATGATGATAGCATCGTCTTTAGCAGGTGCTGGTACCATGTTTGAAATGATTATATGTTATTATGAGGGCCAGGTCAAAGTTGACGTCTCTCTGTTGCGCTGAAATGTCTCAATTCTTGTCTCTCAAGTTGACCGGCGTTCGTCCTGGAGCTTCTCATGAATAGGAAACGCGAAGAGAAGCCAACGGTTGATCTTAGCTACGGTTCAACTGGTTATTCGTAATCAACTGGGCAACAGGACGTTCGGAGCGTCGACGCAACGTCCAATGACATGCGAATCAATCTAATCAGAACGGCTTGGTCGGCCTCCGTCCATATGGCTCGATACTTCGGGTTCCGCCGTAGTACCGCGGCAACGTGGTCGGCGGAGTTGGGGGTCGCCGTAGACAAGTGGAAATGCGGGGAGAGACAGGGGATATCGAGTGGTTTGAATCCCAACAGGTTCGTCTTGAGAGGCGATGGAAACGAGTCAAGTCTTTGCAGTCAACGCTAGTGTAGGAGTATTGGAGTCAATCTCGGGGGTTTGCGATCAAGTGAACACTGAGAAGTTGAAGAAGTAGTCGTTCGTCTCATCATACTGTTAGACATACCTATGGTCAATCATGTACAGAAGTGGAGCTTCAATGCACCTTGTTATCTGTCCATCGTCACTATCAGAGATACCTCATCCTCTAACCTGCACTACCGGGCTGGTGCCGGGTCAGACCCACGTTTTCTCCCCGCTAACGCCGTCGAGGTCCGGTCCCGGCAGCTGATAACCTGCAACCCGCCCCTCATTTGAGATGGCCTGGTCACCCTTGCTCGGATTGTCCCGGATAAGGGTCCAGGGTCTCTCGTTGGCAAAGGGTCAAGTGATTCGGGTCAGAGAAGTGTCAATCCTGAGAGCACGGTTCACTGGGGAAGATTCCTATCTCCAAGGGGGCTTGGCTCACATTGCCAAGGGGTCGAACAGTAGTTTATGGAAGTATCCGCGGACCTCTTGTGTCTACCCCAGGTTTTCCAGCATGCATCTTCAAGGAACCTGACAGCTGGGACTCTTCGGTTGCGACGATGACTGGATGCAGGTCTTGATGGGGAACTAGGCCCATCTCTATTGTGTCTTGGCTCTGATAACGCCAACCTCTCTACTGGTGACTAGTAAGAGGAAAGGTGTTCCCCAGATTGTTGACCTGCATTATAGATATTCCCTGTCTCTCCTCTTACACTCATCTATATCGCAGCCTCGTGTTTGGCTGTGATTCTACGATTCACCTCGAAGTCGGCGGTTGGCCTTGCTTCTCGACAACCAAAACGAAGCCAATAGTATCACATCACCAGCCAACGATAGTCAAGACGACAACGTACTGTGACAATACAAATCGCCCAAGCTGTCATCATGGCTATCAAGGAGGTCTTCACCGATTCGACATTCGCCAAATACATCAAAGCCATCCGGGAGTCGCCTCGTGAGCTTATCTCTAACCGCAAGCTCCTTCTCACAGCTGCCCTCTATGCAACGAGCGGCATCCCCATTAGTGAGTTACGCTGAATGAGACCTTTCTTCAACTCGAAGGCAGTATCTAATTTCTATCTTCACAGCATGGGACCAAGGATCATCATCCGTAGTGCCCTCCCTCCCAGGTTTCCAGAAAGACTTCGGCATCACATCAGCCACCAACCCAACCCAGGTCTCCAACTTCATCTCGTTCGTATATATCGGTGCCGGCATAGGAGCGGCCCTATCTTTCTTCCTCAATGACCGGATCGGACGCATGTGGTCATACCGTCTTTATATGACAATATGGATCATAGGACAAATCATCGCCACCGTGTCATTCGGCAATCTCGGCGCCCTTTACACCGCCCGTATCGTTTCGGGCCTGGGAATCGGTGCCCTCACCGTCACAGGGCCTGTGAGCATCGTCGAGATTGCCCCCACTGAGATTCGTGGACTGTTGGCAGTGTGGTTCAGCGTGGCCATGCTGCTCTCCCTGACCGTCTCCGTCTTCATCGTCTACGCCAGCTTCGTCCACGTGGCAGTCGGCAGGATGCAGTATCAGCTCGTCTTCTTCTCGCCGACCATCGTCATGGCGATTCTGATCTTCCTCAGCTTCTTCCTGTACGAGAGCCCCCGCTGGCTGTTCATCGCCAGACGCGAGGACCAGGGCATCAGCAACTTGGTTGCCCTTCGAGGCCTCTTGGCCAGCCATCCCCGCGTGGCCCAGGAGATCGAAGACATCAAGTGTCAGATTGCCAAGGAGGAGGAGAAATTCGGACGTAATCCTGGTGTTTTGGTCCTGATGAAAGACGCGTTCCTGGTTCCGACGAATTTGCGCCGCGTCCAGCAGTGCGTTATTTCTTACGCACTCGCGCAGCTTTCCGGAGCAAACAGTGTCACCTCTTACCTCGTTCCCATTCTCGCCATGGTTGGTGTGAGCGGTGGAACTTCACGAAGTCTTTTCTTGAGCGGCATGTACAGCATGGCCAAGTTCTTCTTCACTCTCATTGCTAGCTTCTTCTTCATCGACGCGCTCGGCCGCCGTCGCAGCCTGTTTACGGGTATATCCATTCAGATGATCTCTGATCTATACCTTGGAGTCTTCATCAAGTTTCGGCAGGAGGGTCCAGTTGCCCCGGGCTCCAGTGAGGCGGCTATCGCAGCCGTCTTCATCCATGGATTCGGTTATGCCGTTGGTAAGTTTTCTGTCCGAGTTACTCGCAGACATGGACAACTAATGATATCTTTCCAGGTCTTCTTGTCCTTCCCTACGTGTTCGGTGCCGAGCTATGGCCCAACCATCTCCGCTCCTTCGGCAGCGCCTTTTCCCAATTCTTCCACTGGTTGTTCTTCTTTGGGGTGAACAAGGGCATGCCCTCGCTCCTGAAGCAGACCAACAACTGGGGTGCCTTCATCTTCTTCAGCGGATGGTGCTTCTTGTCTCTGGTCTACGTCTACTGCGTTGTCCCTGAGACTTCTCAGCAGAGCCTGGAACAGTTGGACGAGCTGTTCAAGGGCCCTTGGTGGAACGTCAATCGCAGGGCCAGGCAGATGAAGAAGGAGGCCCAAGAAGCCGTCCTTGACGCTCAAGAGTCCGTGTCAGTAACCTCGCTCTCACTTATCCCAGACAATGGGCTAACGAAGAATATTCAGCAGCGAGTCTGATTGCAATGTCAGCAAGGACAAGTCACAAACCGTGAGCCAGAAGGTCTGAGGCACTCGAACAGAAAGAATGCATGTACTGAACCAGCAATTCCTCCACGTTTTAAAGACTTGTATGTAGAGAAGAATATGAAAAGTGTGATGATGTTTTTTAGTCGACATTGATGTATGATAGTCAGGCGGGCTATCTGCTTGTGGGAATCCACAGGTGTTACTTAATGCCTTCTCTCTACAATTGCACGGCCTTGTGTTTCTTCTTTTAATAATACACAAGCTGCCATGTAGTTACCATTCGTGCCTTGAGTTTGAAAATACTTATTGATTCGGAAGAAGATGTGGTGTGCCTGGCATTTCCTCACTTGAACCAGCTCTTTTTCCGGACAAGTAGGCGTGGAAAGCAGCGACTCCCCGCCTGCTTCAGGGGAATTTTAGTTGTGTAAGAATGGCACTTTGTAGACGTGTCATTCGACGAGACGTTTGCACGCGTATGAATTCGGAAGATTCTTTTTGTCCATGCGATTTCATGGTGTTTGAATAGTGACATATTTATGCTTCTTGGTTCCCAAGCCCATGTAATTAAGAGTATTCGAGCAAAAGATTGACTCATTTCGCCAGCTTCTCTGTCTTCCTTGCCTGGATGTCGATGACCGGTGAGTTGGGCTTTCCCGTCTTGAACAGTGCCCTGATATTCTCGAAACACTCCCTCTCAGCCTTTTGGAAAGCCATATCCGTCAAACCTCCAAGATGAGGCTGCGCAATAACATTTTCGTGTTGCAGCAGAGAGAGATCGGGGTTGGGCTCATCGCAGAATACATCCAACCCTGCCCGCGCAACCTTGCCCGACTGGAGAGCGTCCTTCAGTGCTTGCTCGTTGATTACCGGCCCACGAGCAGTGTTCACAATGAACACGCCGTCCTTCATCGCCGCAAACTCGGCGGGTCCGATGAGTCCTGTCGTTTTGTCGTTCAGAGGGCAGTTGAGGGAGACGATATCGGACTTTCCGAGGAGGTCGTGCAGGGAGGGGCAGTATTCCGCGTTATACTTGGCCTCCTCCTCAGCAGGTAGTTGATGGCGGTTGTAGTACTTGATCTTGAGGTTGAATACGGCGGCCTTCTTCGCGAGGTACTGCAAGTGACAGTGTTAGCTCCTCCTCATCTGCAAATTTCTCTGCCGATAGATCTCACCTTTCCAATAGCTCCCATTCCGACAATACCAAGCGTCAAACCTGAAGGATCCCTTCCAGGCACAAGCCCAGGAGCAGTCCTCCATGTACCCGCGCGCGCACTCCTCTCCGCATTACTCGTGTTACGCAACACCGCCAGCGTCAAGAACATGGCCATATCGGCCGTCGCTTCAGCAACGGCATCGACCGTGTTGCAGAACCACATGTTCTCAGACGCCATCCATTCGACGTCGAACTCGTTGAAGCCCGCGCTGGCGGACGTGATGATCCTGCAGTTGGGCACGAGCGCGCTGAGCAGGCCCTCGTCAAAGGGCTCGTAGGGTGGTGTGCCCATGCGGATGATGAAGGCGTCGATGGGTCCGTCCTTCTTGATGGTCTCGGGCAGCATGGCTATTGTCTCGGCGCGGTTTGACGCTTCGAGAACCGAATAGTCGAATTCCGTCTTGAAGTCGGCGAGGTAGTCGTCGCCGACATACTTGGGAGTGCCGAGGCAGACGACGCGGGGCTTCTTGGAGCCTGTGTCGTCGATACGTGTAGGAGCCATTGTGAAAGACGTCTAGAGGATGAAGCTTTGTTGTAATTACAATTGGGAGACAGAGAGAATTACAATGAAAAGCTACCCAAAAGTCTATGACGCGGGGCAGATTTTGCAGGGTATCAGAGGGGAGGAAAAGCAGGCCGTAGCTTTGAAGAGCTTCAGAAATAAGTGCAAGAGAGTGTCGCAATTGTCCTGTTATTTCCCATCAGTGACAGACAGCTATCGCCTTCATCCCAGCAAACCGTCTTGTAATCCACTGTAATCCAGAATGCCCGGATTGTCCCCTCTGCTACTTCATTCCCCGCGGGAGGCCGAAGAACGGAGGTGTGGAGGAGGGTCGGATTCCCCCGAGCAAGGGTCGCCCCTAAGCAATTTTGGTAGCATTGAGCTCGGGATGAACCGAGTCTAATGACTTGGACCCTGGGAGGACAACGACTAAACAACTTTTTGTTACGTATGCAGCGCGGGGAAGTGTTTATTCAAGGCTGCTTACGAACTTCTTTTGTCTTCGTTTGGTAATTAGATCTGTTCCTGACATGGGTCGGGTCACGCGGTGTTGAGTCCACTTGTCCAGTCTTCTGGCATTACGAACTCTGCTGCAGTCCCCCAAACTAAGAGGAAGGAAGAAGGAAAACAACTGAATTTGACAACCAAGACAGTATTTCACACAATCAAAATCAATATGCTGGAGTCCGCAAATCAAGACGATCTCCCCCCGTTGGGGTTCATTGCCATCGACCTAGACATTCATCGGCCCCCTGGTGACCCTTATAATGAGCGAACGTGGCCATTTCCGTTGATCCGTGAAATGGCCGAAGGCTCGAAGGTGTCACAAGTCGTGAGTTCAGAAAAGTACGACTCTGCTTTTATCGACCGATTTGTCGATGCAGGTTTGCGACTAGCGGCCCGAGGATGCGTCGGCATCATCACCAGCTGCGGCTTCTTAGCCATGGCGCAAGCAGAGTCAGTGACAACCGTTCATTTACATGTGATTAAGTCTTGAGTGGCTAACATTTGCATTCAGTCTCGCCGCTAGATTGCCTATTCCCATTGCAACCTCTTCTTTGGTGCAATTACCCTCACTGCTGGCCTTGCTACCACCGACCAAGAGTGTTGGGGTTCTCACGTACGACGAATCCCGTCTGGGACCGCAACACCTGGCTACTTTTGTACCTCAGAGCTCCATAAATAGAGTTGTCATTCGAGGGGTGCCTGCTGGTGGCCACTTGCGCAATACGATAGGAAAAGGCGCCCCGTACATCCACGCTGACATTGAAGCGGAACTGGTGGCTACAGCTAAAGAACTTGTGGCAAGCCGGCCAGATATAGGTGCTTTGCTACTAGAATGCACGAACATGCCTCCCTTTTCAAAAGCCATTTACAATGCGCTTGGGAGAAAGATACCTGTTTATGACGTGTATACCATGGGAAGGTGGTTTTATTCGGGGCTTGTATCACAGACTCCGCCGGAATGGACGGAATAGAATACATTTTGGTTGAGGCTCATGCCTCCCGTCCCGGTGGTATGGAAAGCTTAAAAATCGGTTCCAATATCCCTTTGAAATATCATTGCGGTTATCTCAACTGTCTTGTATGATTCTTATTGTGCGAAGAACAATAATTGGATCTGCGTGATCAGACAAGATGAGCAAGAGAATAATGTCCCTCATAAGATGTCTGGTTCATTTCTTTCGCTTGCTTTTGATGCATTCTAGAAATATTACAACAAGAAATCGCCACCAGACTCCTTCTGAATAAGCTGGTACTCAGGGACAAACTGCATGTACATGACCTCCGGTGTGCCGGTTCCGTCCTTGGTGTACTGAGCTTCCTCATCGTCCACTATCGTCTTCTTCAGTCCGCTAGCAGCACCATTGCTTCCCGGGGCTATCGCCGCATCAATGAGGAGTTGAGACTGACAAGCACGCTCGAGAGCGATGAAGAATGCGGCAGCCTCGCCAATCGTCCCGCCACAGGTCAGCAGGCCGTGGTTCTGCAGAATGAGATTCTTGTTCGTGGGTCCGAGGTTATCTGCGATGCGCTGGCCCTCCTCCTTGGCAAGTACAACACCACCGAAGGATGGGTACACAGAGAGGTCGTTGTAGAACATGCAAGAGTCTGTTCGCATTGGTTATTCTCGAAGTTGCCTGTATGAGGACGGCCTGTCGGTGCTCACCTTGATTCAGCATCTCAATCGGCTTTCCGAAAGTACTCCACGCCCGACCGTAGGGGCTGTGCATGTGGCAGGCGGCGTTGATGTCCGGCCGTCTCTGGTGCAGGGCCGAATGAATCATGAAGCCGGCCGTGTTCACCGGCTTATCAGCGCCGCCCAGGCGGTTTCCATTCTCGTCGATGTGGACCATGTCCGACACCTTCAAGACGCCAAAGTGTACGCCATACGGGTTGATCCAGAAGGTATCTGGCCTCACGGGATCTTGATAGTTGTTAGCCTGTATTCTTCTCTTCCTGGGATTTGCTGTCTGGTCCGGACCGGGTGATAATACCTCTGAGACTGATATGTCCACTGCTACCATCCGAGAAGCCTAACTTGGCAAAGATGCGGAAAGCAGCAGCCATCTGCTCCAACTGCCACTTGCGGGCCGCCTCTTTGGACTCCGGCACTGGGATCTGATGGAGTCGCTTGACTTTGCCGCTCGCCGCATTGCCCGAGTCCAGTGCCGACGCCGGTGCGGGGGCGGGAGCGGAGACGGGTTCCGTTGCGCTGGGTGACATTATGGGTGCTGAGTTGGAGGACTCTTGAATGTCTATGTGAGTTGGGAGGCGGGTCTTCAGATCAACGTCCCTTGGATATCAAAGTCTAGGTCATTGCCCCACGATATCGACCTTCTTTTTGAATCCGCGAACATCAACTTCTGGGAGATTGATTACGTGACGTGACGGCGGATGGCGGTTTCTCCGCACTACTGCGGGAATCTCTTTACTAGAGAGGGCGGATATGCAATGTCGCCATCCCTCGGAAACCCCCGACTGAAGCGGCTAGAGACGGTGTCGACTTTGGACGACACACCCCCCTTCCGAAAGACCCATCCATGTTCGGATACGGGGAGGCCCCGCATGCTCGTTTGACCACACCACGTCTTGGTGCTTATCGGCAGCAACCGGTGAAGCTTGGAACCGGTCCCAGATGACCTCGGTGACGGCAGAAGTCGGCACGGATCAGGAAGGTTAGTGGTGCAATAGCCGCAGTCATGGAAATTCAATGGGTTGTCGACGTGGGCTCCAGTCGGCTTAAGGCTCGGGAACAACCAGAGCAGTCATGTGAAGCTCGTTGACACCTTCCGAAGCAATCTTCTGACTACGAATGCAGTCGAAACGATGGAATGGCTGTCGTCAGAGCGTTTCAAGCTTCTCTTACTAGATTATATAGTGACCGAGCGGCCGTCCGGGATGCGCAGACGCATTCCTTCTGAAGGACCAAGCTGAATACTGCCCCAGGCTTGTAAATACACCTCATTTCACAGAATCATATCATACTCTCCCAGCAATCCATTATCTGTATCTTATCATGTCAGCCAGTCTACTCTCCGCATCCCGATCCGTTCCTCCGGGAAGATCGGGGCCGGATGCCGGCTATGTCGATGCTGACACCCTCCGAACAACTTTCGCCCTCGCCATGTCGGCCATGTACAAAGCCGAAGTCCCTCTGTACGGCGATCTCATCCAAATCGTGCAAAAAGTCAATCAGGATGCTCAGGAAAAGAAAGCCCAGGGCCTCGAGGGCTCTGCGACCATGGATGCCAGCATCGAGCGTCTAAGTCTCGAGAGACACGGCGCAATCCGCCTCGGCACCCCGAAAGAACTGCACACCATCCGCCGCATCTTCGGTCTCATGGGAATGAGCGCCGTCGGCTACTATGATCTCTCGGTTGCCGGACTTCCGATGCACGCGACCTGCTTCCGCCCGACCTCGACCGAGTCTCTCGAGCGCAACCCCTTCCGCGTGTTTACGACACTCCTCCGTCCAGAGCTCCTCAAGTCCGGAACGGCACGGGCTGTGGCCTTGGACCTGCTGAGCAGACGCAACATCTTCAGCAATGCTCTTGTTGACCTCCTCGATCGCGCCGAGCACTCCCAAGACGGCCGTCTGACTCCAGAACAAGGTGAGCGTTTCGTCGTCGAGGCGCTCCGGACATTCAGCTGGCAGCCTCTGGCTGCAGCCACAAACGAAGAATATGCCCTGCTTCGTGAGGAGCATCCGATCTTGGCCGATATCGCGTGTTTCCGTTCATCTCACATCAATCACCTCACACCTCGAGCCCTGGACATCACCGCAGCCCAAGCAGCCATGCTAGCGGCGGGAATGGCAGTCAAAAGTCGTATTGAGGGCCCACCGCCGAGGAAATGTCCAGTCCTGCTGCGCCAAACAAGCTTCCTCGCTCTTCAAGAGGGCATCCGCTTTGCGGTATCCGGAAGAGACGAATTTGTCGACGGATTCCACAAAGCCAGGTTCGGAGAGATTGAGGAGAGAGGAGCGGCGGTGACACCAGCTGGTAGGAAGCTATATGACAATCTCCTCGACGAGACCATGTCCACCGCAAAATCGAGCGGCAGAGCATCTGATCCGGCTGCCATGGATGAGATTCTCAAGACAACGTTTGAGCAATACCCAGATGACTGGGACAGCCTTCGTCGTCGTGGCTTGGTATACTCTGAATACCGATGCAGGGATGACGCAATATCAAAACTCGGCAGGATCTCTGGTCTGGAAATCACTGAGGGCAACTCTCTTCTCGATCGTCTTGTTTCCGAAGGTGTGCTAGAGGCCCTTCCCATCACCTACGAAGACTTCTTGCCCTTTTCTGCGGCAGGGATTTTCCAGTCCAACCTGCAGTCAGGGAACTCGAGCAACTCAGCAATGCAGAAGGAAGAGGCGCCCAAACCAGACTTGGAGGGGTATGAGAAGGCTCTTCAATGTTCTGTCTTGGACGCGAACGATCTGTACGCACAAGCGGAGCGAAAGAGTCTGGAGAGGTGCGCGGAGGAGCTTGGATTGAGTTCGAAAGATATTGCTCGGTTCTTGTAAACACCCGGGATTGTGCAAAGTCTTGGGTATTATTCGTTCATCGTTTACAGGTAGCTCAGTATGGCTTTCCTGCTGCCCAATAATCACTTCATCTTCTGTGAGTAAGCAAAGACGATATAGGTTGAAGAGTATGGTTGGAACGTGAAGCAATGACAGATATAGCCCTGGTATTGTACTCGATGAATTCGCTAGAAATTCCCCATACCTTGGAGTAGGTTAAGTTGCTGTACCAGCCACTCAGACTCTTGCGGAATAGCCAGAGGGTCCAGATCGTTGATCCAGTCCTGCATCCCAGACGGGCTTGCGCCACCCATCGGTATCTGACTCTCCAAGTTCGGACCAGGTCCGATAGCTGGTAAAGACGTAGGACCGGGCTTGTGGCCATCGTTGCAGACCATGGTAATCGTCCGCTGAGATAACGTCTCGAAAATATCGCGGTAGGACGTTGCCAGATTCCACCTCTCGGCAATGATGATGAGAACAGTCGTGCAAGCCATGCACGTTGTCACAACGTCGGCCTGTCGAACCATGTCCCGCACGCGTTTCGAGCGCCACAGGCAATACAAATATGTGAGCCCGCCCAAGAAGAGTATATGTAGACTGCCCCATGTGAACTGGACAGAGGAACTCTGGTATACCCGGCGGTAAAGGAGGCACATCTCGCGGGCGCGCGTTGCACACTCTTCCAAGGCGCGTTCAGTCACCTCGGGATCGTTGTTGTTCACCTGACCACCACCCTCAGCAGGCCCAAGGGTACTGGGTAGACCCATCATATAGTGCCTGTAGAGCAGCAGAATGGAATGATCGTAGGCAATCTGGAACCACGAACTCGACGTAAAGACGGATAGAGGATGAGATCTGGAGTAATCGAGTTGGTCGGGCGTGCTGGCTCGCCATTCTTCCAACTCTTTGCGGAGGCTTTCCATCGTGGCCTTCTGTCCGCAATTGTTCCCGCAGCGACGGGCGGACGGGGGGTATAGGTTGTCGCTGATCTTGGTCCATAGACGGCGAAGTTGAATGGCGTGTATGAAGCCAGTCATGAGCGTTGGGGGGTCAGTGGAGCTTGGACGGGGATTTGACATGAGACCGGCGGATGTGATGTTCTCATCATCCATGTCTAAAGGTAGCTGACATTAAGTTAGACAATCTTCACAGAGCGGCGTGAGTGATCTATAATAGCTGTCTCACCTCGACATCGATAGAATCATCCGGAATGCCAACTGGCCGGCCAAGGGTGAAGGCCACTACCCTGTCGATGTCATAGGCGACCCAGAAGCATCTCTTGGACATCTCCTTCGTCAAGGTATCGGTATTCCTGTGATACCGTTCTGCGCTACGGTGATATCCAAGTTCAATGCAGTGGCGTATAGCCATGCCAGACACCTTCCTGCGAGGTAGACATTGTCAGCCTATGAGAGGGAAGACCACAGTAGATATCTCCGCAAGAGAAGCACAGGAAGCACGTACCATAAGCTTACTCCTACCGGCGACCTTATTGAGTACACAGCGCAAGACAAAATCGCCTGGATTGACTCGAGGCTGTCAAGGTCAAGCACCGCTGCAATATGGTCCAATGCCATCGAGTAATAAGCCTCTGCGGCATCATAGTGGCTTTGCCCCAGCACAAGAGATCCTATGGCGTAGACCTGCAAGAGCTGTGAGCAAACAGACCACCAGAAAGCAGCAGACCATGGATGGTTTACCATCAGCACGAAAAAGAGAGACACGTCGCTGACGCTACTCAGATCGCCTTCGAGACTTGCTTTCAAGCAGCTCTCTTCCCATATTTGAAACGTGGGCTTGTGAAGAAAGGGATACTGTGGGTGGATGTTGTTGAAATAAGCCTCCGACAAGTTGGCCCTCAGAGTTGGCGACGGGAGCCTCAAAGGGACCTCACGAGGAACCTCCGACCGGAGACCCTTCCCCCGGCCAGCATGACTGTGCTGTGAGCTTCCGCCTCCACTAGCCAAACCCATAGTCGCGCTCACGATCCGCGAGAAAGACACCGCAGACGACGGCCCGAAGTAGTGCGGCTCTCTCCCGGCCGCACTCAGACACAAAAGGGCAACCTCCGAGGACAGCATGTCGACATGATGGTCATCCGGATCGACGGACGGCGCTCGGAGGGCGCGTGAGAAGTCCATGTCTTCAAACGACGAGGGTTCGGGCAGGCCCTGAAATGCGGAGGGCATGTGCATGATGGGCATCGGCTGTGTCGCGGAGCCGGCGCCGGGCGGGCCCGCGTGCTCTCCGTCGCGGCCCTCGTTGGGACCGAAGTGATCAAGCGCGACCTCGGGCCGGACCTGCTGTAGAAGACCTTCGAGATAGGCTACGCGGGCTTCTAGCGACTTCATGTAATCCCGCGGACGATGCAAGCCGGTCCCGGGATCTTCAACCAGGCAGTCTTTACCGGGGGGGTGATCAATTGAGTGTCTTGATTTGAGCTTGTTCCAAGAGGCCTACCTCGTCCTGTTCTGACGCAGTTTTGGCATTTCGGACTTTGGCCGTCGCACTGATGAAGGTTAGGAAAGTCCGATTTCCACATTGAATCTTACCTTTAACTTCTTCTGCTTACAACCGATGCAGGCCAGCATAGTACGCTCGCCGAGACGGGGGCGTTTTGCCGTGTGGGTGCCGGCTCTCTGATTGCTCATTGTGAAGACCAGGAGTAGTGACAAGCTAGCAACGTAACGAACGTTCTGACGAGGAGATCTTCGCAGTGGAGCAAGTCAAAAAATCCCATGTCTTTGAATGTGAATTGATAGAATCAACAACTCGTGGAGCCGATATCGTCAATGCCGAATATGTGTCAGCGGAATTCAGTTGCTAGAGATAGGGGCGTGTGGTGATAGTGCCTCGCCGGCGGGCACACTGAAATGCAATCATCATGCGGAGACTGTGGAGAGGAACTGCTTCAGGGGGTGTAGCGCGTTCGGGACTTTCCCTCGCCAAGGATAACAGCTCTTGTTGCTTAAGTATCCCGTGTTAGTGCCCCCGGAATCCTGGAATGCCGGGATGCTGCGGCTGTGATCCCGGCCGGAATCGGAGCAACGGTGATCGTCTTTCTGCGTCACTGGCGCTGCACAACTCTTGGTCCTCACCGAGGTCAACTTCTCAGTAATCATGAGATCGCTTGAAATAATGTTGAATGACCGCAAATGGAGAAAGAAGCGAAGAAAGGACATGAATACAAATAACGGAGAGGGCGCAGTTCACTAGACGGGTGGCTTAACTTGTAGGCTTGAGGGGGCTGGCCAGAAGCTCTGTCAACGGTGGAGGGCAGAGCTCTCGACGCCCGCAATAATAGGAAATAAGAGGCAGATCTGTTTGCGGAAAACGGGAAAACGGCTCGCTTTTTCGGGGAATAGCTTAGTAGGGCATCGATCAGAGTCAGTTATGGGCGCATTTACGTAGTCAGGGTGGTTTCTTAATGACAGCGCGTGATCCACACAATGGAACCATTTCCTCGGGATCAGTGGGATCATGCATTGTCTAAAAGTGCGCATGCCATGTGAGGAAATGCCTTTTACAGATTTGACTGCTCCAGATTCTGCACGTCATCCGTTCCAGAATCGCGGCTACCGCGGCAGACACGGTGCTCAAGTGACACGATTCGTGCCCTGCTCTCCGATAATCACGGACGGGCTGGCTATTTAGCCGACAGACACATGTGAACAGGAGCAGGGGCATTGTAGTGAGATCTTTTGTCTTTAGTTGAGTTCTAGGAAGCATACAACAATATGTGATTGTTATGAAGCAAACGCACCAGTATGAATGATCGTAATGGAGGACCTGCAGACGCTAGGGACAGCTCAATCTATGTCGGTGTTGAGGTTATCTGATCGTTCCAACGGTAAGACGATCCTATTGGAATCTAGTCCAAGCACATACGAGCTTGCTAATTTCTGCCTTCAAGGAATGAACAGTAATACCCAAGCACCGACAAACCTTCCTAAGTGCATGGGAGAACCCACGGTTCATCTCACCGAGTCACCGCCGTTTCGCGGTGCGAGCCTCTCGCTATCCGGCTCTCCGTCGCCAGATCATAGTAAACGGCGCGACCGATCTGATTAACCGGTTTGACAGCTAGTTGGAGGAAAACCTCCGCAATGGAAAAGCCACGATTACGAAATAGCGCCAGCTAGTATCTAGCGTCCTCCTCATGCCTGCGATGGTGAGCGGGATCTAGTTTAGCGCTGAGAGTTGCGTCCCGGATATCTGGAATCGATGATCCGAGTCACCTCATCAAATCCAAAAACGAAGTCCGTTTTCGTCTGGATGAATGTCTTTGTACTCCCACCCAGCGTCAATGATGTCTCGGCTTTCCGGAGCGCGAGGAAAGAACCTGTACCGTACCTTTGGCTCGTGGATTGGTTAACAAGCTTTCCTTTCAACCACACAGAAATTCGGACGAAGGATAATGGGCTCACTCTCCGACTCTCACTAAACCTATCGCGTCAACACCCTCGGTGACCTCGACACTCGAGCCCTTCTAGAACAAAGTTTTGGGGTTTCATCTTGTCATCCCCCTCTCGCACAGAGTGGCGTATTCTAGAGAAAATGGTCGTTATTCCCCCCTCCCGATTTAGTGTGGGAAGGTGTGTCTTCTTCGTCCCAGATGGAATCGTTTTCGCACGTAACGCATCGAACGAGAGACCAACAACAACGTCGTGCGATGTCAAAACATCAACATCAATGACTTACTATCTGCGTCCGCACGCATGATGCACTTGCTGTACAAAGCATTAACCAGTGCGACGATACCTCCTCTCCCTCTTCCCCCGCGCGACTTCGCCGATTCCGCCGAGGATGGCGACTCACACAGCATCGGCGGCGTCATCATCGCCTCCGTCGTCCCGGCGACCGCCATCTCGACGATGTTCGCTCTATCGCGGTTGTTTGTGAGGGGATGGATTCAGAAGCGGGTTCACTTCGATGACGGAATCTTGCTTGCCGCGGTGGTATGGATCGCTGTCTGTGAGGACCAGGATGGTTTTGCTGAGTATCACAGGTTTCGGGATGGACGTCAACCGGAGCAACGCTCAAGGCGGTGTCAATCGGTCATGGGAGACACGTCGCGACGCTGTCGGATCCGCAGAAGGAGGCGATCCTGCATTGGACGATCATGTCATTCGCATTCGGCATCTTCGCGCTGGTCTTACCGAAGCTCGCCGTTGTCGCTCTGGTCAACCGCCTTCTTCAACCTAAGAAGGCCCAACGAATTTTCCTATGGGGACTTGTGGTCTTTTGTGTCATCGCTCTTCTCGGGAATGTATTGGGGCTTTACACGTCGTGTTCACCGGTACAGTCTGAGATGTCTTTCATGACAAAGGCATGCCTGGGCCCAGACATGGCCGTGGAATATTCAATATCAACAAGTGGTAGGTCAGGCATCAACATTCAGACACGAATCCAGACACTTACTCCAGCGTGAAGCAATATCTGCCGCGACAAACGCTTACATCGCGATTTACGTTGCGTTTTCGATTCGCAAATTGCACTTCGCAAGGAGGAAACGTATTGGACTGGTGGTATCCCTATCTCTTGGTGCTGTGTAAGTTGTCATGGACGTCTTCAACATTGTCGGCGAGCACATCACTGACTCTTACAAACAGAGCGCTGTTTACAGCAATTTTCAAATGCACGAGATTAAAATCTCTCGGCAGCCCTGACTTCACATATGATGCCGCAGATCTTGTCATATGGACAAGGTGAGTTCTTTCCGCAACACGTTCCTTGCGTATTATTGACCAACAACTCATAGTCTTGAAGCGGACGTGGTCATCATGGCCGTATGTGTACCAGCCATGCAACCTCTCATCGACTACCTTCTCCCACACCCAAGCGACGCCTCGAGCTCATCATCATCACATTCCCCACCAACATCACCAACATCCCTAACACCCCGAAAAAAGCTATGGAGCATCAGTCACGATCCCGAAGCAGCACGAAGCTGCGACACGGAGATCCAGATGCCCGAAATGATTATGGTCGAACGACAGTTCGAAATCAACGTAACGAAGAGTATCCACACGTGGACACCAGACACGAACCCATCAGCAGTAACGGAAGAAGAAAAGTTTCGAATAGTTAAGGACGAAGGGCCGGATGGAGTTGTAACGACAACAGTTGTCGTGATGTCGTCGGCGCCTGCGGATGTTACGAGATTCCCCCAAGCGTGAAGATACATACAGCCATATTACATCAAAATAATGAACATAATGATAGAAAAGTTTACTGGCAAATCCCAGAGGGTATTTGAGATCGAAAATACCGAGGCACATCGAAGGAGATGCTACATGCTTTGATCCGAAACGGTTCAGGAAATGCTATCTACACCCACTGGGACGGGCACGTCGGAACCGGGGAACGGTCCAAGTTCCACGGAACCGCGCTCCCTGTCAAGCCCCACAGTGGCTGTGGTCTTCGTGGCTCAGTCGGTAGAGCGTTGGTCTCATATTACGTCAATATGACCTTGTCTTTAGACAGGGACATCCAAAGGTCGAGAGTTCGAGCCTCTCCGAGGACATTTCTTTTGCCTGGATTGGTCACAATATCTCTTTCTTTTTGCCAATGTCCTTCACGGTAGAAGAGAACTCCACTGTGTGACTTGATGGCTGTCACCTGAGGGCAACACCCTCGGGTAACCCCATTCTCATCCTAAAAAAAACTCTTTAGTGAGTCGCTCTGAGAAAGTTTATCCTTCAAGTGCGCCTTGACCTACTGTTTTATTTCTCTTCATCGCGCAGGTTCAACCTTGAACGAAGGAAAGTAAGCCGATGGAAAATTAAGGGCAAAAACAATGCAGGCGCTAGGTACTCAGGGGTCACAGGGACTCGTTCGCCAATGCTACAGGGACATGAGTGACGTAAAATACCATGTGGCCAGACGGTGAACGACACGCTTAGCACTCCTCCCTTATGACTCGCGCCCTAAAACATACTTTGCTGTCTGGAAAGTAAGACAGTAATCACTGACAAGCCATCAACACCATGGCAAAGATGGTTTGGAGGCATTCGAAAGATCACGAAATATCTCTCAATATTTCGAGAAGCCGGATAAGTCGGGATGCGTGCTAAGCCTCGGTTACGTAGGGATGGGGCTGCAATGACCCTCCCGTACTGCTGCGGCCAAGATCAAGACTTCGCCATTCCACGTGTCATTTAACTGGAGCGGTCAACGCAGCGCGCGTCACGGTCGGGCGATTGATTTCCTTCTCCTCACAAAAGCGAAGATGAAGGCGTTTTTCGACAAGGCGAAGAAGAAGATCGAGGCCGAGATCGCGGCCATCACGGGCGACGATGACGAGCCCCGACCGGCGCCTCCGCCGCCCCAGAACCAGCCGTATCAGCAAGCTCCGCCGCCTCAGGGGTTCGAACGGGCCGTGTTTGCTCACTTCATGGTACGCATAACAGCTCAATCACCGTGGATAACACAATCTGATGATGCCTGTGTAGTTGAGTAACACGTGCGAATACACGGTGGACGAGTACAAGGTCGACATTGGCCTCGCTCAGGAGGCTCATATTGATGGGTTCGTGGTCAACTTTGGCATCCACGAGGAGGCAGTCGCCAAGCTCCCGGAGTTCTTCTTTGCAGCCGAGCAAACTGGGTTCAAGCTGCTGTTGTCCTTCGACTATGAAGGAGCCGGAGCATGGCCCAAAGAGAGGGTTATCGAGATGCTCAATCGGGTAAGTTGATCCTGGAGGACCGGTTTATAGATAACAGTTCCACGCCACGCGATAGGAAGTCGTTAACACCTGCTGTAGTTCGGCCCCTCTCCCGCTTACTTCAAGCGTGGCTGGCAACCCGTTGTCTCGACCTTCGAAGGCACTGGCAACGCGGCAGACTGGCACGACATCAAGGCGGCGACGGGCTGTTTCTTCATGCCCTCGTTCTCATCCATCGGAGCTCAAAACGCCATGAACACCGGCGTGACGGACGGCCTCTTCAGTTGGTCCGCATGGCCTGACGGCAACCGGCGAAAGATGGACCCCGGATTGGACGCTTCATACCGCCATTTCCTGGGAAACAAGCCATACATGGTGGCCGTGTCTCCTTGGTTCTACACCAATCTCCCGACCTGGAACAAGAACTGGGCATGGAAGAGTGACGATCTTTGGAACGATCGATGGAACGAGATTCTCCAGATGAGGCCGGAATACGTACAGATTGTGAGTTTCCCGCGGTTCCTCCTGGCGAAGCCCATTTACTGAATGGATCAGATCTCGTGGAACGATTTCGGAGAGTCCCACTACATTGGTCCTCTCCACGAGAAGCAGTTCGGCGCGTTCGAGTATGGAAAGGCGCCGTTCAACTACGTGCGAGACATGCCGCACGATGGCTGGCGGTTGCTCTTACCTTTCCTCATCGACCTCTACAAATACGGCCATGCCACGATCAACCGCGAAGGGCTAGTGACCTGGTACCGCATACATCCTGGCCACGCCGGTGACAGCGGAGGTACGACGGGTAACACCCCAAGCCACGGTCAGGAGCTGTTCCATCCGGCAGAGATCCTGGAGGATAAGGTCGTATACTCTGCGCTTCTCACAGGACCCGCCTCTGTGACGGTCAGCATCGGCGGAGTTCCTCAGGAAGGATCATGGGACGACGACGGGGTGCCCCAGGGTGGTGTTGGCGTCTATCACGGCAGCGTCCCTTACAACGGCAGGCTGGGTGAGGTGGTGGTGACTATTCACCGTGAAGGGAACGTCGTTGCGCAAGTTCAAGGGCGGCCCATCACGGAGGAGTGCACCGAGGGAATCAACAATTGGAATGCTTGGGTCGGAGGCGCTCATTCACCGATGGGAACCCATGCTGTTGCGCATCTTGGTTGAACGTAGTCGGATCATGGGCCCTACTTCTCACAACTACAAGATACTGGAATACAAAAATCAAATCACCAGCTATTGAATCTCAATGCCATGAATTCTTCAACTACGTAGCTGCATAATCACGAGGGATACCCTATTCGAAGTGCGACTCAAATTAAGTTCGCAATGCCAGGAGACACCTCGTCCAATTTCTCCAGCAGCTCATACCACAACTGCTGCTGAACTCTGGCACCCTCTTGACTCAGAACAAACTCCGAAGGCCTACAATCGCCGAGTCAGCTGCTGCGTCGACTTCGCATCCACGTCAAGCAGCTCGCAATGGCTGAGATACGCAGAACTAAGGAAGAAAGAATGTTCGACTTACTTGCCAACTTTGCCGTCGTCAAGATACTGGCCATGGGTCTCTTGAGCGCCTTCTGCGGCCAACACGAGCGTGCGGCTTGCTTCCTCCGGTGTTCTCCCGATTATCGCGAAGACCATTTTCAGAATCTTGCCGTGCAGCCAGGTTACATGCCTCGATATCTCGGTATCAGATACACCCGGGTTGAGCACAGAGACGATGACGTTGCCTGGCTTGTTGGATTCCGTGACCTTGTTGGCTAGCTCTCTCGCGAGCTGCAGGAGAATTAACTTCGAAATGTTGTATCTGAAAGTAGATAGTTAGCCTGGGATTCGTATGTGATGACGCGGTTGTCAGTGTGAAAGGAGTTACCTGTCAGCCATACGCGCCGTCTCTTCTACCGCCAGGGCCTCGAAAATGCGTTTGTTCTGACTGTCAACAAGGTCAACCTGGGAATGACCAAGAGAGCCAACAAAAGTGATGACAGAGTCCCTATCATGAGCCAAGGAGGTTTCCCTCATCTTGGGTAGAAGCAGCAATGTAAGAAGCACAGGACTGACAACATTGACTGTCATCATCATGTCGTCCTTTCCCGCGAGGATGAAGTCGTAGGTCATGACTCCGGCGTTGTTGATGAGTACATCGAGTCGTTCGAGGCCATTGACGCGGTTGGCAAACTCCTTAACACTCGCGTAAGAGGCGAGATCCAATTCCCACACCTCCACGACGCCCTTTCTCCCGGTTGACTCCTCGATCAAGGCAGTGGCTGCATGACCTTTTGAGAGGCTTCTGACAGCAAGAATGACCCTCGAAGCTTCAAGGCGCACTAGATGTTTTGCCGCTTCGAAACCCAGGCCAGTATTTGAGCCGGTTACGATGATAGTCTGGCCCGTAAACTTCTTGGTGGGCAATGGTACTTCGGTGAAGACCTGAGAATGAATGAATTGGATTATAGAAGACATTGTTGACGGGAAGGAGGTTATCGAACTTTGAATGTTTTGTAATAGACGTAGTCTTGATGGCGACGTAATGACAACGGGCGGTGGTTAGGTTGAAAGTCAAAATGATTTCGTTGCTGGATAGCTGACGAGTGGCTTCTCAAAGGCGACAAGATATATGTTATTATAGCACTTAAACGGTGTTATACGTTGTTGGGACTTGGCAATCATTATTTGATATGTTATTTAATTGTTTCCGGCTCCTAGTCCATCAGTAGAGGCGGGTTTCCGCCGAGCCGTAAGACTCAAGCCGACACCACCGGATCATTGCGCGTTCCATCAAATCGCTTGAAGCGTATCCCACGCCACTTGCCACCAGGTCGAAATAAGTACTCTCAAATCAACGGCTGCTTATCATGAAGATTGTTAGAAGAGAACTATGGCGCGATGTCGCGAGTCGTCGGGGCCGAAATCGAGGGGGGCTTTGTACATTACCTTGGCTGCTTGACACGTACGGTAGCTTTGCTCACCAGGCAATAGTCTTTGACAAGAATATAGACCATGAAAGTATCCGCGTCATAGAATCCGAAACATCGAAGCCATGGTGTGAATTCGGACTCAGTGGGTGATCTCGGCCCCGAGAACATAAGCGGGGGGACACGGTGCTGAGCCGACCGCCGCTTCCGCAGCAGCATCGGCGGAGTCCCGCCACGGCGCTCCGATGACCCACTGGGCACGCTTCGGCCTCGCCGCGCTGCAAAGAAAACATGCTCGACACTTGCAGGCAGTGGTCTAGAAACATTCTCTGTTCTTCTAGAATGATTCTTTTTCTCGCAGCAATTTCAAAGGACTGACTCTGTCACCTACGCATCAATGATAAGACCCTCAGATGGTCAGCCGTCACGGTCCTTTACCCCCGGCCCTCCTGTTCGACGCACGTGAAGTCTCCGAAAAGGCTCCGTGCAACGATGTATAACCACAAAAACGTGCGGCTTGAGCAGCAAAAAGGTCCTTCTATTGTCGCGACTTCATCTTCCTCCAGGTGGCCTGTCGTTCTCACCGCCGAGAAGTCAGTACTGCTCCAAGATGACCCCGGAATTCGATAATCATCCGCTCGAGCACTTTGACGCCGTGGCTCAGTCATACGAGAAGAGCACTGGAGGTTGCACCAGAGAGCTTGCAGAGAGATTTGTTCCTCTCCTCAACATCACCAGCGACTCCGTCGTCCTCGACAACGCCTGCGGTACAGGAATCGTCACCGATGTGCTTCTTCAAAAGTTCGGAGACAAGAAGTTGCCCGAAATCCACGCAGTTGATGGAGCCCCCAAAATGGTAGAGATTTCAGAAGCCAGATTTGTTTCCAACAACAGGGTCCGATCTGCCGTCATGCCTGGCGAAAACCTGGACTTTCCAGATTCAACTTTCACTCACTCTATCACCAACCTCGGTTTTCTCTTCTTCGACGACGCTTCCAAGGCCGCAGCTGAGGTGTGGAGGACCTTGAAACCCGGAGGTATCGCCGTGGTGACGAACTGGAAAGAGCTCGGCTATCTGCCTGTCCTCCGAAAGCTTCAACAAGAAATTCGCCCTGAGGAGGAACCATTCAACGTACCTATCGAGCCAGAGTGGTTCGAGCCGCATCATACCGAGAAGATTCTGAGATCTGCCGGTTTTCAAGATGTTGGTATCCAGGAAATGGTGGCACACTGGGGTGCTGAGAGTTTAGATGAGGTCTCTTCTTCTGTCGTTCAAATGTTTGGCCCTGCGGTGTTCAGAGACTGGAGCGACGGTGACAGGAAGAAGGCAATGGAGATGGTGCCTTCAATTTTGAAAGACACTGCCGTTTCGTTGACTAGGAACGGAACGGACTGCGTTGGAGTTGAGATGAAGGCTATCGTTGCTATTTGTAAGAAATAGCGTTCGGTGTCAAGGCTATAAAGATGGGCTCTGTCGTTCAAATAGGAGACTTTGAATTGATAACATTGAACTCAGTGCTGTAAAACCATTATTAAATCATACCACACATAACCATCCGTTTATATCTGATTTCGTGACCACCCACTCCATTCCTCCAGGTCATGGCTATCTCTCCTGTAAAGGCGTATCATGAGTACAGTTTGAGACCTCTTCCAATATGGGTTCAAGTATTCAAGACTCGCCTTTCACAGACGGGTAACCCGGGCTTTCAACCCTCCTTGGATACGCAACGTCAGACTCGGATTCATCAGGACCATGTCCTTTTCATCGACGACAGCCTCGAAACGGAACTTCGAGAGCACTTCCACGAGCAGGATCTTCATCTCCAACATAGAGAAAGCCTTGCCGATGCATGATCGTGGCCCAAGTAAGAAACTGGCCATCGCGTTCGGGTCCGCCGCTTGGCCAGTCAGGTTGTCCCATCGCTCGGGCTTGAACTCGTCCACATCTGGGCCCCAGATCGCTGGGTTCTGGTTCAAAATGGACGGCATACACATGATCATTGTGCCTTTCGGTATGAGGATCCCGCAGACTTCGACATCATGCATCGGCTCTCTCCCCGTCGCAATCCCTGGGTTGTACAGCCGGAGGCTTTCCTTCAAGACTTTGTCGAGGTAGGGGAGGCTTTCCAGATCCACGAAGTCCGGGTTTGGCTTGCGTTCAAGAAGATTCAATACGTCCGCACGTAGCCGGTCTTGGATATCCGTATGGAGTGTGAGCGCGTGAATTGTCCAGACCAAAGTGGTAGCGGAAGTCTCGTGCCCGGCGCCGAAGAGGTTGAGAACATTTTCAAATAATTTCTCTTCTGGCCATAGCTGGCCTGTGGCACGAGACTCCGATATCATGTGCGAAAGCAAATCCGGTTTTTCGACGTCCTTGGCCGATTCTTCGGAGAGCTCAGACATCCGCTGACGAATGATTTTCCTAATTTCGGAACGAATTCTTTCCCTCGCAGAATTGAATTTGCGGTTCTCCTTGAAGGGAATCAATCGAACAGCGGGAAAGAAACCCGAAATCAACATCAGTAGCTGCCCAAATGTCGACGGATCGAACACGTCCTGGTAAGAGTCGTGAAAGACTGAAGGCTTGAGCGTAATGGACATGTCGGTGCCAGTTGAATAATAGGCAATTACATCTAAAGTCACCCTCGACCACATTGAAGAGACTATCGTAAAAACCGTGTCAGCAATTCTCGTCACTCAGCATCTTTGCAGCGTTGGCTGCCTTATCAAAGATGAGATATCCTTACTATCAATGATCGCAGGTTGTTGTTCAGTAAGTTGGCTGAGATGTTGGTTAAGCTGCTTTGCCATGTACTGAATCATCGGAATGAGTCTTTTTATTTTGTTCAAAGAGAACGGTGCTGTGATCCTGTTAGCCCCGCGAACAGGATGGCCAACTGCGTAGAAAACTTACGAGAGAACAGCCTTCTGTCGGCACGATGCTCCTCGCCTTCAGTAAACACGATGCCGTTTCCCATGACAGGAGTTTGTATCCTTCTCGTGATTTCTGGCTTCATAAAGGCGTTCGCTTTCGATTGAAAAATCTCCTTCAACGCATCAAGTTGTGTCACTAGCAAAGTCTCTGCGTTTCCAAGGCTGATGAAACGGATGAAAGGTTCTGTAGGCCACTTTCGCATCCAGGACAAATATGGCTGCCTGGGGTCCCCTGTGCGAAACTGATTGATGGTTTGCCCAAGTAGAAAGTGATGATTCTGCAGATGCATCAGCAAATCACTGTTTAATTTCCACGCCTTTTGGCTTTGACATTGGATCAGTTAATAGACTTACCGTCGGACCAGGTACGCGTCTAAGAGGCGATACATGAAAGGGGAAAATGACCATGCGATAGATGGCAGAAAAGAGATACCATGCAGCTAGGCAGCCCAGTAGGCTCCGGGCAACGAATTGCACTTTGGTGTGATGAAGATACGGGAGCACAGCAGTGGCAGCAAGGGCCAGAGAGCCATACTGCCACTGGGAGCTTTTCGACTGCATGTCCGCGGCCACAAGGCACAATGAGAGCTTTGGGACGATGGTTTTGATCTTGGCGTGACCTTTTCTGGGGAAAAATGATACGTGGAACGTACAACTTATTGGGAAGGCTGCCCTCAGAAGAGAGAGGCAAGCTTCTCCCTGGCAAGTGCTAGAATGGCTGCTTTAAAGATTGCTGAGCCCAGAAGTGGATGTTGTGCAACACCACAAGCCGATGTCCTCGCAACCACTTGGCCCGGAAACACCTGCCTTATTCCCATGAACTTCGAACTTTGCATGACTTTCTGGCGTATGAGAAGCCTTTTTCTAACTATTACGACGTAGGTTGATTTGATGGCCACCAATACGCCACAAAACTAGCCTTTATTCAGCCCTCTGCGTGATAACCACATGTTTGACGAAGAGAGACAGCATCTAAGCGATTGGAGGTGATTGGTTGCCCACACTGCAAAGCACCCAGAAGGCTGGTCACACAGCATAATCAAGTTGCAAATCGCTCGAATCACTAATAAACACTGAACGCCATCGTTTACTTCCTTTGTCATCTTGCAGATCAGTGCTCCAACCATGATGCAATGGCAGTTGGTTTGGGTTAATGCCAAGAACACCTTTGCTTCGTACGTCACAGAGAGCAATGTTCTAGACTCAGAAGCCAGTCGTGCATCGGCCGACAGCATATGTTGGGTGTTATTTCTATCTGGTATTTGCTACTAGATGGATCAACAATGTTGATGTGGAGGCAGGCCCTCAGTGCTCGTCAGCCTATCTCGGTAAGTCTCCTCCGCGAAGGCCAAGAACCGGTCGACGTCCCGAGCGGTTGACATGAAGCCGAAAGAGATTCTGACCGCACCCACAGGGGGCATCATGCGCATGTAAGCATCCAAAGATGAGTTCCTCTGTACCTTACTCAGAGTCAGTAATGCGGCTTTATCCAATTCAAACGCGGCTTCTCCAGCCCCTGGGTTGCAGAAGCACCCCGTTCTCAAAGAAATCTTTCGCTCAGAAGACTCTCTTGCGACGAGTCTCTCGTCGACTAATTTTCCAGAAGTGTCGAGAAAGTTGAAACAAATTGTACTGCCTCGAGACACGGTGTTGGTTGGCCCGTATATTCTTGCAATAGGTGAACCGTCGCTGTGTTCGAGGTCTCGTAGCCGATCGAGGCACCACCCTGTTAGACACCTAACCCTCGTGTCAATCAAAAACATTCCGACATCATCCAACCAATCGAGGCCGTATTGAACGTCAGGTATCGAAAGGAAGTTGACAGTGCCGTCTTCAAAGCCTGCTTCGTCGGGTGCCATGGCGTGCCAAGGCACTCCAACAGTAGCTGCTGTGATCGTTCCACCTGAAAACCAAGGGCGTGAGGTGGCAAGGCGAGCCAATGCATCGCGTCGAACTATGAGACATCCAACGCCAGTAGGATATCCAAAGAGTTTGTACCAACTGACGATCAGAAACTCTGGTTTAATGCCAGTGTCAGAAAGATCCAGCCTCGATGTGGGCAAGTATGCAGCAGCGTCCAACAAGACATCGTACCCCTGCTCTTGTGCAATGCGAACCCATGAGAGCGGATGCCGAACGCCACTGAAATTGCTCTGTGCAGGGTAGGCGAACAAACCACTGCGCCGCGGGCGGGCCGAACCACATTGGAACAAACCTCCCCTGCGACGGCTCAGGGCCGACATGAGATCCGAGGGATCGACTCGGAGCTCAGGTGCTCGGACCGGGACGTAGACGGTCTTCGCGTGGCTTCGACGGGCGAACTCCCGCAGCCCGTTCACGGAGTTGTGATTATCCGACGTCAACACAAGGTTGGTCCGCCTCTTGAACGGGTATGCCTCTGCAACCAGCCGTGCGGCACCCGTCGCGTTCGCGGTGAAGATTGCGGTGTATTCTTTCGGGGACGCATTGAGATAGTCGAGGACTCGGGCCCTCGCGTCTTCCACGAGACGGGTAGCGGACTGGCTTGTGGGGTTCGTCGAGTGAGGGTTGCCGAAGAGTGTTTGCCCGAGCCGGGACTCATGTGCTCGGATCTGGGATTTTGCAGCCAGACCGGCACCGGTGAAGTCGAGATAAAGATGACCCTGTTCGTCGAGGTAGCCATACTCGGTAGCCCGCAGTTCGTCTAGCCGAGATGTTTGGCTGTACTCTGGATAGGAATCTAGGATACTCCCCATTTTCGTGAATTAAGAAGAGAAGGTTTCTTGAAGATGCTAGAGATCCAAGAGCCAAAACAAGATAGAGACAATATGGAACAATAAACCTCAAACGAGAACGTTAGTTACCGAGGTGACAGACCTCCGGAAAACATGAGGAATTGACGGTATTTGTGCGGCCCAGCATGCATACCAGCTCGAATCCTTCAACCGATCGTCCGAACGAATATGATGACTCCTTAGTATCCTGAGCTAGTGAATTATCCCTACTGCACGACTTTACCGCCCTGGAGGGTTGCATTGTAGTACAGCCCGGGTCCTTGGGTTCCGACGACGTCTGGAACAAATTATCCTGTCCTATTGTTAGACACCGCTATCAGGTGATGGATTTGACTCAGGTACACAAGAAGCATTCCTTTAGTCATTAGGTACACCTATTACATGTGCGTTCTTGTGTTGTTCGATACTAATACGAATCTGGGTACTTGTCACATGGGTATAGATAGATATGTGTGTGTGAACCTTCGTGATGTAGCTCTTGCTGCCAAGGACAAGACTCTTGCTTGTCAAGTTCTGAACTGCATAATCACACAGAGAGAGGCCTATCTATGGAGACCAAGGTCTTGATATGGGGGCCAGTACCACGATGGTGGAGCTGAGACTTCATTTTAGGCTACAAAGTGACAGCTCGTCGCGAAGGATTGAGGGTATAGCCGCCATCCCCGCGCGGGAGATGACGAGCTGGACAACGTAGATCCATACATGTATCAAGGAGGGCTGGCGAAGGGGAAGAAGGAGACCCTCGGGCCCGGCTTAGCGCAGTAGATGATATGCAAGGGAGACTTCCACGGCCAGGCATACCAGTATGAGATGGTGTCTTCAATCGCTCTGCAGCATCACTGGAGTGGCCCTCCATTGGGGCTTCACCTATCAGGATTGGGGCGCGGCTTGCGAGGCTGCAGTATGCTTAATACAGCATCAAGGATGCGCGTAGATCAAGACATTCGGGACCGAGTGGTCAAAAGGATCCCGAAGATTATATACTAAGAAACATGACGAAAATATTCCGAGTGAAAACTGCGAGTCTAGGCTGCTGAAATTGTCATTGTGCCGCTTCATTTGAGGGGGTGAAAAGAGGAACAGCTGGCATGCATCTGACTTTCCCTACCTGCATCGTGAGCCCATTTGGCTGCATTTGCTGCGGGCCAACCCTAGACACTATTGTATGCGAGCTCAGGAAACCGAGCGGAGCGATTCCGGTTTCCTCAGATAGCGCCCAACATGTAAGCATCTCGTAACAGACATCGCATCGCCTATTGGTCTCTGTGCCTTTTTCTCCATTCAACTCTTTATCCCACAAATCCAGCTGCATCTTACGAAGGCGAGAGGCATGAAGATGGTGTGTAAGACGCACACACGCACGCCTACAGATGATGCCTGCTTGGGGGCCGCATAGGTCTGGACGCAAGTCGCTTGATTCAAGATTTTGATTGGATGCCGCGGAATCCATTACACCACGCCTTTCTTGACTGGAATAAATCTGCTTCGCCCCAAGTATCTCGCTCCAAGTGGTACCGAAGTACAGCTGACAGTTCAACTAGATCGGTAACTACGAACCAAATGAGAGAGTTCAGCTGAGGCACAGCAGAACGATGTCACGTAAAACCCTTGCTGATGGGTCCTGACAACTGATTGGCGCCGATTCGAGGACTACTGCTGACGATCGCAGCATTGGCATATCCATATGTCGTGAAGGCATCGAATTCGCTGTTGCTGCGTGAGCTGTGCTTGTGAGACATGCAGCTAGCCACCTCACGAGATGTGTGATACAGCAGCTCGGAGCTCCGAGTCCTGTGCAACCGTGGCACAGGCTGGATAATCTTACACAGCTTGTACACAAAATATACGTAAATCGGGATTTAATTTCTGAGCGCCACACCTAGTCTCGTAGAGTCAACTCCGATTCTACATTACATCCCAATGATCGGGAAGCTAAACGAAGGGGCTGGGGGACGGGACGTGGACGGACCGTAGACGGGTTGAAGGCCACGTCAACTAATGTGTCGTTCGGCGATGCCTTCGTATGGCGACCGGTAGCCATCCAGAAAATTCAAGATCCAAGATGGCTCGGACCACGTGGAAGCTGGAGACTTGTAGTAAAGATCTTTTTGAACGGGCTGGACGTGCCCTGAAGCTAAAGTGCATGCGTGCAGACTACGTACGTCCGTAAGATATCGATTCTTCAATTTCATGTGGCAACCAGATGCTGCAAGATTTCGGATGTAATTCTTCCTCGACAAATTGCATTGAATCTTATTCTCACTACATTGACTTCCACTATGCCTTTCCTAGGTTCTCAGGTGCCTCCGTGGCAGGACCCTCGGGGGTCACGTATGCCTTGGTCAACCCACCATCGACGACAAGATCGTGCGCGTTGACAAAACTGCTCTCGTCGCTAGCAAGGAAAACCGCAGCATGGGCTTGTTCAATAGCCTCGCCGAAGCGGCCTGTCGGGAAATGGACTTCTCTTCTGAAGCGCTTGGCCTTGTCATCCCCCAAAAAGTCCTGAAGCATGGGGGTGCTGCATAATGTTAGCTCGTGCAGATCACACTAACACGCAGAGCCATCTTGGTCGGAAGACTTACTTCAATGGCGCTGGGCAGATGGTATTGAAGCGATAGCCTAATAGAAACAGTATTAGCTTGTTTCACCCAAAGGCACCAGCTAGATGGTGGAACTTACCCTCTCTAGCATGGACAATGGCCATCTCTCGGGTGAAGGCCATGACTGCACCTTTGCTAGCAGTATAGGCAACTTGAGGAGTCGCTGATCCCACGATGGAAACCATACTAGCGGTGTTGATGATGCTGCCTTTCGTCTTACCATGCTTGCGCAACGATCGCACAGCATACTTGCTGCCGTACCAGACGCCCTTCACGTTGATATCAAAAGTCTTATCCCAGATATTGACCGGACACTCTTCCGCATCACCATCGCGTGGGTGCATGATGCCTGCGTTGTTGAAGATGACATCCAACCCACCCCAGCTGTCTAGGTGAGCAATAGCCTGCTCGACTTCAGACTCATTCGAAACGTCCACAAGGCGAGCTTCCAACCGCCCAGAAACGCTTCCTACAACCTCCTTAACGCGCTTCAGAGCCCTTTCAAGAACAGGCTGGTTGATGTCGGTCATGAGAATCGAAGCTCCCTCCCTCAGCATGAGAATGGAGGCTTCAAGACCAATGCCACTGTAGCGTTGCTGTTAACACTTCGTTCGCCAAAGGAAAAGCTTGAAAGAGTTATAAGCTACATACCCAGCGGCACCGGTGATGACGATGTTCTTTCCTTCCAGTCTTCCGGGCATGATGATGATCGCGAGATATAGCCTTTCTTGTGGAAGCTTGAAGATGCGTGACTGGTTCAATGGCTTTTTTCGGCAATGTCTTTGAGAGATCCGAGTTCAATTTGATAAGCAAAACTGAGATATACAAGATTCAAAACTTCAATTCCGAGAGTAGGTTCTTATGCATGAGATAAGAATGGATCTTCACTTTAAGGTAGCCTGCTGTACGTCCGATGATACATTTCAAGGAGCGCCAACCGCAATAAAGTCTGGTTTGATCTCAGTCCTAGGAGTCTGGCCTCCACATCCCCCGCCTCCCACCCTGTCTGCGCGGGTATTTTGTTATCCATGAATTTGGCTTCATTTTTGCAGGTGTCGTGTTTGCAGGACTAGGGTTCTCTGAGTTCCGGGGCCGGGGGTTCGTCAGACCGCGATCTCGTTGGCGGCTGAAGACACAGGAGACCGCGGTCTCGGCCGCGCGGAACGGAAGCGCCCGAATCGGTCTGATCGGCTCGGGTCGCGTGTACATCCATTCAGTATGACCGCCATTGCACAAGATGCGATGCGACATTGCTGACTAGGTATACTATCTGGTATCCATGTTCGTTATTACATGCGTGACAACATCATGTGTTAGATAGGCGTCTAAGAACGGCTAATCATATTTTACAAATTTTCGGATTTCTGTAAGAGTGCTTGCTTTCGTGGCTCTTGTTAAAGATGTCGGCATGGCAAAATTCACTAGCAAAGCTGTCTTCACAGACGCTTAGTATCAATATTCACTGGCTTCAATTGTTCATCTGAGGACGGTTATAACATAGTCACTCAGCATTTGTTTTTGGTTGTTTTCTTGCGCTAGTCTATGCTCAATTCACATATGTGGCCCTTAACTCTGGCTGCGCTTGACATGGCAGCTCTTCAGCTTCACGAAGAAGTCAAAACCCTTAGGCCCCAACGTGCAGCCAAGCCCCGACCTTTTCCATCCCGTCCACGCAAGGTCCTGGCAGTTTTCGTAAGCATTGGTCCTAATTTTTCAGCGTGAGGTTTACTTACAGGGTTGGGATAGTCGCAACGGTTGACGAAAACGGTGCCCGCCTGAAGGCTCTCCATGATCTCCTCACCGCGAGAGATATCCGACGTCCACACACTAGCTGTCAAACCATATTCGGTGTCATTCATCAACGATATCGCGTCATCGTCGCTCAGAACAAGAACAACGGGAATGATCGGGCCAAACGTCTCTTCCTGAGCAATCGTCATATCGTGGGTGACACCAGTAAGGATACGGGGAACGACGTAGTTGCCGTCGGGCGAAATATTCTCAAAGGTGATGTTCTGCGGAGTGACATCCTGAGCGCCTTTGGTAAGGGCGTCTTCAACCTGCTGTCGGATCGCCTCCTGTGCTGCCCTTGAGATAACAGGTCCAACAGTTGTGGACGGATCAAGGGGGTCGCCGAGTTTGTAGCTACCTTGCGTGAGTCTCAAATGCAAGAAGACATTCATAACCTGCAAGTCCAACTTACGTTTTCAATTCATCTTGTAGCTCCTTCACAAACGCATCATGGACATCCTTATGGACGTAGACCCGCTCGATAGCACAGCAGCTCTGACCGGAGTTGAACACAGCACCGTCCACCAATTGAGCTGCAACGTATTTCAAGTCGGCGTCGGGCCTGACGTAGGCAGGATCGTTTCCTCCAAGCTCAAGATTAAGCGGGATTGTTCGTCGCGCTGCAGCTTCGCGAAGTGCCAGGCCACCTGCGGTCGACCCAGTGAAACTGACTGCTTGAATCTCGGGGATCTTGACAAGTTCGCTGAGAACCTCAGGATCTCCAGACTGGATGACCTGGAGAACGTTCCTTGGTAGACCGGCTTCAGCAAATATCTCGGCGATTCGGGTCCCAACCAGCGGTGTTTGGGGCGACGGCTTCAAGATCACGCTGTTGCCGGCCAGGAGAGCCGGGACCAAAGCGTTCACAATAATAAGATAGGGAAACTGTGTCAGTGACGAGTGTCAGATATGCCTCAAGATCGACTTGGAAATCACACTCACGTTCCAGGCGAAGACGATGAGAGTCGGCCCCACCGGGACTCTCTTGATCCAACGTTTAAAGCCCGCCTCAGGGCGCCCAGGAAGATCGCTCAATGATTCTTCGGCAATTTCCAGCAGGTAGTCAGCGCGCTTTTGCATAGTCTCGATTTCCTTGTGACTGAAAGCGATCGGTCGACCCATCTGCTCTGTAAGCTCGCGGCCGAGAGCATGCTTACGCTCCTGGATCAGATTCAAACCGCGGACGACAATCGCCTTTCTCTCGGCCAGAGGCAACTTGGCAAACCCATGGAAAGCATTCTCTGAAGACTTGGCGACGGCCCTTGCTTCTCCAAGACTCGTGCTAGGGGTCTGTATGATGACCTTGTTGGTGACCGGAGATATGGTGCGAATGATCGATTCAGCCATGATGAAAGATGAAGGGTGCGTCTGCTCGAAGGTTGAATGAACTGTGGTTCGAAGTACAACACAGGCTCGAAAATTCACCGCGAATCGGTCCAATTTACAATGGGTTATTCAGGAGAATAACTATCTTGACATGCATATAATCGCGGGTAAATCTGCCTGTTGCATAAAGTGGACTCACTGCCAGCTAAACGCGGAGACCGCGAGCCACCCCGATCCAGAGATATTGAGGTCGCGCGGCTAGTGCCTTCTATGGCGTTGAAGTAGACTACCTGGGTGTCGTCAGACTGATCTCCCACGTGGCCAAAAAGCGTAGATTATGGGCAAGTGAAGTGGTTGTCGGAACAGCAGCGTTAGCCGCGGTGGGGTTTGGGAAGATCGCGGTCCTGGGACCGCGCTCTTTTGTGACTCCCGCACCGAACATGGCGGATGACGGACATGACTTGCAGACAACAAGCTCACGTTTTCTATGCGAAACTGAGACGTAAGAACTTCCGAGGGCCAACACAGCCGAATAAGAAGTCGTAAGTGCTCAATTAGGAAGTCAGAAGAAATCTGTTTACACGGTCAGTGCCAACAGCCCGGAGCTTATCAGTCGAACAAGTCGCGTTCGGATTGCCAACGATCGAAGATCGGAAGCTCAATCAAATCTGTCGGATTCCCGAAACTACGTCATCGCTAGTCCGAACTTACATCTTCACTTCGAAGCGATGGTCCAGCAACATGAGGCCCCATTGCGCTTTGCCCAAGGCAGTCAACATGCTGACCTCGCCGTACCGGATCAAGATAATATCGAGAGCTTACTGGCAGGCGACGATAAGGTCAGAGTAGCAGGAGTCGATGCAGATGGTATTCTTCGTGGTAAGATCATGGACAAGGACAAGTTCTTGTCTAGCGTTACCACAGGATTTGGGATGAGCTCCGCCATATTCGCATGGGACATTCACGACGTTCTATTCACAACCGATACGAAGATTGCAACCAGTGAAGATGGCTTTGCCGACTTCGTTGCGTACCCCGACCTCCAATCGTTTAGGAGGTTGCCCTCGGAGGACAACATCCCCTTCTTTCTTTTGCGGTTCTGTGTAAACGACAAGCCAGTATTCGCGTGCCCAAGAAGCATGATCGGCCAGCTTTGTGACAAGTTGGAAGCAGCTGGCTGTAAGGCACTTGCCGGAGGTACGTAAACTATGACGCAGCAGAACTCGCAGTAACCTTGATACTCACTTATTCTCGTCAGTTGAGCTCGAGTTCATGAACTTCCAAACACCCTCCGAAGATGGATATGGAGCGCCGGAGGGAAGACGAAATCTGGCCGTGTTCCTTGAGAAGAACACGCCAGGATCATTACGTCCTCTGACCTCAGGCATGTTTGGATATAGTACATCTCGTCCCGTTGCCTCTAAGAGATACTTCCACGATATCTTTGACTTCAATAAGAAAGCGAACTGTACTCTTGAAGGTTGGCACACAGAGAGCGGCCCTGGAGTTTTCGAAGCTGTAAGTTTTGTCGAGGTCTAAGATAATATGAGTAGCCACTGACATCTTGTCACTGACGAAGGCACTGAAAGTCAGTCCGATAGATCAAATGGCCGACAAAGTCTCCATTTTCAAGTGCGTTCCCGGAAACCTCTGAATACCCCCCCAGATTTTGACAGTTTCAGGTTGATCACCAAATCATTAGGCATCGAGCATGGAGTCACACCATGCTTCCTCGCTAAGCCTACCCAAGGACTACCCGGAAACTCTGGTCACATCCACATCTCCCTCACCGACCTGGATGGCAAGAACATCTTCGCCCGTGAAGGCCCTCCAGACGCAGCTGCGACGTGGACCGATATTGCCCAGTTATCTGATCTCGGCCGACACTTCCTCGCGGGTATTCTCATAGCACTACCAGACATCATGCCTCTTCTGGCGCCTTCCATCAACTCGTACAAGCGCCTGGTAGAGAATTACTGGGCTCCTGTCGACATCACCTGGGGCCTCGAGGACCGTCTTGCAAGCGTGCGCCTTATCGCTCCACCAGTATGCAAACCTTCGGCAACTCGATTCGAAGTTCGCATTCCGGGAGCTGACTTGCATCCGCACTACGCGCTTACTTCCATAGTGGCTGCCGGATGGCGCGGAGTCGAGAAGAAACTGGACATACCTGTTCCACCAGCCAAGATACAGCGTAGAAATGGCAGGCCAGAGTTGCTTCCGAATTCCTTGCATGATGCGACAATCAGATTCAAATCTTCAGAGAGCTTGGCGAGGGAGCTCTTTGGTAATGATTTCGTCGACTTCTACGCGGCTACTAGGGAGCATGAACTGAGGGTTTGGAAGGAGGCAGTCACGGACTGGTAAGTCAGTTGTCGACGACGTCAAGAAGAAACCAAGCTCATGTGATGATATCAGGGAGTTCCGACGCTATATCGAAGTTGCCTGAACGCAAGCAATTGTCTCTGAAACCATATTCTGTTCACAGAGGCTGAACGAGTGAAGTTTTAGCTTCGACTGAACTTGTTGTCTTTATGTACACTCTAGATTGTAGTTCCCGTTCCCAACTAGTGAAGAAAAGTCCATTACCTCTCACGATGACCCAGTCTGTTATACAAGGGCTTTACCCGAAGAAGTGACTCCTGATCGGTCTCGGTGTATTGACTACTCCTATTGGGGTTGTATTCAAGTTCAGTGTCATTGAGCCGTGCTGCTCGACAACCTTCGCATATCATGGCATCAGGTTGGTTCAGCATTCTTCCAGAGATCCATTGCATTAGCTTCCATGCAGCCTGAAGGAAGACCAAGTCCGCAATGATAATGGCCAGAATCATGACCCCCGGACTCTTGGGTTGTGGAACTGAGCAGAGATATTGGGCGACTATCGTCGCATTCCTACATGACAACTCTCCCATCTGCGATGGGAATGTCTTGTAGGCATCGTATAATCGAGTGAACTTGAAGTCGTCGCCTGGTGACGGGATATTGCTGTATCGACCTCCGTCTTTTGCTTCGAAGGTGCTGGTGTTGTTCAGGAGGGCTCCTTCGTCCCTAAAGTTGTCATCCGGGGCTAGTACAGCATACTTCAAACCTTCATTGTCAAGTAAAAGGTTCGGCGCATCGCAGTTGCCTAAGTCAAGGGCGAAGACCGAGTGCATGATCTTGGCGAAGTGAAGGCCTTCGGTGATTGACGGCGAGCCCCAAAACTGATCTTGTGTCAGCATCCCAGCATCAGGTCAATTCAGCTGAGGGGGATGCCTACTTTGCCGTTGTTGTAAACCACCACTTTATCGGCGCCATCCATACCAAGATGATAGACCTTGGCGTCTGCAAGACCAAAATTCCAGTTCAGTTTGAAGAAGTCCTCAGAGTGAAGGCTGTACGATGGTAAGTATCTCCATGTAAGATTCAGTACTTGTCAAGTGGTACACTGACTCTTTTACCAACTCGTTCTCCGTATATGTCAACTCAGCGTCGTTGATGAAACGGTCTGGAGGTAGGGTAGCTTGGGCGGCCGCCGCCAGAACCCCCGTGAAGTACGCATTCGAGAGTCTTGTTCCCCACCATACACTGGCGCTCTTGTTGTAGTTGTCGTCGATGATGTACTCGTACGTGCTAACCGACCCAAAGTATTCTGCTCCGAGGGTGACATCGGCAACACCCGAATCATAGACGACGGTGCACCGCAATGTTGTCGCGACGGTCGATCTCTTGAACGAAAACCACCATGAGTTCGCCCCAGAGTTTGGGCTTCTGGCTAGAAGAAGTTTGAGCTCGCTCACTCGGCAGTTATCCAGCGTGGTGTTCTTGTAGCCGATGGCGGGCAGGGTGCTCGCCACATGGGTGTCGTTGCCGGGTATGTTGATCTTCTTGACCGTGTACTGGAAACCGAGATTCGAGGTGTAAAATGAGCTTCCGACCGCGAGCATGTATGGCTGACATTCTGCATCCATGTCGTGCTCCCAATTGAACGGTCGTTTGTGAAACCATCTGTCTGAACGTCAGGCATCAAATCGCTTGCATTGGACTATGCGTGTACCTTGAGTTAAACTTTTGTTCCGTTTCATTCAGATTTCCGGTGTAAAGAGTCTTGGGATAGTACCCGTTAGAGCTGAGATTCACTAGAGAAAATATGACGGCCAGAACAATGCCTCCAATGATGACAACAGGCGTGAACCACCGAAAGGGGTACGGCCTGGTGACTGAGTACTCGAACCACGATTTGTGCATCTCTGCCAACTCTGCCAAGTCTCGGAAAGATGTGAGACAAGAGATTAATCCGCAGATGAGACAGGCGGGATTACGCTCGTTTTTGAAACGCGCAAGTGTGAAATTGTATGCACAATCGCGGGCGGAGACGATCAGGCTGCTGTGCCGCAAGTTAACTCATCAAGCGGCAGCATGAAGGAATCCTACTGCATACTGTAGCCTAAGATTATTGAATTGCACCAATCAAATGACTACAACTGATCAATACTGATGCTGATCATCGACCTTCCTGTTGCTGCAAGGGTACTGAGGTGCGTGAGAATCAGGCTCTACAGCACCATTCTCGGACTGGGTGGTGGGGCTATTTTTGAGCTCTTTGTACGATTTGTCATTTATGAATACTGGATAGACTATCGAGTCACATCAATCTAAATTTTCTTTCTTATCTACGCTGGTGATTGAGACATTCGTTGACGACTGGACTGAGGGCCATCGCCGTGCCGTATATTCGTAGCTACGCAAGATTCTTCTATGAACCAGTCTCGATGAATAACCTGGCACTAAGAGAGTCTAGAGCAGATTAATAACCGTCTAACAGATTTTATCTTTCTAAGGGTCACAGGACACGCCTGCAGAAGTCTTCCATAACTTGCATTTGCTTACTATTGCAATACTCTGTTAGGAAGGTCTTGGAACTCGTTACTTCGGGCAATTAACGATGGACTGATTCGGTGCCCGATCGGTCGCATTTGCTGCTTGATTTGGGATGACTCTGAAATTTGGTCTGTTGTCTTGGTTCGGATGAAAGAGTGAGCCTTCACGTGGTTGAGCTGATGGAAACTTCAATGGAGACTGTGTCGTATATGAGAAGTTGTGGTTAACAAATACAATTCTCTGCGCAATACAACAGAATGCAGCCATCCTCATTTTCTTTCTATCACCAGACCCAGGGAGTACGCATTTAACATTCAATATTCTGAGAGGATAAACTTCTGTCTTTCGAAACTTCCTGGACTAGGTTTGAATGAAATCGCCTGGATCATCAAAACGTTGAGCTGTTTGGATACCACCTTAAGCACAAGACATCTCAAATTATCCTGTGTTCGCTGACACTGAGGTACGTAAGCAAAGCGCACTTGTGCGTCATGCAACCAGTATCGTGCTCGCTGACACTCCGTCGTGATAACTCGACTGTACGTGACGCTTCCCCATATCCACCATACGCTTAAATGGATCGACTGGGGAATGCTCATCACCCCGCACTCTTGAACTTGGCATCCGGCTTGACCTCTTTGAATTGTTCTAAATCTGGCATGCAACAACGTCAACACCAGAATCGGTGTCGGGATGTCCCTGTTGGGACCGGGAATAGCTAGTTTGGCCAATCCGATACAATTCCGCGCTGGCTCCGGCTCCAAGTGGGTCACGAGGGTCTTCATGAATCGGCAGACCGCGCTCGACAACCCCCGCAATATTCTCTTATCAGGCCCACGCAAAACATCACGTTGCCCAACTTCCAGCCAACAAGTCTAGAGGAAACTGTTGCCTGAACATATCAGCTCGTCACAAGATATCTGAGGCTCTGTTCTCTGACCCGGACTTATACCAACACTTCGTTTCGAACCGGTGGTGGATGCTCCGGTCCATCCGTCCGACGCGGCTCCGATGTCGTCGAAACCCCGCCGCACCCTCGCCGGGCCCATCTTTCGCGTCCGCACCGGATGTCTAACGTGCCGCGGTCGGAAGAAGAAGTGTGACGAAACTAAACCGCGGTGCCGCGGCTGCGAGCGGAACAAGCTCGACTGTCGGTGGCCGCCGTCCGCATCTCCCAAGAGCGCCCCGCCGACTGCCCCTGCAGGAGAGACCGCGGAGCCGCGTCGAGGGTCTAGCTCATGCACTTCAGCCGCTGCGGATGGAATGCCGCCTCGGCAACCGCATACTTCGCCGATCCTTCCCAATGCATCGCCATCTCAGTCAGTTGAGCTTTCAGATGCAGCCTCAACAGACTCAAGTCCCAGGCCTCCATCCCGAGCCACTGCGGTAGACCCGAACGAAGCTGTCGCTGGCCAAACGCCTCCTGAAAACCCCCTTGACTTCTTGGCGTCGCTGGACTTTCTATCCTTTACTCCCAACGCCCAGGCCCAGAGCCACAACCATGATGAGGAGGATCCTGAAAGTCCGCCAGCAAACATGCTCTCACATCTCCGGGCCCCTGCTAGTCCAGTGAACCAAGTTCCAAGGACGTTGTCCTTTCTTCCTGGGAGTGATGACAGCTTTTCAGTCGACCTACTAAGCCACTACTTGGCAGCGACAACAATTAGTATGGCAAATGGCTCGACTATCGAGAACCCGTTCAGCGAGCAGTTGATACCATTGGCGTTCAGCAGCGACCTCGTGCTGCAGCTTCTTTTGGCTCAGAGTGCAGTCCATAGAGCGGCAAAGTCTTTGAATGACTTGGACAGTGTTGCCAATGACTATTACAACAAGTCCCTCCGGCTTTTTCAACGGAACCTCTCCAAGGCCATGGTTGGCCAGAATGGAGAGCAGACATTGTTACTTGGAATCGCTGCATTAATCATGTGCTTCATCGAGGTAGGTTGCTATTGCTGGAATCCTTGCCACATCAGCCCAGTCGCTATCTGAGTTCCCTTTCCCTTTGCCGCCGCTGTTGAAGCCACAGGAGTCTCGTAGTACACTGTATACTAACAACTAGAACAGACAGCTAGAGGCGACATCAATGGCACAACGTACGATCACCTCATGGCGGCGCAATCTCTCATCATACCATCTCTACCCCTCATAAATACTCTGCCAAAAGCGATGAGACAATTCCTCATAGAGTATTACGTTTACACAGCTACATTGAGCATGATCTCCATTGATGCCCGGCTGAGCGACCAACTATTTCTCAGCAATGAACTCGCCCTTCTGGCAACAGAGCTTGTGGCTGAGTCTTACGTCGGTAACCTGTGCGGTTGCTGGTTACCCCTGATACTTTTGATACCTTCAATATTTGACCTCGGGCGGCGGTTCAAATCCCTCGATAACGCGGCAGAACGGCGGCCCTCAACAGATGACTTCCTCTTATTCTCGCAATTACAAAATCAGATACAGAACTGGACTCCGAATGCAGCTGTCACTGCGGACGTCGCCTTAGCAGGGCTCATATACCACAAGGCTTTACTTTTATATCTCTATACGGCCTTACATCCTCTCTGTGGTGAAGAACATGGGATTATGGCGATGGCAATTCAGACCGCATTGACTGAGGGACTCTCACATCTTGCGCAGCTCGACCCAACTGTGCGTGTCAACACTAGTCTGTCATGGCCGATTGCCGTTATTGGCTCTTGTGTAGCAGATCAAGGTCAGCGTACCTTCCTGCGTGAGCGACTTGGACATACATTTGCTGCGATTGGGCTTGGGAATATTCACCAAACATCAGTTCTATTACAGCATGTGTGGGAGGATGAAGATGCAGCAGCTATCAAGGCAGGACCCTGGAATATCTGTCGGGTGATGAACGAGAACCAGATTTGGATTTCTTTTGCTTGATGGTCCAACTCGGCGTTATGAATATTCAAGAGGGGTCATATCGGCCAGGCATTACGTGGCATGGAAAAGGGTAAAACGAAAGGAAATCAAAAAGGAAACCATGGGCAGTGGACTGGCATACAAAAAGATATCAAATGCTTTGAAGAGCGTTGCAATTGCCATTCGTTTTACCAAATATGACGGCTCTTCATCAACGCATGCGTATATGACGTATCTGCGGATTCGTATCTATTTTGCAGATTTCGTGCATCATTTGAATTATTACATCCATCTATCACCAGCCCTTCCACGGCACCCATGTATCCTGTACCACATCGTTCTCGTCAACGACGTAATAGACGTAGAACGCTGCGGCGGTGATGCATGAATGCTGAACGTAGAGGAAGACCTTGTCGCCAACTTCGAAGTTGGCTTCAATGTCTCTTCGCTCTGGCTCGGCATTCTTGGAACCATACTCTTGAACCTCGCCAATGATTCCGTGCTCTTGGGACATGCGGACAACAGCCCAGCCAGGCTTGCCCACCACTTTGCCAAAACCAGGGAATTGGCCGGCCTCTTTAGAAAGAGCCACTGTGCCTGCATTGACAAGAGCCTCGTTGCGCTCAGGGTACACACTGCACACTTCGGTAACTACCCTGACAGACTGGTCCTCGATTTCAACTAGTCCTGTGCTCACTTGCTGGAGGTCGTTCGTGGGGAAGTTGCCTACGTTGTTTGTCAGGATTGGGCCGTTCACTATTTTCTCACATGTACTTACCAGCGTGCAACTCCAGAGTAACATTTGAGGGAATGGCTGTCTTCAGAGTGCCGACAACATGGGCGGTCGGCGTAGCGCCCACTGACAGGGTCAACTTCTGCTCGCCGACGATCAACTTCGCCGCGGTGAGAACGCTGTTGATCTCATCGGCAAGAACCTTCTCCGCCTCCTCTTGCGTGCGGCATCCGTAGGAGTGTCCAGCGTGGCAGTAGAAGCCGTAGAGAGACACTGTTGACGATTCGTTTACTCTCTGAACGAGCTTCTGAAGACGATCGCTGCTGAGAGGGACACCAGCTCTCTTGCTACCGACATCCAGTTTGATGAAAACGTCCCAGGGTGCGGAAGATGCCTCGGGGTTCTTGTTGGCGAAGTCTTCCAAAAACGAAAGTTGTTTCTCGTGGTCGATCATGACAAGAATCTTGACCGATTTGCGAAACTCGGACAAAAACGGGATCGCGCTCGGCCGCAACGGAAGTCCATAGAGCACCTAACCAAAGTGATCAATCATGTGAGCTAATCGCCGTAGACTTAGTCGGCTGCCTACCTCTTCGAGAACACCTTCTTTTGCCAGCGGCAGAAGACCGCGAATCTCTGACAGAGTTGATGCTACGGTCTTGTTGAATTTGCCATTTCCAAGCATCAACCGCGTTACTTCTGTAGTCTAATTAGTTCACATAGTTAGAAAACACAATCACAAAATTTCCCTCAATAGCAAAACTCGCCTTCAGCGTCTTCACGTGGGGCCGGAAAGCGACTCCTGCCTTATCAACATCCTGGTGTAACCTATCCACATTTCTCTGGATTACGGGAAGACTGAGTACGAGAGAAGGCGTAGGCAGATCGCAGGCTTTAGAGCCGATGAAGGAGCGGTGATTCTCGAGTCCGTAGTCCATTGTGCGTGACTTGTCGTTGAAGGTGATTACAAGTTGAGCACATATGCAGGCACCGGGTCCGCCGAGTTAAATATGTGGCCGACAGCTTTCCCGCGGACCTGCTATCGTGGGGTTAGAGCGCGCTGGCGAGTAAGTGGAGCGTTTGTTATGCTGTTTTTATGCAAGATCATATGAAGTGCTAGAATCACTAACATTATCTGTATTCGAGATAACACAATTCCGGTCGAGTTAATGAAAGATTCAGTACTAATTGCTAGGCGAGGTTTAGCCGATGGAAGGCATGCAATAGCAATGGTGCACAAGCCGCCAACAACCCGAATCCCCGCTCCTCACTCAAAGTCGACAGATCTAGCTAATTAACGAGGTATTTCTTTGCGCGCCCAAAACGCCGACAGCGGGCGGCAACGAGCGCGGCAGCACTGGGCATAAGTTTGTAATTCTCCGGCTCCGGGCCCGGCAGCTTTAAGCGCGGGAAACGTTCCACCCACGGGGAAAGGGGTAAATACGATACCTAAACTGCAATCCAAATGCGTGGTCCCAGTCTGAGACAAGTTGAGGAGTATTAATGTTCAATCGAGGACGTCAAAAACCTTGGCGCTGGTATATTTCGACAGTGGTTTTTGCTGACATGCACAATTCATAAACTTGACCGGGCCAATGTGTGCACTCAATGTCACATCATGTAAACATATTGCTTTTTTCTGATGAGTTTCCCCCTTTTAGCCGGCACAGCCGAACTACTGATAAACAGAATTCGTTTCTGTTCGCCCCCTAAAGCGTTCTACTCTTCACATTCAGAATCATACATTGTGTTCTCGCTTCAGCAAACATATATTAGCACTGCAAGACAACCTTCAAGTATTCCTTCTGTCCCCGACACACTGAAGATGGGGGTATCACTCGACTCCATGCCGCCAGAGATTCTGGTGAACATTTGCAATTGCTTGTACGACGATGACTGTGCTGGCAGCCTGGCAGCCTTTGCTCTGGCAAGCAAAAGGAACCACTCCATGGCCAAGTACCCTCTGGCCCGCACCATCAAGTTCAAACTGCGCCCGGAAACAACCAAAGGCAACAATCCGCTGCCCAAGCTAGTTGAAAGGCACATCGACAAGCTTCGCAGGAATGGCACCTTCGCCTCGGTGCGGCGTCTTGTGATAGACCGGATTCCGCCCCGAAAGAAGCTGTTCCGACCCAAGCAAGAATCGGAACGAGAGCAGTCCCTCCTGTCGTCTTTGGAAATGCTCGGGGAAGACGATAGCAAGCCGGAGAGCTACATCACATACCACTACGATCACCTGTACGATGACGAGCGGCTGAAGAGGCATGAGCACAATCGCGACCAACATTACTGGGCGTCCTTAGCCCACCTCATCACCCAGTTGCCTGGCCTGACGGATCTTCTTTTTGCTGTTCGTCGCCAGTTCCCGCGTTGCATGCTGCAAGCGGTGCACAGCACAACTCCTCAATGCAGACTTCACCTGCGATACTTTCGGCTCCACAGCGTTCTCGACGAACGTCTTGATCCCTACGACATTGAGCTAGCTAGCTCTCCGTGCCTGCACAGCATTCAATGCAGTTATCCGGACTGGGATGAAGAGCTAAGTGTTTACGAACGAGAGGAAGAAGACGGAGAGCCGTAAATCAGGAAGCACAACATCCACAATGCAGCTGTCATGGGCTTGGTTACCCAGCTCGCCCCGGCGCTGAAGCAGGTGGGGTTGCAGTTTCCAGTCAGCAGACACAAGCAACCCATTCCTCTACACCGATTCAAAACTCTCAAACTTCCTGGAGACGTTGTACGGATATCACAGGGGTGTCTACAGTCTTTGGACATATCGGGAATGTGTTCTGTAGGCGTGGACAAAAGCCTACTAGAGGCGTGGAGCGCCTGTACAGACCTGACCGTTCTTCGACGCTTGCACATCGAGCACGTATTGCAACAGGAGGCCGTTGAGTTTCTAGACACTTGTCATCTGCCTTCTTTGAAGTCGTTGTCTATTTCTGCGGATCCGTACCGATTAGAAGATACAGACGACTATCTTGGATGTCTAACCGCCTTTCTACGCAACGTCTCACCTCGCCTGATCTCTCTCCGATTACGAAATTGGGCCCCGTCGATCACTTTGTCGGCGGCTTTGGGCAGGCATCTCCGAGCTCTAGACATCAAAACAAGTAGGTGGTACTCAGCAATGTCATACCCTCTTGGCGCAGACAGCGTAAATGACATATTCGAGTTGAGCCCATTCCTCGAGGAACTGTCTCTTTCAATCCGTCGTACCAAAGGAGATGCCGCGGAGGTTGCTGTTTACAAAGCGCTGGGCAGATTTTGCAGATTGCGCAGATTGTTCTTGGAACTTATGGTACTGGAGCCACCTGTGAATTCTGGAGAAGTCGAGATGCATTTGGGATCAACAGATTCTCAAGATCGCGACATGTTCTCGAACCCTACCGAAGACAGCAGTGAAGATGAATGGGATGAAGAATATGGAACAGATGATGATATCGAAGGGGATGAGTGGTTTCTTCCCTTTACAAGAAGCCAAATGAAGGACCTCCTCATCAGTGTGGCTGTCGACAAAGACTTGGCGGTGGCCATATTCAACCTCATATTGACTTCCGGAGGGGCGGGCCGTCTGCCAACTTTGGAATTCCTCGAAATTCTAGTCGGTGGCTGGTATAGACGATTCAAGCTGATCCACGACGCGATGTGCAAAGTGATCCAGCCGTACTGTCTTGTTCTGGGTCAACCGTACATCGTCAGACGAGATCCCCGCCGCGAAGATCGCCCGGAGCCGCGTGTACTGGAGACAACGGATCGCTGGACAGACTGCGGGCTCAGATCTGAAGCTTATGCCGAGGCGGATCATGACCAAGGCCCGCTGGAGCCTGTATTCAGAGAACTTTGGCCTGAACGGTCAGACCCAGAGTCTTTTTGGTGGAGCAAGGACTGGCACAGCTTTCCGCTGCATGTTGAGGTGTAGTTTTAAGGGTATTGTTTTCGGCTAGCACTTTTCCCTTAATGGGTTCCGGAGCGAAGTAAAACGCAACATTTACTTTGCCAGATTTCCAGCCCCAAGAGGTTTCAACACATATTAGTAACCCTTATGTTAACTAATTTATCATGAGAAAATTTGCAATACGTCTGCATGGAAACAGATCTTAGAAGGGCATTCTCTAACCATCCAGAGTGAAGTTGGTTAAGGGTCTTCTTTTTTGGATATCTAGTCTCATAGAGCATGTGCTGTTGCTAGACATGGCGAGATGTTAAATCAATAGGTTAATCTTTCATTTAAAGAATGATGATGAACTGGTGCCCGGCTCTGAGTGAGCTTTATGGCGAATTTTTCACTTGAGGAATGATCACAAACAATGGGGTCGGGTTGCTGCAGTGTATTGCGCATCAAGTTGCTGTTGTAGACGGGTTTCTGATTATTCAGCTGGCCAACGGTTGATTGGAAAGCCTCACAGTCATGGTTCCTTTTGATATAGTTATTTGAGATCTGGTGCTAGCTAGAGTAGTCTTATATTGTGGCTTATTTGTGGCTATTGCCCGCCGTAGACTCATACGGCGAAAACTCAAATCAAGCATTATCAAGGATGGTAAAAGTCTTACAATAGTCTCTAGGTCCCACAAGAATGCGGTCAGCAGATTCTTTACTCCTCGTTGAGAAGTAGGCTTGAGTTATTTCACAGCGTCGATGCCGACATCCCAAACGAGTCTTGTCAGGCACGTTGACGTGATTTGAGGGGTTTATCTGATAGGAACATCGTGCCTCGAGATTGACAAATCAGATTCCGAAGGGCCATGTGTAAGATGCTTGATTTGTAAGTATGTGGCACGATGGATGGCCGACTCGGACATTGATGCGGCCCCGGATCAGTCAACAAGTCAGACTGGTTGGTTGCGTCTCAGCGGATTTCGCGTTCGAGATGTGGGTGTGTGGCAACGGACCCTCTGGATGGCGTGCCATCTTGGAGCGGGGTAAAAGTGAAGCTGTTGGTTTCAAAGTCGTTATTGTTTTCCGGCTGGTTCCCGGCGAGATCCGGCGGATCACCGAAGTTGTCTCCACGTAAATCGCCGAAGCTTGGGAGCTCGGTCGCAACAACACTCCGCGGAACCTCACCGAGGAACTCGTCGTCTTTTCAACGACAACATAAACCAAAAGCTGGAGGACAACCAAAATGATCATCCTAAGTTTCCCAACAAGAAACTAAGGGTCTGGATAGATATGGAGTTGAGGTGGCATCAAACTGGGTGGCCCCTTGCCGAAATCGGCTATGGCCGTAAGGCGTGATTATCTTGCAGTTGTCGTCATATCCAACAACAGATGTATATAGACTGCTGCGCATTTCTGTACCATCACTAGTGTTTTGAAGAATTTCATGCAGTAGTCAAACACGCACCAATAATCACAATGCCCACCGAATTCATCAGCGTAACTTTCCCCAACGCCTCAACGGAGATCAACCCGATCCCTGGCGCTGGCATTGATCCGGAGTTCTTGGTTCGTTATGCCAGGTCGCTGGATGACTACAACTTCAACTACACTCTTGTTCCCTATGGCTCCGATTCATTCGACCCTTTCACGATCGGTGCGACAATCGCTGCCGTAACCAAGAACGTCAGCGTAATCATTGCCTTGAGGCCAAACACCCTGTACCCTACCGTTGCTGCCAAAGCCCTGGCAACACTGGACCAACTCAGCAAGGGCCGTGTTGTCGTTCACTTCATCGCTGGTGGAAGTGACGCTGAGCAAGCCAAGGAGGGCGATTTCCTCTCCAAGGACGAGCGCTATGGTCGTTTGGAAGACTACATCAAGATCCTGCGCCGAGCGTGGGAGTCGGACACCCCCTTCGACTGGGAGAGCAAGTACTATACCTTCAAGAACTTCTCCAACAAGGTTCGTCCTACTAAGGGCACTATTCCCGTCTCCGTTGGAGGCTCCTCGGATGAGGCGTACCGTATCGGTGGCTCCCTCGCAGACATCTTCGGCTTGTGGGGTGAGCCCTTGAAGGAGACGAAGCAACAGATCGACCGTATCTACGGCGAGGCCGAGAAGGCTGGGCGTAAGGACCGACCTCGCATTTGGGTTACCTTCCGTCCCATCGTCGCCGAGACTGACGACCTCGCCTGGGCCAAGGCGCACCGTACCCTGGATGCTCTCAAGGGCAACATTGCTGCTGGCCAAGGCAAGAACGGCCAGGACGCCAGCGCGGGACAACCTCAGAATGTTGGTTCTCAGCGTCTTCTGGATATTGCTAAGCGCGGCGAGGTGCAAGACCGCGCCCTGTGGTATCCTACTGTCACTGCCACCAATGCACGCGGAGCGTCAACAGCCCTTGTTGGATCTTACCAGACTGCTGTGGACTCTATTCTCGACTATGTTGACCTCGGTGCTGATTTGATCTCCATCCGCGGATACGACAACTTCAACGATTCCGTTGACTACGGTCGCTATATCCTGCCCGGTGTACGCGGAGAGTTGAAGAAGCGGGAGAATGGCTCAAATGGAACCCAATAAGGAGATTTTGATCCCGTGTCTTGCTAAGGGGAGGAGTATATATCATTGTACGAAGAATTACGATCAAGTTTTGCATTCTATGAATACATTGGTCTCAAAGATTCAGAGCAATCGCTATTGAATACTTAGTTATAGGTTTCGCCGTGAACTGCGTGATAGACATGCTTATATATGACCTCAAAACTCCGATACTATCTGTCTAACCTCATCGGTCTCGAGCATGGTCTTTCGTGCACTACGTACAGCATCTATGTTATGTACACAGGCATACGACTACCAAATACATCGCTTTTCTCAACCTGGATATCCTTTCCATGGAAGTCGTGCAGCATCAGCCAGCATATCATACGGAACACCAACATGCACCAGATGTTGTTGATTTCCAATTCCTGGTCCTTCGACAAGTGTTCCACGGATCCCTCTGAGGCAATCGATCTAGGACCGCGTTCTTTGCGAATCTTCTCATGCTTCAGATGACGACAGACGACCTCGATGACTCTCTTACGGACAGACAAGAGATAGATCTCGACCAAAACAGCGTGCCTTTCACTGGAAGAGGCAGAGTCCAGCTTCTGAAGGAGAGATATCTCCTTCTCGAACTCGGCGTTTTCCTCTTTCGAGTTTGGAACGGGCGACGACCCGGGGACAATCAGCTCATGGATGCGTGACGTGTTCTCTTTGGATCCATTCTTCGGAGTGACTATGACAGTCTTGTACTCCCCATCCTTGTCGTTCAGGATACGCAAAACCTCCTGAAAATGAACGCGGACGACGCTTTGAACCAAAGCCGCCCTCTCATGGACTTTGAGATAATCATCGCATTTATCAATGGCGGAATGCAGAGCTGCGATAAGGCCGCTGGGGTAGATTCGTTCCTCCACATTCTTGGTGCGCCTGAGGATAGCTTCAGGCCCATCATGCGCTTCAAGGTCGGCAAATCGTCTCTCAACTGCTTCGGCTTCGTCGGTCATGATGGAGACGCACTTGTTGTCTTTAAACATGGGTTCACTAGATGAACCGATATTGATGCCGTGAGTGAAATCGCCGAGAAGGTTACGCAGTGAGAATGACTTTCGATCCCAGTGCCAAATCGTTGGGTTGGGGAGCATCCTGAAAGCCGTGTCTGGGATCTGAAGTACGACACCAGTCATACCGAGAAGCTCAAAGGCAACTGAAATTAATTAGTACTAGACATGATACCTATGTGAAAATGGAAACAGGACTTACTTGGGAAAAGATGGGTATGCCTTGTGTCCGGAGTAGATTTGCGGAAATATTTGACCGTATTGGTATTGCAGCCCAGGACAACTAGAGTCTCCGCAATAGCTGACATGCTCCCCAGCTGAAGGGTGCCATTGTCTTTAGGCTCGTCGGCGTACTTGAAGTTGTCGTCCTCCTTCTGACGGAATATAGTCGGACAGTATCCAAAACAGAGCTCCTTAACCTCGTTCTTAGGAATAACGCGATTCTCGTGGAACCATGTTGGTCCTGTCTTCTGGAATGTGAAGACCACGCCAAGATCATCAACGTCGTAGCCGTCAATCATGAATCCGTTTCCTTGGGCGCGGTAACGATCTTCATTGCGGTTGAACTCCTTCCAGTAAATTCCCAGCATGGCAGCCATCTCCACCAAATGCGATATGGTCGTTGTTGCGTAGGGTTTCTTCATGTTGTCGGGCATACTGTCCCACGACCTCTTCTTTCTTTGGACGCCGACCGTAAGGGTATGCTTAGTGCTTTTTGATGGCGGATGACAAGGCTCATGTTCCTCCCAGTTCGGTGTGTGGCCAAAGTATTCGTTGTACTGCCATGTCCGAGACTCTTTCTCCATACGCTGGATCGCCATGAGCAGTCCCAACCAGTTCGCCCGCTCGTTGTCGGCGGTGTGAATAGCCTGGCGTGTGTCGCCGGCTCGAAGGTTCTTGTCGATCTGGTTGAACTGGTCTTGATCCCAGGTGTACGTGTCCTTGTAGCTCTCCGGTGTTCCCACCATATACGTGATGGTTTTCGTCGGATGTTCTCCTAACGGTCCTTTCTTATTCGTGGGTGGTGCGACGAAGATGACTGGGGTTTCGAACTCGACTTCGAAGCGGAACTCATACCACTTGAATATGCGATGGGTGAACTGCGCCCAGTCACCCATGATGTTCGGAGTACACGATGAGTAGCCCGTTGCTGAGGCATAATACTGCTGAAGGGCTTGGAAGATCGCGATAATGAAAGCCAGAACGGAGATAATCAAGGCGACAATGGCCACGATCAGCTCGACTTGGTTATCCCCACCACCTCCATCCCCGCTATCGGCAGCGCTCGTCGAGTTGGAGGACATGATGATGGCGCAAAATTCCAATCAAATTGGCGCTCTAGAATATAGTGTGTGTGTTTGAAGTATTCAGGTCATCCAATGTATGACCTTCAGCATTGCGTTTGTTGATGAGGTTGAGTGACAACAATGTGCGGCTGAGGGAAAGAAAAAGAGGTTTGAAGTTTTGAAGAGGCTCCCGGCATCTTCATCTGGGGCTTTCTGCATCAAAGTACCAACAGAGTTAGGCACCTGCATACAGCCCATGTCGGTTTGTGTACCCGCCGGTCGTTCGATGAATCATCTTCAACCCCTGTGACCCCCGGCGCTATTCGTGATTCAGTTGGTTGCAATGGACATGGGGGTCTCACAGGGCTCTTCAGCTCGATGTTACCTTGCTGTGAGATGGTCATTCGGAGTGTCTAGCGCAGCTGACTAGTGCTGAGGATTGTGTTTAAAATCATTCAGAGTTTCTGCTATTCGACAATTAAGGTCTATCTGGCTCAGACGCCGTCTCGCGGCTAACAAGAGCCATTGAATCACACCAGTGGTCAGTTTGGCATCGGGCAAATCTTTTCCACCTGCGATGCAGAGGCAACACGGCAGAAGCACAGCTGGCGCAGCCTTACGGATAGCTTGAGCCGACCCGTCAGCGCTTATGCACGGAGGTGGCTGGTTGGTGATTCTGAGCATGTTGGTTGGCTACAAACGCCAGGGATTTGAGTCCTTTTTATTTCTCACCGAAGAACAAATGGCACTTTTGACCTGGTTCGCTGGTAGGCTGGTCTCGCGTATTGGATTCATTTGGATTGTCAGCATAGTTGCAAGTTGGCAGATATTGCTAAGTAGTTGCCCGTTGTTACCATCACCCTTCGCGGGCAGATTTTTATTGCATGATCTAGATAAAATGATTTAGAGTAGTCTACCATTGGATTGAATAGTCTGCTGTTTGGCTAGTTAACAGAAACAATATTCACAATGGCAATGCATGGAGCGAATTTTAACGCCAGTTGAGTTGTCGTAGATTGAAATAAACTAAATTGTCTTCCACTGATACCTATCCTAACCATACCCTTGAATCTTTTCTTGTATTACTGGGAAGGCCTCATCAGAAGAACTGATTTGGCTAATGCCGTCATCTCAAGCTATCATGTCTTCATGCCCCGTCGGGAGACCTTTCAATGGTTTCTCATGATCATGTCTGCCGCCTAGTCAAAGCGCGTTAGCAAAATGTAATCCTTTTACGATGCTTCGCACGATTACCTTTTCTGCAATGGCGTACACCGTTGCTTGAGTATGTGCCGATGGCAAGAGAGGCATGATACTAGCATCAACCACCCTTAGACCTATAACACCATGGACTCTCAGTTCCGAATCCACAACGCCACCCAAATCCTTCGGGAGCATTGAGCATGTGCCAGAATAATGGTACTCCGTCGAAGTCACTCCCTTGATGAAGTTGAGTATCTCGTCATCGCTCTGCACACCTATTCCTGGAAGCGTTTCTGTTGCACCCAAGGCTTTCACGGGCCCGGCTGCCAGGAGTTCTCTGTTGAACCGCAGGGATTCAACCAGAACACTACCGTCGTATGGGTGAGAGAAGTAACGAGGGTCAATGACTGGTTGTTCGAATGGGTTGGATGATGCAATCGATACGGTACCCCTGCTCATAGGGTGCATCAAAATGTTGACCACCGAGCGACCTCCGTCAACATAGAGTAGCTCCATCGCCGCCGTCTTGTTCATCTTGTGCATTGAGATAATCTGTTCGGTCTGCTTCTCATATCCGGCTACAACTGTTGAGTCGGTACCCTGCGGAAGGTACTGCGTTGAGTTGCTGTTAATTGCGGAAAGAATTGTACTGGCCTTGTCCGCTGTCGTGAAGTTGTGAAGCGGAATGAATGCGAGAGCTTCGGCGATTGTATCTGTCCAACGGCCTGTAGAAACATACGTTAGAAGTCATTCTTCGAATTGAATCGCACCCTCATATGAAGTTGACATGCCTTTTCTCTCGGCGTAATAGAGATCCCGCTGCTCACTATCAAAAGTTGAGTTTTCAAGGTCAGAGTTACCCGGAATACCCTGGCTTACTACAGAGTTCGTTAGAGAATGCAATTAAACGTAATTTCGATCACAAAACTTACATGATGCAAGCGTGAGTCCGAACGGGTGATCCTGCAGGTTTGCTCCAACGCCGGGGAGGTCGACTGAGACGTCGATCCCAACGCGTGAAAGGAGAGATGCTGGTCCAACACCAGATAGCTGTAGAGTCTTGGGAGAACTCAGAGCGCCTGCTGACAGAATGACCTCCTTTGCAGCCATCACTCGCTCAACTGGGGCATCCGGTCCGGTGACAAACTTAGTTCATGTTAGTGTTCACCATCATTCATCCCTTTGCGCGATACAGGTACTTACTTCGACTCCTTTGGCGACGACGCTTTCACCAACGGTTTCGAGTATGATTTTGGTGACTTGGTGCCCAACGGCGAACTGTAAGTTGGCCCGCTTGGAAATAAAGTCATAGTGCGCGGTCCTGGCACTAGACCGAGACTGATTGCGGGGGTCAATAGAATGTGTCGTCAGGTAAGCGCCCAAGGGGTTGCAACCTTGGTCTACAGGCGAACTGATTCCAAGACCATGCATAGCGTCAAGGAAGTTTGCTGCAGGTTCACATTAGACATAATTCTGAACGCTGATGTCCTGATCGACGAACATACTGTTGTTCGGGTGAGACCAAGCCAGGTAGCTTGAATGTACCGGGCCATCAAAGCCATGGCAAGCTGGGTCGTACGTCAAGCCGTATAGTGAAGCATGGTCAGGTGGTGAAGGAGTGAAGCTTTCGCTCTGTTCACAGGGATGAGTGAGTCCAGCTCATTCTCAGGAGCAGGGATATCTTGCCTTTTTAAAGTAGGGAAGCAGACTTTTGAAATCCCATCCCTCGTTGCCAAGTGCCGCCCAAGCATCGTAGTTCGAGGGCATGCCTCGGTCGAAAATCATCGCGTTGACAGTGCTACTCCCTCCGATTGCGTGTCCCTGCGTGAGATTGACAGTTTGTCCTTGAAGGTACTCTTGTGGGACAGAAGTGAGATTCCAGTCGTATCGTGTACCGGGAGCAAAACCAGCGGCTCCTGGGTAGAATCGGGGGATCATGACAGCCGCCTCAGACATATCTCTATCGTAGTCGTCAGCATGTTCTTAAAAGAGTCTAGGGGCTTATTCAGAAACCACATACAATGTTCCAGCTTCAATTACCAGAACTTTGTCTAAAGGCATTGCGGTCAGTACTCCCCACCAACCAGGTGCATTTTGAAACACAACATACTCGCTTCGTCTGCGGATAATCTGGAAGCAAGAGTCATTCCAGCTGTTCCGCCACCTACGATCACGTAGTCATACGTGGTTGCATTAATAGGTGAGGCATTTACTGCTGTTATGGCAGATTGCACAGCTATGGCTGCGAGAGCCCATTGCCTGAGCAGGAGCATGGTGAGTCAAGCCAAGCAGCACGCCAACCTATCACAGCAATTGTGAACAGAAAAAGCGAGTTCGGTTGAAGTTGGCAATTCAAGGTCTGACTGATCTTTTAACGAGCTGCACAAGTGAAGGTCGGATGACACGGGATCACTCCCATTGAGCTTAAGTTCGTGCGAAGTAACCTCATCAAACCTTAACATATTAATCGAGCCAAAGCCCTGTAATTTCATGGCCGCGATCAACGACTTTCATTGGGCCACGAAAGGTCGAAATATCATTGACCATAATTGACTAAACTCGTTGAGAACTCATTGAGACTGTATGGACGTATGCGTTTTACCACATGCATTATCGGCTTGAGTATGCGTCTTCACAAACAGCTTCAAATAACAACGAGCGTTCCAAACATACCGGATGCAACTACAGCTTGTTCCCCTCACTATGAAGCAGGGCAATCTGGTACAGATGAACCCGTCCTTCTGCTCCAAGGCGAAGGGAATAACAGGCAATGGGGGTGCGTTAGTTACACACACATTAAGAGGTTCAGGCAGGATCATGCCGCTTGAATAAGAATTGCTGATTGGTTTGAGTATGAACAAATACCATAAAGAAACTTAAATACAGTGAAATATACAAGAAGCCCTATTCTGTCTCCATTATGGAAGACGAATCGTCCGCAAAAACGGAACAAAACCAACCAAATCATTTGGTTTCTGTCGATGGCCTCAAAAGTCTGAAACATGTACTTTTTTACACCATTCTGACAGCCTTTCGCCTGCGTGGCTCGAGGATAGTTCGGCCAACAGGGCCCTGTTCCTCGTCAAATCCAGTCTTGCGATCGAAGATCTTTTTGCCTCTCAGCCAAGTCTCCTCCACGGTGCCCTTCAGCGTCTTTCCATCAAACGGAGAGACTTCATTGCGGAAGAACATGGTATCTGGGTTGACCTCAAAGGTAGCAGCATCGTCGAAAACGACCACGTCGCCGTCAAAACCGACACCGAGATCGCCCTTCTCTTGTTCAAGTCCGACCTGTCGCGCCGTGTTGGTACTCGTCCAGCGCACGATGTCTTCAATGGTAACACCCTGGGCCTCCGCCTGTGTCCACAAGATAGACAAGCCCAGCCCAAGACTGCTGACGCCACCCCAAGCGCTGAAGAAATCGCCATCCTCGCCCTTGTGGCTGTGAGGTGCGACGGGAAGGGTCTCGGGGATCAGCTTCAAGTCGGGAGTGCAGGGTGAGTGGTCCGAAACGACAGTCTTGATAACACCACCGTTGTCATCTCGCGAGAGTTCACCCCAGAGCAGAGCTTGGTTGGCGAGGTCGCGAGCAGGTGGGGCCGACTTGTAACGGGTGTCGCCCTCGGGCACCTCTTCAGCAGCAAGACTGAGGTAGTGGAAGCAGGTCTCTGCAGTGATGCGAATGCCTCGGTCCCTAGCTTCGCGGAGCATCGGAATGCCTTCTGCAGCTGAGAGATGTACGATGTGTAGGTCCAGCTCTGGTGCAATGTGAGCCTTGGCCAGGATCTGGCTAATGGCGTAGGTCTCCAGCGTAGGGGGGCGCGAGTCAAGGTACGTCTGGTAGCTGGTCAGAGGACCGGTGTACGGAGCTCCAGAGCCGACGAGAGTGACGTTGGGAGGGACCATTTCCGCGTGAAACATGACCGTGGTAGGTGAATCGGCCAGGGCGTGCATGGCTGCTTCAATGTCGTTAGGTCCAATGGCGGGGAACTCATCAACGCCGCTCTCAATGAGGAAGCCCTTGAATGAGCGCACGCCGGCTTCGACCAAAGGCTTCAGGTGCTGCGTGTTGTTCGGAATGAGGCCACCGTGGAAACCGACGTCAACCCAGCACTGGCCGTCTGCAGCCCTAGCCTTGGTGAGGAGGTTCTCGACAGTGGTAGTAGGAGGAAGGGAGTTGAGAGGCATGTCGATCAGGGCTGTGACGCCGCCAGATGCGGCCGCTCTAGAACCCGTCCAGAAGCCTTCCCATTCTGTGCGGCCAGGCTCATTGAGATGGACGTGGGCGTCAACCAGTCCAGGAAGAAGTAGCTTGGGCGAGTAGTCTGTGTAAGCGGTGCCAGGCGGGAACTCTGAAGACGGCCGAACAGATTCATCAACGGAGATGATCTTTCCGGTTGTTGTGTTGACCACGAGAGTGGCCTCAGTGATGGCACCGCCAACAACAGCCCGAGATGATGCAAACACCGTGATATCGGATGAGGCGTTGCTCTGCAGGAGGGCATTGGCCGCAGTGGCCAGTAAGACCGCGACACAGAAGCGAGGAAGTGTCATGGCAGCTGAGATGAAAAGAGTGTAAAAGTATTGACTGTCTAAGAAGACTCGTTGCGAGCAAGAGCAACTGCAACATTGTATGGAGGAATTTCTAGGCTTTTATAGACATTTTTCTTAGTATCGACTCGCTCAACGGCAATGATTCAAAAAAGAGCGTAAACTCTGTTCCGGACCGATGTCGGTAAGGTAGACCGCCAGAGAATGCTGCTCGGCCCCATCGTCAACATCTCTTTGGCGTCTTGGCATCGCTGTGGGATCTTGGAATAGTTGGACGGCCCAAGGGTGCATGCCAATGATGCATGGCGATCACTTACCATTGGTTGTACTCGATGCAATGCCGTAGCATTTTCGGCAGATTTTCTGCTGGCTCTATTTACTCCTGGCGATCACTCTCTCTACGCTAACCATCGGAGCAGGATATGGTTTCTTAGATTATCGAGTCTACCCACAGCACCACTTTGTGTCGGCAATAGTCGAAAGTCAGGATCTGTCTGAAGACTTGGCATTACACATCACTTCTGCTTGCAGAAGTTGTTGCCGATGTATATCACTGCAAGATAGACTGGCATTTTGAGCTCCCATCTTCTCTCTTGATAGCATCGGGTTGAGCATGTGGAAACTGTCTCATGCCAAGCTGGATACAGAGAGAAAATGATCCTGCTAAAATTTCAATCATCGGTCTAATACTTTTCTCGGCATCTGTCTCATCATAACACCCATTTGCTTGAACCCTACCGTAACTCTGAGCTAACTCGGACGAGTCAAGTTATCTCCGCATGATCACATCGGATGATGGTTTCTTCTCCACGCTTGTCATTCCGAGAGAACGGAGTTTAAGCCACAATTTCGACCGTTCCGGTAACCATTTCCCGTTGTTCTCTCTTCTTAAGAAATTATCAGGGGATCTCCGTGACGCGCATGAAGTCAAATATTTTCTTCGCGGACTTGGCACCGTCCGCTGCCACGTCGCTGTCGACAGACGAAGCTTTGCGAAGTGCTTGCCGACCAATGAGAAAGCTAGTTGTGATTCAATCGAGTAATGATCGAGTAAAAATCGAGTAACGGAGTTTAAGAGTTTAGCCGTGAATGGGGCCTGGTCATGGCCGCCATGACGTGGATCTTGTGCACGTTCCTAACAACAATGAACAGCCGTTGGGATGGCGATCGATTTGTTTAACTGATACTGCGTCTAACCTTAGACTCGAGACGAGATGAAAATAAACATCTGCTTTAAGGGGCTACCGGAAGATATGCGAGGAGCCTGATGGTGCTATTTCCAGGTTCTGCAGAGGAGCTTGAGCTCACATCCATTCCGTCGGTTTCAAGTCTTCTCGACTGACATATTCCCCGAGAAACCCAATCTTTGTATTTACGATTCAACAAAAATCTCATCACAGTTGTTCCTTTTGATTATCTTCATCGCAGTTGCAGCCAAGAGGAAACTAGCTTTAGGTTGGCCGACGGCCCGCAGGTGTAGTTAAGCCGGCGGGCAAAGCCGTGGTAGCGGTTATGTAACAACTCTCTTCCCCCGCAATGATCCACATGCTCAGCCCGGGTAAAGCAGTACAAACTTGATTGCGCAGTGAAGGGCGCAAGGGTGTAAAATAGTCTAAATTCGGGGTGTCTCGGAGGCTGAGGAAGGCCGAAATGTCTCTTCTGGGATTCCGGGTGGGACAGCTTTTGATGTACTTAGCCGAAGGCATTAACGTCTCACGAACAACTGAGTCGTATATACGATGAAAGACTCCGTAGACGGCGCTATATAATATCTTGGCGATTCTCTATTTCCGCGGAGGTCGTGTGTCTTATAAAGCTAGATCGCTTTCCTAAAATTGCGAGGATTTTGCAATTCTACATGTCTTGAGACCGCAGACTTTTCCTGACATTGCGATGTTTCCGGTTCAGCATTAAAGGTTCTATGAGTAAGCCCACAGTCTAAGTTTGTTACAGATCTTTATCCTCATGTGGCTCATGAGGAGCACGCAATTGCAAAAAGTCTCGATACGCAGGGCAACTACCATTCGGCTTTCTCAACTACTCGAGGTAATTCGAGAAGGAGTTGGATTCCATGACAGAACATCATTTATGAACTCTGACTATGCGTTTACATATGACGACGATGTTTCAGGAAGAAGTCATCTCAAAAGCCTTCAGCATGACCCATCCGAACGATTCACATTGTCACCACAGGACAGGTACTCTTTCGGCCGTGGCGATTCTGCGGCATTCATTTTTTCGATTGAGTTCCAGAAGATCAAGCGGGTTCTAGTAAGCTACTTGAGCTGGCGAATTGATATCTGTCGTCATCTTCCTGCACTGAAACCCTCATCCACCGCGCAAGTCCTTCAGCAATGGTTCAGCCAATTAGGAGTTGCGTATGATGCCAGGCATATTCCCACCGTTTCCTGCAGCTCGACTTATCTTACCGGATTCAGACAAATGCTGCGGTAAATCGTCCAATGGGACTTCACCTACCCGCTGCGGAAATAATCGCGATAGGCCCGCGATTGCGATAGCTCGCGTGTCACCGACTTTTGATCCTGGGAACGGCTTAGCGCTGACACGTCCCGGACTTTTGTGCAGCTTCATTCGCCTTTGCTTATGGCAGATACCCGTAAATCCACGGCTTTAGCCACCGTAACTGAGGTGGGTTTAAGACGTTCATACCCTTCCAGCACTTACTTCAACGTATCTTAAATACCGAGGAAGCCATTTCATATTGCTTTTGAGTGATGCAGAGTGAGGAAACTTTCCTGATTCAGTACACACGATCATCTGAATCTCGACTCTATCCCAAGTATCAGCCAGGTCTGTTGACTCAAGTCTCATACCTACGCGCTGCGGAGATTCTGATTTGACCAGAAATCAAGTCTATCTGCTCTTCGAACAGTTTGTCACACCAAAATTTCAAGATATCAACATGGGACGCGCGCCTACCAGCGGCTACTGCCACACCTGCCGGCGAAGACGAGTCAAGTGCGGTAAGCCGTCCAACTAGAGCCTCTCGTCTCCAGCCGAGATGAACCTCGAACTGACACAATGTCCAATCAGACAAGGGCCGCCCAGAGTGTGGTCGATGTCTGAAGTCAGGTCACAGATGCCAAGGGTACGAGCTGCCGCTCCGCATGCAGAACTACACGGTCAGTGGAGAGAGCAGCGGCAGCCAGACCTTGGTACCTGTGACTACCGCGACAGAAGTTCCAACTTTTAGACCCAGGCCCAGGGTCGTCCCAGAGCTTCCCCTGTCCGCGTTCCGTAACAGCATGGCGTTTTCACACCTGTTGGCAAACTATCGGTGGGCCCCGTTCTGGAAGCCGCTGTTGCGGACGCAGATATCCGAGGGTTCGACGAAGGCCGACAAGGCTCATTACACCGCTGGGCTGGCGACTGCCCTGGCGTACATGGGTACTCTGAAGAATGAGCCGAAAATGGTTTCTGATGGGTACGAGAAGAACGGGGAGGTCATCAGGGCCCTCCATTGGGCGCTCCTGGAAAGGTCGAAGCCTGAGATGGCGCGTTGGGCGCTTACCATTTTGGTTTTGTGCATGTATCAAGTAAGTGCCTTTCCTGAGAAACGTGACCTCTTAAGAACACGCTCTAAACTTACGAAACGCGCGGGTACTGACGAACTTGGTAGTATGCGGTGGAGACCGAACCAAACCTCCCACATTATCATGGTGTGGTAAAGGTCATCGAGTTCTGCGGGCCGGAGTACTTCCAACGTGAGCCAATGTTGACCATATTCCGCCAGATCAGAGCGCAACACGTAAGTTGATAGATAGTACGAAATAGTCCAGAGCTAACGTGAAGATACAATCAGTCGTGCAGCTCATTCTTTCACAAAGAGCCCTCCTTCTTCGGACAGGAACGCTGGAAGACCACTCCATGGGGACACAACCCAAAGACCATGTACGACCGTCTCATAGACATGTACATCGACTTGCCGGAGCTTGGTGCATTGCTTGGTCCATCATCATCCCCCTTGACCGAAGATCGGAAGCTTGAAGCCGAAATGAAGGCGAAGGGGCTTCTGTCCCGCTTGCACGACTGGAGGAGAGACTGGGAAGTCGCGAACCCCAAAGCCGCAACAGAGGTCTGGCTGCCTCTCGACACCGAGGACGTCAAGATCCCCTGGGTCAAAAACCTCGTGACGAAAGCGCTAGATGTTCAAACAGCAAACCAGGCGACCGACCTCCTCATCTATAACTCGACTCTGATCTACGTCATGCAGGCCCTGGCCATTCTGCGCACTGGCATTCGTGAACCTCAGCCGTTCCCAGCAGAACTGGACCCTGCTGTTGAGAAAACAGCGGAAGACCCCCTCTATATGCCACAAGATTTGAAGTATCAATGGCAGCCGCTGCTGGAAACATTGAGGATCATGCGCTTGGCACCAGGGCTACTTGCCGCCAGCAACAGCACTGTCATGCTTGCTGTGTCGGTTATTGGGATTGTTTACAATTATATCAAGGCGACTGAGGGCTTGGGTCGCATCTTGCTGTCCACAATGAACAATCCTGAACAGTATGAGGCTGCCGCTTCAGAGTTGAGGTTTTTCCAGCTGCCCCAGTAGCATATCATTCAGTGTAGCTATTTTTTAACTTTAAATACATAAATCCATACAAATGTACAGGAGCTTGTTTTATTTCAATATTACAAGGTCCAAGTCAGTCAGACATAGATAGCTTCAGGCAAAATACGTCTCCCAGCACAGCAAAAGTGATAGATACCACCAGCAAAACGGTAGTTGCGCCGAGGGGGAATCGAACCCCCGGCTCCCCGACGCTGCTGGGTGGCAACGGAGAATTTTACCACTAAACCATCGGCGCAGATGACGATCCGAGACGACGATGGAACCCGGAGTGGATGCGGGTTGACGAGCCGGAGTGGAATCATGAGAGGATGCTGGCAAAGCTCGGCGGGGCCGTCAGTATGAGCAAGCACTCTGGTCGGGGCCGATCTCTAATTCCTGGATGTGAAACTTCGAATGGGCATTATTTCCTTGCCGAAGGCTGATAATCAGATTCAGTATTGAATTATTGACCTAGATCACATATCAGGTGGAAGAACCATCGGTCCCTCGAGTCTTCTCCGCATACTCCAGTTGAAGTTCCTTCGCCGTAGCAGCAAGTCCCTCCCGCCATCCACCAGCTGCGTCTTTGAACCAGCCGATCCTCCCAAGAAACCACAACAACAGACCTTCAGCGCGGGCACCATCAGGATGATCCAGCAGCCCAACCGCGACGTCTACAAGCCACGGTCGATCGTGAACGGCATAGAAGACACTGGCGGAACACTTAGAGCAGAAGTACCGATCGACCCCGGGGGAGCTCTGATACGAAGCCAGGGTACCCAGGCGTGGATCCTTATTCTCAGAGGAGATGGCCGCTTTGAGGGCGTTGATGTCGTCCGGGAACTTGGAACCTTCCGAGGTGTCCCCGGGAAAGTCGATGTGACTCAGAGGAGCAAAGGTCCAGGCCATGAGGTCTGCTCCGAAGCTGAGCCTGCAAGAGTCGCAGCACTCGAAACTTCCTCTGTACTTCAAAGTCTTCGGGTCGATGAAGCACTTCTTCAGCTCCTCTTCAGACTTCGACTTCAGGTCTGCGGCACTTCGAAGCACAAAGTTCACTCCCTTGCAATGGCAGTAGAAGGGCGTGACCTCAGGCGATGGTCCGGCATTCAATTGCTCCGAAGACAGCGCCTTAGCAACGGGCCAGTCAGACGGCATCTCTTCGCCGCCCAAGCGGCCGTACATTTGTCGCCATCTCTTGACATTTTCACTCTTCGGCAACCATATGGAGGCTCCGCCGTCGATGGTGTCCTCGAGGAACAAGTGGTTGGCGTACTCGATCAGGCCGGGAGCGTTCTCGAGCGCCCCGGTCACGACCCATGGCTCGCCGCGGGTTGGCTCGCCGGAGCAGAAGAGTCGCGAAGAACAGGTCTTGCAGGCGAACAGATCGAGACGGTCGGAGAATGAATATTTGGCGAGGCCGGAAAGATCTTCTTCTGTGTTGGGCCAGGGCGCGCACGAAGAGTAGAGTGCGCCGGAGACGTGACGGCAAGAGTTGCAGTGGCAGCAGGAGGCCTTCAGCGGCAGCACTTTTTCCCCAATGATTGTGGTGAACGTGTGCGCCTTACAAAGGCATTGTGCCGTGATCGTGATGATGTCGTCTTGCATGGTGGTGTAATTTGGAGGTCCTGGGATAAGATCTGATAGCAGAGTTGAACCAAGGAAGTTCACAAAGTCAAGGAAGTTCACAGAGAGTACTTATCTATGTGCGGGGTTGATTTTGAGTTGCCTGGAGAAGGGCGTAACTGACAACCCCGGACTGAGTGCCAATACGTCAGTGGCTCGGCTGACTGCATTGAAACGTGAAACACTCAACTTTCACACATAATTGCAGCCTAAATCAACGTATAAATCTATCCGCAAATTCTGTAATACGGACAGAAGTTGCCCCTTAGTATGCTTCGATAGGTAGACTAAGACGCATCACACGACGTTGCTATTGGGATTCTACGGAACGACTCAAAGCTTGGCTGAAGTCATCGCTAGCATTCGTGTGTCTCATTCTTCATATCATTGGCGTAGAGCCTACATGTCTGGATGGCTGTCTCGTTGATTGAGATATGTGTTTTCGCCGACGGACTTCGCCTCTCAGCAGTACAAGGATGCATCGGTGATTAAACAATCCCACCATCACGTACCGTACCGTACCTTAGAGAAACTTGTTGCAGTGATACCGGAATCCACACACCCCTTGCTAGCGCTCATAGACAATTTGATGAGTCTGTTCGTACCCGCTCAAACCCTTGTTTTCAGCTGGAATTGCAACCCCATTTACAGGCGGTTTTAACTATGTCTCCAGACAAACGGCTAGGCAGACGCGTCTCCGGCGTCTCTCAGCCGAGACTTGGATGCCTCCCGGACAAAGTCAGAAGACAAAAGATAGCCAAACTGCCCTGTGATAGTATCGATTAGCGAGAGCAAACGCTCAGCCCAATTGCAGACTTCGATGCTCCAATTGACTTCCAGATTGGCCGTTCAGTCACGGCCACATCCACGATGGGCGGCTCTACCAATGACGTCGACACCAACATCAACACCGGCCCTGGTGTCGCTATCGCAGCAACCCCGGTTCTAGAAGACAACAACCTGCGCCGTGATCAGTATGAGTCAAAGCAAAACCAGCTTCCCCTCACGGAGCAGGATCCAGAGCACAAGACCACACCCTACCCGAGAAAATCGCTGTCCTTCAAGCTCGCCTTCTCCGGACTCGCTCTCGTCCTTTTTGTCTTTCAGCTTGACGCAACATGTCTGAGCATTGCGCTTCCGGTGAGCCCGTCCTGATCTCCAAACCGCCTACAGTCATATACACATAATCTCTGACACGTAGTGACGACCATCACAGGCCATCTCCGGAGACCTGCGAGGCACCAGTCTGGAGTCGTTCTGGGCAAATCTGGCCTACAGCCTCTGTGGTCTGGTGATGCAGCCCGTCTCTGCCAGCATATCCCAAGCCTTCGGCCGCAAATACCCTCTCTACGTGTCCGTGGCATTCTTCTCCGTCGGGTCCGTCGTCTTCGCGACGGCTAAATACATGAGCACCCTCATCGCCGGCCGTGTCCTCCAGGGCATTGGCGGCGGAGGCATCGACGTCATGGCCTCCGTCATCCTGGCCGACATGACGGCCCTAGAAGAGCGCTCAAAGTACCTTGGCCTTATGGCTATCCCCTCCGCCGTCGGCAACGTCATGGGCCCTTTCGTCGGCGCCCTGTTCTCGACTTACGCCTCGTGGAGATGGATCGGATGGATCAACCTACCGCTGCTGGGTGTCGGCACTATCCTGCTGTTCTTCTTCCTCAAGCTCCGTGCCGTCCCGCTCGGCGCTACTCTCGTCAGCAACCTCAAACGCCTCGACTTGGTCGGCATGCCCCTTATCGTCGTCGGCATCAGCATCTTTTGCGTGCCCGTCAGCTGGGCCGGATCCCTGTTCCCATGGGCATCGTGGCAGACTCTTGTGCCGCTGCTCCTGGGCGTCGCCATGATCGCCGTGTTCGCCTGGTACGAGTCCAAGCCCGCGGCACCCATCATCCCCCATCGCCTCTTCCAGTCAAAGACGGGCAACATGGCTCTTGTGGGCGGCTTCGTCCACGGCATGGTCCTCATCTCGCTGCTGCAGTATCTGCCGCTGTTCTACCAGGCCGTCCAGCTCGAGACGGCAATCTCGGCGGCTGTCTGCTTGCTACCCACCGTCATCGTGAGCGTCGTCGTCGCGGCCGTGTCCATGATGATGGTCCCGCTCTTTGGGGGTTACGTCTGGCTTCTCCGACTGTCCTGGGTCATCACCGCGCTGGGGACTGGTCTGCTGGCACTCTTCACAGTAGACTCGCCAAGGTCGATGCTCGACGGGCTGCCGATTCTCTGGGGCCAGGGCGTCTCGCTGCTGCGTCTGATGATGCTCCCTGCGCAGGCGAGCGTCAAGCACGCTGACGATGAGGGGCTGGCGACGGCGAACTTTCTCACCATTCGCATGTTCGGAGCTCTCGTCGGTCTCGCTATTTGCTCGCCCATCTTCAACACTGTCTTTTCGACTTCCATCTCGGGAGCAACGGTCGATCTGGCGGGGCCGTTGGCACCGTTAAGAGAAGCCTCCAACGCTGTGAACTTCATCGGCGAATTGAGGACTCTCGAGGTCCCTGCGTCGACGCTGAATCAGGTTCTGCAGGTCTACCTCGAGTCATTCAAGGCAATCTTTTACACCATGGCCGCACTGGGCGGGTTGGGTCTGGTGTCGTCGGTCTTCTTAGAAGAGCTCGAGTTGAGGAGGAAGGACCGTGGGAACCAGCAGTTTGAGGATGATCCGAGTGATCAGAAAGGCCTTGTTCCTTAGAATTCGGAAATCCGAGACAACCGATGCCGAAAGAACACAGCCCTTGTGACAACACAACCAGTCTCGCATCCACGAGAAAAGGGGACAGGTTTTCCCACATGAGAGCTAACAATGTCAGATATATAAAGGTCGAAGTTTTGTCTGATCCCAAGATCCTGGGTATCATAATTTAAAAGGGGCTGCGGCTCTACTTATCCAAAGAGCCAGTTGTCAACATGGTCTGAAGTTCTGACATCGGACCAATTTGCACACTCATGCAGGGTTAGGGTCATCCTTATGCACAACCACCACCAGCGCCCGTTAGTCATCCCAGACTGAATCAACGTCGACGCCACTGACGGCGATTCCAAGACTATGAAGTGGGTCTCTTCCATCCTCAGACAGTCTATGTTACACAACTTTGATCCTTTCAACCGTCAACTTTCTTCATTATTTTCACTAAAGCCTACCTTGGAGGTCGAGGTACGCAGTCCGGCAGAGTTTGATTCTGCAGCTGCCAGATCTCACCTCATAGACCAGACAGATTGGGGGAAAAGCTAAACATGAACGACCACAATGAGACCGTGAGGCGCATCTCTGGGGTCGTCAAAGAGTTCCATTCCCGCCGGCAGCCGTTCCGGATCTACCACGGCTCCACCAGCAGCACCCGGCCCGCCCACAACCAGAGTGTCGTCGACATCAGCGACCTGCGCCATGTCTTACACATCGACACCGCCGCGGCGGTCGCCGTCGTCGAGCCCAACGTCTCCATGGACCAGCTCGTCGCCGCGACCTACCGCTACGGCATGGTCCCGCCCGTCGTCATGGAGTTCCCGGGGATCACTGTCGGCGGCGGCTTCGCCGGATCCGCCGGGGAGAGCAGCTCGTTTCGCCACGGTTACTTTGATGAGACGGTAACGTCGGTCGAGATCGTCCTGGCCACCGGCGAGGTCGTCAATGCGTCCAAGACGGAGAATGCGGATCTCTTCAAGGGTGCGGCCGGGGGCCTGGGCACGCTCGGCATCGTCACGAAACTGGAGCTGAGGCTGTTGAGGGCGAGGAAATATGTGAAGGTCACGTATCACCCGTACTCGAGGATTCCGGACGCGATAGCTGCCATTCAGCGCGAGACGAATCTGGCGCACAACGATTACGTGGAGGGCCTCGTTTATTCCAGGACGAGCGCTGCGGTTGTGACGGGTCAACTGACGGACGACCTGCCCCCGAAGCACCGGCCGCAGACTTTCAGTAGATCGAAAGACCCGTGGTTTTACATACATGCACGGAAGCGGATCGCAAATGCCGTGCCGACCCCGGACTACGTTCCATTGCATGACTACCTCTTCCGATACGACAGGGGCGCGTTCTGGATGGGCGAGTTGGCCTTCAAGTACTTCGGTTTCGTACCATTCAATCGCATTACCCGGAGAATTGCGAACCGCCTCATGGACACCAGGACGCTGTACAAAGCAGGCCTGGGCGGAGGCAGCCGCATGACCTTTAGATACATAATCCACGACCTGTCGCTGCCGTACTCGACGGTCGAAAGCTTCATCGACTACGTCGCGGACAACCTCGAGATCTGGCCCCTGTGGCTCTGTCCGCTGAAAGCCATAGAAGCCCCCAGTTTCCACCCCTACACGACGGAACCGGGTGGGGCGTCACCCCAGCCGATGCTCAACGTGGGCGTCTGGGGCCTGTCGTCGAAGAAGATCGACCGTTTCATGCGGCAGAACCGAGATCTGGAGGCGAAGCTAATGGAGCTCGGCGGGAGGAAAGTGCTCTACTCGCACGCTTACTACACGGAGAAGGAGTTCTGGGAGATGTACGACAAGGATTGGTATACGAAGCTCCGGGAGCGGTACAGCGCCACGAGTTTACCTGATGTTTACGACAAAGTTACGGTTGATGTGAGCAAGGAACGGGAAAGGCGGAGTCTGCGCGACAAGATGGCTGTGAAATGGCCGTTTGCCGGACTTGTTGGAGTTTGGTCGGCGATTCGGAAGTGATGGGACAGGCATTGCATTTTCAGGGATGATATAGAAGGCGTCGATCTGCTTTGGTTGATTCAGGCTTTTTCTTCATTCACCGGTTTTAATGAGAGTCACGATAGAGAGCTAGGGTTTGGTAAGCCCCTCTCAACTGACAGGCTGACTGGCTTGTATTGATTATTGTATTATGCTGCATGCAGATAGACTGGGTTCTGGTGTTCTGGATACAATGTACCATATTACTTTCTCGTTTCTTTGCTTTTCTCCCACAGACAGAGCCTTGATTTAATACAGCGGACGATCAGACTGTATCTTGACATAATGGTCTGCACCACTGATGAACATTCGAAAGGAGGGACCTACAGACCAATTGTCCAAGTCCATTGTTCGGCCCTATAAATGAATCATTAGGCAAGCTCCAAACCTGGAGAGTAGTCCCTACCTTAGCTTCAGCAGTAAGAACCATGTCACCTGAGATCAAATCTCTCTTCATGGACTTGGAGAAGTCATCTTCCCAGTGGCAACATATCGTCAAGCTCATATCCATGAGCCACATCAGGTCTCCCTGCATCGCCGGCGTGCTGATGAGTTTGTCTCGCAGGGCGGGCCAATTGAGAAAGTCAATCAGCTCCACATGCAGCATGAACAGCTGATACGGAGTCAGCCTGTACCACTCCGGTATGTCTTAGTAAGTGTCCGGCCGTGGATTGACCATCCACCGCATCAGCACCCACATGAGGTAGCATGCTGCGAGCGATGTAAAGTCGTTGCTCTTGTGACGAACACTGTAGATGATTCTTGCCGCCCACTGAGAGAGCATCGAAGTCTTCTCGTATTCGTTTCTGTCGAAGATTGCGGCTACGTTGCAGTCAGTTCCGGTCACGGCGTCGGCAGGTATGCCGCTCGCAATCATGGCCTTGGTTTCGTGGTAGATGACTGAGATTGAGTCCTTAACAGAGGATGCGCCGGCCAGAGTGTTCATGGGCATCATAGCCCATGTCGGGACGTGAATGTTCTCGACCTGTCGAGCTTGGATATCTGGAGGGTAATGGTTGGCTTTGACGCCACTTGAGAAGGGGAGATTGCCAAAGTTCCAGACGTTATCGCTGAGAATGGCGTGGCTTGCCATCTTGGGCCGTGTGGAACCCTTTAATCCTCCTATGGTCTGTTGTCTTGTAGAATCTGCGGGAAGGGACACCTGCGGAAGACCGCTCTCCTCAGTTACCGCAATGGATGTGACGATAGAGCCTTTATGTTTTATTTCCAACGACACTGGGCCTGGATTTGGCAAGGCCTTTTGCTTCCATTCCTCTCTGTCAAAGAGAAGAGTGAGAAACGTCTCATGACCAGTAGTCGGAAACACCGCTGGGGGGTTTAGAGTGACCGTTAGACTACCTGGCGGGCTTCCGCCTTGTGACGATGCTGAGGATCTATAACAGGTCAGTGGCCCGAGTTACTGATGACATTTCGTAGACGACGCTGCTTCTCACCTTTTACCACCAATCACATTCTGCTGACTTTGTAGCTGAGACATGATACCTTCCAGATCCGCTCCGACCCTGATGGCAGAGAGAACCTGAATAGCCTCTTCATCAGCACCCTCGCGAAGTGCGTTAAATAGCTGTTCCAGATTCCCCGTCTTGTCCCGGAGCCGATGAGCCTCTGCCCTCAGGTTTGCGCGTGAAACGTCATATTGACAATCTTCTCCCCGAAGGTTACACGGGGAGCAGATCGGGACTTGCCCGTCACACTGCGTAGCACAATAAGGGGTTAGCCGCAGTAGTTTGATCAGCTAAGGCACGCATCTTCGCATTTACTCGCCTTCACCTTCTTTCTCTTGCACGCTAAGCATGCGTTCCTTATCATGGCCCGACGGGCAGGCTTTGAGTTATCCCGTCGTTGGTTCGCGTTTTCGTCGGGCCCATCTTGTCCTCCTTTGCTGGGGCTGGGTGCGGGGAGTAAAGGCACCAATCGTCGCATGGCTGATGGGCAGCAGAGTACAAGTGTTGCTCGATGGCTCGTTAGCTATGCGGAAAAGATGCATCCAGTAGATCTTGGTCGGAGTAGACTCCGGAGGCGGAGGATCTGCACGCCAGATCGCGAAAGGGATGACCAGAGGAAGTTGCAAGGGGGCAGAGGTGAAGACCGGCAAGACCTGTCAGCTCTGCCGCTAGGGACGAGCTAAACCCGGCTCGGTTGTGGCTGCTGCAGCTTGCGCCGAATGTACATGTCTGATGGATCCGATGAAGCGACTGGGAAAGGTGTGTCTGGCGGATACTCATGATACAACTAGGTAGCTTATTGAATTTGAGCGAAAATCTCTGGGTTCTTCGATGGCAAGAGTTGGAAATGTTGTCGGAGGGTCCAGCCATGGCTGGCTGTATAGCCTCAGCGCAAGACATTGAGGCTATCCCTTCATGTTCTCCCTTCGCCGTGAAAGCAGTATCTCATACATCCAACACCGGGCCGCTGCTGCCATACACAGGATCCTTGGTGAACCAATCGACCTTGCTGATACTTTGAACCTTTCTCTCCTCCCCTTTCTTTCCGTAACACATATCCCAGTTGTGTCCCTTGGGATAACTCCCGACCATCTCAAATCCTCCGTCGACATCCTGCATCAATCGGTGAGAGACCCCAGCTGGAACAACAATAACGTCTCCTTTCTCAACAAGCGGCTCAACTCGGCCTTCGTTCTCCTCGCCTCCGAAGCAGAGCTTAGCGCGACCGTTGCTGATGCACAGCAGCTCATGTGTGGTGCTGTGGAAGTGGCTGGTGCTGTACATGGTGTACCGCCATTGCGGCTCGACGACGCCGACAGAGGAAAGATGTGATTCGATGGCGGAAGCGCTGGCCGAGGGAAACGCCGCGTGGTAGATCATCAGCGGCTTGTTCTGGATGCTGGTGTTTGGCAGCAGGTCGTGAGCGGGTATCATGTGTTTGGAGACTCGGAGGGATGAGAGAGGAGTGAGTGAGATTTTGGATGCCATTGTGGTTTAGATTTTGAGTTTTTGACTGTCTTTGTGGTTGTGTCTTGACGGTTCTGCGTTTCCATGAGAAAATCTCTGAGGGGGCATGAGGTCGGACTGAGGTGAAGAGGTTCTGACGTCATAGGCTGTGAAGTACTGCGTTCTGATGAAGTCGATTGATCCCGCTGGCTTATTCTATAGTATCTAAGCAATTCTATTCTATCGTAAATGAAGACAAGTCATTTTCTGCGGTCTACACATTCTGCAACCGCCGATTTCCTTTTCAATTGAAGAGTGAAGCTCTCGCAGGTCATGACACACTCACCACGCGATCCCTCAACAGCGACACGCCAGCATTCTCAATGGGCCAGACTTGGCATCCAACGTAAGCCTTGAAGTAATCAGCGAGCGTTCCGAAAACGTTGCTATCGCATCCAATCATCCGCAGCCAAGACGACGCGGCACTCATCCCAAACCCAAACACCCAACACCGAGATCCCAATCCGTAAATCATGTTCAAGCAGTGGCCTTCCATGACTCCTGGATAGCGCCCCAATACCTCTCAGGGAACATGCGCATGTGTCCGCAATGGCCGCTTCCTTCAAACAGAATGGCATCGTGAACGTAGCCCTTCTTCTCCGAGGTGGCGATGTTCTCCTCGATCTCCTCGGGATGGATGATCACATCGTCCTTGCCGTAGAAGTACAGCCTGCGCATGGTCTTTGGCACGAAGCTCTCATCGTTGACCGCGTTGCAGCTGAACACAGGCGCCGGCTCCCATCCAATCGCCAATTGGTACCCGCGGTTCAGCGCGAGGAGGAATCCCACAAAGGTCTGCGTGACGACGTAGGGAAGCGGGACGTAAGGCGCGACGGCCATGGCCGCCGCGTTGGACCACCGCTTGAGGGTCTCCCAGGTCATGTACGGGGTCCCGGGTGTCGAGTCGAAGACGCCGAGGCGTTGCGGCATGGGCTTGTTGTATCTCTGCCGGTAGTTCTTCAGGGTGGAGGCGTAGTTGATGCCGCCCGTGTTGGACATGGCGTGGACGAGCACGGCGTCCTCGTCGGGCGTGCCGATTGATGATGGCGGGTACGTGGCGTCCACGACGAGCTTCATGCCGTCTGCGCGCGTTTGGATGCTCTCGGTCATGGCTTTGGCGATGGGCGAGAGGATGACGACTTGTCGCGCGTGAGGGTACAGCTTGCTGTAGCCGTCGGTGTATTTAGCGACGTGTTTTGGAACGGCGTCGCCCCAGCCGTAGATGATGACGACTCGGGGGTGATCCGATGGTCGTGTTGTGCCCTCTGCCAGTTCCTCGCCATCACGGATGAAGATTTGGTCGTTGAGGGCTGTGAAGCCCGGGAACGGGATGGCCTTCGGTGCCTTCGGTGCCATAGCTCAACTGAAAAATGAGATTAATGAGTGCGGAAGTGAGATCAGTGAGAATGTTTTCAAGAAATGTCAAAAGAAAGACGGCTCGCGATCTCGCTGTAATCGGTGTCTGTCAGCAGGGGAAGGCAAAATTCATATATTCTTCACGACGAGGCAGAGACTTCATGATGACTGATCAGCCCGCAACTCGGCGATATCTTATCAAGGGGCCCGGAGCAGCGAACGGCGGACGGGTGTAGGCGACGGTACCGCCTTGTTGGGAATCGTGGATCCATAGTCTTGGCCTGTTGGGACTGAATCGAAGCATCCAATGGCCTCATGAGGGTCCTTGTCAAATGAGCCATGAAGGATCTTACGCGTGCGGTGCGGTGTGAACGATTGACGCGACAAAATGTTCAATCCCTGGCCTGGCTCGCCGTCAAGCCCCTTTTCAATGAGTGGCTGAATGAGATCTCACCTCATCAGTTCAGGGCAAAACAAGTGCAAAAGTCTCAGTAAAATATCCGATTCAGGCCCACTTACCGAGGTCAAATATCTCAGAAGACACGCCAACCTCTCTCGGGCTCTCCAAAATTCAGCGGCTTGCCCGAGAGTCAGGTGACAGTCAAGATGCCGAGGCACATCTGGAACGGGATCTCGGCGAAACACCGACCGATTTCCAGGTGCCGCAGTTACAGGAAAACCCCCCTGAAGAAAGCAATGTTAACCGTGCTGGTCTAGAACGTTATCCGCCGAAAACCCCTGTGTTTGGGGGGAAGCTTCCCCGGATTCCAGTGACACTGACGATTGATGCTTCTTCACGTTATCACACTTGCTTGCATTCAGTATTACTGATCCTACCGTCTGCTTTCTCTTGCAAAGGTTGACGCTCGCTCTTGTTGATTGATTCGTTTGACCCCGAGCCAAGCTACTAGCAGGGAGAGCTGTTGTGACCCATCCCTGAATTTCGTCCCGGCTCGCATCCTAGGATCTCAAGCGGCCGATTCCGTTGACCCTCATCATGGCGTCCGCACCTTCAGAACCTCTAGTACCGTTCGCAGAGGCAACCGAAGTCACACAATCAGACTCTCACTCATACCGCGCCAGCCTCCAGTCTGCTTGGTGTATTGGCTCAGGTACGCAATCGCACGCTCATTCTTATCTCAGCTCATTCCGCCTCACGCGCCTACAGTACCTAATGGCGGCTATGTCGCCTCAGTCATCCTGCGTGCGGCGTCCCTCCACCTCGCAGCGCGTGGTCAACCAGATACCATCTCTGCTCATTTCGAGTACGTCAATCGAACGGAGGTCGGCCCGGCGATCCTTGTCGTCGAAGAGGTGAAGCTCGGCCGCACGATTTCAACGCTGCATATCACTCTCTACCAGCATGACCTCCAGCCTACCGCGCCGTGGCTTGGTTCCAAGTCCCGCAAGAACGTGCTCGCCTACCTCACAAATACCCGCATAAGTCTCGAGAAGGGGCTCACCCTCAGCACCGGATGGACGGTGACACCACCGCTGAAGCCGGTGGACTTTTCCATGCTCGAGCTCAACAGAGACCCTCACTGGGTTAAGAGAGACAAACTCACCGCCCGCGCAGTCTCTTTTGCTCGAGCGCACAACAACCTCGAGCACTACGTCCCGCGAGAGGGCACGCGTCGCGGGATGGCGGACATTTGGCTGCGATTCAAGGCGGGACAGAAGTTTACGAATGCGTCGCTGGGCTATATCGCAGACGCATATCCTACGATCGTTGAGGGTTGGAGGCCGCGTCGTGACGAGGAGCAGACGCCGTTCCGGTCGAACGAGATGTTTTGGTACCCGACAATTGCTTTGAACCTGGATGTGAAGAAGACCTTGCCTGAGGAGGGTGTCGAATGGCTTTTCATTCGGTGCTTGGCCAAGGTTATTCAGAACGGTAGACTAGATTTGGAGGTTGTTATCTTAGACCGGGACCAGAACGTGGTGGCACTGAGCAATCACGTCAACTTGGTCTTGTCGGCAGAGCGGAATCTCAAGGAACGAAGCCACGCGAATGGCAAACTCTAGATGTTATAGAATAACGTCTAATCATTCCCACAATTCATGAAATCAGGCCATCCGTGATGATGGTTTGATGGATGATGTTTCATGTCTCATAGTCTTCTCATGCTGCCCGACTTGAACTCATGCACAGTGACATGTGTCAACCTACCCACCACCTTATCTTCACACTAATCTCATTCATAACACCCATTCGTATGAACTTGCAGTTTATCATCCACATTGAGAAAGAGTTTGCTGAGTCAGTGTCCGAAAATCCAAGGTTGTTCCAACCAACCGGTTAGGTGCAGATGACGTGAGCCAACATCTCACGATGAGTCCCACCACCACCCCACTATCCCACACATTCTGCATCTATTAGCTGCAACCGGCTGTACGACGAGGAACCATTGGTTTCCGTCCACGGGAATCCGACTTCGGCTCAATGGTCTAGCGGTATGATTCGCCCTTCGGGTGTTGGTGATGTGTCACAACCCTCCCGCTCAGCGGGAACATGAATGGGCGAGGTCTCGGGTTCGATTCCCGATTGAGCCCTTTTGCTCTTCTGCAATACCTTTTGTTAACTTCCCATTTGCTTTTTGAGTTGGGTTGAATATAACTGGCATACATGTAGATGCGCATTAGTACTTAAGTCTCACAATAGGAAAGGGAGGCTCAGGGGGAGTGAGACTAGTTCAGTTTTCTTTCAGTTGGCTATCTATTTATAAAGCAGAATACTCCAATTTGTCGAGTTCCAATTATTGAGAAGCACACAAAGATGATAGATACTATCTTACATATCCGCTGGTTGCTTGATATTATCATACACCCAGGCAGAACGCCAAGCACGTCTTGACAGTGAGCTGTGACAACACCTTGCCAACACTTCATTCCGAAGTCGGAGAATACCGATCCCGATCACGTTCAAGCCTTCTTCTTCCACAACTGTCCAAGCCCACCCTTCTTGGGAACCCTCGCCAGCCAGTACAAGAACAACGCAGCAAACAGGTTGAAGACAATGTACACCCACATCAACCCCCAATTTCGCCATCTCTTATCGTACGCCGTCGAAGTCGTGGCCAAGAAGGCATCCGTGGTGGCCAACGGGCAAAACTGGCACATGTCGGTGCTGTTGGGATTGTAGACCCTACCCCCGGCCAGTTGCATGTACGGCTCCATGTACGCGCCGCACGTCACGTTATTTGCCTGCGGGGGGCTGAACTGCAAGAGCTCGAGTGAAGAGCACTCAACCGTGTTGTGTGCCAGACCAGTCGACAAGAGACCGTCGACGAGGTAGGTCAGCGGCGAGACCCTGTACATGAACTTCCAGAATCCAGGGAGCGCGTTCTCGGGAACGATGACGCTGCTGGTGGTTAGCTGTTGTAACAGGGATTTGGACAGGATGTCGACTCACCCGCAGAAGATAAGACACAGGGCAAACAACAGAAGGGACAGCGTCGCTCCAATCTCGGCCGTCGGAACACCCGCCACCACCATGTCCGCGAACGTCGACTCGAAGAGCATGAACGCCCAGACCAGCAAGAACATCAGGCCTCCGCGCTCAGTGACGGCGTCTGTTGGGATCGCGTTCCTGTACATACCGACGAGGTAGTAGAACGGGAAGAAGATCACCAACGAGGCCAGCGTGTTCCACGGTAGCTCGACGATGATGTTGACCAGCATGAAGACGTACCAGGAGTAAGCTCTGGAAGCTCGCTCTCTGGCTTCATACTGCTCGCGTTGGAGGATGAAGTTGGGCATGGTCTGGTAGACGAGGAAGGCGAAGACAACCAGGAGCATGAAGATCGAGAACATCTGGCTCTGTAGGCCTTGCATGGTGAGTTCCGCCTTGTAGAAGGAGACTCCGATGAAGAGACTCTGGAAATTGGGTCAGTAAGGGGCGTCTGTGAAGGTGAGTGTGGAAGCTTTGCTTACCGTTCCGCCGGACAAAATGAGCTTGGAGTAGATGTACGAGGGCGTACGCCAGTACTGCTGGAAGACTCTCTTGGTGCACATGGCCAACTGCACGTGGAACGGCGTGGCGTAGGTCGTCATCTCCTCCGAGGTCCCTGAAGCCGGGCTTGAAGGCGACTCCTGTTGAAGGCGTTCAAGCTCCCGTTGCACCTGCGCACATTCGTGGCTTTCTTTCCAAGTTTCGGGCCAATCTCTCTCAGCTTTCGCTCCCGGAGCTGCCCCGATCACCTTCAGCATCCACTCCGCTGGGTTCTCGTCCTGGCCACATGGAGCTGCCCCGTACTGCTCGAAGTAGCTTGTCAAAGTCCGAGAGTTCTCGCCGATGTCACCGAAGTACACAGTTCTTCCGCCTTTTGCTAGCAAAAGTAGGCGATCAAACTGTTGGAAGAGTAGAGCAGAAGGTTGGTGTATGGTGCAAAGAATAGCCTGTCCGTTTTCCGAAAGTTTACGGATGAGAGATGCAATGGACCAAGCGGTTTGGCTGTCAAGACCGGAAGTCGGCTCGTCGAGGAAAAGAAGTAGGTCGGGCTTTGCAGCTAATTCGACGCCGATCGTGAGTCGTTTACGTTGCTCGATGTTGAGACCTGTGATCAGGGATGTCAGCTACCATTTTGACGGTTGAATGGAGAGGAGTTATACCTTCACCCGGAACACCGACAATGGCATCCGCATATGCTTCCATCTCCAGCAGCTCGATGACCTCTTCCACGTAGGCATACTTCTCCTTCTTACTGACAGATGCGGGCTGCCGTAGCATGGCGCTGAACTGAAGAGCCTCACGAACGGTTGAGGTCTCCAAGTGGATGTCTTGCTGCTGCACGTAGCCCGTTTTTCGTTGAAACGACTGATCTCTGGGAATCCCGTTGACCAGCATGTCTCCGGAAACGACGCCCATGGTGACTCGATTGGCCAGAACATCCAATAAGGTAGTTTTTCCTGCACCGGTCGCACCCTGGAGTCGTTTGGTCAGTGAAATGTCATGAAAAATAGAACCAAGGATTCTTACCATCAAAGCTGTCAGCGTGCCTGGCTTCACCCATCCATCAACCGAGCTGAGAATTCGCCTATTTTGACCCTTGATCATGATATCGTAGCAAACATCTCTCCAATGGAAGACTGCTCGGTGCTTCCGGCTGACTGTCTGTCTCGCCGTCGATGTGGTCCGGGACATCTCCTGTTTCTCTTGGTGATGGTAGACACGATCAGATTGGGCGGTCTCCTCGTCGGAAGATACCTTCTGGCTGGAAGAAGCCTTGTATCCTCGTCTGAAGAGCAGGACCTCGCCCTTGGAACGGTTCGTCGTGATGAACTCGGCCGCCAGAAGGTAAACAGCCATGAAAAAGAGGATGTATCCGATGAGAATCCCAAAGTTCCTTCAGAAGTCAGTCACCTTCAAGAGCTCATGAGTGAACATCAGACTTACCTCCAAATGTGAGACTTGAAGTACTTGAAGTGAGCATTCATGTAGAAGTCACCATCCACAAAATCTGCACCCGGCATGGCTCCAGCAACGGAGCAAGTTCGTTCGTTAGGGGCCGCGTTCGGATAGGCAGGGACATATTGAACGCAAGGGAACTGGCGTCCAGTGAACTCGTTGGCGACGAGACTCTCGAAGGCGTACGCGATGGGGTTGATGTAGTTGATCCATCGGAGCCACCCCTTCATGCTGTTCGTAGGCAGGATGAACCCGGTGTAGATGACCAGAGCCAGGATGAAGATCGCGGCGGGCGTGAGAGCTTGGTGGATGGTGCGCGAGGTTTGTCCGATCGTGCGAAGTATCATCGACATGGAAAGAGTGGTGGTGAATCCGAAAAGAAGAAAGATGAAAAATGCATCAGCCTCCTGTCGTAGTTTGGCCATGAAGTAGAGCGGAACGTTGAAGGCGATCGTCGAGAGAATCTTGCTAGGAAGGTCGCAAATAGTGGAGGAGATGGCCTCAGAGAAGGGATGATACAAAGCATATCGCGCATGCTTCTCGACGATGGGTCGCTGTACATACAGGGTAAGGATCTGTAATCATAGTTAATACCCATCATGTCTTGAGATCAATCTCCAGGAGTCTCACCTCAAGGGCACTGCTGAGGCCGTTGAACAAGATGGCGAAGAACAGGAGAACACAGCGAGAGTTCATGCTCGACGCGTCTGAAGGCAAGTCGAAAAAGATGCTCCCCAGAACAAGCGAGATCACGAGGTTGCCAAGGACTGTCACAATGAAGAACAGCTTGTCTCCCAGGAGACGCTGGTACCCGCGCGTCATGCACAGCCAGACCTGCATCGGCACAGAAATTGTGTATGGCGACTTTGAAGACCTAGTGGGAGTCAGCGAATGATGCCAGATTGAGATGAGACTTGGTATTTAACGCACGAAAGTGACTGCTTATGAGTTTTGCGAGTCGCCGCAAACTTCTCAGTCTCTGAGCCATCCAAAGGGAAATCCTCCTCGAAAGAATGGACCTCGTCCATCAGGCGTGCTCTGAGATCGCTTCCCTTCCATACGGCTGCGAACTCATCGGGACTGCGGGGAACTCGGTTCTCAAAGCCGGACCTCACAACCCGCTCGGACGGGTTCGTGAGGGAGGTAAGGAAATCGGCGGTGGTTTGACGATCGGGGCAAGCGTAGCCCATGTCAACGAAGTACTGTTTGGCTAGGCCGGCCGGCCCAAAGTAGATCTGTCTTCCTTGATAGAGAACGGCAACCTTGTCGAACGTCTTTGCCAGGTTAGTGCTAGTCTCATCAAAACGAAGCATGGAACACGTCAAAAGTCTTGAACCACTTACGTCGTATGCTGGCTGCGACGCCTGATACATGGCGACGATGGCAGAGGTCTTCGCCAAGTCGGTAGAAAGACGTAGAGTGCGGGCAAACTCAAGGGCCGTCGCGCTGTCCAAACCGCGAGTGCTGTTATCCCAACACTGGATGGGACTCTGGCTGAGGGTGACTTCCGCAATGCTCACACGCTTGCGCTCACCGCCACTTACACCCCTCACGAAGTCGTTGCCAACCTTGGTGTTGATGGTATGAGAGATGCCAAAGACTGCCATGACGACGTCCCTCAGATGTTCGGCGTACCTCTGGCGACTAACACCTGACAGCCGGTTCTTGGGTGTCCTGGCCAAGGCGGCGAAGAGTAGTGTCTGACCGACTGTGAGGTGAGGAAAGTGTATGTCCGTCTCGGCCTGGTAGATGACCTCGCCTCGGAACTCGCGGTGCATTGTCTCCATGGGAATACCTGGAAAAGCGAATATTAGCTAGCTGTTATTCTTATTGCGTACACTGAAGAGAGAGAAAACGAACCTTGGTAGCTGAAGTGCGAGTGAGACCCAAGATGCAGACCCTCCGTCTCGCCTGCAATCGTCTTGAGAAGAGTTGAGACACCACTGCCTGGGCGGCCCAAAACCAGCAGCATCTCACCACTCTTGACGATGCCATCGAAGTCACGCAGGATATCGATCTTCTGCCTGCGGTTGCTGAAGAATTGCTTGACCATCATTGGACCCTGAAGCAGAACGTTGAGGACATCCTTCTGGTAGTCCGTGTCCGTTCCATAGCCATGAACACTCAAGTTACGCCAGGCGACGCTGGCCTCAAGACGAGGAAACCGTTCAGGGTGATGGCTGGAGTGCTGAAGAAGAGCCTTGGCCCACTTCTTGGCGTTGAACTGGTCTGGAGAGCGAGGATCGAGAGACGGATGAGATGACAGGAACGGGTTGATGGTGGCATCCAGCCGGGATGCTGAGCGAACGAGGTCCAGGCTGTATGGGCGGACAAGGTCATTCATACGCCCATCATTGACTTCGATGTCTGTCTCATCTTGCTGTTGCTCATGCTCTTGGATGGTTTTGGTGTGAAGGGTGTCGTCGGACGGCGTCGACTTGACGTTCCTGGCAGAGCCAGGAGAGCTTGGAGTCATGCTTTAGAATTAAAAATCAAAGAATTATAGGTGTTGAAAGCCGTATAGGGTTACAGGAGATCCGAAAATAGAGAAGAGGTGATGAGGTCGTTTCAATCGACATTAACGGACTAGACTGCCAGACCTCATCTTTAACAGTTGACATCAACAGACATGTGAAAAGGGTGACTGACACACCCTCGACATCATTTTAGCACGCAGACACCGAGAAACAGGGAGGTGTAGTCACAACAATCCTGATAAGCGATCATTTTCACGTCAATTCGCCGAGTTGATGCTCGTACCGAGCATGATAGCGGGTCTCAGTTCCCAATGTGCTTGCGAAAACTCTACAACATGCAGAGCCAACTCTCCTAATGTGCAAGGTCGGTTCCGAGATATCTTGAGCCTCAAAAAACACCCACATGAGGCTCATTCATTCGCCCTTTACCATGTAGATCGTGGGCCGGTGGACGGTGTCGGCGTCTCCGACCTGCGGTAAGACTTGCCCGATCCGGCAGTTCGGCGCCGAGGTTCACACCATTGTGGGAGCCGAAGCTTTTGGCCGCTCCACCCCCTTAAACCAAAAGAAAACATCAAAGCTTCCATCGTTTCTCCCCGTTTCTTGCGAGTCCATCCTCGTCTTCCTTCTTTTGGATGTTTGCTCGGTTTTGAAAGATTGGCGCTTTATCAGAATTCGGCCGAGGATGGCTGACCAGTCTACTACAAGTCCCGGACCCTCTGGGCCCCGCCATAAGTCCTGTGATGCTTGTAAGGCACGCAAAGTCCGATGTCCCAGTATGTTTCCTCGGCCGACCTTCATCTGAAAGTAGATGGTCACTTTTCACAGTAGAATTATTGACACGAATTCTAGGCTCTGGACCGCCCGGCCCTTGTGCGAACTGTGTGGTATGCTGCTTTCGTGCGTGCTAGCGAGAGTCTTATTAACGATGACTGAACCTGGCAGCGCCGCAAAACAGAGTGTCGCTTTAGCGTGAAGCGATTAGCACGCAGACGAAACGGTCAGTCTTTCCAATGTCCATTCCCGGTTCTATCGTGCTCATTTTATGCCAATGCCCGTCCAAGGCTTGAGGCTGTCTTCTACTTCCTCGTACCTGGCTAGCTCACTCAGATTGTTGTAGACGCTTGTCTCCCATAGACCTTAGCAACTGACTTGTGTGTAGTTGCGGACCAACTATTGCCGACTAACTACTGCTCAACTGGCCAGCCACCCCCAGAAGAACCGGACGCGAAGGCAGTTCTTGATCTGTCTACAGCTGACATTGAGGTTAAGCCGACCTCGTCGTCGCTGGCTTCACCAGCCCCAAGATCTCCACTGCATCGGGTACAGGAGCTCCACGTCGATCGAGTGCTCGAAATGGCGCAAAGACCGAGAACAGCCAATAGCAGGAGTAACGACGACTTAGTATTCGTTCCAGTATGGTTCCCCTTCGCCCTCGTGAAGTGAGGTACTAACCGTGTTGCAGCGAAATGGCATTTTCGGTAACCATCCAGCATGCAATGACGAGGTGCTCCCACTGACAAAAGTAGGCGGCCGCAACAGCCTTACCTTCTTTTCTGATAGCCGGCTGCTATCTCTTTCAACGCGACTGCGTAACAACAAAGTCAACGAACTCGTCGGACGAATTTCGACCATCGTCAATGGCCGCCTGAGACGTACTGACTCGACAACCGCTACACGTCGCATGCAGCAGCCTGAATCAGTGACAGACGTGGCCAAGATGTCTTTGTATATCAGACGTGAGTATTGAACCTTAGACCGCGACCGGCAAGAGCCCCCGGCTGAATCTTGACAGTATACTTCGAACGCGTACATCCCGTCTTCCCGTTTCTCGATAAGACCTTATTCGAGACAACCGTCGCAGGCCCCAACTTTATCAACCTCCTTGAACGCAGCAAGCCATGGTCATGCTTATACCATACCGTCTTGGCTCTGGGCTCTCAGTACGCAGATGGTGGGACGTTCGAGGCCGGCAAAGGAGAATCATGGAGACTCTTCGCTGTGGCTCTGGGCGGATTCTCGGAAATGCTGCTTTTACCCGACTCTCTCACCATTCTCCAGGCTTTGACTGCGATGGCGGTGTACGGACTGGGCATATGCGGACTCGCGGTCGAGCCCGTCATCATGTCTGAGGCAGCGAGGAGAGCGCAGAGTATGTCCAACAACAACTTCACAGGCACCGCAGCCCATGCGTATCAGAAGGCTTTCTGGATTCTCTACGCAGTGGAGAAGATTACAAGTTTTCACTTTGGACGGAGTTCCGTGAGTATTCTATAAAATGGAATGCGAACACGCGCTGATTCTGCCAGGGCTTTGTTGACAGCGACATCTTTTGCCCGATACCTCTTGTTCCCGAGGCATGTGTGGGGGAATTCAACTGGTTTCTGCACTTCATACGCTTTGGCCGTCTTCTTTCACGGGCCTACACATCTCTGTTCTCAGTGGGTGTGTCTGGAAATTCGAACTCATACTACCTCGACGTCATTCGGCAATTGGATGACGAGCTGGAGCAGTGGCGATCGTCGTTGCCCGACAACGGCTTCCGACCGAACGGCCACGTTCGTCCCCAAGCCCTCCTGAGTCCTTTAGCAAGATCGTTGGGACTCATAGTCAACTACCTCTACAACAGTCTCCTGCTCACCCTGTCGAGAACAACGCTGGTATATCTGCCCAGTTCAGAGGATGCGTCAGTGTTGACAAAGAAGAGTTCCAAGATGGCTGCCATCCTGGGCGCATCTCGATCTATCCTGGACCTCACGACCATGATCGAGGTGGAGCCATATACGGTGACATGGTAAGTGATTTGACCTTGACATTTGGGATCGAACAAGCATCAACTGACTGCTTGCTCATCAAGGGTCATTGCGGGAATTCCGATCACAGCGTTATTTGTCTTGTTCGATCTCGTAATCCATGACCCGCGACAGCCAGAGACTGCTTCCAATCTGGCCCTCCTTGATATGGCCGCCGGTCATTTCAGTCGAATTGAGTACGCCAGTAATGGCACTCTTCCGGGGTCTCTCATTGCCGAGTTTGCCAAGATTGCTCGGGACTACGTGAACGAGGTCCAGCAAGTAGAAACGGGGACGACTAGACTCACGAATCCTACAACCAACACGCAGCCACTGTTGTCGTCACCTACAGCCGTCAGAGACAATTCTACCAAGCCGACTGGGATGACCCTCGACTTGTCAAATGTAAAAATCTCCTTTCTCATCTTTGGTGTTTACTAACATCCTCATCCCAGGCAATTTCAGGGGATGCTTTTGCGCCCAATATGTCGAGCTTTGCGGACTATTCTTTTGACAATGGCCTGGACCAGGTCTCGCCGAGCGCACTCATGGGGACTGATGTCATGGGAATTTTCAGCTACTTTCTCCCGGAGTTGGATCCTCTATTCTTGCAAGGGCTGCAGGAAGACTACGACTTCTCACATGCAGGACCTGCAGCGTTGGACAAGTGAAACCGACAAAGTCCACGAGTTGGTACGTCTGGTCAGCATCCTATGTATCATGTACCGTCTGCCTTGTAACCATTGATACCCACATAATTTCACCGAATACTCTACACATTGTTCAATTCAACTCCATTCTCGTCAGAACACAGCTGTTGTGAAACCTTTTTAAAATAAACGTATTAATGATCTACGCCGTGACTCGGGTTTTCAGCCCCTGTTCATCTTGAATTGCCGTCAAACTCCGCTACGCAGAGCTCACATCCCGGTCATTGCCAAGAGCCTCCCGGCCCTCCCGTGTTCTGATTTGGTCTAGCGAGCCCACGCAAGCCGCATAATTGACCGGTTCCCTGCATAATTTCCTCCGGGGCGGCGGAAGAAGACACATAAATACAGTCCCCGCCGGGGGGACAACGTCATTTCATTCGGCCGGATCGTTCGAGAACCCGACCAGATTCCTTCACACGCGCAAAAAACAACACCCGTCAGAGCCGCTTAGATGGCATCCGAAAGCCCAGCCTCGCAACCGAACAGCAGCAGCGCAACACCAGGAAAGGGACTCCACGTTCTCGCCTGCGTCTTCTGTCACCAGCGAAAGATCAAGTGCGATCGCAAATCACCTTGCGCGAATTGTATCAAGGTTTGTCAGGCCCGTCCCAGCTTTGCCGATGCAGCCGAGAAGTGCGAGCTGATGCGAGGTCAGGCCGATCAACCGTGCATCCCCTCCACGAGGGCGCCCGCCGGGGCAGGGAGGAGGCGCGTCGTCAAGGACTTGTTGGAGAGACTCAATCAGTGCGAGTCGCTCCTGAGCCAAGTTGCTCCGCGAGATGCGGAAGGCCGACCTATTCTCGACGGGACGCCACCGGCATCACGCGATGCTGCGGCGGCTGTCGATAGCCCGTCGATGTCGTGGGTGAGCTACGAGGAGGCTCGAAAGCAACCAAGTCAAAGGCCGAAAGGAAAGATCGTGGTTGATGAGGGTCGTCCAACTTTCATGGAAAGCCCACTTCGTTCCAATGTTGTCGATCATGTAGGTGCCTTCTCTTGTGTTCAGGGGTACCAGGGTTCTGACACCACGTGAAGCTGCAATTCTCAAAGCTAAGCCTGAACGACCACGTGGAAGAGCAAGCCGATCAGTCTGGCTCCTCCACGGCAGCCGACACCAACGATGATGGCAGTCTTCACGGCCGTGACTCCATGGACTTTGATCTGTTAGCGCTCGGCGCCGTAGAGATGTTGAGGTTATGGCAGGTATTTCTGGAGCGTGTGAACCCCATGACGAAAGTCGTGCATGTTCCCAGCCTAGAACCTCTCGTGTTCGAGGCTGCCACAGACCATGGAAACGTCGCTCCAGATTTGGAGGCGTTGCTATGCTCCATTAACGTGCTTGCCATAATGGCGCTCTCGGAGGCGGAATCCGAGCAAATTCTTAACGTTGCTAAGAGCAAAGCTCTCAAGAAGGCAAACCTTGCCCTCAAAAAGGCGCTATCCAGGGTGGATTTCCTGCGAAAATACAATCTTACCATCTTGCAATGCTTGGTTCTCTACTTGGTAAGTAATGTAATCTCTTGCGATTTGAATGTAGCTGACTATGTGGTGCCATAAGGTCTCGCTTCAGGGCCAATTCGATCGTCATGCATCGTGGATTCTGACCGGGACACTGGTCAGGATAGCCCAGAGAATGGGCCTTCATCGTGACGGGGAACTATTAGGGCTCCCGCCTTTCGAGGTGGAGATGCGCAGGAGAATATGGTGGCAGATTATCATGCTAGAAACAAAGTACGCGATCCTAGCAGGTTTTTGCGACACATTGCTACCGCCAAACTGGGACACAAAGCTTCCCAGCAATCTCAACGACGCCGACTTACTGCAAGGATCAACAGAGCCCGTGAAATCTCGAGAGGGCGCGACCGAGATGGCCTTCTGCTTAATGATATATGAGGCCAGGCATTTCTTCTGCGAGAACCCTGTTCCAGAATTCGAGGCGGTGGTCCTCGGAACAGGGGACGTCAACGCAGACAGCTCGAAAAGGATCAGCGGAGCGCAAGACCTCGACAAGTACCGCCTCATAGTGGACCAGTTGGAGGAGCGAATGATCAAGGCTGAAAAGAGATATTGCAATCCAACTATTGGAGGGATCCACGTTCTGGCATGTAAACTTCGGCTTCTCATCGCTCAGAAGATGCGCGACATGATCACCCACGCGCGTGAGCCTTGGGACGAGAATTCCGATAGCCTCGAAGGTCAGCAGTCTCTCTTCAGGCTGTGGGTCATTCACTTTGAAAGCGACCTAAACTGGTACGATACGATTGATGAGAGGTTCAGATGGCATCTCAAGCTGCATCTCCAGGCCGACGCCTTCTCCGTCATGATTGAGTTGCTACAATGGCAACCGGTGGGAACTCTGGTAGACCGGGCATGGAGAGCGATAGACAGGATATTTCATCACCACCCAGAGTTATACGACCTGGGAAAGAAGGAAAACTTGCAGCGTGCGGAGAATCTTCTCGCTGGATGGCAGAGACGAGAGTCGGCATTTTGCAACATAGGCCAGGCCATCGAGACGCCAGTGGTCATTGAGAGATTGAGAGGCAGTGGGAATTTCCCGCCTAGCAAGATGAGTTCGTTTGGTGAGCCATTTGCCGGCACAACAGCAGACAGTACGTTGTTTTCTCCGCTCGGTGAACCCGGCTTCGACGGTTTCGATGGAAATATTCTTCTGAACACAGAAGCTGCCTCTTTCTTCTGGGATCCCTCAGGGGAGCATCATCATGCAAAATAAGCATTACTACCGCGACAACGTTGTAAATAGACATTGTTTTGACTTTTGTCAATCTTGTGGAATCAACACGCGTCTCTCTACTCCATGCCTAAGTTCTTGAGCTTGAACCCATTCAGTGAGAGACCGGCGTCAGGTACACCTTCAGAGGGATCCGGTCCCAGAGACCGAAAGCTCGCTGTCTCTCGATCCAGTCTTCGTTATCCTTCCCCAAGGAAACATCAAACTCGAAGATGATCCGGGCTAGCACAAGTCTCATCTCCGCATAAGCTAGACTAGTATTTTGTTAGTTTGATGAGAAGTAAACTGTTCAGGGAAGTAACGCACTTTCGACCAATGCAATTTCGGGGTCCAACACTGAAAGCCTGCAGAGAGTCGAATTGGTTCACATTGCTCGAGTCCTCGTCTATGAATCGTTCAGGATCGAACTTCCAAGGCTCAGCCCAATTATCCGGACTATGGTTGGATGACCACTGCTGGATTTCGACAAATGTCTAGTAACATATCAGCTCAGTCATCAGGTTTCTACAGCTTTTGCTTTTATCACTTACCCCCTCCGGAATGTGCTCCGAAGCAATTTTCCAGCCATTTGCCGGTACTTCTCTAATCAGGCCTGCGGTGACCGGCGGATATAATCGCAAAGACTCGTTCAACACCGCTAACATGTATGATAGCTTGCTGACAGAGTTGATGTTGATTTCGCTCGCATCCTTGAACGTCGAGCGAACTTCCTCCTTCAGCTTCTCGTGAACTTCTGGATGTTTCAAGAGGAGGTATGTTGCCCCGGCGAGTGTCGTAGCAGTCGTCTCCGACCCTGCCAAGGTTAGAATGAGAGCATTTGCAGACAGATGGTCGAATGAGAGATTCTTTTCAAGTCAGTATAATTTTGATTCTTTGAGTAGCCCGAAGCACTTGCAGACTCACCCATTCTTCTCGGCGTTTCAGAAGTCCTTCAAACAGATCATTTCGCTCCTTCTCCATATTCATTCGGTTCTCCAGCATGCCGTCGGTGCTCTCCCGCAACTTAGTCATGGCTCTCATTCCGCCGATCTTGAAGAGAGCTTGAACAACAGAGCCGAGCCCAATGTATTTCAGCGAAGTCATCGTTGCACCAAATCGAATAGCCCCGAAGATGAATGCAATCCATGGATGGTAGTCAGCTCGATCGAGGCATCCGAAAGATTGTCCGAAAATGAGGTCGCCCGCGACGTCGAAGGTGGTCCAATTGTACCAACCCTCGATATTTTGCGGTTCTTTACCATCTCTCGAGAACTCTTTCAGTCTGCAGATGAGCTTGTCGATGTACTTGATGATCATGCCCTCCTGTTCTCTCATGGAGGCGTCTGAAAAGCCGTGCGCCAGTGCGCGACGGAGCCGCTGGTGCTCCTCACGGTCGGCGTTGATGATGCTTCTGGGTAGCTCCTCGACCGTTTCGGAGAAGACCTTGGACTTTGACATCTCGGTCGAGCCTTTGCTGCTGGGTTGGAACCCGTAGATATCCTTCCAAGCATCTACTTGAGTGAAGGACAGATGATTCGGGCTGATGCGTGCGACTGGCCCGTACCGATCATGGAGTCGCTGAGTGCGGAATGCCTGAGTCCCGATCGCATTTTGGATAGCCCATGGCAATGACGTAGCTCGTTGTAGGATTGGCCCCGGATATTTGCGCAGAGGATGGAAAAAGACGTTATAGACCGCCGAGACCAATTGCCAAAGGACACCCTGCCACCGCGAGGTCAGTCCTCGTCTCAAGCAGTTTAATCAAGTCTCATTTCTCAGAATTCTTCTTGCATTCTTGTAACTTACAGTAAGGATGATGATCTCTAGGATAGGAACATAGTGAGCCGCGAGAGCAGCTGCGATATCCGCTGTTTTCAGCATCCTGATTGTGTAGAAGTCGCAGATAACGACCCCGCTTGATGAAAACCAGACAGAGTTCTAGAATTGTTGTGCGAACGCGTCTTCTATTAACTCATTCGATCAACATGCAGCTCGGCTATGCACTTAAATCGTCTCTAGATCGGACGGATCTTTCCAAGCGCGGGGAGTGTGGCCTTCTTCTAACGGGTGTTTCGGGGTATCTCTACACTCCGGACCAATCCAGTTGGAGTCTCAAATAACATGTCATGCATGAAAGAACGAAATCAAAACGCTGGAGGAGCTCGGATGGTAGATCCCGTGTCATTTCTCCGCACCCCAGTCGCAATTGACTGGTTTCTGTGCGTTCCCGCCACGTATTGTCATTGAATTGCTGGCATTATTATGCGAATACGGGTTTCTGTAGAGATAGTTGCACTTGTACTACTCTGTGTTGGTTCAAGACACCGAGTATGAGTCTCACGAATCTTCTCTTCAATACGCCTTTTTTGTTTTCAAGTTAATAACACGCTGTGGTTTTATTTTTGGCTGCGTCAGATGTTGATTCCTGAAGGCAGGATAATCACCAAGTGGCTCGAAATTTGCTGCCAAGGACCATTGAGGGTGGGTTACAATCCAAATGTAGCACAATTAACATCAAGACAGCTATTGCGGTGAAACAGCCAACTGGCTGCACCTTCTATTGGTTTAAGGGTAGGTAAATAGATATAATATACACAGATCGAATCAAATACCATCGCAGCACCTATCGAGATCATGGTGATATCAAGCTAATGTCTAGGCGAAGACGTTGACCTGGGGGCGACGGTAGAACCAGACAGTCTGGACCAGGTCAGGAGCCACCTGGGAGCGCTGGACCTGAACATTGCAGTCATCATAAAACTCGAAGTTGTTGACGAGCTTCAGTCCGACCCAGCTGGGGAGAGTGGCCGAGATGACGTCGTTGACCAAGGTTCCAGAGGGTCCCTTCTTGCCGTTGCCATCGCAATCCTCGTCACCCTTGTTGCCCTTTGACTTGTAGAAATCAGGCTTGCCCTGCTGGCCCTTACCGCCCCGGCCATGGCCCCAGTCACGTCCGTTGATCCTCTTCTCTCCCTCGCCGCCGCAGCTGGTGATCTCGGTAAACTGGGTGGTCGCGAGAACAGCAAGGCTGTGCTGTCCCACGAGAGCCCAGCGGGAGTCGGGGTCGGTGGGCTTGGCCGGGAGAGAGAGCTCCTTGGGGCGGACATCGGCCTCGGTGGTGTCGTTGGAGGTGACGATGAAGGACAAGTGACCCGACGAGGTCCAGACAGCACCACCGGAGGGGTATGGGCTATGCCACTCCGGGATGATTTCACCGGTGGTGGTGTTGCTGGAAGGAGGTTAGGAGTGGTTTGGGTATGAGACGAGGTTGGCTTACGAGATAGTGGCGTTGAGGAAACCCCAACCGCCAACGAGACACTGGAGAGCCTTGTCGCATTTCATTTTGAATTGTGATGGGTTATTGAATGACTGAATTGTTGAAAGGGAGAATTAGACTTGAGAGTATCGTGACCGAAGGTAGATGTAAGAAGCGAATGCTGTGAAGATGATGAGAGCTTGATGTCTTAAACCTGAATGAGGGGGTGAATACCATCAGTATTTATAACAAATATCTTCTCAGAGTTTCCCTACACTCGTGCCACGATCAGTACGTTTTCTTGAGGGAATTCATCCTTCTGGGAGATGGTTCCTAGCCAAGCATGGTCAAAGTGCATCCAGAGCAACCACGTCCAAGTCGTCCGACCACAACGTCTAGCACAGCACTTCAAGATTGTAAACATGGCACTTGGACTCAAGCCACATGAGGCTCAGGCAAATTCTCTTTTTGGCATCAGAAGTCTACAGAGGCTCCGGAGGATAAACCTTTACTGGTGTGATTGGTGAGGAACGGCAGGCCATATGCGAAATGCACTGATGAAGAATCCAATATTATTCTGGGCGATCATCTAGTCTGCACCAGGTCTTCACATTGAATGTCTGCCAAGATCTGCTGCCTAACTTGTGGCTTATCTAGTGACCGGCTGAGACGATGCGACTTTGTGTTGAGGTCGAGTCCGCACGGGCTAGACTGGCGCGTTCTAGGACGACGTTCAAGCGACGCTACCCCGGGGATGTCGTTAGCTTAGGAAGTAGGGCTGATATCTTCAGTTCCTCACAACCTTATTTTGTTGAAGCAACCATAGCTTGGCGAAGCCGTCCTTTCGGCGATGCGTTTTATTAGTATTGGACATTGAATGACTAAGTCAGATGGCTTGAGAAGTGACGACAGTGCTGCATGCCTCTCATCTTTCTATCCCCACCTCTTTTATCATCATTGCTATATCATTGATAGACGTTGACTGTTCATTCTGACTGTTTCTCATGGTCCAAATGGGTACTTGTTTGTTACTGCTAAGTCATTCAATCACTTTGCTCCAGGACTGTCGTTGTAATGTTGTGGTTGCCCATTTTTCGCATACCATGGAAAGAAGCGCGATATGGCCATGACTTGTCTAGAAAATTGAAGAGATAGGGTGCTGAGGGGCGTTAGAAAATGGTGTCAGTTAAGATGCCAGCACATTAAGAGGCGAAATCTGACCCGATTGAAACGGCTTGACTTCTCTCGATGGGCAAAAACACAACGTTGGCTGTGAAACAGGAAGAGTCGATGCGGCAGAATTGCATAACTGGGTCGAAGAAGTAAACCGATGATAAATGGGCAGCCAATTACCTCAAGATCAAATGTTGAGCCAAGACTTTACCCCTGACATATCGGGAACTACTGATTCGCCCCCATTGGTATTGTAATGTGTCGGATACTCGCACACCTAAGCCTCAATTGCGGCGCAGCAAGTAAGCATTCAAATGCAACGTTCTTGCAATGTGCTCCAAGCGGTGCGGGGTTCACTTACGTTCTCAACTAACTAACAGCACCTGACGCGTATCAATATGGGTTATAAAGTCCAAAGGGCAAAGCGACGCGTTGAAAGACTAGAGAGGGAAATACATGTGAGCTATTCTAAGAGTGATGCGAATAGGCATCAATCGTGCTAACGCTGATCATAACTTGTCAGTCTCAGCCTTACCGGCACTTATGGCTCCCCTCTAAGAAACATTCAACTGTGCAGCTTCAGTCCGATGATTCAGACTCCGAAAACACCACTGCAAGCAGGAAAAGAATTCTTGGCAAAGGGTACGAAAGTGGTATCGTCAACGAGGGACTATACCGAAACACGAGTGAGCACGATGCGTTGATTGGAGATCTCAGAACTTCCGAAAAAGACAACGTGTCATTGGCACCTCACTCGTGTCAGTACTGCCGCGACTTCGAGATCGATCTTCGTGACATCGGAGCTGGTTATCGATACGGTGATTACAGGGGGGTTGACTGGAATCCCATACCCATCAGCTACGCACGAGAAAAGGCAGACGATGGCTGTTTGTTCTTACGGAGACTCGTGAAAGTCCGGATGACTCAGGACCCAGCATCCACAGAGCTTGATCTGTCTCCATGGTTCAGCCTAGGACGACATCCTACCGTCTCATTTAGTCTAATGCCGCAAAGGGAAGGCGTAACATATGAGATATACACGCCTGTAGGTATGGCTCTGATAGCTTCCAGAACTCTGTCGTTGTAATTTGCTGACATCCAGTCTCAACAGACGTATTTCCGTCGGTAAGCTGCAACATAGGTCGCCTTCCGCCAAATCTCTCCCCGAACTCTGATCTCAGCCTCAAGAGAGCAAAAGAATGGATAGATTCTTGCAGTACCTGCCATACCAAGTGTGGGCCACTACCAGGAAACTTTATGCCCAAGAGATTGCTTGAAATCTTCGGATCAGCCGAGAAACCATTAATCAGGCTGTCGACGAACCATCGGTCGACTGCATACGTAGCTCTTTCATACTGCTGGGGCGCCGATCAGCCGGCCAAAACGACGACAGCAAATCTTCATGACTATCTGAGCGAGATACCATTCGATACACTCCCGCTGACCATCCAGCACGCCGCTATAGTCACTCGCGGTATCGGCCTGTCAAATCTCTGGGTCGATGCCATGTGCATCGTCCAGGATGATGAGGAGGACAAACTTGGCGAGATTTCTCAGATGCACGCCATTTATCGCAACTCATGGGTGACTATAGCAGCAGCCGAAGCAAGGACCTGCAATGATGGATTCCTTCAACCACGGTCGGACTGGCAGCCGGTCAAGATGAAGGCTAGGTTCGACGACAACGTCTTTTCCGAGGTCACCATGTTCCCTCGAGGGCAATCATGCAGACCAGACGCACCTCTCTTTCAGAGAGGCTGGACAATGCAGGAGACTTTACTCTCAACTCGAGTTCTGCTGTACGGCGCCAGAGAGTTGACCTTCCTCTGCATGCAGGATGAACAATCAGAGGGTGGCGTTCCGCCAACTGTGCGACAATATCAGATGTTGTTTGACCCTGGAAGCAACACATACGTTGGGATGGACCATCCAGAGAGCTGGGGCTATCTGGTCAGCGCTTATTCGCAGCGAAAATTGTCGCTTGAGGACGACAAGCTACTCGGGATAGGTGCCTTGGCTGCGTCTTACGGACGAACAAAGAACACCAAGGAATACTTTGCCGGAATGTGGAAAGAGAACTTTCTTCAGCAGTGTCTGTGGACAACGCAGACGTATACTAGTGGAGATAGGGTTCCAAGGCGGCCAGCAAAGTACCGGGCTCCTTCATGGTCATGGGCGAGTACGGAAGGACAAGTCTCCAGCTTTGGAGTATCAGCCAACATGCCGGCCATGATGCTGCCCGAGACAATGCCACCGATCACTACCTGCGAGATCGTTGACTTGGAAGTCAAAACAGTACCGGCGGGAAATCCTTTTGGTATGGTCACCGACGGCCACCTCAAAATTCGAGGAAAGCTTCGACAAATTGTTTGGTACAACAGTGGTTGGAGCTTGGATGGCTATGTATACCCATTGCGGGATACCGATGAGCCCCAGCTGAATGAGCGTGGCCGCCGCGTTAATCCAGGGATGACTGTCCAGATCGATCATCCAAAAGACTGGCCCCTTGGAGAGGAAATCCTGCTCTGGAGCTTGGAGATTTGCAAGACTAGCGAAGGACAAGGCTACGCTCTCCTGCTTAACGAGGCGGGTGGTCACAACGAGACGTTCCAGAGAGTCGGTCGCTTAAATGTGATTGAAAGGACGAACAATTGGTTCGATACCGAGCATGAACTGCGCGAGATCAAGATAGTTTGACGGTTCAATGGACTCGCTTGCTGGTCGAACTGGCTAAATTGGATCAATTATCTCTTAAACAATAGACACGAGCCCTTGAACGTGCGAAAATTCAACTGACGTCGTTCCGGATAGTAGAGCCATCACATATCAACAAATGACCTGGCATTAATTCAAACAAAGTATTTGCTCCAATCGGAGACTTTGCTGGTCATTCAAACAAACATAAACAAGCAACCTCCTCGGGAATCTCGCCTTGGCGAAAATGTGGCTTTCATCTGCCGCTCTGCGATCGGCATTTCGGACATTGCGAAGCTTGAACTCATGCCGAGGACTCGCCAAGCTGCTCAGCTCCCGGCAGGATTGCGAAGCGATGAGTGGGGGCCCCTTGAACATCATTGCCGTCTTCAACATTTCAGCTGCAGGGCAACCGTTGGAGAAGTCGCAACGTGCCGGGCAGACCCGTCTTGGTCCTCTTGGATGCAGGACTGCTTGGCAGCGACTTCTAAACGCGCAGAGCGGGATTATTCGGAGAAATTTTGAAGAAAAAATGACTCGGAACGCCCACAGATGATCTTCGAGATTTTCGGCTGTTTCATGCACAACTCGCGGCAATTTCTGGACATCATCGTTTTGGGACTCTTGAATAGCGAGTGACTGTAAAAAACATGCAAATTGGTATCTAGTAATCCACCATCATAACTCCGTTTTAATGCGATACGGAGTTGGAGTTGTCCGCGCAAGAGAATGCGCCGGAGCCTCCAGACTCCTTGTATGTTGCCATGATGCCGACGACGGAGCCGTAAGCACCGGCGACCATCAGGAAAGAACCACTGACAACCACGAAAACACTGAAGCAAACCATTGCGATCCAGCGGGGGTTCTTCTCGAGCTTGCCCGCGCTCCAGTTGTCGTAAAGCCACATGCAACCCATGGGCTGGAAGGAAAGAAGGGTGCCGAACAGCGCGCCGACGAGCGAGACCAGGCCGTCGAAGACGGGGATGGAGCTGGCGATGATGTAGGCGATGACGGCGATGCCGCCGGTGCAGCCAAGCCAGGTGATCCAGTGCTTGGCAGTGTTGGCCGTGAGGTGCTTGGAACCGCGGAGGAGACGGATGAAGATGTACTTGGCCGGAATCTGATGGTTGTTAGGTGACTGCTTCGTGGAATAAGTGTGGCAGTGGAACGGGGAGACTTACGTGAATGACCAGAGTAGTAGTCACGATAAGACCCGGAAGAGCCAAACCGTAGCATACCTTCTTCATCGTGACACCAGCAGAGCCGAGGGCCGGGGAGGCAACGTAGGAGCCGCAGAAGTAGTACACAATAACTCCAATGGCAACGTATGTTCCGGTAACGACACCTTGGCAGATGAAGAGGGCGCGGGGGTAGTGACGGGGCTCGCGCATCTCGGAGACGATGGAGAAGAAGGCCGGTGTGCCAGCGAAAGCGAAGACCAGAGTCGAAAGAGCGGAGGCGGCCTCGCTGAACGTCGGCTTGCCAACAACGACGTAGTCGGAAACCCAGACACCTCCTTGCGGCGCAGCAGCTGGTCGGTCTTGGACACCAACGGCGACGGTGAGAGTCAGGACTATCGAGTGTTAGTTCGCCATTTTGCACAAATTGTGACGTTCGCCACCTCGAGGGAGATATCTACATACTTGAGCTGAGAATGGCGACGAGACCAATCCACGCAAACCAAGTAATCTTGCCAAGAGTCTGGATACTGCCGAAGCAAAAACCGAGGAACCCAGCAACGGCAACGAAGATCGCAGTGCATGCGCCGTGGGTGGAAACCGAGTTGAGCGCAATGGAAGCACCGAGCATACCAGAGCCGGCGACGAAGATCCAGTCTGGGTAGTCATTAGGATGATGTTTCACACCACACATCGGTTCGAGCCCGGAGACTTACAGAGACAGAACACAATGGCGAAGAATTCACGGCCAACGCGGCCAAAGAGCAACCGACCGACATCATCAATGCTGTAAACCGTGGGGTGGTTCATCTTGAAAACACCGACGATGTAGTCGGACCAAGTAGTGATGGCAGCGACGCAAATCAAAGCAATCACACCCGGCACGATGCCCAACACGTGGAAGGTTCCCGGAATGGACAGGACTCCAAGTCCGATCTGGGTCTTCATCATGAGAGCGGCTGTTCCAAGCCACCCAACCTAAGTTGTTGGATTAGTAGTTGAACGAGGCATGTCTTCACACAAGGTCTTACGAACATTCTTGTAATTGGGACCCCCTTCGCCGATTTGTCCGAAGACTGCATCGTAGCCAGCCTCGGGGTCATCCATCACAACGCCGACCTGCGAGCGAGTCGAGACTTGGCCCAACTCGTCGAGGTGGCTCTCCTTGCTCTTGTCCATGCTGGAAGGAGCCATCTTTATTGTCGGTTGAGTGGATATATGGTATGGACGTGGTCGATTCGAAGGAAACGTCAAAGTCACTGCGGGAGAACCTTTATTTCAAGACTTCAAAAAGCAGTCACTTTGGACGTCGAGGATTGTGATTGTCGAGATCTTTCAACTCTCTTAGAGAGGTCGGTATTGGCGGTTACGAGGCGAAGGGACTTCCGGTAGTCTTGAAAGACATGGAAGGCTGTGGTTGTGGCGAAGAAGAAGAGCAGCCAATGAGAAGAACAGTCGAAAAAAAAGTTGGAAAGCCCGGGGCTCTTATGTGACTCGAGGTCAAACTGCGAGAAGAAGGATAGTTTGAGATATCCAAGCGTCACTTTTGGAGTTGGGAATTGAGCCGCTTTTGAACAAGATTCGGTCTAGCGCTGCTGCCGACTCTCTCTCACTCACTCTCTCACTCTCTTCAGCTTCGCCCAGCCCATGGCCAATGCCGTCAGGGGCATGGTGTGCCAAGGACCCAGGTTCACGCTTCTATCAGAAAGACAGGTTCCTCCAACAATAGAAGATAGGACAAACCCACTGCATGAGGTAAATTACGTACCTATCTGTGGAAGGCACCCCATATTTTCCCCGGACTTCATCGACTGGGAGTCTGTGGGAGATACGTCACAGCGGGCCGATGTTCAAGGAATCAGGGGTAAAATGACTCGCAATGGCACTTCCTTTTCAGGGTTGAGCGAAGCGGTGCTCGTCGGGTTTTGGCCGGCAATTCCAGCCCTGTGAATCCGATGAAAGATGTCGTCGGATGCTCATCCGACATACACAGCATATCTCTGGAGGCAACCTTCATGATGATAACTCTGTCGTTCCCCCCTTGCTATCTGACAAGGAACTCCCACGGATGAGTCGGATCATCCAAGGATGCTAGTCGACGACAAAATCTCTGCCGGGCAACGCGGGAAACGACCTCAGCACGTCAGCGACGGATAGGCAACGACAAAAACGCGCAGATAACAAGAGGGTTATGTCGCCTCTTGCCCTGGTCAACCGAAGGGTTTTGCGGGTCGGACCTGTACGAGAGTCCCCGTTTCTCAACATGAATGAGGCGGTCGGTCAAGAGTTGCTTTCGCTTTCAGGCGCAGTCACCGCAGCGCGTCGCAAAGCGGAGTTGGACGTCTCCATGACTCGCCGGGCATTGGTCTGTCTAAGGGTCTTTTTCTGCAGGAATCCCTGCAACCTGCGGAGCCCCCTTGCGTCTCGAAGTAAAACACCATCGGGTGAGGATCCGGTCATCTGCCCGGTCGCCCCAACGGAAGTGGTCCCGACCTCCTCCGACGAGCAGCCTGGGAGAAAAAAACCTGTCCTGCGCCTCGCGCCACCCTAAACGGCACCGGGAGCGCATGAGATGCCTCAGCCGCGTGACCACGATGACCACAGCTAGCCTAAGCGCCATCACCCTCTGATGTCACCATCGGATGCTCTCCGTAGTGTGTTGTCTGAGACCTCGGTGGGAACTCGCAAGTTCCAGTCGAAATGCAGCAGCAACGCTTATTTCCCGTTTCCCCATGGGGAGTGCAGAGACCAGATGAGATGACGGCGTCGCTCGTGGAGAATCTGTTACGTACGAAGAAGAATGCGCACCCACCATCGTCAGTCTGGGCGAACGCGCCGTGTGCCACCAGTGTCGCCAGATTAGTCGGCGAAAATACGGGTTCTCATGCAAATGGCCACTTGTGCGGCGCTTGGGGGATTGTGTGGGCTAAAGTCCGCGGTCTTAAGAGCTGAGGATTCATCGGACGTGGAACCAACTCCAGATGTCAATCATCTAGAAGTACATGGGAGGATGCAATTGGCTTTTCTTAGCCTCCTCATGCAGAAACAAAACTCTTGCCCCTGGTTCGCTGATATCGGACGGGCTCACGCGGCTCTAATGAGACACTACACCAGTTTGAGACTTGAGTGTGGGAGGCGGACTTGTCGAAAAGACATGGCAGATGCCAACACGGAGCACGGAGTAGCATGCCGTCGTCTTCTTTCCCCGCATTCGACCGGCCGAGGCGTCTGTCAGCCGTTTCGCCTCATTGGCAGAAGGTTCATCGTTTCCACCGTCGGAGAGATACCTATCTATACTTCTGCACTCTGACAACATGGATGCGTCCCTTTGGCCCCCCCCCGAAAACCGACATAGGACCGGCCTTCCGGATGCATCAGTATCGCCAAAAGAACTTAGTCGTTATCTTCAAACGGGCAACTTGCAGCAGCAGATACCTCAAGTTGCGTCCGTTATCGGGCTTTATGGCCGAACGACTAACGCATACATGGTGCTTAATCACCGACGCATCTCTGAGACTAAGACGACGCGCGGAACTTGATGTAGATAAGCCCCCTTGTCAGGTTCCAACAAAAATTCTCCACCACGGCTTCGCTACCCCGCGTTCTGGTCCCGTCGATACACAATCACGTAACTGCTTTGAGGCTCGGACGACTCGACCGCCGTATGCCCGTGGCTGTATCAATATCATTGTTTTGGTTGAGCATTTTCCTTTCGGGATCAGGTTTGTTGTGTTGTTTTATTGGCACGGCGCAATGGAACCAGGAGCTGGACGCAACAAGGTCACCAAGAGATCTTCGAATGCGTGAGTGCGGCCTCTTCGGCATCCGAGCCGCCCTGCAAGCTGATCTCTCACTGACGCTTAGAGCAGATGTGTAAGATGTCGGCGGCAAAAGATCAAGTGTTCCGGGTCACAGCCGTGCGATGCTTGCGGCAAGCGCAAGCAGTCCTGCACATTCGATGAGCGCGACCAAAGAATAGTAGTCACCCGAGGGTAAGTTTCCCTCTTCTCTTACAATTCCAAGCTTACCGGGTCTGCAGATATATCATCGACTTACAGCAAAGAATCGAACGATGGGAAAGAAGTAAAAGCACCAATGAGCCAGCCCGGGACTCGATCGAGGTCGGCCGACCTGCCGACAAAATTGAGAGTGGTCTGTTATCTCCAGATTCTCTTCCCGAAATTGTCAATGTGAGCTAACTCTACATAGGCTCTGAAAGCGATGTGAGCATGGCAGGGGCCGAAGGCCCAGACTCAAGCCAAACATCCAGACCAGGCGAGAAGCATGACGCTCGTGCAAAGCCACCAATGGACGCCGTAGCCTCGAACCTCACCAACCCGTTGTCTACCGGGCAGTCGGAGTTTATGACAGCGCCTACTGGTAGGACATGTAAGTCTTGCATAACTTTATGTCCCACAGAAGCATCATGCTCACAGTCACTCAGTCTATCTAGGAACATCATCCAACTGGTCCTTCACCCGACGAGTTCTCAACATCACACATCAATACGTTCACAAGACTCCGCTTCCCACAAGCGCCCTCATATTCGATGCCGCCGCCTACACCCTCGATTGGGATGGATACAGAACTGGCGAAGGCCCGGAGATGCCGGCGCTCCCAACACAAGACTACGCCATCTATCTGGTCAACGCTGTGAAGTTTCACTGCAGTCAGATGTTCCACCTCTTCGACGAGGAGTCTTTCATGAAGTCTCTTTATCACTTTTACACCGACCCAAATCCTAGGGGCGACCCTACAGATCTCTGGTTCATTCATTTCCTTTTAATACTTGCCTTCGGGAAGGCGTTTACCACGAAAGCGAACAGGAGTCGGAAGCCTCCAGGTCATGATTATTTTATCAAGGCCGTTCAGCTTCTCCCTGATCTGAGCGTGCTGCTGAAGCAGTCCGTTCTCTCAACCGAGATTCTTTGCTGTATTGCTCTTTACATGCAATGCGTGGACTTTCGACATGCGTCTCACAACTTCATCGGCCAGGCCATCCGGATGGCGCTGGGCGAGGGCATGCACACAGACATGCCTGCTCAACAACTAGGAGAAGCGCATGTTGAGCGATGCCGAAGATTATGGTACACGGTTCATATTCTGGATAGGGAGATGACCTCCTTATTCGGTCTACCACCGTCGATTCACGACGACTATGTCTTATGTCGACTTCCGACGTATCCTGGCTCAGCGCAGCGCACACTAGCACTGCGTATGCGCATAAAGCTATCCGAAGTGATTGGCAGCATCAACAGAAGTATGTGTCTTTCCATTCAAGTGCCCAACAGTACAGGCTAACGGTGATCACAGGGGTATATGGACGTGACGGCAGACTGAACAACAAGTTTATGCTTGGAACCAAGACCGTATTGGAGAGCATAGCGCAGCTCTCAAATGAGCTTCAACAATCGTTTTCACTCCCACTTGAGAGGGACACAAGCTGCATTTCTCGCACCTCTGCCCACTTACATCTGCTTCACCACCAGGTAAGTCATCTCCTTCGCTGATGGTCTCCAGAAGAGCAAGCACTGACAAGTCGTTCTGGCAGTGCATCGTACTTGCCACAAGACCTCTACTCTTTTGTTTCTTGAAGATTCGATTCGAATCAGAAGCCAAGTGCGCCGAGCTACTTGGTGCATCTCAAACAGTCCGCAACTTGATTCAAATGTGCATGGACTCTTCGCAACAGATGATTGCCATCTTGGACTGCCTCCAGTCACAAGGTCTTTTGGGTAAGTCGAAGAAAATGTTCAGGATACCATGATTTGTAGTCTGACGCAAGTCCCCAGAAACATTCCTCCCGTTTGACTTAGAGGCGATCTTCGTCTCTGCGGGGAGTCTCCTCCTAGGCCCCGCCATCGACCCACAGACCTTTGACAACTTGTCGCCCTCTCTCGAGAAGGCATATGCCGTCTTTGACGAGATGGTTGCCGCCGGAAACGCGGTAGCTAATTTCCAGAAGGCCGAGCTGCAGCAACTGGAAATCATGCTGAACCAGTTGACTCCATGCGCCCCGCTGTCAGAGCAAATGCTGGTCGGTGAAGCCAGCGAAGCGCAGCAAACACAACCACAGCAGCAACTTTCTGATGATACGAGCCCTCACGATACAGTAATATCATCTTTAACGACGGACTTGTCTCAAAATGATAGCTACACGTCATCTATACCAGGAAATCTGGAGGAGATGACGTTCGATAGCGGACTGACCATGACGCAATTGTTGGATATGGCAAATTCCATTGAACATGAGGATACGGAGTGGATGTCGCAAACGATAGTTGAGCATAGTATTTGGTAGCTTTGTAATTACAGCGATACCGTCTTCCACGGTTATTTTTTCTCACCATTACTTCTCGCTACTATAGTTGCCTTCGCCGTTGGCAGCTCTAGTGCTGTGTTTGTTGTCCGGTGTCGTTGTTACTACCCAAGTATTCGACCAGGAATGACAACCGTGGAATACTGTAATGATGATTTCATGTGATGTTTCAACTCAGATCAGAACCTACATGTAGATTCCAATTGCTACCTGTTCAGTCGCCTGCATTGACTAGATTGACAGAATGGCCGGACAAGGAAAGATCCTCAAGCCTTACGGGACCCTGTCTATGCAACCTGTTTGTCTTGCCAGTTCGGGCGACTGATGTGACACTTTCGATCCGTCTCTTCGGAGACCCCGGGAGATTCAATGTCACTATAGCAGCTTCACACCTGACCGGCATGCTACCCGACGTGATACGTGACGTTCCAATAAGACAAGACTAAACATGCCATGCAATGATTACACATAATCTACAACTTGGAGGCCTTGGGGTTCTGGAGCTCGGCGAACTCCATGGTGTTTCCAAGACGCCAGCTAACAGTATCTCCCCACTTCCCGTCCTCGCCGCCGACATCCTTCCAACGCCACTTATCAACGGGTTGCTTGCCGTCCGCTGCCTCGAGCAGGTTCTTCACCCAAGCACCGATAAGAGGGATCAGCTTGGCTGCGTGACCCGAGTCACCGGACATCAATACCACAGACGAGTCAGACTTGGGGACGTAGTCGATGATGAAGTCTGAGTCGTTGGTGTCGGCGAACCAGCACAGAGACTGCTTCACCAGGGGCCGGTCCGCCAGCTCGGGAAGAGTCTCCCTCAGCAGTCTTCGCACCTTCTCCTGATCATGCAAGGGCATGAAGGCACTCTCTGCATGAGACGGAGGGAGGGAGACGCCTGTCTTGGGATCCGTGTTCACGTATCCTCCTCCCATCGGGCACAGCTTCAGGAGGTTGGTCTTGGGGTCCGGCTCGAAGTAGAACCCGAAGTCTCGGGCGTACGTGACTGGGATCCCACGCAGAGCGGAAGTCTCGTCGTCCGTGAGGTGGACGTGAGCGACGGACCAAGACTTGGCGACCACCTGCTTGCCACATTCTGGAACCAACCTCGCTGCCGCGGCACCCACAGCGACGATGACTAGCTTGGCAGGAACATGTCGTCCCTCCTGCGTCCTGATACCCGTTGCTCTCCTCCCCGATGAGGTGTTCTGGTAGACGACTTCCTTGACGCCCCCGTGCTGCCCCAAGAAGAACTTGACGCCGCGTACCTGCGTCGCCTTGTACAACGCAATCAGGGCGTTGCCCGAGTGGACGTAACCGTCATACGTGTTGAGGTAGCCCTTCCATCCGGAGCACGGGCCTGCCTTGAACTGCCATACGTTCTCCTCAATGTCCTTTCCTCCGGTGATGGGAATGACATGCTTGGCCAGAACCGGGTTGCTTTCCGCAGACTTCTGGAACCTCCTGAGCGTGTCGACGGCCCTGTCAGGGGCGGCGCCCGAGACGCAGTGAAGGAAGCCGACCTGGTGGAAGTGCGGCGCGAAAAGTGGCGTCTTCCAGGCCCTGATAGCTTCCTGCGTTGCCTCGAGTAAGCTTTCGGTGTAACATCTCATTTCGGAGGGCCTGACTTACGAGGGTAAGATCGGTGTAGAACGGGTCCTCATACTCGGCCCTCAGGATCTTGTTGATATCATTGGCGGCAGAGTCCCGCGGGGGTATTTGCTCATGCTTGTCGTAGACAGAAATGTCCGTGTATCCAGCCAGGGTGAGGTGATAGGCCGTGGACAGGCCAAAGGCGCCGGCGCCGACGATGATGATAGGATCCGACTTGCTGATGCCCATGGTGATTGATTGTGAGAGACGTGAATTAAGATGATGCACCGGAATTGAGAGGCTCTCTATTGCTCGAAGTTTGCTCCTTATGATGTATGTGACTTCCAACGGCGGTGTAAGCCGTTCGATCTCTCACCGGCTCCGTTCGGGAGAAGCACCGGCTTCGGACCCACGGTCCAGATGAAGCTATTCCCGGGGCAATGCGGGGGACCGAGTGCCTGCGTCAGGTGATCTTACGAGTCGAGTACATCGGTTGGTCTCCCTTGCGGGGGTTTAGTGATATGCTTATCACACCGATTGTTCAACACGGATGCTGAACCGGTCCTCGACCTCATCAGTGCAGTCAGAGTCGGGTGCTCATCCGGTCCTCAGACGTGTTCCTGATTGGTTCAAGGGCCGGATGTGGGTCAACGGCATCGGCATCGGGACCCCAAGCCGGCTTCTTCTCTCAGGCATGTTGGTTCGAGGCGAACACCTGGTGTTGGTATCTACGTACTGATGACACTAGACGAACGGAATGAGAAGGTTTGGACCGGGTCGATGCATGCGGAAGGTCACATTGCCTCAGATTGCTGAAGATACGAGCTTGTTGGGCCATTCTTCAAGTAAACACTGAAGAGCAAGCCGGCCAACATGCACAGGGTCGGTTCCTTGTCATCGGTTGCTCCTTACCTAATGCATTATCACGGACTATTTTCATCCGTACTCAGATGATATCAGGACACGGGAAACCCGTTGATAAACACTGCTGCAGGTCTTCAAAAATAGCCAGGCTGAGCTGGCTTCAATTGAGCAGATCTTCCAGTTGAAACTCGAGGAATGGGGCACAATGAAACTAGTGAGCAATGTTTTGATGGGTCGACAATCATCAATGTCATTGGACTACTCAAATGTCTCTAAATTACACATTTCGCCTATCCCGAATGTACATGTCATCACGCCATTTTTTCCCGACAGTGTTCCCTGCGCGATTTTACGCCTTGTTGCTGGGGTATTCGAAGTCGGTCAAGGGGAAGAACTCCTCCTTGATCAACCTTGGGCTCGTGAACCGTCTCATGACGTCAGCGCTGCCGGCCTTGTCGTTGGTACCGCTGGCACGGGCACCGCCGAATGATTGCTGGCCGATCAGGGCGGCCGTGGTCTTGCAGTCTGAGAAGCGCATGTGTTAGCAGTGCGAAGATGACGAAAGAGAGAGCATGGAGACTTACTGATGTAGAAGTTGCCTGCGGAGTAGCGCAGGGCGTCCTCCGCCTCGCGGATGGCGCGACGGTCGCTGGCGAAGACGGCTCCGGTCAGGGCGAAGCCGCCGCCTCCCTGGTCGACCTTCTTGAGGGTGGACGACCACTCGGCGTCGGGGTAGGTGCTGACGGCCAGGACGGGGCCGAAAATCTCCTCGTTGAACAGACGGTGGTCGGGAGAGTCGGCGAGGTAGACGGTCGGGTTGACGTAGTATCCGTTGGAGCCGTCGTAGGTTCCGCCGACGAGCAGCTTCAGCGACGGGTCCTTGTTGCTGGCGTCGATGATGCCCTTGATCTTCTCGAAGGAGCGCTCGTGGATGACGGGTCCCATGAAGGCGTTCAGATCACCGTCGGGGCTGCCGATGGTGATCTTCTTGACGTTCTCGACCAGCTTGGACAGGAACTCCTCAGCCCTCGACTCCGGGAGGTAGACGCGGGAAGTGGCGGAGCACTTCTGGCCCTGGTACTCGAAGGCGCCGCGAAGAGTGTGCAGCGCGGCGCTGTCGATGTCGGCGGTGGGGTGGACGAGATGGAAGTTCTTTCCGCTGGTCTCGCCGACGACGCGAGGGAACTCGCGGAAGGTCTTCTTTCCAATACCCTCACCAATCTTGGCGTACAGGGAGCGGAAGACGTCGGAGGATCCGACGAAGTTCAAGCCAGCGAAGTCGCGGTGGTTGAGGACGACGTCCGTAACCTCCTCAGCTTCACCAGGGACGAATTGAATGACGTTCGGGGGGAGACCGGCCTCGAGGAGGATGTTGTACACGATCTGACTGGCGTAGATGTTGCTGGGCGACGGCTTCCAGAGCACAACGTTGCCCATCAGCGCAGGGCCGGAGATCAAGTTACCACCAATGGCGGTGAAGTTGAAGGGTGAGATGGCGTAGACGAAACCCTCGAGAGGGCGCCATTCCAGGCGACTAGAATGTGAGTTAGCAATGGACCGGGTTCATGCTCTGAATGGTGGATTCTCACCTCCACATGCCGTCAGAACCACGCTCAGGCTGCTTCTCCAGGATCTCAGCGGCAAAGTTGCAGTTAAGTCTGAAGAAGTCTGCCAGCTCGGCCGCCGCATCAATCTCTCCCTGCCACATGTTCTTGCCCTGGCCCAGCATAGTCGCCGCAATAAGCTCATATCGGTATTTAGTCACGGCCAACTCGGCCGCCCTGAGGAAGATAGCCGCTCGGTCGACAAAGGGTGTTTCCTGCCAGCTCTTCTTCGCCTCCAACGCGGACTCGATAGCGGAAGAAACCTGTTGTTTGGACGCGAGGGGGAAGTTGGAGAAGGTCTTCGCATGTTGGGAGGGGATGACGGTGTTCTGAGACTTGGCGGCGGTTTGGACCTGGCCGCCGAAGAACAGGTCGCTACGTGCGGGGAGCTGGGACTTGAGCTTCTTCAGAGCCTCCTCCAACTTTGCCCTCTCGGGAGAGCCTTTTCTGTATTCGGGCTTCGAAGCATGTCAGCTCATTTCCTAGGAATTTGGATTACTGCGGAGACCTACGTTAGGCTCATTTCTAGGGTCTGGTAATCTGAAAGGCGCCGTCGCCTTAGTTCTTGTTTGTTGCAGGCCGACGGGGACTGAGATGGGACGCAGCGCCCTCCTCATAGACCGTCCAGGTCTCGCGATAACGCTGATAACTTGCATTTTCGTGTAGAAGTGTGCGATGTGTCTGTGAAAACGGGAATAAGGAAGTTGGAGGCGGATAACTTGATGTGAACACAGAGAACCAATACCTCGATTCAAGTGCCAGTTGGAGTACCTTACATATACCGTCTGCTATCAATCGGCTGTCTTCCTGTCCTATTTGATTGTAGCCAGGCCGGTCATGCTCCCGACAGAGCTCTGGAGCAATTGACCAATCATGTGCATGATCAATGTCATTCCGTCCTGGAGGCCGAAGTCGGACGGGGCAGATCCCGGAGCGGGGTGACGACGGACGCCCAGCCGATATCTACCCCGCCGTTCCAGAGGTCGCGTCGCATCTCCCCGCAAACACCGGTGGCTGGGATCTTGAATCAGCTCCGCCGGCATGTGACCTCCGATAATAATAGCCCGATGATAGCCATCGTATCTAGATCCGGGCTCACGGAGTTGGTCGCACTCAAACCAACCGGTCGTCCAGCCGCCTTCAGTCCACGTAGTACTTGGAAATACATCCTGTTTTTCCACCGATTTATTGAAGAGACTGAAATGGAGATTTACTTGATCAAAACAAGTAAGAAGTAATGAACGATGCTTTCTCATTCATAGTAGTGTTGAAATAGGGCTTCTTGTTGTTTAGGTCTCTCAATCTACTGTCTGGTCGTCTATCTTGGTTCATGATGTTGAAAATCGCGGAGCTATGGCTGCAGCTGCAGATAAGTAGCTCGCGGTCCTCGTCCGTCGAGGACGAAGAAGTTTAAGCATATCTCTCGCAAACGACGGTTAGTCTCACAACCAATGACACAAACAGAGACCGGGAACGGCCTGGTCGGCACAGAACGCGACCCATGTCCCCTCCTGGGGCAGTTGGCAGGGGATTTGACAGCCGGAGCTTTCTCCGCAATTTTGATCTCCCCGGCAGTCACGATACTAGATCGGTACGTGACGCAATGTCAAGACCCTGATTCTTTGACTAATAGAATCCCAGGGCGGTGGTGGAGAGAACATCAACAGGACGGCCCCTCATCCGAGGTCTTCGCTCGCAGCTGTCTTCCGCCCTCCGCCGACCACGATCCTTCTTCCTGGGCAAGCCTCTGGGGATAGTCTGGACCCTTTATGCGGCGACTTACGTCACAGCAAACGCTGCAACGACACTAGCTGAGAGATACGACGGCGCCGCAGCCGTGAGCACGGCGACATTCGCCTCCACGTTCCTCGTCAACGTGCCCCTTGGCGTGTGGAAGGACCTCCGGTTTGCCGAGATATTCGGGTCCAGCAGCAGCGCGTCCGGGGCCACGGCGGTATCGACGACACCGCGAGGGCTCCCGAGAGCAGCAACCGCCACTTTCTTGATCAGGGACGCGGTGACGATCTTTGGGTCGTTTACTCTCCCGACGTGGGTATCGGCTGCTATCCCGGACAGCGTGACGGCTTCCCCACATGCCAAGGCGACGCTCACGCAGCTGACGGTGCCGGTGATGTCTCAGCTGGTCGCTTCGCCGATTCACCTGATTGCGTTGGACTACTACGAGAGGCAGAGGAAGCTGCCGTTCTCCGACAGGGTTGCGAAGACGAAGGAGCATGTGCCGTCGACGATAGTCATGCGGTGTATTAGGATCATTCCGGCGTTCAGCATTGGGTGCGTTGCGAATCTGGAGTTCAGGTCAATGTTTCATACGTGGTTAGGCTCAATAACTGGAAAATAATAGATTTCAGATTTGACGTTCAGAAAAGCTGTCTTGAGTTTCTTAGTGTATGCAAAACTACGGTGTAAACTAGATTCAATAGGTTCCACGTCATGCTAGGGCAAGCTGAAATGGCGAAATGCATCTGCGTTGAAAAAGATAACATTGAATTTTACGTTTCTACGGACGTCTTGTGTCATTGACGTGATCTTGTGTTTCCATCAACCTGGCCAAAGTAACCGCTTCTCTAAGTGCTCTTCCAATGTGCCCCCGAACAGCTCCCTCCTCCAGAACCATCAAGCCACCAATTGTGCATCCTTCAGGTGAGGTACCTTGATCTCTCAACAAAGATGGATGCAGTCCATTTTGCATGAGAGTCGCACTACCCAACATGGACTGGAAGATCATAGTAGAGGCCAGATTTCTAGGCACTCCGACCGCAACCGCGGCATCGATCATCGCGTCGCAAATAACGCCCCAGAATGCCGGAGTGGACCCTCCGACCGCGGTGGTAGCGTTCATCAGCTTCGGTGAAATCTTAACCGCTTTTCCTATCCTCTCAAAGATAGCTTCAGTGAGTTCCATATAGGGGGCTGGGACCGGGGGATCCGAGATTTCGATCGCAGTGAGGGACTGGGACACCATCGCGGCGATGTTAGGAAGAGTCCGCACCACCCAAGCTCTGCCCTCAGTATTCTCGGCCGTAGTCTCGCTGCCATACAGGGTTGCTTCCAACTTTCCTCTGGACCATCCCGCGGCAACGCTGATGAGGAGCTTGTCTTTCAAGGCGTCGGCGGTATTGGGTTGAGAAAGAACCAACTCCACGTCGCCAGGGTCAACTCCGAGGATGACGACTTGTGACTCTTTCAAAACGGCGAGGTTGTCTCCCCTCGAGACTCGCAGTTTCTCTCCGGCATTTGGGAATTTTTCTTTCAGGGATTTCTCTGATTGTTCGCTCCGGACACATGCAATGAATTTGGTGATGGGCAGTGTGTAATTCTCGGCGTTCGAAGCATCGTACAGTGCTTTCAAGATGGGAATGCCTAGGTTTCCTGTCACGGCAGGTCAGCATTGGCACAGAACTAACGTGAGACACAAAAGAGCTTACCGCAACCCAGGATGCATAAAGTGATGTCCTTCAGTTCTGCCATCGTGGCCGTGTTGCTGAAAGGGTTTCGAGAGTACGTCTGGAGCACCGAGGTTGCGTGTTCGTAATTTTGCCAGGGTAGATGAACCTCAATCAAGTGACAAGGGTAAGAAGAAGTGAGATTCAAGTACACAGCAAAGTAAAAAGTGAAGTTCAGTTTGTCAAGCTATCACAAGCTACCCTAGCTACCCCTCATCATGCACTCTCATCGGGAGGCACCCGGCCGCGGATGTGGAGTAGGTGGGGAAGCAACGGGAGTGCTCCCGGTGGGAGCTGCAGATAGCAACCGATCCAATTCCAAAGATAGTCACAAGACACAATGATCCACTTGATCTGTATGATTTTCGATTAACGAGAGTTATCTCTATCTCTAGCCAACCGTCCGAGACCGGAACGATCTAGACCGCAGTCGTCTGCCCAACTCCGCCTTCAGCGCCGCATACTCGTCCACCGTCCTCGAGACCGCATCCCGGTTCTCCACCGCCCTACGCAAGAGATACGCCACGCACTCCCCCATGCTTCCCCACGTCGAGCACTTCCACACCTGCGGCGACGGGTCCGAGCCGTCCTTGAGCTGCAGCAACGCAAAGCTGACCTCGTCCGACATACCCTGGAGCTGCGCGAAACCGACCGGGACCGTCGGCAGGCCGTCCTTCATCCTCTGCTGGTGCAGCTTGTGGGCCGTGACGACGCTGTGCTTGTTGTGGCTGGCGAGGAAGAGGTTGAGGGACGGGAACGGCTTGCCTCCCGGGGCACCGTACTCGCCGATCTGGCGCTTGAGGGCTCCCTGGGCGATCATGTTGTAGGCGTCGTCGGTGTCCTGCTTGGTGTCGTGGATCAGGGACCTCTCGTCGGAGCCGATGTAGGCGCCTCTGACGAGTTTCAAGCCGAGCGTGAAGCCTTCGTTGTTTGCCAGTTCGAGATGCTTAGCCAGAGTTGCCGGGGTGCTTTTCAGGTATGCTTGGTAGGTCTGGTAGACTGTGGCGTAGCCGTCGCGGTTGTACTTGCGCATGAGTTCGAGACCAGCTCTGAAGATGCCCCATTGGAAGTGTTGAGATTCGGCGTCGAGCAGCAGACGGATGCCGCGGTCCTTGCAGCGGATGCAGACCTCGTCAAGAGCATCCATCATCTGCTGCGGGGGCATCTCGTCGTTTGCGAAAGCTGTAGTCACCTTTTGTCCGGCGCCGGTAAGCCTGTTTTTTGTCATGTTAGTCTTTGAAAACTCGAGCTATTTCATAGATGTGTGGAGATACTCACTTCAAAGCCAGCTGGTCTCCATCTCCAAGCAAGTCCACAGTCTCCAACGCTCCTTTCCTCCAGGACTCAATGTTTGAACACCTTCCCGACTTGGACTCCTCCTCAGCTTCGATACCAAGACCGTGGGCGGTGTTGGTCTTAGAATCGAATACGGTTTCCTTAGCATAAGTGAGAATTGTGCCACGGAACCCCATAAATCTCAGATGCCTCATCGTGTTCTTAGTCTCTTCTGGCGACTCTCCCGCGCAGAATTGTCTGTAGAAGAGAGTTTTGAGAACTGAGTGCAGAACGGGATTCCGGTCAACATCGAAGAGCAAGCTTCTGTTTGGTCTTGTGAGAAAAGACAGAACTGCCAAAGATGGACCGAGCAAGTAAGGCTTCGACGATATCGCCGAAACCAAAAGTGATCTTAGAAGGACTGGTGTAGGCAGTGCTGATAGTGTGGCAGGTGCCGAGTTTGTGATGGGCTTCTCAGCAACGAGAGGCGCTGCTGAGGCATGCCGCGCTCTCCTCGATGTTGTGGCCGGTTTTGCAAAGATGGCAGTGGCATGGCGGCTCCAAGGCGCCCATGTCGTGACTAGTGGTGCACGAGAGGACATCTCAAAGACTGAGTTTATTGATTTGGATGATGATTTGGTTGAACTGAATGACAATCATCTCAACTCAAGAGGGCGAACCCCCTTTATCATAAAGTCAACTCTATCGTGACAACCCAGCAAGCCGATTCGGAACTCCTCTTCCATAACCACAACGAACACATGATCGATACTCCTTCTCTTACACACCCTCAGGTACCTGATGCGTATACTGTTCTAGGAAACGCAAGCCTTGACCAGGCGGTAGTTGGGCAGCCAGCTTATCGATACCCCGCTCATCAACGCGGGGTAAGATAACCATCTGTCTTCGTATCACAAAGATAGGTGTGCATGCAGCATGATGCCAAACCGAGATCTGGACCCTCGAAACCAATCGGGCCCTAAATCCGACTGTCTAGAGTGTGGGGTAAACCGACGTTTGGGTGTGGCCGGTAGCGCCTCCGTGGGTGCTAAGCATGACCGGAGACGAGACCGACGAGTATCTCGAAGTATCTCCCGTGGTCAGTTGACTCGGATCTGAGATACTGCAAGCGGCGCAGCAGGGTTCAACTGTTATCTTGGATCCCTCTGTGACAAATTGGGCATGTCTCGGGAAGCAATTGATTCGTTGCTGTTTAGTCACAATAACACTTAGACCGGCCCGGCCAAGACTCTCAAGTTTCGATGCACGATTCAGACGCCCGGACTATAAAGATAGTTTGGCTGGAACCAGGGGTTGTCTGGTTGGCTTAGTATCCCATCCAATAGTCTGTCTAGGGCATTCTCTTCCCTCCTCTCGTTGCTTGTCCTACTTCCGAGTTCGTCTTGTCTTCCGCATATCTCTTATACACCGCAATATAGGCATCTCTGTCGCTCAAGGTGTCCTGGACGCTCTGTCTTTCTTTCACAGCATCAAACCATTTCCTCCAACGGCTCCAAACAGCTTCGTCTTCTCCGCCATCCCCCTCCTCTGGCACACCGAGACCACCAGGTTTGTAGTGGTCAAACAGAAACAGACGCATTGCCCACGGCGCCAGCATAACGTCGACCAAGCTGAAGGTCTGTCCCAGAAACCACGGCCCTTGAGAGCTGAACTCTTTGGTGAAAGTCTTGATGTTCCCGAGAAACTCATCGCGAGCTTGTTCGATGTTGTACTCCTTCTCAGGGGTATGCTGAATGAACTTGTAGAAACCCGGCACGATGCGGGAGTTGATGTGGTCGATCCACAGTCGGCATCTCGCCCGTTCATAGGGTTCCTCCGGGAGAAGATGCGGTCCATAGTTGTTTCCCGAGTAGGCCTCTTCGAGGTACTCGCAGAGAACGGTGCTGTCGTAGAGAGGCTTCTGCTCGCTACCCTTCACATCGACGGGAACGGCCAGAGTCGGAACCAGTCCCCGTGGGTTTAGCTTCAAGAACTCCGGGTCCTTCTTGTAGGGGTTGATCTCGATGTACTGGTGCGGGATGTTCTTCTCGCAGAGAACGATCCATGTGCGTTGCACGAAGGGGCAAAACCAGCCCCCGTAGAGCTTCAACGCATGCTCTTCCGAGTGCTTGGCCGCAAGTCGGGCAGCAGCGCCGGTCGTGTGGGGATCGATTGACGTATCGACGTTGGCCATTTCGCAGGAGATTTTAGATTCAAGACGGCCCTAGATGCAGCTGTGTTGATTCTTTGACGATTGCGGTTGCTTGAATCATTAAGAGGAGTTGCTTGTGACTAATGACGTGACTTTCTCTATGACGTGATTGTGATATGCGAGACTCGGCATATGTGGGGCCGAGTGCAACCGGCCGGCTCCGACTTGCCGGCTCACTTTCCCCTGTGCTCATCCGAACTCCGTGACGGAGGGAGGCCCGGATGTGGATAGTTTTCGCAAGCAAAACGACAACAGGTTCGGTCTTACCTGTTACGGGTTACCAATGTACTATGACTGAAATCAAAGTCAAAAGGCACTGTCTTCTCTTTTGAGTGTTTTGAGTTATAGTTTCTGCCGACCGGAGAGATCGGCTTATAGTGAAATCTATGCTAAAATGCTAATTCCGACATCAAAAGTACAGGACTATTACTTTGCAGGCACCAGTGTGCTGTCGTCAATCTTTTGCGCAACCTGATCATATCTCCATCTGCTAAAGTACGCAGGAGTCTTGCCCTCCCCGCCATTATTCGTCGCATACGCTCCTATTATGGTGCCTACAATTACAGATTAGCGCCTGCTGAGTTACAAACGTGTATGCAGCAAATCACTTACCAGTGAATGGTCCACTGCCACCAGAAACAATCAAGCCGCTGGCGGAACCGATTTCCAGATACTCCTCGGGCCTTGAAGCTGGAGCAGCGCCGAACACATACTCGGTGTCGCTAACCGCCGACGCTGTCAGACGAATCTTCTCCGAACGCCACTCCTTGGGCACCGGAATAATGACTTCTTCCGGCACCGTGATGTTGGGCTTTCCAGAGGCCTCAACTCTGAACCTGAATCGTGGAATCAGCTTCGTCCCGGAGCAAGCCGGCAAGTTGACGATTCCGAGGTCGATGTGTTGCACTTGTGTCAAGAAGACCGTGACGCCGGCTTCTTCGTCTTCAACCTCGGGCTTGAAGTCGACATCAACGGTGTAGTTGAATAGGGTAGCACTTTGCTTCCGCGCAATGAATCCGAGTCCATCCTCTTTCGGGTTGAAGTCAGGAGTACCCGATAGATTGGTTGGAGAGGGAGATATCTGCAACGTGTTCGGATTTCCTTCCGGGGAGATGGCGAAGAGTGAGTCCTTCGGAGGGCGCCAGAAGAAGAAGTGTCTAGGCAGAGCAGAGCCCGGCGTAAAGTCGACAACATCAGGCTCGTCGATCCAGTGACCATCTCCCGGAATGTCCTTGTTTGTCGGGGGCAGCGGCCCGGTCATCGTGCCTCTCACCATGTCCAAGACTGGCCACTCTCCTTCATCCCACGTTACGGCGTACAAGACTGTCTCGCGGCCCATTGGAAATATCTCCCAAGCTGGTCCAGAGCGCGTTGCCAGCGCCACACCCCACCAGTTTCCAACAGCGTCCTGGAATAAGTCCGCATGACCGACGGTTTGGAAGTACTCGTCAGTATTCTTGGCTGTCAGGATCGGGTTGCCCTCAAATCCTTCGTAGGGGCCTGCGATTTCCTTTCCACGCGCGATGGTAACTGAGTGATTCGTCTCCGTGCCGCCCTCGCCGATGAGCAAGTAGTAGTATCCATCCTTGTTATATAGATGCGGTCCCTCGGGGTTGCGGTCGCCCGTGCCATTCCACACTTTGATGGGCTCTGTGGCCGAACCCGTCGTGAGGTCGATCTCACTGATGTATATCCCAGCAGCAACCGACATGTACACCTTTCCAGAGTCCCAGAACAAGTCTGGGTCGATGTCGTTGGCGGGGTTCTCGACACGAAGCGGTCCTTCCCAGGCAGAGTCGTCGTACGGATCATCGGTTCTGAAGAGTAGGACGATTGGTCCCCACCCTCCATACCACGAGACGTATGATGTGATCAAGTAGAAAGTCCCCTCGTGGTATCGGATAGTGGAAGCCCAGATACCCTCACTTTGCCCCGAGTTTCTGAACAGCTCTGGCAGCTGGTCCGGCTTCGTCAAGGCATTGCTGGCCAGCTTCCAGTTGACTAGATCCTTGCTGGCGTAGACAGGGACACCAGGGAAGGCCAGGAAGGAGGACGTGGTGCAAAAGAAGGTATCATCCCACTCCTTAACAAACGTGCAGCTGGGGTCTGAGTTCCAGCCTGGCAAGATCGGGTTGTGGAAGGTCTGATTGACCTGCGCTTGGCTTTGAGTCGCCAGCGTGACAATGGACAGCCCGATGAAGGCTAGAAAACGCATTGGTGTATTCTATACGGTGTTGCCGGGATTTTCAGTGTGATATACCGTAACCTTATCACCTCGTACATCTACGCTTGGATATATTTGGCTGCCTATTATTTATATCATCTCTCTTTCATATCGCTTCAGATCGACCCCTACGTCGCGGCTACAATGAAGTGAGATCGGGAAATTCTGTGTAATTACAAACGAAACCGAGAACGAGGCAAAGAAATGTTCCGCCAATTCAATTCCTACCGGCAAAACTTCAATTGCTGCACATGGCTGACAAGCGGGGTCAGTTGGAGGAAGAGCTTCTTGGAAGCTAGGAATCACTGCAAAACCCCGCAAATTTTCCAAAAACTCCGACGGCTTACGTGCCGACAATACCGTCGCTTCTCGGTATGTTACGTCGTGACATCACATGTTCTACCGCTCCTGCATCGGCACCTGCTCAACCGTTGTGTGGTTAACCTGAAGAGATCGCTAATGGACTTGCGCGTGTATTCTCGCGAGATATTTACTCAATGCGTCAAGAATCGTAGCCAGGGGCGACGCCCCAAATAATCACCCAGACGTCTAACACTCGATCTACTGACTTGCTCCGATATGACTTCAAAACTAACAATCCATGCATTACACAAGCTTTGTTATAAACTGCAGCAATGTGAATGAGTCTCTTCCGATGTATTTGCCCGGTTGCAATTGCCTTGTATGCGCAGCGTTATAAGTTCTCTAGTAGATAGACCAATTCAACTTTTCCCTCTCTCAATTAGCTTCAGCCCCTGCCAACAACACGCCCTTCATCCATTTCTTCATGGCTTTAATACATTCTCCATCTCGTTTGTCTTCGCCCTCTAAGAGAATGAAGTCGTGCGCCATCTGTTCTTGGAGGTCAAAGTACAACTCAAGATTTGGGTTCCTTTCGCGCACTTCCTCCACAAATGAGACACACTGGTCTCTAAATACCTCATGGTACCCAACCGAGAGGTACATATTTTTCGTGATCGTGTTCAGGCTTTCTATCCAGGGCTCCGACATATCGAGGGGAAATGCGTGGCTGAAGCTGTCCTTTGCCTGCTTCGCCCAGTCCAATCCGAGCAGATCCTGTAAGACGAGATTCACCAAAGAGGCCGAAAGCATGTCAATCGACCCATTTTCGGCGAAGGACGTATGGTTCGTGCGTTTGGTAAGCCACGGCGAGACAAGAAATACTCCAGCGAGAGGCTTAGCCAGCTTGACTGGAATGGCCTCAGGGTGCGGCTGCACAATGTGGCAGAGGAGCTGTCCCGTTAAATTGCCTCCAGCCGAATCACCACCGATAATGATGTTCTCGGGAGAGATTCCGCACCGGAGTAAATGTTCCAGGGCAGCTGCCGCCTGGCATAGTTGAGTGGGATATTGTGCGCCAGGAGAGAGCGAGTATTCGAGGATGGCAACAGCGACGTCGATCTCAGCGTCGATGCCGGCCATGATATGTGCTCTCCACATCCATTCCATGTAGCCATTGAGCAGCGGGGTCGTGTAGCCGCCACCATGGAAAAACAACACTATCTTCTTTGCGGTCGTGCGGTCTCCGAGCCAAAGGATCGATGAGTGGCCGTCAGTGAGGGGCTCTATATCGCACTTCAGCCGCTCGTTCACTCCTTGATGCCCGCCATCTTTTGCAAGGAAAAGCTTCTCCTTGATCCATGTTTCGTAAACCTGCTTCGTTGGATTACATAGGTATTGGATGTCGTGGGCGTCGAAGACGTCCTGAAGTGTCTTGGCCACAGCGCACAGAATATACGGTCTGAGAGGGAGCCGTCGAACGGATGCAAGGGTGATTCCACGCAAGACATATGCGAGGATCTGCACAGGTGCTTGAGGAAACATTAGCACCAATACATCACATTAGTTGTGCAGCCGTGACCTACCTCGGCAAAATCGAAATGCCAGACGCAGTTGATCATTTCTGGAGAACGGTTTCGACATCGGATGAGGCAGCGGACTGGCTTAACAGGGAATTCAGTTGTGAAAAAGATCTCATCGTAGGCAAATTTCTTCTTACGTTTATTTCAGTGATTTTATAATGGCCATGCTTGCAGGGGTTGACAGCTAAGGATCCACCCGGATCCCGCGGCAAGCGTTTCGTTGTCTATGATAGAATGAACGGGCAGCGCAAAACACACTTGAGGTCCGTATCACACTGATCAAGCGTATGACAGCAACTTATCAAGAAAACGTGTTGCTAGTTCCGGCGTGGTCTTTCAGTGACGAGTCAATTTCTAACAGGACGTTTCCCTGAGAGAGAAATTTTGACACATGAAGTCCCCTTTGTAGTGACTACTGAATCTGCTGTGGAACCAGATTCGCAGTCACTCCCAGGTGCTGGTTCACCAATTTCAAGAAATTAGTACCCTAACGTCAAGAAGGAGAGGCTTCTGCATGTCCAAAGAAATCGGCGGTAGATGAAACCCCGTGGGAAAGATGTCGCTTGCCAAATTGATCGTGAACACAATGATTCAAACTCTGCAAAAGAACTCATCTCCATCCTCTCCGCCCATGCGAAGCAATCAGGCTGAGAGACAAGAGCACCAGCCGCAAACCTCAGTGGTTTGATTCTGGGATATTCTTGAATCGATCTTCGCAAGCTACTGTAAAAGAAGGTGAAGGTCCCTGATGAATGGTTTCAATCTAGTCGCTGGGTATTCTCATAGCAGAGTTAACGTTACAAACAGATTTCAGTAGCGCAGTTGCCGAAATGCGAGCACATATGCGCAAACGAATGCATCCCTTAATCAAGTCTTGATTATGTTGGCCGATTACCATCTCGTGGAGCGACAAACCATCACACCACCTAAGATTCTGATTGGCTGAGCTGCAACTCGCAGTAATTGTTATCGACAACATCATGATGTTCTTTTGGTTGTGGTGGTTTAAGTCAAGATCATAAACATCTTCGTTGATGTGTTGTAATGTTGAGTTGATGAAGGCGGTATTGAGGGGACTGTGCTGAAGCTTATCTCAGTATCAGTATGACCCAAGCCTTGTGCGGTGTCCGCGGGTCGAAGATCATCGGTATCCCACATCATTATTGCAGGATGTACTCTGTAAAATGATTACTATTCATAATCTGAACTTGAGCCGAGCTTCGTGCGGCATCCGCGGGTTGAGGATCACCCGGTATCTAATTCGCCATTGCAGTGAGATAGAACAATTACTTTTCAAAAGTTAAGACATCATCTCAAAGGCCTTACGGAACTTCGCGGACCTTCACGGTCGCGCAGATACCAGTAGCAGGTTCCCGACAACTCCGAAGATTGCATACGAATAACTGACTGATCTCTATATTAAAGAATGCTTTAGTATATCGCTGATCAAATACAATCAGTACTCTCAACGGCTCTTCCCAACGCAACGTAAACAGCACTTCACAACTTCAATATCACTCCGCAATATCAACAGCCCTCCATAACGTCGACGGCATTTCGTTACTTCAACGGCATTTCGTTACTTCAACGGCACTTCAAAATTTCATTTATCACAGAAGTTTCGGATTTCCTCTATTCGGACATCTACCTCAAAATGTCTTGCAACCCCACTAATGACGGCTTTTCATTCACTCCTGATGGTGGAATATCCACAGGGCTGTCTAGTTCTTCGGTGATCACTCCGTCGCAATGCTTTACAAGCACTGAGACCTTGTACGACGCGATTGTCGTCGGAGCTGGGTGGACAGGAGTAACCACCGTGCGGGACTTAACCTCACGCGGTACGTAGTCCTTCCTTCAACACCACGCACTGGATTCATTCGAGGGAACCAATACTGAATCGGCTTATAGGCTTTAAGGTGTTGCTCTTAGAGGCACGTGATCGCATCGGCGGACGAACCTGGACCTCTGTCATCGACGGCCATCCATTTGAGTTGGGCGGCACATACGTCCATTGGGGTCAATCTCACGTCTGGACTGAGATTACACGATACAACCTGCAAGACTATGTGACAGACGTCTTCGACAACTCTGATGACACTACCTCTGGACTTAATGTAAGCGAATTGAAAAACGCGGAAAAATTAATATCAACACGCTAATGTTTGTGTAGGACTCCGACCTCGCGGAAGCTCTCACCAAGTTTTTCAACGTTGACGGGTACAATGGTGCTAAGGTTATACCGTTCCCGCACAATCCTGCGATTGGGGATGCCACCCACCTTAAATATGACTCGATGTCTCTAGACGATCGATTGCAGGAGATTCGCGGCGACCTTGACCCCAGCATCATCACTCCTCTGGTAGTGATGCTCCTGTGTAACGGCGGTGATTTGGAAACCAAGAGCTTTTTTGAATTTTTGCAACGATGGGCACTCTGTGGGTATAACGCCAAGGGATATGTGGATTACCACATACGGTACAAGTTGAAAATCGGGCAGTCAGATTTCCTGAAGCATTTATGGAAGCACGCCTTGCAGACCGGCAATCTTTCCTACAGATTTTCATCCCCAGTTAATTCGGTCGACACTACCAACGCCAACGATACGACGATTACAACGACTGATGGGACGATTTACCACGCACGAAAGGTCATTGTGACAGTTCCATTGGCTGTGTTGAAACAGATTTCATTCTTGCCAACTTTGCCGCACCTGAAAGCAGAGGCATATGCTCAAGCGACTGGGAATATTGCGGCTAAAGTTATCGCTGTAGCGACTGGAACTGACTGGGTCGGCCGTAGTGTATTCGCCGACAACGACGGCTTCACGTTCACGATGACTGGTGAATCAGTCGCCGCGTGGGGGAACGATACGGTCTTGGTCGCCTTTCACGTCAGTACGATCCAGCCTCGCACAGATCCCCACGGATTCTTGGACCAGTTACGAGCTGGTCATCCCGATTTACAGATTAAATGTTTGGTAAGGACGCAAGCTTTTCCCCCTTTATTATCCTTAGGACAATGGCTTACCCTCACCGACGTGTGTTTCGACAGATTTGGTGTGATTATACCAATGATACATACTTTCGTGGCGGCTGGGCCGTTGCGGACAAGGGTTATACGTCGAAATATATGGACGCGTTGCACGAACCCTTTGGCAACATCATCTTTGCCAGTGGTGACTACGACCATGGGTTCCGAGCATTTATTGACGGGGCTGTAGCACAAGGTATAAAGGCTGCGAGAGCTGTGGAACTTGCAGTGGGTAAGCGTAGTCGCCCAACACGTACATCCAACGGTTTATAGGACAGATATCAACTTCTCCTGTGTAAGATAGCGCTTCTTAGTTGGGAAATTACGTAGTATGACTGATCAATCTTCGAAAATGGACCTGCACGTGTGTTCCGGCGCAAAGCTTACTCAATGCGTCAAGAATCGAAGTCACGGGCGACGACCCAATGAACTACCCGGACCTCCACAACTCCACTTCTGTTTCCGAGTCCGGGCTCCACAGCTCTGTCCGGTCCCGCAAATCACCGCCGGCGCAAGCCGGCATGACTTTTTCAGTTCGCCTTTCCGCGGAGAATAGCTTCGATGTGGCTCGTAGCTTTTGTTTTTTTTGATACGCCATCGAGGCTGCTCACAGAAAAGCGTTGAAGGGAGCCACAAAGGTCCTGTGTATTCTACGCACTATCATCCAAATTCCGTTAGAACTTGGGGCAGAGTTTCCAGTACATGAGGAATAGAATCCACTGCTCCGACAGCCACGTTAACCGTATCTTGCTTTATCCAAGACTTGCAAATCGTGGCTTCATTCGGTCCCCAAAACAGGTTGACAGAGTGCCTAGGTCAAAATCATGTGTTGTACAATAATCAACAATCATGTATTTGTGTTATCTATGCTTGGGAAGCTCACCGGATGCTACATCACATTAAAACCCAACATAGTGTCTCTCACTTTGCTTTGTGAGTTGTTTCAGACGATAGCGTAGGCGAGGATTGAATTCGAATTCGCAGCCCGGTGTCGTCGTGGGTCGATACCTTTGTGGCTCTAGGCACTGATCAAGACCCATACTGTACGCCAATCTTCTCCTGATACTTAGCTCAAGCCCATCAATATGCAAGTTTACTAATAAGCATGACCAAACCTTACCAGAGTGGGCCGAGAAATGACGACCTTCAGTGGGATGTAAGAGAGATGAAGGTTTGACTTTTGTTTGGCCTTGGGGGCGTTTCCCTATTGAAAAACTTCACAAGGACCGAGGTATTTATTTCCCTGGACGAAGCCTGTCTGGACTGATCCTCATATCTTTGCTTGATACTTTACTTATTTGTTTATTCCTCACCCATCTTTCACCAACAACACTGAACTTGGAGTCAAGAAAAACAGATTCTGCACTTTTCAAGTCTGCGTCCCCGAAACCAACCAACTTCGAGTTGATCAAGCACCCCCGCGAGTGTCTCATCGTCAACCCTGACGGATCTCAACACGTCATGCAGCTGCAGTGGCCCCCATTCCAAAACCTGCCCGCGGACCTGGTTTTATCGATTGTCGACGCCATTTTCAACGAGTACGCGGAAGACATTGATCTCGGGTATGATGAAGACGAGTTCTATTGTGAGGAATGGGAGATTGACGAGTTCGTTCGATTCCAAGTGTGGAAAGACGTCGCCAATCTAGCCCGCGCCTGCAAGGGCTTCTATGCCCTTATTACCCCCGTACTCTATCTCAGAGATCTCCAATGGAACCACGCCTCGGCCCTGTTGCTTTCAGCCAAGAATGGCAGCGTCGCGGGGGTCTTGAAGTCCTTGGAATGCGGCGCAGATGTGGACCAGCAGGATCACACTACACTTTACGAGTATAGTGAGGAGGTTGATCAGGATTACAACGACGACACAGGCTATTGGACAAGATGGTACGAGTCTGGTCGAATGGGCGTGGACATTTTCGTCACGGCGTTACATTGGGCTGCAATTTATCGTCATCCGCAAGTCGTGGAGACACTTCTGCATCGAGGCGCCGATGTCAATCTCGAGATGGATTTCGGGAATCGACAGTCTGATGAACCACCTTATGAACATTTTGATCGAAGTTTGTTCATCTGTCGCTCTCTTTCAGAGCACGTGGCCACACCCGGGACCGTATTTCGGGGCAGTATTCCCCGAGGTCAGGACATGCTTTTGGAATACGAATTGGGCAGTCTTTTGAGTAAAGGCGGGAACGCTCTTTACTGCGCCTTGCTCAACTCGAAACGCTACCCATTCCCCAACGAGGACTACAGCAGGTCTTGCTTGCCGAACGCCAAGCTCCTCGTCGACGCAGGATCTTCTCTCATCACGTACTCCACCATAGGCCTCCACGCACTACACCAGGCCTGCGGAAACTGGAGCTTTGAAGCAGCGGACTTCCTTCTGACCCTGGATAGAGTCGGGATAGACCCCAACGTACGAGATACTTTTGGAAACACGCCGATGCACTACCTGGCCATGGGTTGTTCGTCAAGCTCTCACAAATTTCCAGCAGCCCTCGCGCGGCTACTGTTGCATCACGGCGCCGACATTAACGCCGTAAATCATGCTGGGTACCTGCCACTACATTACGTCTGTACCACGTCATGTGACAACCGGAAAGCCGCCATATGGCTTTGCAGGGAGGGATCTCACGTCATTCCGGGATTCATAGACTACTTCCAAAACTACTGGTCACAAACGTGGAAGTGGAAAGACGTAGAATCCGTCAGGGAAGTCGATGATGTACTTTTCTACGCCAGTCGGCAAAAAGAGACCAACACAGCAGGAATGATCCCCAGCCGTAGCTGTCAAATGAATGAAGCGGAGAGAAACGCAGTCAATCTCTATCTATACAGATTGTGGCGCAACCGTCTCGTTGGTATCAAAGAGGCCGGGATGCGTGGAGGTAATGGAACGATGGATCAGTCTATGGCTCAAGAGGTTGCTGACAACCCAGAGGTGGAGAGCTGGAATTCCGGGCAGTGGGATTCATTCTGGACAGCAGAGCGGCAGAAGCTGCCACCTTTCTGAATGGCTTATTCGTTTTCTTATCAATATCTCATCCTTTTGAGCTTTGCGCATCCATTGACTTTGCGTATATGCACACACTTGCTTCCAAGACGTCAAAACCATGGAACATGTCTTGATGAATGGCCAGCCTTGATGATAACAAAGGCATCCCATCACATCGTACTTCAATGGTTAAGTTGAGTCGACTCACAAGCCGCTATCATTGGCAACCTAGAACTGGCAACCACAACAGAGCCTTGCGCTTGCCTGGAACTGGAAACCCAAATCATTGGACCGGGCTAGGAACTATCTCCGCAAGTCAAATCTAAATTCTCGTCTCGTGTCTCCGAAACCCCTCTGCTCCATGATATCAACAAGCACTGCGCACTGGATATACGCACTCTCCACACTACTTGCACTCAGGACAACCACACTCATCCCCGAAATGTCTGGCAAACATCTTGCCACAATGACCGGCGCGTCGGAGGGAGTCAAGCGCTCAGCCATCGGGAGTCTCCCCGTCGACCTGCTTTTGATCATCATGGATGAGCTCCTGGACAGTTACAAGGAAGACATCGAGCTCGGTTATTTTGCGCCCGAGATCGCCGAAGGCCGACAAGACGAATGCACATTCGCCCGATTCGACGTATGGAAAGGCCTCGTCCGCCTAGCGTCCACATGCAGAGCATTATACAACGCCATAACCCCGGCCATCTACCGCAAAGACGTGAAACTGAACCACGCCTCCGCGCTGCTCCTCTCGGTCAAAAATGGCAACATCTCGGCCGTCGTCAAGTCTCTGGACCAAGGCGCGAACGTGAACCAAAACGATTACACCGAAGTCGTCAGATACCAGGGGGAATGCCCCCTGCACGACCACGAATCCGCGCGTTGGAGGATGAAGTACTGCGTGTGGACGGTCCGGGAGATGGTCAGACTCAACATCTCGCCGCTGGTCTGGGCCGTGTTCTACCGCGACACAGAAACGACGAAGCTCCTGCTGGAGCGCGGCGCGGACGTCAACGGGTTTCTTGACTTGCCACGCGACAAAATGTATCACCTGGGCGCGTTCATGCCCTGCGGCGATAGACGGTTTCTCTGTCCCTCCGTCCGCAGCCTCTTTCGTCAACTCGACTCGAAGCTTGGCGACGCACCTGGTGGCCTGGAGATCCCTCCCAACATAACACGATGCCTCGACCCGTCTTTGCGGACCGGCGGCAACGCCCTCTACTGCGCTTTACTAAATCGTTCCAGGGCCGACGGTCACTACTTTGACCGGGGAAAGAGGGAGCCCTGGGCGCCGATCGCCAAACTCCTAGTCGAAGCTGGTGCCGATCTGGTCACCTTGAAATCCATCGGTCTCCACGCCCTTCACCAGATCTGCGGCAACCTCAACTTGGACATGGCAGGGTACATTTTGAAAAGGGGAGTCGATCCGAACGTCAGGGACCACCTCGGCAACACGGCCCTGCACTACGTCGCGCTGAACTACCGACACGGCTATCACGACCGCAGGGGCGATTGTCCGTCGCTGCTCGTACGCTTACTTCAGGACTACGGCGCCGATGTCAACGCGGTCAACAAGGGTGGCTACACGCCGCTCCATTACTGCTTCATGTTCGAGTTGCACGACAACTTTGAAGCCGCTCTCGCGCTGTGCAAAGCCGGGGCCCGAATCCCTTCGGGCTTCGTTGGAAGGCTTTACAGGATTCGCATAGAGGTGAGCAGCTTTTACTTCCGTGACCTCATCGATCAGACTATTGTGCTAGCAAACCAGGCAGAGGAGTTTACCGGAAGAACAGTCATAGCCTCTCCAGACGGGGTAAACGAAGACCTAACGCGAGCACACCATGTGTTGTTTTATTGGCTGTGGCGCCGTATTCTGGCCACAACATACATCGCAACAGGAGACGACGAGGATGACGTGGAGACATGGACTCCCTATGACTGGGCGGTCTATTGGCATGCTCAACACCGCTTGGTTTACGGAACTTAGATTTAGTCTGAGGAACACTCAACTAATTCAAACCAATCTGTTAGTTTCAGATAATATTAGAAAATAGACCATGCGGCATGCCACAACGTGGATGCGGAACGAACGCGTCCAGTATACGCAGGCCTGACAATCTGCCGTAGGAATTACAACCCAAAGCTGGCACTTGGGACTATCTAATACGGAGAAGCCTGCCACAAATTCTCTCATCATTATTGTTTGCCAGTAGTTATCAACCAGAAACAAGATCCAGGCGCCGCCCACTATTTACAGTGAAACTTCCATGTGTACGCATTACTCGACCCACCTCAACAGCTGACCCCATCAAAGATCAAACGTACTCTGCCGTGACCGTATCGTAGCGTTGATCTGCCAAACGTCAGCACTCAGCAATGGAATACTTCGGACTTTATAGTAACTTACTGTTATAAAGCAATGTGTATGTGGTAGATGCAGACAGATAGACTGCCTCAATCTTGCAGCTCAGCTCGTAGTACCACTGTCCATCGGATCCCTGGCGGCGGGCGAGCTGGTTTTCGGGGATGTGACTAACATCGGCTTCCACGTGGACAAGCAATGAGACGTTCTCGTCTCGAGATACCGGGGCAATCCGAGTCGAGCGGTCGGCGTAGATGTCCATCTTGATCTTCTTGATGCGGCCTTGGCTGCATAGTCCAGTCCACACAAAAGATGTGAAGAAGGGTTCATTCTCAGAAACGCTGTCACTGCGCTGGATAAACCACTCCATGGTGTAAACTTTGTAGCAGCCATCTAGACCGCACCAGTGACGTTTGTGCTGGATATGGCTGTGGATCTTGGGGTCGTACTTGGTGCGCCACTCGGTTCCGTAGTGCTTGCGAGCCTTCCGGTTCTGAACCTTGACCTGGGTAAGGCGGTCGGGAGACACCTGAGCGAGACCCTTCATGACCGCGCCTTGAACAACTGCTTGCCAGGCGTTGGGCGGTTGCATGATCTGGATGTTTCTGTCGATCGCGTTGCGCAGACGCTCCTTGAGGTAGTTGGAGGCACCGAAGCCACCAACAAGCAGCACGGCACTAATGGTCACACCGCTCGCAGCGATCTGGTCTTTGACAAGTTTGATGCACTCAAGAACGACGGGTTCGAAGATGGTCTGAAGATCGGACGCCTTCAGTCCAAACCTGCCACGGTTGATGCCGAGCTCCTTGTTGTTGTTGAGACCTCCGACGGGAATGGTGTAAGTCTCGTCTTGGGAAGCACCCAAGGTAAACTGACGCTTGACCTGCGCGGTTTCAGTCATATGCAACTAGTAAAGTCGGGGATGAATACAGACCTTCTTCTCGAACTGCTCCATAGCTTCGGCCATGACCTCCTCGTCGAATCCCTCCTCCTTGCCCAGCTTCGCCCGAAGGAACTTGGCGAAGCGCATGTTGAGGAAGGTAGAACCACACAAGGCACCGGAACCCGGGGCAGCCTCTTGAACTTCCAAGATCGGCTTTAGGCTGGTGATGGTGTAGGAGATAAGATCCACAGTACCACCACCAGCGTCGACCACGACTACGGTATCTCCAACCTTCAGTCCGTGGGGGTCCAGGCCATGCAGAGCATAGATAGCGGCGGCTTCTGGCTCTGAGACGAGGTGAATGGGAGCCTTGGATTTGGAAAGGCCCGAGGCTCTCTGACAAGCCAGCTTCGTCTTTTCCTTTGCGAGATCAGACCAGATGGCGGGAACAGTAACGACGAACTCGAGAGGAGTGGTCTTGACAACTTGTTCGCCGAGCTTCTCCCGCAGGGTGTAAAGCAGATGCTCTCCGAGGGCCGAGATGTAGTCGGTAACTAGCTTGTCGACATTGCGACCGCCTCTTGCCTCCGAAGAGACGGCCTGTCCCATGCTCTGGAGAGAGGGGTCAAGATCACTGTTTGCGATTAGCTATACATCCTCCCAGCCATGATATTCTAACTCACAGCTTAAACCACTCGACAACCTCGTCTTGGGGCGCGTTCATGGGAATTGAGAAGCCCCATTGGACCTCATCGCCATCGTATCTGAGCTTTGTGGGAACCTTGTCCGAAGACTCACCCTCGCGGACGGTCTTGCTGATGGGCCATGTCGTGATGGCAGTTCGGCGATCGGCGCGTTGAGTCTCGGCCCAAGCCACCCCGGAATATGTGGTTCCGAAGTCGATGCCAACAATGATCTTGCGCTCGCTGATAGCAAGCTTGTCGAAGCTGTCCATGTTGGCGAATCTGGTGGGTGCTGGGTATCACAAGGTGGAGAATCTCGAGGAGAGGGAACACGGATTAAAGAAATATGCAAGGAGAAGAAGAAATCGCAGAATGCCTAATTCCACGGGGAGATTCTCGACAGTCAACTGGCGATTCGGTGGCCTCAATTTGGTTTTCTGCCAAGCTTGGTTGGATGCGCCCCAGCTTGACGTGAGAGAAATGATGAAAGAATCTGGAATCAGTTAGTCCAGAGGAAAGAGAAGAGCAGGCGAAAATGTCCAGCCTTCCTCGTGATGAAGTGAGAAGGTTGAATGAAGGTTGAAGGTCAGTAGGGCAACGGGAATTCCGCCTTGAAAGCTCCAGTGAAAAAGGCAAACAATAAGGCCAGTCGGAGGCACCGGCTGAACCTTTTCGAAGCAAGTAAGTACCTTCGAGAAGAGAAGGTACGTGTGAGGCTGGCACACAAGGTAGGAGTACATGCCTGCCTTCGCATGGAAGCTTCTCTCCAAGCTTCCTTCCCAGTCGAACCAAACGTCAAGGGACGAAGAAGGAAGGCCCTTGATAGGTCCGTATCTTCAGCAGATTGAAAGTGGGGCCGCCGCCCGGGCACGATTTCCAGCATTGTCCGATATCCTCTCGCCGTTTCAACGAACAACATCGGCATCCACGGTCAGCTCACCGAAATCAGGCAATACATTTATTGAGGCCCCCAGCTCAAGGCTCACATGAATCATCCTATCTTTCGAGCCACAGGCGGCTTGGGTGTGACAAGGATAAGTAGGAACACTGAGGGCCGCCACGGACCAGCTCCGCCCGGCATTGGTGGGTCTTTCGCGACCTGCACCCGGGCGTACCCACCCGGTGCGAAATGCAAGCTGCCCTGATTCAGCGGCACGTACCTAATTGGGTTTTAGAGGCCCACTTCCCCAGGCTAAACAGGTTCCACAATGAGCTTGATCCCTGAGCTTCAAGAGGCCAGGGTACCTCATTTTGCCTCATCGCTGGCGACGCGTCGGTCTCCGGCGACAAGATTGAGGAAGAATCGGGGTTACGACGCTTGATTTCCGTGGAAAACTATACATATATCAGCAGCAATTCATCTGCCAATAAAATGGTGCGCTGCCTTTTTTCAAGTTCGGGGGAAGACGGTCGTGATCGACAAGGGACCTGCAGGATACTGTATGGGTTGCACTGTTTTGGGACGCACGTTTAGTTATGGTTTCTCTTCAAGACGCCCGCTTTGTACCGTAACTCGGACTTTCCTGCCATTGAATCAGGAGACGAACCCGACAGATATCATGCCAAACATGCTTAGCATAATGGACAAAAAGAATAAACCGCCTTTGATGAATAACGGCTCTGACAAGTATCGGTACCTTGTCTGGCCTGCGTCACGATTGGCCAGCCCAATTTGAGGCCCCCACGTCACGCGAAACCTTCACCTGAGAATATCAAAGGCAGCAAGGCAAGAGCAAGCCAGACGGGTAGGAAACACCAGCATGGCCGTTTTTAATGATCGGCCAGAAATATTAGAAAAAATCAAAAGTAAATCCCAACTTCCAGTGACAACGTACTTGCCGACGCATGTGTCTGCTGCAGCTCCTGCCCTCGTCCCATTCTACACACTTTTTGTCTTCCAATTGGAAACTCAGACCTCTTTTTTGTCGTCCAAAGACGGCATCCATCATTGCCGTTGTCCAGCATCCCCCGTCGACAACATGAAAGAACCCAGACAACTAGAGCCGACCCTCCCGCAATACCGGGAGAATCCAAAGCCCCCGACCCCGGAGAAGACATCCATCGACGTCGACCCCGCGTCCATTCCTCTCGTGGATATGAGTCCTACCTACAGCTCGGTCCTGAAGACATCGAACGCCGTCGACAGAGAGCCACCTAGCCCTTCTCTCAGCTCTAACTGTGACGTGATGGGATTCGCAAAGGTTGAACTGCCGCCTCCGGCTCAGTCACACGAGAATGGCAGCCATGTCAAGGGCCAGGGACCAAGACAAGCTCTGCCCAAAGGCCTCGTCGCTACCCGCTTTGCCAATAATCCTCCCCCTCACCAACCCAAATCTCCCGCAATGTCCGTCTCCTCAATCTCCTTCATCGACGGCGACGATTTGATCGATTTCGGGACTGACGTCTCACCATCCACAAGGGATACCTCTCAGGATTCCAGCCCGAAAAGTCGTCACGTCGAAAGAAACACTGGTTTCTCCAGCGGCAGTGGCCCGCACGCCTACAAAGACGTCGCTGAGCTTCAGAGAAAACTAAAGGCGTCCATCGCTCGGGCCGAGATCGCGGAAGAAAAGGCCGACAGGATGGAGAAGAGAATCGAGGAGATCAAGAACGCCAAGTCTCCTGCCCTTACCGAAGCAGAGCGGGACATGGATGCTCTTACCTCAAGCTGCAATGAATTAAAGACAGAGAACTCGGCGCTGAAAGAGCAGCTGAGGGACGCGCAATCGCACATTTTCAGTCTTCAGCCATACCGCAAGGAGCTCACTCCGGAGGAAGTCGGTCGTGTGAGTAAGACTCTTTTCTTCACCTAGAAAGCATACCTAACAAGTTGGCAGCAATATGACGACCTCGTCGAGGGAATCACCGATTGGGTTGCCAAGTTCATGGCTCCTCTGCTGGAAAACCATGCAAAAGGCGTCGACGAAGTCCTCACCAATGCGCGCAAGAAGCCGACCGACACGCTCAAGCTGAAGCAAGCGATCCACATGTACGCCGACCTAGTTCACGGTACGGGGTTTCCTGAGACGGATGAGGACATCATCATCGCCGTCATCATGAGATTCCTCAACGACCACATATTCCAGAAGGTTCTTTACGGCTGCTGCGGGGGTTATGTTGAAGCACTCAGCTTCACTGAGATGGCCATGCGGAACCATGTTGAGCCCAAGCGAGGTAACACAACCGACACTTCAAAACTTGTGAAGGCAGCACTAACGAAATACATAGACCTCTTTGCCATTCGCACATGGACTGCCGAGGCCTACAACGCCATAATCAGCTCTCGGGAGTTCCGAGGCGTCAGAGAGAAGAGGATGAAAGAGCTCACCATCGAACTGGCCAGCAATTTCAAGATCCTCTGCAGAAAGGAAATGTCTACACGGTTCTTCCACGGCTTCGAGGAGAATTGCATCAAGCCGGCAATGCAACTCTATGAGAAGATCCAAGTGTCGACGCATCACTTTTATTTCGACATCAACCCCTACATTATGTGGGGACAAGAGGGCGAGTTCCAAACGTCGACGGACTTCTTCGACAGCTTGCTGGACTTAGACTGCAAAAACATTCTCCAGAACCGTAAGGCCTTCAACTTGGCAAAGATGGACCCGCCGCCTTCCAACAAGGAACTTTACCACCGACTGCTCAACGTTTGCACAGTCGCGCCAGCCGTCTACATGCGGCAGATCGGTCGGAAAGACGCACTCCGGGAGCCACAAGTGGTGCGCCGCCAGCAGATGTTGGTAGCATGGGGACCGCAGGAGAAGAAGGAAGAGTTCGTAAAAGAGGGCGAGCAGACACTTCTCGCTCATCTTTACAGTGCAAAGAACGAACGCGAGAGGGCAGAGGCTGGTGGATGGACGCCATTCCGCTGGGGAGGCTAGGGACATCGCGGACGGCCTTTAGTTACTACTCCTCATTCCCTTTGCATGACCGGATGAGGCGTTGGAAAGGGGTCTGGGTTGGCATTTGCACCAGGGATATACGGACATGTCAGATATATACCCAACGAGTAGAATTGATGGCCAAAATTGCATCAAGCCAGTTTATGATAGACTTATTTGAGAGATGAAATGGGCTTCAGCCAGCACTCGTTCGGCTTGCGACGCGGAGGAACTGATCTGCATTAGCTATCAAAGTTGAGAGTCACAACGATGTTTCCGTATGCTACGATATCTACCCCTAAGTACCTAGAGTACACCTTACTTGTCTTTACTAATGTCCAGAGCTCAAGTCGCGTGGGCGTTCCTGGCGTTCAATTGAGGCCTGCAACTACAGCATGCATTATGTATCAGTACTTCATCACTTGGCCGCGGTTCTAGACCCAAGAACCAGGAATCATGGCAGTGTCTGCTTGGCCGTCAGCTGAGGCAAGTCTCGATTTCGAAGCAGGAACATGGATCTCAGGACGCTAAAGATTAAGTAGTTGATGCCTGCTGGGGGAAGGGCAGGACGAACGACGGCTGCCGATCTGGCGATCATTAGTGGATCTGGCGTGGGGTCGGCGGGGGCCTCAAGGTACCGCCTGGACCCGCCCGGAAGGACCCCGCCTGAGGTTGCCGGTACCTGCGGAAGGTGCATGAAAAGTCCCCCGAAGCTGGAAAGTACCTGCGACAAACGGAAGGCTCACGTTGCGAACGGACCTGCCATGCCATGAACCACTTGGACGGACCTTAAACTGGAGTTGATTCTGCCTTCAAGGCTGCCCCGAACCGGCTCATCTGATGCTTTTCCACCCCGTTTCCTATGCGACCGCCGTCATTGGCACTCTGCGTGTCTACCTATCTCCAGGGGTCCAAAGATACCTCTGTGAAGAAGAAGACTAGACTTGCAGCAATTCAGGACCCTTCTGGCAGCGATACCTCTTGGCTTTCGTACCGACGACCTCCGCCGAGACGAGGCACCTAAACTGCACTGCGTGCCATCTTCTTTCGACTCTCCGAAGCATCATCAACGTCTTAGTCAATGGCTCCCATTTACAAGGGAAAATTGGCTGGCACTTTACTCATCCCTCCACCACTTCAGACCAACCGTTGGCGTCAACAGCCGCACCTCAGGATCCCCGCCATCGCTACCTCGCCTCGTGGCCTGACTGCATCAACTGGTCGCTCGGACGGTGATGCAAGGTTTAGGGCCCGAGTAATTCACCAAGCAGAGTGCAAGGATGATGCCAGCTCGTTACCCGCGAAATTCCACGATGTTCCGCCTTCCTGCGGAGGACTTCGATGATTCTTTCCAGCAACACCCTGCCACGACGGACGATTCGACGCGACAAGGAATACTGTCCTCTGGTTTTTCTTCTTCGTCTTTGGCAAAGACTAAACGGTCCACCTCCGGCGGCGACAACGGCAATACCAACTCGTTTCACGACCCTCCTTCGTTTCGAGACGAAGCCTTGGCAACACGCTCTCCGTCTTACACCGCATCTTCCTCCACGTCGCATCTTGCGCGCGACAGCTTTTTCAGCGCCAGACGCCCACCTGTCCTAACTGAAAGAGCCTCGGATACTGCCAACAACAGCCAAAGTGTACCTTCTTTGAGCCAGGGACGATCAACCAGAAATGTCTCTTACCTCAACGGTGTTCCTGTAAGTAGAATGCTCGCGACCACCAACAATGAGCTGCCGCCCAGCTATTACACCCATCCAAACAACTCGTTGGCCGGAGACTTTCACGATGTTGACCTCGACCCTCCTCCCCTCTACGACTGGGTGATGATGATGGGTAGCCGCCCCCCGACCCAGGAGCAGCAACCGTCAACGAGTCGAGACGCCCCAGACCGGGCTCGGGTTACCACGCCTGACGCTGATGATCGACCTCAAACTCCACCGAGAGCCTTTTCCTACGGTACAATCAGCGCCGGCATCATGGCCGACTTTGACTTCCCCACTGCTGCTCCACGGCAGTCTTTCGAGGCAGTAGAAGTGGCGGCCCCATCGAGACTCTCCTCTCCACCTCAACGGGGATATCGACCTACAGCGGCATCTATTCTCGAAGACTTTGACCCGGCTCCCTTCTCTCCTCATACGACAGGTGGGAGTAATAGCACCGCTGCCAGCACGCCGCCAATGATGTCGCCTATAGTTCGACCCAGGTCTGCCTCGCTGCTCGCGTCAAACAATCCGTATGTTGCGCTGCTGCAACAGAAGGAGCAAGCTATGACGGTTGCCTTTTTGCGAAGCCAAGAAGCGGCGACTAGTTCGCGATCTGCAGACCTAGCGGCTGATGACTTCAGGTAAGTTCGCTGCCATAATCCTTTCTCTTCTCCAAACCGTTTTTGCAGCGGTTTGTAAGTCAGCAAGCCGGCAACTTTCACTGCTTTTCTTGTCAAGGAAGGATTCGAGCCCGCTAACAACCTCAGCTTCGGTCAGCGGTATCAAAAGGCGGCAGACACCACGGACGTCGTGGTCACGAGACAGAGACTTCCAGCCAACGACCTCGGAGGCTCCAGAGAATGTCCCATTTGTGCGGAACCGAGGGAAGCTTCCGAATTCCCCATTCTGAGCGTGACGCCCACTTGTACACATCCGCCTGAAGCATGCCTAGACTGCTTGCAGATGTCTATCAGGTCGGACCTGAACAGCAAGCTTTGGACCGAAATCCGATGTCCTGAATGTCGAGAATTTCTCGAATACGTCGACATACAGAAGTACGCCGATGAAGAAACATTCGCCCGGTGAGACACCCTGCCTCATACTGGATGAAATATGACTGACACCGTTAGTTACGAGGCACTGGCTCTTCGTGCGGCGATGGCAGAGGCTGACAACTTCATTTGGTGTACCGCTAACTGCGGTTCTGGCCAGCTCCACGACACCGGCGAAGATCAGCCCATCGTATCATGCTTGCATTGTGGCCAGCGGTCTTGCTTTACGCACAATGTCGCATGGCACGAGAACCTGACTTGCGAGGAGTACGACTCTCTTCTCCGTGATCCCGAGAACTTTCGATCCAGCATTGAAATGGAAAACGAAGAGATCGATACTGCGAAGCGCGTCCAGGAGGACGCCGACCGCGCCATGGCGCAAGGTCTCATGGCCGAACAGCAGGCCGAGATCCAGGAACGCGAAGCCAGGGAACGTGAGGAGAGAGAACGAGCACTCAAGGCCACCGCGTTGGCAAGAAAGGTCGCTGCTCGGCGCAAGGCAGAGGAGGCAGAGAGTACGGCTACGTTGACCAGAACGACAAAGCCCTGCCCTGGATGCGGTTGGGCTATTGAGAAGAACTCAGGATGGTGAGTCTGTCAACCTACCCCCTCTTGGACTTCATACTAATATGCTTTTCTCAGCTCGCACATGACTTGTAAGTACACTACTCATTTCCTTCCAGTTCCAGCTGCCGTCGTCACCCAATGTCTCCGACGTGCCCCTACCAGAATCGTGTCAAACTCAAGCCAACGAAATCACAGGCATCAAGTGCCGTTACCAGTTCTGCTGGGGATGTTACACCGTCTGGCAGCGAGGTCACAGCGTGCGATGCCGCGGGCCCGTGAACGACGTCGACTGAGACGGCGGAGCTGCGAGAATAAAGCGCTCGTCTAACGTGGGTGCCGTAACTTTCTAGGTTCGCGATGCAGACACGAGTTCTGCTACGAGTGTGGGGCGGATCACAAACTCATTTTGTCAAAGGACAACAGCGTACATCGCAAAGACTGCAAATTTCATCCGAATAATATGGAGGTCGTGGGAGATATCGGGTTTTGGGGCTTCACTCCGGTTCGTCGGCGCCGTGTGGCCCGTCGGCGCCGATGAGGTCACGACTCCCGGTAGACAAATTGCATCTGACCATCGCGCGGGGGACGATTGATACCTTGCATCTGCAAAGCACTGTATTTTCAGCGCAGGAGGGATGGGGGAGTTTTTGAATTTCTTAATTTTTACTGGGGAATGTTTGGTGGGTAGTTCTTTGCTGCGAAATGATACCTGAATCGCGACGTCGCGGCATCGGTCACGGCTAGAGGTCGCAGGTTCCCGCGGACGACATTTCGCGATGGAGAGAATGGATGGAAGCTGGACATTAAAGAATCTTCGATTGCCGAGTCAAATCTACGCCGAAGCCTGTTTAGTAGGGTAAAAATCTGGTCTACATATGTACAAAAACTTGCAAACCGGTAATAGTACTTAAAATCCCATCAGAATCGTTTCATGCTACGTTCCCCCCAATCCCGAAGGCGCCGCCCTTTGTGTGTCGTGTGTATTTGTGCGTCTGTCCACCCTGTCGCTGCCGCTTGACGAGGCCTACGCGGCCGTCAACTCGGCGATGCGGCGCTCGATCTCGGGGACCTGGCGGAGGAGGACGTCGAGATCCTCCTTCTCGTCCTCGAGCTTGAGGCGGCGCTCGGCGTCGAGCTTGGTGAAGACGTAGTTGCCCTGGCCGTCGAACTGGAGGATGCGGCTGTGGTACTTCCAGAGGCTGCGGCGGTGGCTGACGGTCATGAGGGTGATGCCGAGGGCCTTTGCGTTGTCGTACATGACCTTTTCGGTGTCGAGGGTGACGCTGGAGGTGCACTCGTCGAGGATGGCGTAGCGGGGGCGGTGGTAGAAGAGGCGGGCCATGGCGACGCGCTGCTGGAGGCCGCCGGAGAGGACGTCGCGCCACTCGGCCTCGGCGTCCCAGCCCTGGTCGTAGAGCTCGGGGAGGTGCTCGAGACCGAGGAGGGAGAGGATGGAGAGGAGGTCTGCGTCGGTGACGCCCTTTGCGCGCATCTGGCGGAGGGAGTCCGGGTAGGTGATTTGCTGGCGCAGGGAGCCGCGGGAGAGGTAGGGGCGCTGGGGGATGTAGAAGATGTCGGAGAAGGGGGGCTTGTAGACGGTGCCGCCGTAGACGGGCCAGAGGCCGCCGAGGATGCGGAAGAGGGAGGACTTGCCGCAGCCGTTGGGGCCGAAGACGAGGAGGTGGTCGCCCTGTTTGAGGGAGAAGGAGAGGGCGCGGACGAGGACGTCGCCGTTTGGTGAGATGATGGGGCTACGGGTGCGGTTAGTTGGATGTTGAGTGCGGATAGCGGGGAGACTTACACGTTGATGAACTCGATATCCTTGCTCTCGACGACGGTGCCGCGGCCCTTGAGGATGGCCTCGTTGTCCTCGGTACCGGAGCTGGACACGAGCTTCTTCTCGAAGCGGCCGGCGCGGATGTCGTTCATGACCTCGAGGAGGGAGTCGACGCGGGAGGTGTAACCGGCGAGCTCCATGATCTCGCGGTAGGAGAACATGATGCGGCCGAAGGCGTCGGAGGCGGAGAGCAGCATGCGACGGTTGGTGACGAAGCTCTCGGTGCGGTCGCCCATGTTCATGGAGATGTGGCCGGGCATCTTGACGAAGACGGGGACGGAGCAGAGGAGGAGGCCGAGGGCGCCCCAGAAGTACTTGATGACGAAGTCCTCCATGAAGCCGTGGTAGAAGCGGCGGCGGAGGATGTAGTTGACGTGCTTGATGAGGGTGAAGTAGCCCTTGTCGAGGGTGTCCTTCTCGGCCTCGTGGCCGTGGTAGAGGGCGACCTCTTCGGAGTGGTCGATGAGGCGGGAATGCTGGAAGCGGAACTCGCCCTCGAGGCGGGCCTCGTCGGCGACGTATTTGCCGAAGGGAGGTGTGAGGGCGCGCATCACGTTCGCGGAGAGCTGGACGAGGAGGGCCATGGAGACGACGCCTTCGCCTCCGACGCTGCGAGATAGGGAGTGTGTGTAGATGGTCTGGAGAGTGGTTAGCGTTGTGGAAGGCGTGATGATCGAGGGATGTCGCGTACCATGTCCAGGATCGGCTTTGCCAGGTTGCTGTACAGCTCAGCTAAGCTGTTGGAGAATTTTGCGACATCGACCGCGATCAACTGATCAGGGTTGTTTATCCTGTCGTCGAGGGCGGAGATGCCGTAGAATGTCAGCTTGGAGAGGTACTTGTCGTGGATGTGCTGCGTTAACCGTGTCCGGTACTTGAGCGACAACTCTGCTTGGTGGTAGGATAACTGCGTCCGTTAGTAGGCCGCTGCGAACAAGTAGTACTCCGTCCAGGAAACATACCATTGAGTTCGTGAATGTTGCCGGTATGGCGATCAGCATCCACCACACGATGCGCATCAAGAATTCCCTTCCATTGCCCTTGACCAAACTCTTGACAATCGCACCGTCCATCGCCGCGACCTTCAGACTGATCAACGTTCGCACGACCAGGAAGAAGGAATGACTGATGAGCAGCCGCGCCTCTTTACTCCGCCAGCCGGGTATGACGATCTTGAGCAGGCGCAACAGAGACTTGAAGAACTCGCGGTTCAGTTCGACCTTCTTGCGCTTCTTAGTGACATCCTCGTCGGAGACGGCCTGCAGCGGAGCGCGGGATTCGCGGGCGGCGGCGTCCCTTACGGACGCGGCCTTCTGTTCGGATATGGCATGGCGGATGCGGTTCGCGAGGGCGACGAAGAGGGTTATCCACACGGCGCGCGAGATGCGCGTCCGGTTCGAGAGGTACAGCTGCGTGAGCTGGGCGATGAGGTTGCGGATGGTGCGGTCGCCGGGAGGGGATATCAGGGATACTTTGGATTGGGCGGCCATCGTGGGCGAGCTGTCGGCCCCGCGAGAGGGGCGGGAGAGGTTATCTTCGTCGAGGGTTGTTTGTCCGGTGAAGGGATTCGGAGAGGCGAGAGGATGGCGGATCGGATGGTGGAGGGAGACCGTCGAGGGTGTGCTCGGCTACGTCACCGGCAGCAGCTGGGGAATTGGAACGTCAGCGCATTCGTCGACGTGCGCGATTGTCGTGGATTATCGCAAAAGATGGAAACGTTGTTGGAAAAAGGAACCGTCAGCAGCAAAAGGAAGGACGATGTTGACAACGGCGTGCCGAAAGAAACATGGCTGGTCACACGGCTCTCTTCGGACGAGGCGCTGGGCCGGTTTGCTGGTGCTGGTGTTTAGCGGAAAGTACCTCCCCACGACTCGGGGGTCTTCAGTGCTTGCCTTTGTTCAGCAGCTGGCTGTCCCTCGGCCCCGGAATGACAGTGGACACCTTTGGTGCAGAAGGGGCGGGATCCATAGAAGGCGGTGTTTTGATTGGCGAACCCCGGAAAATGCTTCTGGGGCACCGTTCCCATGTGAATCGGATGCCGGTTGCATGTGATTTGCTGTCTGGGGCTCACCATTATGTAAGTGTCTTATGTAAGCTTCGCTGTGTTCAATGCTTAGTCAGTAATGAGGCTTGACAGCAGCGAACGAACATCTTCACCAGCCACACCGCGGGGCAGTCATCGCCGAAGGCTTTTTGGAAGGCAATATTTTTTCGATTCCCCTCACCAAACTCCATCACCAAGCCCAAGCCGAAGAACCACCACCATCCCTTCCACGACAACACCGACAAAATGGCCGATGACAACATTTCCATCTACGACGAGATCGAAATCGAGGACATGACCTTTGACGAGGACATGCAAATCTACCACTACCCCTGCCCGTGTGGCGACAAGTTCCAGATTGCGCTTGTCGACCTGCGCGACGACGAGGACATTGCCGTGTGCCCCAGCTGCAGCCTCATGATCCGGGTCATCTTTGACAAGGTGAGTCTTTAGGTAAACACGACGGAATAATGCATGCTGATGGCGCCTTTCAGGATGACCTGCCCAAGGACCCCGAGGACGATCCCGAGCCGGCCGTCGAGGAGGCTTCAGCCCAGATCCCCATTGCTGCTTAAGATGCCATTATCATAAGTCGACTCGTGCGACTAAGGAGAAAGTGAGAGAGCTGAGGAACGAAGAACAGTATCACTCGCTGCGCATTATAATGCAGCAACCCTTTATGACTCTATTCGACATCTCGCCATACCCAACGATAACACATGCGGAGAAACGAAGGAAAGGGGACCACCGCGCCGCGTCGCTCACGAACACGATCACAGCGAGGCCGCCGTGTCGTCGTCCTGCTGCGATTCCATGCCACCCTTTGACGAACCCCTGACCGGACGGTTCACCCGGCGCAGTCTCCGTGACACAAAGCTGGGGTGCGACGGCGCACTTAGGTCACTTCTCCAGGACAGTACGCCGCGGCCCCTTTTATCCTCACGGGAAGGGAGAAATTACGCCGGAGGAGATGGTTGTACTTGGTCACCAAGGATGCATCATACAACCGTTGGTTTATGCCGTGGTTGTGGAGGACACCATGCGGGCACCGTACGATATGAATGTCTGCCTCCATGCTATGCAGCAACGCCTTTTCTCTAGATGTAACCAATAAGCCATATCTGGGGGGAAACACGTCTAACGAGCTGCGGACACCGCAGTTCAATCAGCACAGCCTGTGTTAAATTATTGGACCAGTTTAGGCTGAAGGCTCTATCGAGCTTTTGAGAAATTGTTTGCGGTCGATGTCGTCAGTTAGCTTCAGGTCTCGTCCTGTACTTTAAGAATCAATGCAAATTCAGCTGCATTGAATAGCAAGCAGGGAGTGCATAGAACATCACAAACTGGAAACACAGACATGTTTTTAACTTGTTATTCTATTAATTGGCAAATACTAATGCCATCATGAATAATTAAATCATTAAACCATCGTATGCAGAGGGTTTACTTTAAACCAACGCCAATGCCCCCATATTTCTCCAAGCCATGAAAATCATCATCGTACATGTTGTTCCAAAAAAGTCCCATGTGAGTAAATAAAAAAACATTAATTCCGCTTCGCTTTTTCATCAAGCATGATCATATACCGCCCCGGCTGCAACAACGCTCTAGAAGAGGAAGAGGCTGGCGATGCCGAAGGCGACGAGGCCGGCGGCGGAGCCCTTGAGGGAGACCTTGTCGGCGGCGGCGGTGGGCACGGTGACGGGGCCGGTGGTGGTCGCGTTGGGGGTTGAGGTGTAGAAGGTCTGGGTGGCGGTGGAGGTGAGGAGTGTGGCTGTTTGGTTTTGTTAGTCGACTATACATACACTTTCAACCCGTTTGGCAGAGACGAGGAAGAATAACTCACTGTTGATGGGGGCGGTGAAGGTGGGCAGCGTCACGACGGGGTCGGAGACGGTGGGCAGGGAGACGGGGGGCACGTCGAGGGTGGTGGTGGTCACGCCGCCGGTGACGGTCTCGGTGCCGACGGAGACGGTGAGGGTGGTGGTCGCGGAGGCGGAGGCGGACTCGGAGTCGGACTCGGAGGGGACGGGGACGGTGACGGTCGTCTCGGGGACGCTGGCGGTCACGGTCACGGAGGCGGTGGGCTCCGGGAAGACGGGGAGGCCGATGGTGGTGGTGATGCCCTGGGAGATGACAATGTTTGTGGTCTGGGCGGCGACGAGGCCGGCGGCGGAGAGGATGGCGAAGGAACGCATGTTGATTGTTTTTGTTTTGTTGGGGTTGGGAGTTTGGTAGGTAGAGAGGAAGCGACTGGTTCAGCTCGGAAGCTTGAAGATGCTTTGTTATTGATGAAGAGTGGTGGTGATGATGTTTGTTGGGTTGATGAGATACACGAGATGGAAGATATCGACGTGGACGGGCGAGGATATATACTACTGAACTTGTAGTGAAGGTCTTGGGTGTGACGAACGTACGACCTGCGTACGCTGCGCACATTGTGTGCGAGGAGTGTCGGTGACAGCGGTGATGCCAAGAATGGGCGATTTCTGCTCTCTCGCACGACATCATCTCGACGAGGGGTGACGGCAGCCGGACGGATACAGTAAAGCGAAGGTTGGGCGGCCGGGGTTGGTGGTGGTGAGGTGGTGGTGAGGTGGGTATCTGCATGCAAGGCCCCGCGAAGCAGGGCAGCAGCAGCAGCAGCAGCAGCAGGAAGACCGTTTGCTCTGCGTGTGTGTCCAACGGTTTGGTGATGATGCTCGCCGGCAGGGATTGGGAGAGGTGGGAGGAGCCGAGGGGAGCGAAACAGGGTTGCGGTTCATCAGGCCGGGGTCAGGGTGGTGGTCACCCAGTGGGCTCTTTACCTCACACTCAATTGGAAGAAGCCGATGGACAGACATCAAGAGGAAGGCTGGGATGTGCCGTGACGGGGCATTCACCTTTACCTGATGGCTGGGGATGGGGATGGCTTCAGTCGCATCCTCTCCGCAAACTTCGCAGACCACCACAAAGATCATCACGAAAAGAACATCCGTAAAGTGAATCGAACAAATCGTAGTTCTCCCCACCACCTCGATTTTCATCCGCTCGTTTCATGTAGTTGCCATCCCATCTCATTGGCAGACTCGGTGCAAATCAGCCTTTATTCGGGGTGGCAGATTGACAGAGTTCTGACGAACACATCGCGGGATGCCATCGTGGGAAAGACTTCGCGAGCCATTGGCATTCGTCCCGAGCCAGACAAACATCCCGTCTGCCCTGCTCGAAACCCCAAAAAGTGACGCCTGCCAACGACATCACCCTCTGCCGAACTCCCGTCACAAAAAGCGCCAATCTCGTCATTTCGGGCCCGGGATAGATTGGACGGAGGGTAAAGCAAGAATTAGTAGAACAAACTGACGGGATGAACACAATCGCAATTGCTTGTTCACGCCCTGGTTCGAAAAACGTCGCACAACGGACAGGAAAAAAAAAGTTGGCCGTACTGAATTGAGGAAACCAAAGCTGGCGAATACCCGATGGATGTCGTGCTCTGTTGCGTCATACCTCTGACGACTGCCAACAAACACATCACATCTGTCGATTACCTGCGAGAGAAATACAGACTAAGCGGTACTCTGTAGGGTCTCAAGATGCGGGAGGGGGGAATAAACAGAGCAAAGGCGGTTGCGTCGGCTCTTGCTTCCTCTGCTTGTGCCTGGATTGGTCGGTCCATTGCATGGCATTCTCCCCTCGACATCGTTCTCTGTGCCCCTCTCTCTCCATCATCATGCCAGGCCAGGGGTACCGAAAGCCAATTCGATGGGTGGAAGCTCACTGTCGAAACATGACTGGATGAACAAGCCCAGGACTCGGTTCAAGGCGGGAAAAACAAAAAGAGGGAGGCAGGGACAGGGGTCATCGCGCACTCGACAAGGGTCCCGACCAGGTTTTCCATCGACATCATCCTCTCTCCAGTCGATTTTCTCGATTTTTCCTGAGGGGAAAGAAAGTCGGCCGGGCTTCACCGCGTCACCCAGCCACTCATCCGAGTACCTCACCAATCATCCCTCAGAAAGTAAACACCAGCCACCTCCATCCTGACGTCTCCGTGCAACGACGAGCCCCGCGTTCAAGCCACTAACGATTTCCACGAATCGAGCTGCGGGAACATCGGGTGCAGGCCCGCCTTGGACAGACCCAACCTCCATTTCACCGTCGACGTCGTTGCGTGCTGTCACTCCCAGGCCGGGCCAGGCCGCTAGGGCCCTTTTCATGACAGGTTCTTGGGGGCGGACAGCTCCACGCGGCCTCTGCATCTGGGCTTTTCCCTGATTTTTGCTTTCCAGCCCGAAGAAGCCTTGCTTTCAGGCCGTGATGCGAGGTTACTGCGAGAGGCAGCTTGATTCTTCCTCCCCCGCCTTGCTTGCGGTAGGGCCTGGCCTGGCCTTTTCGTGAGGGACTAAGGGCGGTTTGGTAGACCCATTGTCATGTCGGTGACTCTTGCTGAGGATGGAAGTCTTCAGCTCGCCAAGCCTTGCTTTCCGTCTCGCGAGTTACGTTCTACTCTACCCGCCTTGCTTTCGGTAGGGTCCGGCCTTCTCGCAAGGAACCGTAGACTGGACACATATCGGCTCGGCGACCCAGCTAAGCATGCCTCAAGAGACTGTCGCAGGAACCTTTAAGCAAAATCATCGAAGAACACAAGACTGAGACACGGAGTCCGGGGCAGAGACCTTCCAGAAGACCGTCACAAACACTAACCTGCTCACTTCTCCATTCGTAGGTTTTGCGTGCCTAGGCTCAGTTCACAAACACCACCATAGTAACGACAAACACAATGGACATTGATATCTAACTCTTATCTTGTCTCATCTTTTTTCTTTTCCTCCTCTCGTAGCCGGACAACCACCGCTTCAAAGCTCCGTCTCTAATCCCTCACGATGACTCCACATTCGCAAACAAAAAGTTCGGCGCGCCCGGGACCGCGCCCTCGGCGTTGGGCGCGAGGTTCTCCACCACGGCCCCGGTGACGAGGTCCGTGCCCTTCTTGCTGCCCTCCTCGACCGCCAGGATCGTCACCTCGACGAGGTTGGCGCTGCGCTTGAGGCCGTCGATCATGTCCACCAGCACCGCCTTCTCGTCGAACGCGAGCTTGCGCTCCAGCACCGCGCTGGCCGGCTCGCCCGTCTGCAGGCGCCTCTTGAGGCCCTGCACGAACGGCATCGCCTTCTTCATCTCGCCCATCTTGGCGATCTTGCCGTTGAGCGCCTTGTCGTCCACCGACTTGGTCTCCGGGTTCCACATCTCCTTCAGGAGGTCGATGTACGCCTGCTGCCACTGCGGGAAGCGCTCGCTCATGAAGATGGTGAGACGCTTGGGCTTCTTGGGGTCGAACGCCGTTTCCTTGCCCTTGGCCTTCTTCTTGAGCTGGAGGGACTCGGCCGAGTTGACGTTGGACGCCGTGACGGAGATGTACTTCCTCGCCGCCGTGAGGCCGGCGTCGGTCTCGGGGATCTCGGGGAAGGTCGCCTGCTGGATGGAAGTGGGCTTGCCCAGGATCTCGATCCACACGGACTCGGCCCAGTGGGGCGCGACGACGGCGATGAGGAGAGACTGGAGCTCGATGTAGCGAAGAGCCAGGTCGTGGTGCATCTTGGTCGACACACTGCTCTCGCGGTAGAAGGACAGGGCGTTGTTGAAACTGCGATTTTCGTTAGCTTGCTTCTTGACACATCCGAACTGGAACTTACTCGTAGAAAGCGGCCTTGAGCGCCAACTTGTAGGAAGTGTCACCTGTTTTACGTTAGCTGGTGAAACTTCATCCCGAGGCATTGGGAACTCACTGTAGTGTTGGATGGCCTCCTTGGCGATGACATTCATCTCGTTGTTGAAGACCTTGTCGAAGAAGTTGTACTCGCCCGTGCGCAGCTCGCTCTTGTTCTTGACGACATCTTCGCACCATTCTCTCAGGGTGTGAAGACGGAGGATAGCCTGGTTAGCGACGTCCTCCTCGAAGTTGCTGTCACCGTTGGTGTCACCGGCGTCGGCGAGACCAATACGGGCAGCATCGGCACCGAACTTGCGGGCAACATCCTGCATGGTGAGGAAGTTGCCGGTCGACTTGCTCATCTTCTCACCGTTCAGCATCAAGTGGCCGTTGGTGCGGATACCTCTGGGCCAGTAGTCGGGAGGGAACATGGCGAGGTGGATGTAGAGGAAGAAGGTCAAGTGGTTGCCGATCAGATCCTTTCCGGAGCTGCGGAGGTCCAGAGGGTAGAAGTACTCGAACTCGCGGCGCATGCTCTCGAGGGTCTCCTTGGGGATCTTGGACTCGGAAAGGAGCTTCTCGTCGAACTCACGTCGGCAGAAGACATAGTCCCAAACCTCATCCGTCATCTGCTCAGCACTGAAGTTGCCAAGGCCCTTTTCTCTGCCAAAGATGTCCTTGTGCAGGTAGGGTGCGATGGTGTAGTAGGCCATGTAGATGGTACTATCACTGAGAGACTCGACAAGGAACTGGGGGTCCCAAGGAAGCTTGGAGCCGAGACCGTACGATCTGGCACAAGCCCACTGGTTAAGCCAGTTGAGGACACCCTGGAAGGCGTTCTTGGTCTCGGGGCTGAAGGTGTTGAGACCCTTTCCGTCGGCGTTCTCGACCCAGTCAAGGGCGGTCTTCTTCCAGGACTCTTCTCCGTAGTCGAGGTACCACTGGTCCATGAGCGCAACGATACACTCGTCGGCAGAGCGACTGACGACCTTGCGCTCGGGCTCGGAGTAGGCAAAGGCAAGACCCTGGTCGATGAGGGACTGGCGAACCTTGGGCTTGGCAGCCTCGACGGACTCGCCCTTGAACTCGCCAATCTTCATCTTACCCTTGTAGTAGCCCTCGGAGTAGGCCGTCTCCTTGGCCTTATCGAGCTGGACGGTGTCCTTAGGAGACGCGATCTTGAGCTGCTCGACGAGAGTCTTGGCGATCATGTCACCAGAGGGAGTGTCGATGATGGGGATAATCTCAAGCTCGGCCCACTCCTGCTCAATGCCGTAATAGGGGGCCTTCTTGCGGAGGTCCATGGTCATGACCCAATCGGCAGGACTGTCGGAGGGAACGGAGGTGACAACACCGGTACCCTTGGTGGGCAGAATAGACTCCATAGGGAGAACGCGGACGCCAGACTCGTGGATGGAGAAGGGAGCGTGGACGCGGGTACCGATCATTGCGGATCCATCAATGTCTGCGGCCTGGTCGATAACGCCGTCCTTTACGAAAAGACCCTGGTAGGCCATGTTGCGGGCGGCGCGGGTCGTCATGACGTAGTAGTCCTTTTCGGAAGCCTTGAAGACACCATAGGTGATCTTGGGGGAGACGAAGACGGCGTTTTGACCGTACATGGTCTCGGGACGGAGAGTGGCGGGGATAAGGAAGACGTTGGCATCGGCGGGCAGCTTGGACTTCAGAGCCTCCTCGGCCTTGGGAGCCCACTCGAGAACCTTCATCTTGAGGCCGGTGTACTCCTGAGCGCCGACACCCTCACCCTCGGCACGGTCGTGGTCCATGCAAGGCTGGCCGTCCTTGATGGAGTAGACGGTATATCTCTTGCCGAACTTGATCTTGTTCAGCTCCTTGAGGCGGTTCATCTGCCAGCGGACGAAGGCGTCGTAGTAAGGGTTGGCATCGGTGGTGATGAAGGATCTACGCCAATCTTTGACAATTAGTCTCGAGCGCAGTACCCCGCGGGAAGCAGAGCATACCTATCCTGAAACCGAGGTTGGTGAGATCCTCCTGGGCGAGGGGAGGGAAGAAGCTCAACCAGTAGGAGGCATCAGCAAAGAGGTGAATCTCTTGCCTGGGGATGCCCATGGCCTCCATGATCTGGAATTGGTACTTGGCCTTGACGGTCTTGGCGTTGGCCTTGCTCTTCTTGGTCGAGAACTTGGTGATGTCCTCGCGGGTCTCCTTGGCGTCGGCGGGCTTGTCGTCGACGACGAGCTCCTCCTCCTTGTATCCCTCGAAATCGCGGCCGAACCACTCGACCTCGTTCTTGAGCTTATCGGCGACGGCCTTGATGGGCATACCGGTCGCGTGCCATCCCATGGGGAAAAGAGCACGCTTGCCTTGCATTCGGGCGACCTAGGACTGGATTAGCGTTCGACAATCCAATATTCATCAAACTCGGGGTCGTCTTACACCGGCGGCGAACTCGACCTTGGACACGGAGAACAAGTGACCGGCATGGAGACGGCCGTTCATGTAGGGGAAGGCCATGCATCCCATCCTATTTCTCGTCAACAATCAACCTTCCACCTGCGCGTGGTCCTGTATGTCATACCACTTGGGCTGTTGCTCGCGAAGCTCCGCGGCGGAGATGGAGTGCAGGGGCACCTCCTTGATGGAGGGGGCATCCTGCTCGAAGATCTTGTCCTCGGACCACTTCTGCTGATACTTCTTCTCGAGGGAGATGAGAAAGTCGCGCTTCTCGGTTCCCTTGAGCTCCTTGGTCTTGGAGACCTGGAGGGCCTCCAAGGCCTTGGCGGCTTCGTTCGCCATGATTGCGATTGCGGGGTGATTTTCCTCGTTCGAGACAATTCAGGAATTCGCCAGGGACGAACCCAGTCGATCCAATGGCGGTTTCGTGAGGACCAGGTGTGACTCTAGTGCGAATGCTGAGAGAGTCGTTCTTTTCCTCAGCGGCGTGTTTCTGTTCGTTTTCGAGGAAATCGGTTCGCTGGTTCCCTGAGTCACAGCCGGCACGGAGGATAGCAGATTTCGTCGCAACTCCGACGGGATTTTTTTCAAGGCTGAGTGTGCCCCGCGATTTGGTGACTTGCGGCAATGGCGGGGTACCTACTGTCGGGCCACTGGTCACTGTCCAGTCGCTGTTGGAGCGCTGTGATCTTCCCTTAAGAGGTACGTACCGGGCCACCGACAATCGGGAGCCATTGTGGCTGGTGCATGTCGGTGGTGAGGTGTGGCTCAGTCGACGTTTCCCGCCGGCGCCAGCTGGAGTCGAAGTCTTCCTGGATGCCATCACCACCAGCCCAAGAGCAAGGCCCGACCTCGATTGCCTTCCGACGCAGCAACCATGCTTCCCACGCTTGCTAGGCGCATGGCCGAAACAGCCGCCCGCCGCTTCGACGTCTTCAGCAACCCGTACCGCGCGAAAAAAGTCTGGCCTCCCGACTTCACCGGCCTCTCCCCTCAAGCGCAGCTCCGGTTCGAGAAGAAGTACAAGAGACGACTGGCATTGGTGTACGCGCGACCGAGATGGGATAAAGCAATCAAGCTGATTCAGCTTGCGACCGTCACTGGTGGGTGTGGAAATGCTTCAATTGCTTGGGTTGGTTTAACAAGTATAGGTTTCCTCGGCTGGACAATCTTCTTCTCCGAGTACGAGTTCTGGGGCAAGCAATACCGCCCTTCTGAAGAGGTACGATACTCCCGATTCCTCATCATAGCTGGATGCTGACCACCCCGCCAGATCCGAAAGCACTTCCGCAATCTCTTCGGCACCATCGACGCCGAGAAGCGATACGAGCGTCGCAAAGACGCGCCCGAGCCGTCCTCCGCCGAGTCCCCCAAATAAGGCCTTACGTGGGCGCATGCATTGGAAGGAGTTTTTGGCGTTTTTGGATACCCGGCACGAGAGCCCATGTACAACATTGTCCCCCTCAAAAGAATATAGTGGTATCCCTCTCTCAGTGCAGCTGCTTCATTTTACCTCCCGTGCCAGACAAAGTTGCCTCCCATCCCCAGACCACCGCCGAGACCGGCGCCCCTTCCCTCGTTGACCGGTCGCTTGGCCACGGTTCCCTGCGCCCTGACGCCGGCGACGATGCGGTCGAGATTCGTCTCGATGACGACGCCTCCTACAATCATCTCGCCCAGCGTCGCGTGCAGTGACTCGAAGTTGAAGATGAGGTCCAGCTCGCACACGTTCTCGAACAGCTTGTCGAGGGCCTCGACGTAGACTTGAATCAGATCGATCAAGGCGAGGGGCGACTCGGTGGACGTGGAGATGACGATGAAGTAGAGGGTTGCGTAGTTGCGGTACGTGACGAGGGAGGGGACGTCGTTCTGCTCTTCGGAGGACGAGTGGGAGGTGCCGGAGGCGGCAAGGAGGGGCGGGAGCGGGAGAAAGTTGCAGGAGCCGGACGGTCTGTTCGAGACGAGGGTGAAGATCTCGGAAATCAGGCGCTGTTGCATGCTCGTTTCCTGCGACCATATCTGTCAGTTTTGCTACCACTTTGCGACCGCCTGCGCTGGAAAGGACTCGTACCAGCTGGGTGTAGAACTTGGTCAGCCTAGGCTGACCCTGGCCGTTGAAGACCAGAAAAGCGTTGATCATTGTGTCCTGTGTCGACTGCGCATCCCGTCTTTGCGATGTTCGGCAGCGGCGAGTACTATGCTCTCGCGGGTGATGCTACCGCCAACTCCCGTCTCTGGCGACGACAGCTTAACAGTCTTTGGTGGGGCCCGTTGCCAGCCGCCCTGACTCCCTGCAAATCCATCCACCCAGTTGACGTCGCACGTCAAAAACCGGAGGTGTAGAGCACATGACTTTCTGACGTAATCAGCTTCGCGCTCGTACCACTTTACGTCCCAAGCTCGCGCCCTCCTCTAACCGCTGAACCGAAGCTGCAGCTGCTGCACTTAGTGACGTGGGGAAGGTGCAACCGAAGCTACCATCCCGTCCAGTACCTTCCTTTGCGTTTTCAATCAAGCAAACAACTTCAAGATCGACACAACAACACCTCCTCTCACCGATTCAATCCCCTCAATTACTCGCCTCGGTATCCAATCTCTCGTTCTTTCATCACCAAAACACCGACAATGGCCCGCAGCAGCATCACCAAGCTCTCACGGGCAGTCGCCCGCACCCTCCGCACCTCGACCCCCGTCCTCCCGCGCCGTTCTCCCGCCCTCCTCTCGGTGACAAAACCAGCTGCCACCGTCGTCGCCGCCCGCAAGCTCTTCACCACCTCCGCCGTCGCCACGCGCGGCATCATGCCCGACACCGACGACCCGCAGGTCAAGGAGACGCCCAAGGAAGAGGTCAAGAGGAGCGTCGTCGAGCTCTCCGATGCGGAGTACCACGAGCTGGCCGACCAGTACCTCGAGACCGTCGTCACCAAGCTCGAGGACCTCCAGGATGCCCGCGAGGGCGTCGACGTCGAGTACGCTGTACGTTGTCTTCTCTCGCCCTTTTAGACGTTTTGCTGTCCCTTTCCAGCCTGTCTGGCCCGGGCTTCGCAACATACTGACTCGATCATCCTTATAGGCCGGCGTCCTGTCCGTCACCTTCCCCGACGCGGGCACCTACGTGATCAACAAGCAGCCCCCCAACAAGCAGATCTGGCTCTCCTCGCCCATCTCCGGCCCCAAGCGCTACGACTGGGTCGTCGTCGGTGACTCCCAGAACGACAAGGAGGGCACCGCCGCTGGCGCCTGGATCTACGCCCGCGACGGCAGCACCCTCGACGACCTCTTCCTCAAGGAGCTCGACGTGGACCTTAGCCTGGCCCCCTCGACCTACGGCGAGGACCAGACCCAGACCTAGTCGGCCGTGGCGCCTGGTCCCGAGACCGTGGTGGTCGAGGTCGGAGTCAGGGACGTACAGGCCTGATGTGATTTTGTCTCGGGGTCTTTGACGTGGTCAGCGGTTCGTCCGTCCGTCCGTCCGCCTGCACGGGGCAGCGATGTCGAGCCTCTTGTGTGTGGCGTGTGTGTGTACTTTAAACATGGCATGGGGGAGTTTTTTAGGTGGCTTTTGAGGAATTGGCAGTGATCCCCCCTCGATGAGTAGGGCGATCGATGAAAACAACTGGCACATAAGTAGTCCGTGTACACCAAATATTGCAAAGCAAGCGCTTGAATGCGCACCATCACCGGGTCTGGCAGATCTGCCGGATCCTCCCGCCCGTGGCTTGACAGATGGCATTCCACAAGTCCCATATCTGCTGCTCGGTATAATGCAGCGTCCCTTCTTTTGGACCTATTGAATTCGCCGTCCCCAGCGGTAAACACTTATCACTTGAACGAGACTAGCAACTTGGTTTGAAGCGTTGGAGTTGGTTTCCGCTCTATTTACGAATCTAAGCGTATCTTTCTTTCGCTTTAGATGCATGCTGTCGTAAATATCAGCCGCCTCGCTACGGCTGCTGCCCTTCCCCATCACATTCCCTTATTAACCGCCCTGTATTTATACCAGCGTCTCACGGGCAACAGTCTTTCCCGGCGGCGGGAGCCGGTCCCGTCCTCAAAGACTTTCCAACTCCAATGTCGTAGAAAAAGCACTTAAGCGAAAGTAGTGCTCAGCGAGGGTATCGTGGGTTTGTTGTTGTTGCTGTTCTCCATTCTCGTCTAAAAAAGCTTTCCTTCGTCCTCCGTGAAAACCCTCCTGTCTTCCGGCTTCCTTTCCGTTTTTCATCCAGGCAACTCCGACCTCTCAACCGGCGCGGGCAACTCGATGGCGGGTCCCTGTTGCGTCTCCGGCATCTCGTGCAGTCCCCTGGGCGCCGGCAGCTCTATCGTCTCGCCGGTGTGCTGCGCGGCGATGGCGCCGTCGGGCTTCTCCGGGTCGGCCCCCTGCAGCGTCGTCGCCAGCGCCGCGTCCCGCCTCGCAAGCTGCCGTTCCCTCCTCCAGTTCCACACCCAGCCGAGGGCGACGATGAAGAAGACCAGGCCCGCCGTCGCGCCCACGCTGAGGCCGATGACCTGTCCCGGGGTCAGGCCGGACTGCTGGAGAATGTTGTTCGGGAAGGCGGGCCCGCTGTCGGAGGGGGCGCCGCCGTTGGGGGCGCCCGTGGGAAAGGTCGTCGCCTCGGCCGTTCTCGTGGCCTCTGTCGCCGTCGAGCTCGAGGACGGGCCCAGGGTGAAGCTGGGCCCGAAGCGGTTGGATGGGAAGGGCAGCGACATGGTCGGAGGCCCAAATGGGAAGAAGGATGGGAATGGCTGCGCCAGCTTCGTGGGAAGGCTGGCTGTCTCTTCTTTTTTTGGTATTATGTATGGTTTGTCTCTGTACAGACGAGAAGGCGACGGGAGAACAGGGGAGAGAACATTAGGAAAGACCGGCTTCGCCTCCTGACACACGGGTATGATGGGAGGCGCAGCCTTTTTGATAGACTCCCCATTCGATGTCCGGCGACCATGGCGGCGTTTGGTTCTGTTCTTCTCTGTTCTTTTTTCCCCTCTTCTTCGCGGATACGGGAGGAAGGAAGGACGCAGGAGGGGGGTGTGAGTTGGCGTGAGCTGGTTGAGCACCGACCTCCGGGCCCTTTGGCGTACTGAGACTGAAAGCCACCACGCCCAGGTCGCAAAGGCCGTGTGTCCTGCCAAAATGTTTATAAACAGGCTTGCCCCAACCAGGCCGGGTTTCCCGGTCTTGGGGGTCAAGACAGAGGACAGCGGCGGCGCGAGAGGTCGTGGGAGGTCGTGGGTGGGTTTCGTGATCGATTGCTGTCAGTGGACTGTCATGGGGGGTGTGGGTTGTTTCGGACCTCTCCCGGTGCTAGTACACGGGGGCGCGGCGCAAAGCCCGAAGATGAGATGAGACGTCCCGCCGTGCACCAAGAACCAGAGTTCGTCGGATCGTGTTCCCCGGCGAATCAGCAGGTGGACAGCACATCACCCGTATTCGAGCTTCTTTTCTTGGTTATTCCCTTTGCGCAGGAGGTGTTGTATTTTGACTCTCAGCCTGCATACTGCTGCTGATGGCCCTCGAGCACAGAGTTGGGGAAGGCGAGCCATTCCGACCAGTAGTCGCCCAGGTGCGCCGAGATGGACCGGATCATGAACTGGCCCGCGTCGCAAAAGACCCAGTAGTCGCGGCACCAGTGGAGGAGGACGGCGTAGTAGGCGAGGATGACGAGGGCCTCGGGGCGGCGCTGCTTGAGGACGTCGATGAAGCCGGTGGTGATGCGGACGCCGAAGGCCATGACGGACGAGGACTGGTGGGTGGACCGTTCGGAGATGCTGCGGTAGATGGCGTAGGCGTGGCGGAGGACCTCGGCGGCGGCGCGGCAGGCCTCGAGGGAGGCCGGGCCCAGGTCGGCCTGGTCGAGCATGCGGTGGAGGATGTCCATCTCGGGGACCTGGGCGTGGGGCTGCCTGGCCTCGAGGAAGTCTATGAAGCCCTTGGCGCCGGATTGTCGGATGACGCTCCAGGACTTGCCGGTGACGGCGCTGACGCCGCGGTGGATGGTGAGGTACCACGCGAACTGGTCGAGGAAGGCGTTGAAGTCGTCTCTGTTGTTGCGGAGGGTCTCGCAGAGGACCTGGTTGCCGACGGTGGAGGAGAAGAGGAACATGGGGATGCAGGTCTCGTCCGACACCTCCTCCTTGGCCTCGTTGAAGAGCATGAGGCCGCGTGTCTGCAGCTGGGTGGCCTGGTGGCGGTAGAAGTCGGCGCGGTCGGGGTTCGTCTCGGCCAGATGCATAGCTGCGTGGGCGAGCTGGATGTCCATGAGGTAGGGGGCGCTCAAGCCGGCCTCCATGACCATCTCCATCATGGGTTTCTGGAACTCGTCCACAGTGACGAAGGTCGGCATGGCGGTCTGCAGGTGGCGGAAGAGGCGGAGGTGCTCGAGGGTGAAGAACTGGCCATTGGCTGGACGGAGGACCTCGTTCGTCTCGCCGGAGCGCATGACGAAGTCGTTGACGACGGTGGTGATGGACGGCGAGGGCGCCGAGACCGGGACGCCGCCCATGACGACGACTTGGCTCCCGGAGCTCACGCTCGCGGGGCTGTGGCCGCCGGCGACGAGGACGCGCTTTGCCGGGACGGCTGAGCGGGCCGAGGCCGGGAGAGAGTCGAGGTAGGAGCAGTGGCGCTCGGCGGTCGCGCAGTTGACGCAGGTCGGACGAGTCTCATCGCACTTGACGTGGCGCCTCTTGCACTCCTTGCAGCCATTGCGAGACTTCCTATGGGCTCGGCGAAGCTTGACGTCACCGGGTCCGGCTGCCGGGGTGCTGGCCTCGTCGCCGCCGCCGCCGTTAGACATGGCCGGGGAGTGGTTACGCGTCTGGGGCGCCATTCCTCTGGTGTCGCGTGTCCGAGAGGGTGGAGGAACCGTGTGTAATCCAATGCCAAGAACTTTACTGAGCCATCGAAGGCACCATGTGACGAGAGCAGGGCGTGCGGGACGGGCGACGAGGCGGTTCTTTTAAAGATGGTGGTTTCTTGAAGATGCGAAACCGAGTTTCTTCAGCCTTTTTTTGGTGGGGGAGAAATATGCTTAGGTAGGACGTCCCACCGAAAAAGTGCTCCGCTTAATGCGGGCGAGCTCCGGCAGACGCCGTTAAGGTACAGATTATCCACTGAACTTCCCACACAGGGGGGTCACTTTGGGGCTTAATGCCCCCGGCTTCCCCTGAATTACGCCGACTGCGCCCTGAGTCCACGCGTCTGTCGTCCCCTATCATCGCCGTAATTGGCAAGTTCCTCCCGCTTCAATGTGCCTTCCTGTCCTGGTCGATGACCGCCAGCCAATGATGTCTTTGGTGAAACCAATAACGCCGCGATTCTGCCGTGCTCTCAATTCTTCCATTCTTCCATTAACAACTTCGTCAGATATTCTCCCGACGATCAATTTCCCTTCCATTCATCGTGAGTGGCTCCTCCGTGGATGTCCACCGGTCGCTTCGCTAAATTCAACTACAGAACTTGATCCTTGACCCCTACGAGCTTCTAGGTATTGTGGTGCTCGTCTAGCCGTCCTGCTCCTCCAACTCAGATCTTCATCGCATCGACTTCCGCATCGAGTGCTGCTGAGCCTCCTGCTCGGCCATGTCGAATCCCTCAACGTCAGACGTCGACTGGTGGCCATTCTTTCGGATCTGGAAGGCGCTGGGGAACCGCCAGCCGAACACAACCATGACGAAGAACATGAGCGTCGCGTCAAAGACATACAGAGTCCACTCGTGCTGCAGAGGGTAGCCATCGCCGCCAAGAAGGTACTCGATGAGACGGAAGATGGACCGCACCATGATGAGGCAGCTCACGGTGTACAGCATCCACAGCCCCGACTTCCACGGCGAGTGGCCGCTCATCGACGCCTCAGTCGGAGACTTGGACAGCCGCATGTGGAACACGACGGACGTCAGCCAGAAGATGCCGAAAAGCACAATCTGGATGACGAGACCCGCCACAATCAAGTTCTGTCCCATCTTCTGGCTGCCGTCCTTGACCATGAGCCCGCCGCCGCTTGCTTGCACCAGGAAAGAGAAACAGTCGCCGGTGACGAAGATGCGCGTGAGCCAGTTGATGCGAATGACAGAGAGCGACTCTCCGTGCACACTGCGGATGATTCGACCGAGGGTCATGTACACTGAGGCTGCGAAGAAGGCAGGAGCGATGAGGATAGTGATGCTTTGCATGACATAGGGGCCAACCTCGCCGGTACGCTCGCGGGCGATGGCGCGGCCAATGTATCCGATCATTTCAACTGCAAACGCACGACTGTTAGCGAGGCTCCAAAACTAGGAATCGTTCTCGACGTACGGAATCCTCCAATGACGAAGACGATGCAGAACCATGTCCTGGTCTTCGCAATCTTCCACGCGTGGAAGAACGTGGCCAGGATGAAGAGGACTTCGAAAATGATGGCTGCTACCATGTTCGGCACATAGTGCCAGAGGTAGTAGCCGTTGTGCGATTCGAGCTGCGGCATGGTGAATGGCTTCAGACTTCTTTCGTGTCGTCGTGGGTATTTCCGCGGGCTCTAATTGAGGTCTCTCAACAGGCCGACGATTGGTAATGTTGTTCTCCGTTCGTGTTACAGCTGGAATCGCCAAGGCACAAGGACTCGAGTACAGCCATCTTTATAGCGGAAATCGAAGGACCCTGGAGGAGATTGGATACGCATGAGAAAACGAACACACGGTCGAAACATGTCGTTGCCAGAATCCGTACGCGTTTTCCTCCTGAGCAACAATCAATGGGCGAAGCTTTGAGAGGATATTTGGACCCGTTCAGCTTCCCCATGCGGACGTATACGTGGATGGAACAGACGTTGATTGGTCAATATTGGCATCCCTGCCAGCCCATCGGGTGGGTAGTCCGATTTGCAGTCTTAGCTCGCAAATCATGGCTTGGCCCATACGCGTATGGAGAGAGAGAGGCTACGGCTGCGAGTCTTCGACTCGCCCGGCGTGGTCCAGCCTCTTGTTTGTTTGACTCAAAGAATACGGCCTTGATAAGGATCATCCGTCGACGAGCTTACGCAAGCCAACACACCCAGCATACTCACCCACATTTCCTGTCAGCACAGAGACGCTGACTTTTTTACGAGTATTACCAGGATCTTCTCGAAACAACACCCCGCGATGCCGATTAGGTCGTGGGGTCTCGTCATTTTGAGCCTTTTGGACCCTTGGCGCTAACTTGGCACATCTCCAAACTGAATTACAGGGAGGACTTTTGATACGCGGCGGCTCTCCTGTACTGTTTGCGCGACAACGCCGCCCTGCCCTTGCTAGCCAACAAAAGAGCCTCAAGGCTTAACATCAAGTCCCGCTCGACACTTCAGGAGGGATCCCCTGCGCAGAGGACGGCTGTCATCCGATAAAACGAGTCGTAAGCGGGAGGAGTTGGGCCCTTTTGGGGCACCTCATGCGAACCCCAGGCGTCTAAGCCTTCCCCAACAATTCCGATGGGCACCGGAAAAGCGCCGATGCACTGTGGCTCCTATTTTCCCGCATGTACGGGCATCTCCGTGCTCGACAACCTCCATTACCGGTCATCACGTTTAGCGAACGGGACATGGTGCCTTTTCTCGGTACTAAGTCATGCCGACCGGGCTTGAACAGTTTTGCCTCCGTATGGAACGCGGCGGCCAGGCCCACTACTCGGCTCGCCGAACTCGCCAAGAAATCCGGTCCGGGCGCCAAGCCGGTCCGTTGAAGACACGACGGGAGAAGATGCGATGCTCAAATCGGACTACATCATTCGAATTCCCTGAAAACTTACTGATTGGGATGATTCTTGGCATCTTGAAGAGCTCAGCTACGACTGGGGCAAAGACACTTAAGATACATCAGTGCCTTGTATTCGTGTTACATACGAGTATGAGTTACTTGTCATCCTACTCGGGCATCGTTGGAATTGGCGACTGGATAAGAGCGGCGTGTTCTCCATCACAGTACCAATTCTTCCATATTCCTCATCGTTAGTAGAAGTCTGGCGATAAGCATCCGACTGTCCTCTGGTATGGCTAATAAGATTTCCCAGAAAGGCGAACATGGAAACCAATCCCGCATCTGTGGCCTTGCTGCTAAGCCAGAAGGCGGGGACGGAGACACGGGCCGGCTACGGACCGGCTCCGGGAGGGCAATATCGGCAGACGCCCCGCGGGGAAAACTTGATTCTCCAGGGACCTGCGTGCTCATGTTGGTGTTACGATATTGATTGAGGGCTGATAGTACCAGGCACATCTGCTGCCGGTAAGTTTACCACGAAGTGTTTTGCTTTTTCTTGGTTTACGGACATTTTGGATGAGAATGTCAGAGAAGTCCGCCGCACGGCATCCAGCAGGAGGAATTGTTGAAATGGCGCAGGGAACTTGGAGTAGCAGCTGACCAAATACAAGTCGGAAATAAGCAACAATTGAGAAGAAAACATCACAACTCCACGCTCCAGAGTTGACGGAGATTCATCAGGGTTATTATTTAATCGGAAGGAAACGTAACGAAATCTAACACATTGATAAGAGTCAGTTGTCCGCAACCGGCGACGATACGGATAAGCCAGATTCGGGCGTCAGTGAAATTAGAAAGTAAATGCCGGATGGAAGACCCCACCTGGGAGCTTGCCGATTGCCGGTTATCAGCAACCCCGATACAACACCGGCAATAGTTGAAGGTCAGGTCGCTGTTCATGATTCACAACTTTTTGTTCTTCTACGCAAGCAAGAGAGTCGCCGGACAACAAAGCATTCGGCTCGCAGCAAACCATCATCTCTCGAATTCGCCATGTCTACTTCGGAGCTGCCCATCCGAATCCACGACCATGTCGAGATCGTACTCTCAGACGGCATTATCCTGTCCGCTATGATCTGGATCCCCGAAACCGCAGACTCGGTCCCCGTCCCCGCCATCCTCGAATACCTGCCCTACCGCAAGCGCGACGGAACCGCTGACCGCGACGCCCTCAACCACCGCTACTTCGCAGCTCACGGCTACGCCTGCGTCCGCGTAGACATGCGCGGCTCCGGCGACTCGGAGGGCGTTCTCCTCGGCGAGTACCTCCAACAAGAGCAGGACGACGCCTTGGAGATCCTGCGATGGATCGCCGCCCAGGAGTGGTGTACCGGTGCAATCGGCATGATCGGCATCTCCTGGGGCGGCTTCAACGGCTTACAGATCGCGGCTCGTCAGCCACCGGAACTGAAAGCCGTCATCTCACTTTGCTCGACTGACGATCGCTACGACAACGACGTCCATTACATGGGCGGCTGCCAGCTCGTCGACAACTTCCTCTGGGGGGCAACCATGTTCTCCATCGCCCCCACGCCTCCGGACCCGGCCCTCGTCGGCGACAAGTGGCGCGATATGTGGATGGAGCGTTTGGAGACTGGGACGCCTTACATGGAAGAGTGGCACCAGCATCAGCGACGCGACGAGTTCTGGCAGCACGCTTCCATATGCGAAGACTACGGCGCGGTCCAGTGCCCCGTGTATATGGTCGGCGGTTGGCATGACGCCTACTCGAACTCCATTTTTCGGACGCTGGAGAACCTCAAGTGTCCCAAGAAAGGTCTGGTCGGGCCCTGGGCGCACAAGTATCCCAACATGGGGAAACCCGGCCCGCCAATCGGTTTCTTGCAGGAGTCTCTGCGCTGGTGGGACAAGTGGCTGAAAGGCAAGGAAACAGGCATCATGGAGGAGCCGATGCTCAGGTGCTACCTCAACGATACGGTGCCCCCGCAGAGATCCTACGTCCAGCGACCCGGGCATTGGGTTGCGGAGAAGAGTTGGCCCAGTGAGCGCGTGACGACGAAGACGATGAGTCTTGCTTCGGGACAGCTGCTTGACGGGTCGTGGGCGAACATCGAGAAGATATCCTTCAGCTCCCCTCAGACCGTCGGATTCGCTTCGGGGAGATGGTGTCCGTACGGAAGCTCAACGGACCTGCCCGGTGACCAGCACGATGAGGCCGTAGGCTCGCAGATATTCGACAGCCAGCCCCTGACGCAGCCGTTGGATATCCTCGGCCCGATCGTAGTTCAATTGAGGGTTGCAAGCGACAAGCCCAACGCCTTCGTCGCGGCTGTCGTCTCTGAGGTCCTGCCAGATGGCTCGGCGACCCGGCTTTCGTATGGGGTACTCAACCTTACCCATCGCGAGGGCCATGTTGACCTCAAACCACTCGAACCAGGAAGCTTCTACGACGTGACGGTGCAGCTGAACGAGTGCGGGCAGCGCATCGGGGCCGGGAGCGTCATACGGCTTGCTCTCTCGACATCATACTTCCCGACAGTATGGCCGTCGCCAGAGGCACCGACACTGACAATAGACTGCGCATCGAGCCAGTTGAAGCTCCCAGTCCGACCCGAAACCCCCTCCGACAACGACCTGCAGCCTTTCGAGCCCGCTGTAAACGGACCGCCACTGGAAACAAAGTACCTCCGTCCAGCCAAGATGAACAACAGCCTCGTCAAGGACCTAGCGACGGACCGAGTCACAATTACGTTCGACAGCGACGAGGGGTTAGCCGAGGACCTGAACAACGGCTGGCGCTGGGGCGGAACCACCACGACGATCTGCAGCGTGCGTCCGGATGACCCGTTGTCGGCGCGCGCGGAGCAGAACTTCCGTCAGGAGTTTGGGCGTGGGGAGTTGGAGTTGGCTATTGATGGGTGGACGTCGATGACGGCGACGGAGGGGGAGTGGTGTATTACGACGCGCATGGAGGCGTGGGAGAATAAGGGGAGGGTTTTTGAGAGGGAGCATGTTTATAAGATACCAAGGGATCATATGTGAGGAGGAAATGAATGTGATGGTCAAACGAGGTCATATTGTTTTCAGAGTGATTATCCTTTTGATGCAGCAGATCCATGTTTCCCACAGTTTGTTACGCCACAAACATGGCCTTTGTAAGATCATCAAGGGGTCTGTTAGGAATCTTCAGAGGCCATCACATTGGCTCCTAGATCAGACATAGCACGGTGGGTAGCATGTTCCGAGAATATTTCCCTGGTCATCAATCCATCTTTGTTACGCCAACTCTGGCTACGGTTTATAGCTACTACTCTAAGTAGTCGCCGCCCCAAGCCTGAGGCGAGTCTGAACATTGTCCTAAGCATCATGGTGAGGCGCAGCATGCCACACGACTAGTTGATAGGGATTGTCATCACGCGTGTCGTTTTGATCATCTGAAGAAGTGAGAACACCGCGAGGAGGAGTATCGTGAATAGTAAGCTGTCGGAGATTATTTGTAACTTGTAAGACGAACTACGAATGTGTGTGTGAGAGAGAGAGAGAGAGAGAGTGAGAGAGAGAGCTCTGCAGTGAACCAGCAGGGGTTGGAGGCAAGTAGAAGTGGATGATTTATTACTAGTCGGTAGTTTTCAACCTGCAGAAAGGTGATTTAGCGTTGCAAGCTGCAAGACCAAGTACACCCCCCTTGAATCTAATCCCATGTAAATTTCTTGTCGTATTATTAAATACAATCTATATTACGATCGCATATTATTTCAACAAGCATATGTCTAAGCTAGGTATGTAGTCAACACCAGTGCAAGGAGTGCCCGTTGGATACCAGTTTTCAGTCTCCGAGACGAAGCGATACTCTCCTTTTTCGGGCACGGCGCCGTGATATCCTGCCAGACTCCATCTTCACATCCCATCTCGCCCAGCATCTTGGTAGAGACGTTTGCGGCAAGTTCTCTCGCGAATTGCTTATACGCACACCCGTCCGTCTCGATTCCTGTTTGGAACACTGGGCACATCTGTTGCCGCCCGTCCGCGTCCAGCAGTCCGCTCGGATTCTTGACGTCGGTAACGCGCACAGCCACAGAGTTCTCTTCGTCGGGCTCTCGACAGTCACTCAAAGCAGCCTCTATGTCAGGCGACTCGGCGCCGGGTGCCGTGTCAAACCTGACGACGCGGTTGCCGCCGCCCGCAGGCCCGTTCGACCAGCCCCTCTCGTCGACGGTGCTGTTGTTGTCGAAGCACCGGGGCCGGAGGACCAGCGCCCATCTTATGGCGAACTGGTCCGTCGTGCCGTTGGTCATGTTGACCAGGGGCGTGTGGGAGAAGTGCCGGCCGGGCGTGTCCGTCTTAAAGGTCTGCTGCAGGAGGGCGCGGTTGATTCGCGGGGCGACGTCCTGCCACGACGAGGAGCCCGTGTCGTTGATCCTCCAGGCCATGCTGAAGATTTCGATGTCCACGTAGAGGTAGAGCGGCCAGACGGCTTCGAGGTTCGTCACGCCGAAGATGACGGGAAACCATTGCGTGGGCGCGTATGTCTCGTTCGCGTGGGGGAAGATGAGGTCGACTTGGAGGTCCGCAGGCAGCTTTCGGCTCTGGCTCTCTCCGGCCACCACGCCTGGGAACAAAGGATGTAAAAACACGAGAAGAGTAAGCAGAAGCTTCATGTTGGCCGCGCTGATTGTGTGATTGACATTATTACTCGATGATGAACAATTTGATCCGGCTGCATGTGGTCGTCGAGTTCGAAGAAAATTGAGCGACGTCGCGTTCTCCCATGTCGATCTCCGGGTCACGCGAGAAATCCAATTCAGGCAAATGATTCCATGTCGTTGGTCAGTCTATCTGCAGGCCAAGAGGCTCTTAGGACCCTTACATCCGTCAAGCCGGCTTAGCCCTTCAAATCACTCTATTATATCCACTCTTTTGACCCGGCCCGATCCCTTTTCAACTAAGGTAAAGTACTCTACTTTTCCCCTCGATTTTGCCTCGGCAAATCACCCATTTTAAGACAATGCCTAGACGATGCAGTTGGTATACGTTTGGCAACAGAAGCCCAGATCCTTAGACAATGCCCAGTGTAAGCTTGATCTGGTATCCCCACTGCGGGAAAGGTTGCAGTTGAACTGATATAGGGCTCCTTGATCCATAGAAACCCTGCGAACGAGTGGGCAAGACATGGGTTTCTAATTTCCCGATCCCCCATAGTCTTACAGTAGCTCCAGGATACTTACTTACACCCTTGAGGAGCGAGACTTCATCTTTTCCGGTGACCATACGGATGGCAGATTCGGGTGAACTTGGGTTTTCAAGATAGACAGACAATCAAGAAACTCTTACAATACTTGGCATGTTGCTATCTCCTTTTCTTTTGGCGATAGCTACACCCAGGATGGCATTGTCAGGTAGTACTCGACGATGCCAAGCGATGCTGTCGTAAAGTTGTCACGACTTGGTCGACTGAATATATCGTGTCCGCCAAGATTATGGCGTAAGTTCCGATTCATATCGGTGCAGATCCTACGGCGATGTTCAGCCAGGGAAGTCAGCAGGGCACGATGTCATCGGAATGTCGCCTGGATACCTTCATCCCGCCTAGCCAACTGGGGGTTTTCCCATAAAGCTTCATATGTTGTCAGTCTCATGGAATCGCTCAATAGTCTTTGACAGAAAAGGGCAAGGTCATATGTTTCAAACGACGGCCTCATATCATACCTGCCAAGGATTCTGTCTGTACCTCCCGAATCTTGGTAAGCTTGCTCTAGGATTATCGCACCGAAGTGTAATGTACCTTCTAAACGTTTCGGATTTCCTTTCCTCGAAGAAGTCTCAATTGAAACCGTCGGAGGGCTCGGTCAACAAGAGATACTCACAAAGTCGGGAAGCCGGTAGCGACGGTGTAGGCTGGGAATAGACTGCTTACAAACGACCGTGCTTTGCCATGAGGTGAGAATGAGATGCGGGAGGGGTCATCTGCCAAGATTTAAGCAATGACGGCGCCGTGGCTGGCGTGTCTGTGGCTACATGCTGTGAGACCTTACCGATTCCTACGATAACAGAACACAGCTGTCGTTTCTGCTGCCTATATCCTTGGCACTGCAAGAGAACATAACATGTCCTCGGCGTAAGCGGTAAGTCGAAGCTAGCTCTACGTCCGGGTAAAGCTCTTAGCGAAAATTCGACTTTGAGTCCAGTACATCGATTAGTAGTTCTTAGCTACTCATCCGAGTGTGCATCTTTAATATTCTGCCTTCGCCTGGGTACTTCCAAAGCATCGCATAGTATAGAGTTGACGGCTATAGCACTGGTAGCTTTGTCAAGTTGAGAGATGTAGAGTGAAGCGATCTTGTATGACTGGCCAACAAACTCATGAGGCATCATCCAAAAACACCATTAAAATCGACGTCCGATACATACATCTGACAGTGGACTGAAGGCTGGCCCATAAAACAAACTTGCACATGCCACGTTGATCCTCCGCCTGTTGGCTTGAGACCAGTTTGGACGATAAAATTAGACGCGCAAACTAGTTCATCTCACCACCTTCTTCTTGCAATTTAAATGCTGTACCATGGTGGCTCATGTTGACAGGTACTCCGCCACGCACCGCTTATTCCGCCTGGTCAGACGCGGTCAGCACCTTTTCTTTCGCCTGCGCGGCAGCTGACCAGTCACATCGCTTCAAATCCAATGTGAGTGAGAAGATGGCGTCGTGTAGGATCTAGCGCTAGTTGGGATTCCCCGGGGGACTGTGTTTCCGGCTGGGTGTTCGGGCGGTGTCGATGGACTACGGGTATGTGTTAGCCTGCTTACACATGGATACAGCCAGACTTGAGCATATGGCTGATTCCTGAATACCCTACCGGGAGAGGCTTGATGCTATTGTGGAAGAGGATCGTTCCGTAGGGCTGTACAACAGATATCGATATTGGCAAAAGTGACCAAAGTCAGGTGCTTACATCTCGCAAGATTGTCTATATAACAACGTGGAATTCTCATCAAGTAAATGTTTTCTCTCTCCTCATCACACAGCAAGCGAAACAACCAAACAAATAGTCCAACTTTTCCTTTTATCTTTTCCTATCTCATTTCCTTATTTCCTAGAGTCTCTACTTGAATTTTCTTCTCTTCAATCAACCCAAACTTCAAAATGTTCTCCATCAAGACGCTCACCGCCGTCCTCCTGGCCTCCGCCGCCGCCGTCTCCGCCGCTCCCACCACCACCAGCGGCAACAAGGCGACTCGCACCACCCACCTGACCGGCGTCACGCACTCGGTCGTCGCCGGCCTCGGCGGCAGCCTCACCTTCAACCCCGACAACGTTGTTGCCGAGGTTGGTGACATCGTCGAGTGGCACTTCCTCCCGCGCAACCACTCCCTGGTGCAGTCCAACTTCGCCAACCCCTGCAACCCCCTCGCCGACGGCACCGGTTTCTTCCCCGGGTTCGAGTTCTTCACGCCCGAGGGCCAGGCCGACAATGTTTTCCAGCTCGTCGTCGAGGACGAGAAGACCATTGTAAGCTATATTCGTCGCGTAAGGAGTTATGAAAGAGAAGCTGACTGAGCATGTCTTAGTGGTACTACTGCCCTTTTGGCAACCATTGCGGAGCCGGCATGGTGGGAGTCATCAACCAGAACTTCGACAACCAGGCCGTCTCTCTTGCCAAGCACAAGGAGCTCGCTGCTGGAAAGATGACTGTCATTCCTCCCGTCAAGCACGTCGGCGAGGTCCTGTCCAACCCCAACCCCCTCGGCGGCTTCTAAAGGCTCGATCGCATTCTGACAGGCATTTGTGTGTTTTGCTTGGGGACCGGGCATGGCGGGACGGGGGATTAGCATACAGGGGCGTTTTTTGTCTTGATGGGTTCTGGACTTTGACTTCTTACTTCAACAATTCTTCGATACATAGTCACTCACTTCTCTAGATAGCACACAAACTTACTCTTCGCGAATTACTGTACTTCTGCCATTTTGCTTCCACTTCTTCACTGAATGAAAGTGTTTCGTGTACATCTTGTTTCCTTGCATTGCAAGATGAGCATCCTTCGTCATCGAACGCTCAGCTGTAGTTGCTCAACTGCCTTAATACAGGAATTCTGGTTATCCTCGCACGCCTGCATCACCCCCACACGTCCTGTTCAAAATCTAATCTAGATTTATGCGCGGGGGAACTAATCAATGTCATGAAAAGTTGAGTCCTCGAGTGCTGTTTACGACGCTTCGATAACGTTGGACTTCGTAGGGAACACTGGGGTCGTCCACTTGGTTGTCTTCTTCAACGCCCACATCGTCCTGAAGCTCGTCTGTACTTCTTCATTAGAAAGTGTTCACTCCAGATGACAGAGAAAAATAATTGCAAAAAGGATTCATGCGACGCTAATAATGAAGAACTCACGATTGTATATGTAGGATAATGCGGCGGACGCTGCACGAGGCAAACCACCTGCTGGCTGGATGGCCAAGAGCATGACAGCAACAGGTTGACCAAATCTTTCCCCAAAACACACCTGAGCCAGTGCGACAGCCTTGCGGACTTCGGCAGGACCAATTGGCCACCTCATCCTCCACTGGCTGATGTTTTGTCGGATATTTACAACGCGCTTTGCCCAATGAGACCAGTGGTCTTGTGATTCAAAATAAGGGCAAACATCGAACAGCCCCGCGTCGATGAGTTGTTTTAAAGATGCCTTCTTTGCGTTTCCACGGACGGTGAGCCAGCCTTGAGAGAGGTACTCGCCGAAGTTGTAACCTGCTTTACTCATCCTGAGGCTGTAATGATACCATAGCCGCTGATTGTACTTCTTAAAGCACTGTATCGCTTCGAGATCTCTGACGAAGGCGCCACGCGGCAATGCCCATGTGTCCACCACGAGTATAGAAACTCCCGACATATCCGAATATTCATGCGTGCGACGTGTATGAAATCGGTAGAACGCGTACTGAAGCGCAAATAGAAAGGAACTCGTCCACGACACCAGATTGGTACGTCGATGGCGCGAAGTGTCCCATCTGAGATGGCAAAACAGCTCCTCGGCGGCTGTTAGGGGGTCGTCTTGGAAGAGATCCTCGCGCGTTTCGGCAAGAAAGGTCTTTGCTTGTGATGTTACGAAGATTTCGCTTGTAGTGCCGGCGGATTCGTCGTCGTAAACTCGGAAAAGGAAACGGGGGGTCTCGTCGAAGGAAGGATTCAGAAAGTCTTCAAAGGCCCACTGAGGAGTGAAAGAAGTGGCGGCGCCGTGGTCGTTGCATGCCGCAAATTTCCTAAAATAGCTGTCTCGTGTACTTGACATAATGATGATGAGGTTCAGTAATGCCTTTAGTGCTGTTTGTACTAGATAATCCAAGAGCTGCAAGAACTGTGAGCCACGCGATAAACTGAACGGGGCTTTAGAATGAAGAGGGTGGGTGAATTGACAGTGAATCTCGACTGCGGATGCCTGCTTTTATGCCTCAAATTGTCCTCCCTGAAAGCATGCAGGCGTGGACCCTGACAGGGATAGGCTTGTCGTTTCTTATTCTTAAGCTGCCATGCCCCTACTTCCCCCATTTTATTTCGATGCTTTTTGTAGATGACTAAACGCTTGATACTAACTAGATCACGACCTTCCATTTCAGCTCTAAAAAAAATGGGTTATGAAGGATCACAAACCAGTCGAGCTCAGTTGGACCGCTGAAGTTTGATCTTTTACTACCGTTGGGCTTTCATCAAATGTACAGATGCAGGTATGTCTTGTAACCTATCCCTCAATTCCCAATTGAGCCTTTGTCCCAATCAGAGGTAAGATACGGAGATTGCAGGATTCTCAACACAGTTCAAATGCTGGTATCCCTGCTCACACCCTCGAAATCTCCAGTCTGCTGCGGAATTATCCAGACAACAACCACCCACCATCTTATGGCTATCAAGCGGGTCAATGCCTGATTGTAGCTTGAACTGCAAAGTGTGCGCAGTTTATCGTGTATCTTTCCATGGGCATGTGGGCATGTTACTATATCATACAACAGTCTGAAAAAGTCGTAAATAAAGCCATGCGAGCGTGGAACCTTTCTGGTAGCACTCATTGCACTTCTGACTGGACTAGATCAATATCTGCCGCTGCTATATGGTGGCATGTAACGAAATGATTCTCTTGACACAAGGCTCCTCGTCTATATCTGCTCAATACGCCCCTTTTCTCTCCTCCCACTTAGGCTGTGGCGCAGGCTCGACTTTCCCAAAGCCAGTAGCACTAACCATGCCAACCTCCCACTTGAGTCCATCAACCTTAGCTCCGCCCTTCTCGTGAGCCCAAAGGGTGACTCCAAGGTGGTTGGACCCCTGGTAGTTGAGAATACCCTCGGGGATGGGGAACCGCGCTTGAGGACCGACATGGTGCACGTACTTGCCAAACTGGTATCCGTTAACAAACAGCTGAGCGCGGTAGGCGGTAGTGGTCGTGTTGGCAAACGTCAATGAGATGGGGATATCGTAGCCAGCAGGCAGGTCAAGATCGAAAGTCGCGGAATAGTACGCGATACCAGCTTCAGAGATACCCTCAGTCGGACCCTTGCTGTCCTTCCAAGAAGCCGAGGGTGGCTCGGGCCAGTGGTAGCCCTGTCTCTCGATGAAAAGACCACCCTCGTTCAAAGGACCACGCTCTCTGTCAGCGTAATCCTCGCCACCCAGGTTGCCAGTGATCTTCCACTTGATGTCAGACTGCTCGTGGCCGGCGAGGTTATATCTGAGGATACCGCGAGGGTTCTTCTGTTGCTCTTCGTTGATGACCCAGTTGCCGTTCAGACCCATGTGGTCGACGACGACGGTGAAGACGTAGTCCTTGTCCTTGGTCAACTTGGGCAGCTGGAACGTACTGTTGTAATTTCCCAAGGCAGCGTTGCCGGCCCATGAACCAACAAACTCATCGTTTACCCATACAGAGGCACCGAACGCGTTTCCACCCTGGGTAGTGATGTCGAAGACGCTCTCCTCTCCATTGGCAGTGAAGTGGCCACGGTAGAGCAGTGAGCCTGTGTGGTAGCCATAGTCGCCGCCATACAAGCTAGTAGGTGTCTTGAGAGGGTTGGCAGTGTTGTAAGTCTCCTCAAGGTTAGCGTCGGTCCAAAGCTCATCCGAGTAGTCCGACTTGAGTTCAGGGAGCGAGTCGATGTACTTCCAGCCCAGTTGACTGATGCAAGGGAGTTTGATCTCCGGGGTCTTGAAGTCGAGAGTTGCGGTGACAACTCCGCGGTCGTTTTGCTTGAAGTCGAGAGACTTGCCGTTGAAGTTGAGGGTCTTCAAAGATGCTGGCGCACCTCCAATGACCTCAATAGGGGTTGTAGCATTCACGTCGCCGGAGATGCTCAAGCTGTCGCCATCAACCGCGACAGTTCGTACTAGGTATCCGGCCTTGACGATCACGTCGGAGGTGCCTTTATCGCCTTCGGTGGGCGGAACCCAGAAGTTGTACGCCTCGTTGCGGGCTGATGCGCATTAGTACGTGTAGACGCATACTCTACGAGATGTGACTTACTCAGAAGATACACGTAGAGATCCTTGTGGACGCGGACGACCTTGCGCTCGTCAGAAACGGCCCATCCGAGGATGGTGTAGCCGTCCTTTTGTTCGATTGTTACATCAGAGCCTTCGATGACGTCGTCATCAGTCACATCGCCCTGGTCGCCCTCGACCGCCAGTTCATGATGCTCGTCGGCACCGCCGTAGACAACGAGGACGGTCTTGTCTTCATACTTCTTCCTGCTCAGTTATTAGCCCCTGGTCTATATGTCTCTTGCGCTTAGGAGACAGAGTTCATTCAACATACCAGGTGAAGATCTCGGCGGAGGAGTAAACCAAATTCTTGTCGCCTACGGGGTAGTCGCTGACGTGGATCTTCGAATCTCTTCTAGTCAAGTAAAGACTGTCACTAAGTTGAGGAATCTCAAGCTCGCCAAACTTGACTGTGTTGACCTTGAGCTTGTATGCTACGGTCTCCAAAGTGTCGTACTTGGTGTGTCTGACCATTGTTAGCTAGAGGTCCAATAAGAAGTTTCATAGGACCAACCTGGAGATGTAGAACTTGGTGGTGTTGGTCGTGGCAGGCGTGACAGTAATGGCGTCGTTGTTCGTGAACTCGAGGGAGGAATTGAACCGATCGGCCTCGAGGTAAGCAGGGCTGACGTGGAAGAAGTTGGCCTGAAGTTTTGACTCGCTGTACTTTTCACGATTGACGAGACGTTCCTCCGTGATCTGCGCTCCGTAGTCATAAGACGTGTAGCCGTCGGAGTGACCAAGGTTGCCCCAGTTCGTTCCACCCCAGGTCTGCGATTGATCAGCATTAGATATGGCGAGTGCGGTCCAATGGGAAGAGTCTTACCATGTAGACGTTGAAGATTGTGACGCCGACGGCATAGTTGTTCTTGTACAAGACACGCTCGAATTCGTGGTTCAGCAGACCAGCGCAAGATTCGAAACCAGCTCCGCCCCACGGCTGGAAGCCACCACCTTGGAACTATGTTCTCTTAGTCATTTGCAATTCAGAAGCAGAAACAGGTCATCCTCATACCTCGACGATAGAGTAGGGGCTATCAGGGGCAATCTTGTTGTTTGTCGCCAGCCAGTCCGTAGGGAGACCATTCTCAGGCCAGACGGTGGGGTTCCAGCAGTCGAAACCAAGCGGGTAAGCGTCGTGACCGTAGATGTCGACCTTCGCAGGCGTCGAGGTGGTGATGACGCCGAGCTGCCAAGCCTCGTTGTTGACGTACGGGACAACTACACCAGCGCTGCGGAACTGGTTGTCCACATACTTCCAGTAGTCGTAGTCGGGGAAGGGGTAGGGCTCGATCGCTGCGTTGTACTCGTTCTCCATCTGGAAGAGGGCGACGGGACCGCCATTGGTGATCTGGGCATCGGCGATAATCTTGCCAATGGCGGCAGTGTAGCTTAGAAGGTTAGTGTTTGGGCTACTGAACTCGGATATGTCGTTGTGCTTACTTGTCTGTGGCCTTCAGGTACGCTTCGTCGCCGGATCGTAGAACACCTTGGACTCTCTGCAGCCAGCCCGGGAAACCACCACCACTGACCTCGGCGTTGATGTATGGCCCGGGACGCTGTAGAACATGTTAAAATGACAGCGAATGGATCCAACTTTGGGATTCACTTACGGCAAAGAGGTACAAGCCAGCCTTCTGAGCAGCCTCGAAAAGGGGTTCCAAGGCGAAGATGCCTTCCGCGCGAACCTCGCCAGGCTTTGCCTCCAAGAGACCCCAGTTGACGTAGAAAGAGACCGAGTTGTATCCAGCTGCCTTGATCTTCTGAAGAATATCGAGCCAGAGGTGTGGAACCGGCATTCTGGTTGATACGGTTAGCTAATGGAAAAGCTTGCCAGGTACTGGCGAGAGGTTTACCTGAAGGCGTGGAACTCCGCACTGAAGATCATCAGTCTCTCGCCGTTGATGAAGAGACTCTTGTCATCCCATGTGACCTATAGTATATGATCAGTTCCTCTGACATCACTGGTCACAGCGGTCTTGAAGATGAAGACTCAATGGTTGACCGAAGGTCACTTACAATGTCTTGCTGTCTCCCATTCAGGAGACGCATGTCCCTTCCTACGGCCCTGGCACTGACGCCATCGATGAAACCGAGAGCCAACAAGGCGAGGACTTTGACGCGTGAGAGCAACATCTTCGGAACTTTGCGTCGCAGCTGCAACTTTGGTCACTGCTTCACGGCGAAAACCGAGAGGCCGGCCCAGTTGAGTTTGATCGAGAGCAGGTCTGCCTCTATTTCATGAAAAATGCTTGCATCTAGCTACTCCACACGACAGATCGGAATGTCACCATCCCCAACCTTACTCTGTACATAGCGGCGGAATTGAGAGCTTGTAAGTGGTCGGCCGATGCCAGGCACCGCCGTCGTTCCAATCTCAACCGGCCGGTTGAGCAGACACGGTCAGGTTATTTCCCCTCTTCTACTCCAACAATGGAAGCCGGGACATCATCTTTCCTTAGGGAGAGCCACAAATGACCTGACATGCATGTCGTGCATCTTGCAACCCGCGTAGACGAGGAGCCGGATGGGATTGAGGTGGTTGTGCAACACACCATGAAGACTGGCAACTTCACCACCTTTCCAACCGCAACCCTGTCTTCCCCCGCTCCTTGCCCCGCGTTTGTCGGCTAGCCGAAGAGTTCGTCCCTTGTCGACCAACTTGGCGAGGGTGTTCCCTGCGGGAGTTGCGCCACCTCCAACGGCCCGCATGACCGGAGCGCCCAGGAACGAGTTGAACTTCCGTCCATACAGAGCCTTGAATGTGTTGCTTCGAGCGGAGGAGAATTAGTTCAGACTTGATGGTTTCTTATTGTACGACCGGCTCGAACTGAGGGGTTTGCTCGAAGCGTCTGTCATAACCACAAGATTTTCCGGCACGTTCTCGGACAAGCAGCCTACATGGGACGAACGGTCCGGGCCCAGAGTTGAGGAACCGGGGACGCATTAAAGCAACCCGAAGCAATATCCGAATGTTATTACGTCAACGCGCTGGGAGCAATACAACCCTGGCGAAGGGCCAGTCGCCAGGCTCAATTCAACTTTCCGGAGGAATTTCACATGTTCCGCGGCTTTCGTCATTAACAAGATTTCATTACAGCGTAATCTGCATGTATGTACCCGCCATCGTGACACGGGGTAGCCATGGCACGATTATTGAGCGCCAAGTGACATCAAATATTATTTACATGGAATATTTATCATCATTTCTCATGCCTGAGTCAGACCCAGAAGCTCGGTCAGCTTGATCATGCTGACGGTGACCTTGTTGGTGGTGCTGGGAGGCAGGACGCCGGCACCCATGATGAGCAGGTAGTCGGGGTCCTCCTCCATGATGCGCAGGTTACGGGTGTACGCGCCGGCCTCGGGAGAATCGTAGGCAACCCAGGCGTTGGGGTCACCGCCGCGGCGGTTGATGAAGAGAGGGGCGCTGTTGCTGCTCACGACGATGGTGCCGTTGCAGCCGCCTACGGGAGACCAGACGACGTTGGGGCTGTTGATGGGGAAGACGCCGCCGTTGGTGCTGTTGATGTACATGTCGGGCGCGTCGGCGAACTTGCGAGGGTCCTTTGCGATGCGGTAGTAGATGGGGAACGAGTAGGGCTCGATTATGGGCGCGCCGCCCCATTCAAAGGTGTACATGTAGTCGCCGTTGGCGAGCTGGGTGACGAAGGGCATGCCGGGACGGTCCGTGTAGGTCGGGTAGGAGGCGTCAATCACCACGTCGGACCAGGTCTTGAGATCCTTGGTCGTCTGGTGAGAGATTTCCTGGCCGTGGTCGGGCGAGCGTTGGTCGGCGTAGTAGAGGATCAACTCATCTTCGAAGATGCTGCGATGTGGGTTAGTGATTTGGCCCAAGGAAGATGTCGGGAGAACTCAATGGGCTTACAGAATGAAGGGCTCCCACACAGGGGTCTCCTCGTTGTTGGGGATAGCTCTGCCGCCAGCAGCGACGTGGGATACGAACTCCCAGGTGCGGCCCTTGTCGGTAGAAGCATATACATCGATCTTGGTCTGGCTGAGGTCGGTGGGAATGCTGTTGCCAGCAAGAAGAACGGTTCCAGCAGGGTAGCCACCAAAGTCCTGGCGAAGCTCGTACAGGAAGGGCTGGTAGCGCAGACCCCAGTTGTTCACCTCATCGTGTACCTGACCGATCTCCTCCCAGGACACGCCACCGTCGAGGGACTCGTAGATGGGAAACCAAACCAGAGGAGGCTCAGGAGAGTAGTTCTCCCAGGTGCCCAGCAGGCGGCCGTCCTCCAGCTGGACGGTGCGAGGGTACAGGACGCGAGGATCCGTGTAGTTCTCGGGCGGCTGGAAGATGAGGTTGCGCTCGAAGGTTTCGAGCGCGGATGTGAAGCCCAGGCTAAGGGCGCCAACGGCGGCGAAGAGGGCGGACCGGAGCATCGTGACTGCGACTCGACGATCTCTGCGGGATACGACGCGTCTGAGGGACGAGGTGCGGAGAGGGAGCAGATCTCTCCCGGAACCGAGGCGATGGTGCCTTTTATAAGGGTCACATCGAAGTCTTCCTCACCGACGCTGGATCCATGCCGATGGTACCAAGGGAGCAATTGAGCTGGGGCTGGCGGCCTCGAACGAGCGCGCGATACAACATGGCCCGAGCTAGAAGCTGACTCTCGGTAACCTCGGCCATGTGGCGATACCCATACTCTTCTTTCTGCCTTGTTGCTCCCCCAGACTGGAGAAGCCTGTCGAATTTGGGCGGGCTGCGTGAGGAAGACAAGGGTTTGAATGAGGAGAAATTCCGGGGACGCCAACGCCAAATTTCGTCGGTGACGCTTGCTGTCAACTGACAAGCGCAATGGACTGGGAGCACCGTTGTCACGAGAATTGTAGGCGCTCCAAACAAACGGCTGCCGGACGCAAGCAACAGTGGAAAACACGGGACTCCAAGGCAAGGTTGTGCCGAGATCGAAGAAATGAGATCGGGGTCATGAGAGCCGGGCCAATGTTGACTCGAGCTGCGCGGTGATGAGCAGCTCATTTCGGTGAACCCCAAGAGCTTGACTGTGGGGTTTCGTGCGGGGGAACGGGGTCGAGTACCGAGCCAAGGTGGCTGGAAGCCAACGATGCGCACCAATCAAACATGACGATGTTGAGAGTGGTGTTTTCTTGGCTTGCTTGTCCTGCATTTGGGTTGTGAACCGACGTGAGGGGAAATGCTGTGGGTTGCCAAGCTGCGAGCTGGCTTTCGCGAGAATACTTCGGGTTCATTCGTGTTGTCATCCTGCTCAGTTTTCGTCAAGTTTCTGCAGCACATAACTGGCTCACCGCTTCTCAATTGCCCTTCAATCCCGTTTGAGAAATGTGATCGAACAGGTCCTTGAGAAATATGACACACCGACTTAAAATCATGAGAATATGCTGGTTTCCGGTATGAGTGATGGTAAGTGAGGTGGAGCTCGCTGGTAAGGAAGCAAGGTTCTCACTATCCCAAATACCGGATCCGCGCCAGACCGGGCAGAAAAGAATAACAGTCACCGAAAATAAGATTCCGCGATGTGAGAATCTCAGATTGATGCAACGGGTAACATGCCAGGAGCTATTATGAGAGAAAACTTCAACTTTTATGAATTCAATGTGAGCGTCATAAACAGAACAAATGAGATAGGCGTAAGACGATCTCGCTGACAAAACTCAAGATCATGTAATTCTGATAACAGAATCTATGTAGCTATCGAGACCTCGAAAGAGAGGCGTCAGCCTGTCATCAATACTCATACTTGAAAGCTGAGTTTGTTAAGCCATGAAGTCGCATAGGATACCGAATGAACATGCGGAATTAAGACTCGAAGCATTTCGGATTGAGGCCTGATTATGAGTTAAGGAAGCACAAAATCCCAGTTAAGTGAAGTAGATCCCATTCATGAGGTAGAAAAGTTCGAAAGTTCCCCTTGAAGTGAGCCCGAAAATGAGAAAGAATACAATTTTGAGAAAGTGATGATATGCCTACATATTGTACATTGGTGAGGCCATACTCGGCGGCTACATGTTCTTCACCAAGTCCTCAAGAACCTCTTTCCTCCACCCAAAGAAGATACTGGCGTGAGTATCATCTTCAAGTCTGAGATGTGCGTTGTCTCCCAACCGCTTGGCGATCTGAACTCCATGGTTAGGTGGCACGAAAGTGTCGTCCTTTCCATACCACAGTCGTACTGGCAGATCGGAGCGAATGTCCTCGATTCGGAATCCAAATTCCGTACCGTCCAGATGACCGTCGTAGCTTACACCGTCGATGCCTTGGGCATAGTACTGTCGACTTGTCATCACCATACGTCCCACGATCTCCCTGTTCGTCCATATCCCAAGGTCGAGTTCCCGCTTGGGGAAGGTAGACAACTTCTTCTCTGCCTCCTGCAACTGAATCTCAAGTCTTTGTTCGTCGGGCAAGTTGAAGCGTCCCATATAGTGGAAGTACCACCCAGCTACACGAGGAGTGTAACGCCATCCGTAGGTGAACCCAAGCCAGTGAAACCAGCCAGCTCCGCTCATGCCGATATCTGGTGGCCCGATACCACAGACGATCGATACACATTTGAGCTTATCACGCGGCATTGCCTTGGCACAGGCGAGAGCGTATGGTCCACCTCCCGATACACCCTATTCGAGTTAACCTATAATGCGGGGAGAGAGGAGTATTTTGACGCACCATGACCCCATACTCATTCAGCTTCAGATGCGAAGCAAGTTGTTCCAGATCCTTCGGGTGATCGAGAAGGGTTCTACCTGGTTGGAAAGTACTCAAGCCCATGCCTGGGCGATCTGTCGCGATGATGCGTGCTCCGACGTCCAGGGCGGCCTCGTGAAGATGGCCCGCCTCCACACGAGAGCCTGGGAGGCCGTGGCAGTAGAAGATAGGCTTGCCTGTTGAGAGGCCGAACTGTGCATAGCCAAGCTTGCGGCCATCGGGGAGTGTGAGGATCTCAGTCGTGTCCTTCTCAGGAACTAACCTAGTAGAAGCCCCAGGCGTTGGTAGGTCGACGCTAGTCCCGCCATTGTTGGTTCCAAATACCAACGATTTGAGGTATGATATTGACATTATGGTGAATTGAAGAGTGGATATCAAATTGAAGGATAGCGGCAGTTCTTTCAAATGAATTGTGCTTATATATCTAGTACAAGAAATCTAGCGCTTACGGTGAGACAGTACGGATGCCATACAAGAGGTATGGCACAGCCTTTGGCTTGATCGCTTGGGGCTAGCTGTCCGACAACCCCCGAAAATGTCCGAAACTCTCAGACACGCCCAGGAATATTTCGGCGAGTAGGTCTGGCAGTTTCTGACACCAAATCGAAGATCATTCTGCAGGATTGGGGTGAGTCACTTGGTGCATCCTCAGCCAGCGGTTTTGAGATCTTGTGATCACATTCCGTTCGTATTCTTACGCTGGATGCGGAAGCGATTTGTGCCGAATCTGCACGGCTTACTTCTCGAAACCGACGTCATTTCCAATGAGAATGCTTTCAACACGTCGCTTCGGATTTCGCTGCCATAGGTGCCGACGTCGGATGCTGAGCAGAGCACGAACTCTCTCCAACCTGTCAAGTCAATCATCTTTATCCTGCACATTATTCGACAACACGTTTGATTTGCTCTGGTTGAAGTAATTTGAATTACACCTTTGATGAAGCAAAACTCGTAGGACACAGACGCTGAGTTGTCTGCCGATGACTTTGATTTTCAACTTCATGTGAGTGAGCCGAGAAGTCACGTGTGTTGAATCAGGGATAGATGACTCACTGATTTTTCGACTTCTACTTATCCATCGACGCATTTCATTTTGCTTTCTGATTAGCTTTTAAAAGTGCATGTTGAAGAGAACATTTGTATTTTCTCATCATTGCCTCAATTCGTAAGTATTGACCGATCAACAAAACGATGTTATCATTAGGGCTGCTGACTTACACATACATGTATGCTAGACCAGGGAAGCAGAACCTGTATCCACCTTAAACACACGTATTCGTCATGGAGAACAATCAAGAAGACCCTAGGGATCTTTTGCGGAAGCTCAAAGTACTGCAGAATACCCTGCCAGGCACCGACTTCGACAAATTTCCGCGCTCCCCTCAAGAGGCGTTCATGATGTGGCTGAAAGAGGCCATCGCGGCAGAAGTCCAGGAGCCTCATGCAATGACACTCTCTACCGTTGACGATTACGGGTGTCCCGATGCTAGAGTTCTCATTCTCAAGAATGTCGATGAGCGGGGATGGCACTTTGCAGCCAAGGCTGGCAGTCCCAAGGGCGTTCAACTCGTGAACAAGGGATACGCGGCCCTCACCTTCTACTGGCCAGAGCAGGCCCGCCAAGTCCGTCTTCGGGGTAAGGCTGAGCAGCTTTCTGATGAGGAATGCCTCCAGGACTTCTTCGATAGACCCCTAGGGTCGAGGGTCAGTGCGATGGCCTCCAAGCAAAGCTCAAAGCTCGAAAGCCGAGCCGAACTCCTCGGAAGCGTTGAAGCGGTGAAAGCTTCTTTTAAGGAAAATCCCGATCAGCCCTGTGTAGATTGGAAGGTTTACGCCGTCTTACCCGAGACCGTCGAGTTCTGGCAGGGTACTGCAGATCGTCTCCACGAGAGGTTGCAGTATGTGGCAGCGGGCCCCGGACAGTGGGAGACTCAACTTTTGTGGCCGTAGTGAGCGGCATATAAGTGAGGAGCGTAATAAGCCTTATAGTGGTTCTTCATACTCAATAGTTCTGCGAACTAGTCAAGGGTATGCACTGTTACACTACATGTGGTGAGGGGCGAAAGCGAGTAGATCTTTGCATTCAACTGCCTGTGCCGAAGTGGATGGTGATGTCGAACGGGATGTGGAGTGAGAGGATCAACTCAAAAGCCCCGAGCCTCTCCAGTCACAATGTCATGACCCATTGTACGTGCGCGCGATAACCGCGACCAGCGACAGTCATTGGTACCCAACAGTTCCCTCAGACTCATGTCAACTGTCTTTGCATTGTGGTCTGAAGTAGGCGTAGTATGCTTTACACATTATCGTCCGATATGGGACGTTCCGTACGTGCAAGTATATAAGCTTAAATATGTACAAAGAAATGGCGAACCTGACCTGAAGGAGAGTCTACCACCACCAACCCTGCTTCTTTTTGATCCAGTCATGAACAACTGAGGCAATATCAAGATTGTTCTTCTCAAGGTGACCAAAATGGCCGTTACCCTTGATCCCGATGTCACCCAGCTTGATCCACTCTGGGTTGCCTCCGACTTGCTTCAGATAATCGATAATACAGTGATCGTAGGTGATATGCACGCTCGCTTCTCCTGTCAAAGCCACATAGGGCACACTGGAGATCTTCGGAAGCTGCCGCGCGGGTTCTTTTTGTCGCCAACAGTTGCGAAGCGCCAGGGTCTCGTTGCCCACAGACTCAATCTGATCAGCGAGCTCGGCCGAGTCCGTCACCGCCGGTTCGTAGTCCACGTGGGTATTGGTGAGACCCCAAAGGTTGGCCGAACGACCGCCGAGCCCGTAGCCGTATGCCCAGAACGGGATCGTTGAGGGCTCGAGGTTGATGCTGCCAGCAAGATACTGAGGGCAGTCGTTGGAGATGACGACGGCCAGCTTGGATCCCAGCGAATGAGATACAAGATAGGACTGAGCACCGATGAGAGACAACAACTCGCAGCCGGCGGCTCGAATGGCCAGTTCTTGCGAAACTTGGCTTGTCGTGTAGGGAATAAAGCTCTGCTGGAACTGATCGAAAACAGCATCTCCCCTCATGCCCGTCCCCGGCCATTGTGTATGCAATTGGGACTGGGGGTAGGTGTTGTAGCCCTCGACTGCCGTAAATCCCATCTCGACGGCCTCCACGGACATACCCACAGCCATTGTGAAGTTGGCCGGGTTGTTCGCGGTGGAGCGTCCAATGCTATTGGCGTCGATCAGATAAAGCTGGTAGCCCTGCTTGAGGAAGTACGTCGCCCACCCGGGACGATTGTCAGGGGTGTTGAGCCATGTGGTTGCGGAAATACCGCCGCCGTGGAGGAAGACCAGAGGGGTCGACCGAAGCTTCAGGAGTGGCGTAAGCTTCTCAACGTAAATCTGACCTATCGTGATGTTGCCCGTCGCGTCCGGTGCGCTTTGGCCTCCCACGTAGAAGAACTCTCGGTGGTGTAGAGTTTCCTGAGGGCTGCACTTTGAACTGACGGCGTTAATGCCGGTACAGCTTCCGTCGGCGCTGGCTCCGACCCCAACGGCGGCCAGGACGAGTGCGGGGAGGGCCGAAAGTCGGACCATGGCTGATCGTTGTAGGCCTGAGTTCGTCGGGTTCGAAGGAGAGTTGACACACGCCGAGGGAGGTCTAGAATTCGGACCAAGATTGCGCACAGATGTCGAGAACGCGCAGGCGACGATGAGGAGCAAACAAACCCGGTTTTTCCAGTACCCGGGGGCTGTTGCGACCAGACAACAGCTCTTAATATACGCTAAACGACGGCACTTGGTCGCTTCTGTGTTGGTCCGAATCGAGCCATTCGTTCCTCGAATTGCAGTTTCTCCAGCGAGAACTTCTGTGTGGGCAATTTCGGGGAACCGCATATGCGGCCGGGGAGAGGCCGGCCGGACGTGTTACCAAACCGATTATCGCCAAGATGCAGACCCCTGTCGTCGGCTTTCGACGTGGGCACGCGGGACAATCTAGGACCTACCTTTCTGCTGACTTTCTCAACGCATGCTGAGTCTATCCGATCTTTTAACGTTGAAGAACTGCCATTGGAGACGTGTTTTCCACATGCTGAGGCGCAGGGCATTGCCGGCCTTCTTCGCAATGTTCCCAGGCTCGCGAGCTTGTCACTAAGACCCATGACTCGCGATCGCCTCACTCTGACCACATGCCCGCATTGGAAGCCAACCTTGTCCTTGTGTGTTAATTTGGGGAGCATGGCAGCTGAAAGCTATATCGCGCTATTCCAAGAACACCCAAACATCGGGTCCTTCCCCATGACGATCCCGCTGTTGCGAAATTCTTGTCGATGCGACCCTCCCACGATCCCGGGACCACGCAGCCGATGGGGGCGATGATCAAAGAACCGGGCTTTCCACTATGTGAAACCAAGCTAAACCGAGCGCCGTGATATTGAAGAGGCCCTCGAATAGTTCAACCCATCTGAAGAAAGCTGCATAAAGCGGACCGCCCTCCCGTTCCCGTCGCGGGTCCTCCGTTTCGAGCCCAGCGATTTCACGATTCTCGCTCGCCATGTCCAACACAACGGCTTCAGCAAAAGTTGGAAAACCACCCAACACCGCCAGGGATTACAACATCATCAGGGGGATCTACCGGCAGTATGGAGTCACCACGCTCGACCCCAGCCTGGGTTACATCTTTGCGGCCCAGGAGCCCGCGAACGCGGTTCACGAGTCGAAGCAAGGAGCTATCATCGCCGGCATGGTGATTGTTATGGTCGTTATCATCATTCCGACAGTATTGAGACTCATTGTGAAGTGGCGGGGTACTCAGACGAAAGTCGGATGGGATGATTGGGTGATTGTAGCTGCTGCGGTGCGTTCGATACTATCCATCACTCGCGAATTTGTACTGACTGTCAGTGTTGTCTTCAGCTCCTCGGGGTGGTTTATCCTATTCTTCAAATACTGGTCGTCATCGATGCCGGAGGAGGACTACATACCTGGGAGAATACCTACGAAGACTACCAGTTCTACTCCTACTATCTCACCATTTGCAAGATTATCTACTACCCCACGGTCGGCATTATCAAAATCTCGATCACGATATTCATTCGCCGTTTAGTCGACACGGCTTTCCAGACTTGGAGAATCGTCGCCGACGTCTTTCTAGGAACACTCGTCGCCTACATCATAGCATCGATATTCTGGAGCATCTTCATCTGCAATCCTGCGAGAGCAGTATGGGATCGAGAATTTGCTGGAAGTCTGGCTGAGCCGGCAACGTGTGGGAGCTCGTTGATAAGCGCCAAGGTTCTCAGCATCATCCATGTCGTCCAGAGTGTGCTGCTCCTAGCCACGCCTATCATCATTCTGTGGCGTGTCCGCATTGGCGTGGGCAAAAAGGTCAGGCTCTTCATCATCTGGGCGGCAGGTGGCCTTACGGTTGCTGGAGGCCTCTTACAACAAACGCAACCCTTCACATCAACCGACATCTTCTGGGACTACACGATTATTCTCCGATGGACGGTGCTCGACATATCGATGGGGATTGTCACAGCCTCTCTGCCGGTCTTGGATGCAGCGATCATGGGCTCATGGCATGCAGCCAAGTCATCCTTCGGCCTGTCCAATCACGACAAGCAAGCAACCAACAAGAACACCACGAACGCGGAACACACGATCAACTCCGGACCTCGCCACAGTCACCCGCCTTATGCCAGTTCATCCGAGAACATCATTGGCAAAGGAAACGGCGTCGAGCTGGACCTCTTCCAGCAATATACACATAATGAGCCGAGAGAGAGCTCGGAAGCAGACACGACAGGACATGAGAGAAAGCACGGGGTAAACAACATAGTCTGATGAGATCATGACAGATTCTTCACGTATTAGCGTAATGAAATAGAACATCAAGAAGCCTTGAAATTCCAGCCAAGGAACGCAGAGTTTTCATTCTTAGCCTCCTTCAACTGTTGCATTTTCAACCAAAGTGTAACGCCCCAAGCCGTCCTCTGGTGGATTGTTGGTTATTGAACCCCGTCGCGATAATCAGCAAGGGCTCCACGTTGGCCCGATAGCGGCGACCGAGTTCTCGGAATATCCCTGTTGACAAGCGAAGCAGACGATCCCCGCGTCCGTGCAGTGTGTATTTGGAGCTCGTGATGTGGGTGCGTGTGTCCCACTGGATGTTGCCATGAAGCCCCGTAGATAATTTCAAAGTCCTGACTCGATGTCAAAGCGTCAAACTTGAAAAAGCCATCGGAATTGCCGTTTCTCTCCTCGAGAGTGTTGTCGCTGTCCACAGTTTTCTCGTCCTCTATGGCAGCAAATTCTAAAGATAGGCAGTTGACAGCATTTGAAGAATTTCTTTCTTCGAGTTCAAGTTGATTGTGTCGTGCTTTGTTTGTCTGAATGGGACTCCCAACGACTCAAGCGATCCCAGTTGATGTCAACCATGTGCTCATCCGACAGTCCACGTGACCGTCCAAATGTCTCGACATGTCTCGACATTACCTTGCGAAGAGTTGTAGCTAGCCCCTTTAACTTCTCGTGTCGTCTACATCTGAATTTGAGACCATGTAGAGTAGCAACCAATGTTCTACTTATGTGCGATGTCTCACCGCGTGACATTCTGATCTTCCCAACACGCATTTTGTGAATACCTTGGGCCAAGTACAATCTCATGGGCGATATTCAGTCTGCTCTTCGAATACATCACAAAGTTACATACACTCGATGCTTAAGGGCTCTTCGATAATCAAGTAACGCTGCTCGATTTGCACGACATGGAGTTTCGATGTAGACTCAGCAAGAGTGGGCAATGATGCCACGAATTCAACACAATGTGAGAGGTATCCTGGCCGCTGCCGAATCTCAACGCCGATCCGAGTATAAAATACAGACAGCGTCCTTTTCTGGTGTCCCGACGCCGGCGGGAACGCACCGGACCCGCACAACATCCACGCCGGGTGCGTCCGCTTCGAGTTCAACCCCACAACCACAAACTCATAACACAGCTTCACTACTTCACGAGCTATTTAGCATCACAAATGAATATTTTGTGGTAGTTCGGCCTAAGGGCTGCGTCATCAATCAGCAGGTGAGAGTCAATCTTTTCTCCTCCCTGTCAGATAGTCTGAATCTGTGTGCAACAGATGAACCTAGATATTGCCACCACTGCATTTAGATGCGGTCAAATCGCTGGCCGCTCTATGTCCCGCAGATCATGTCGAGCTTTAGTCACCAAACAGGTATAGGCATTGTTGCTCACATATTTCAATGAACGTAGGTTGTAATTGAAGTTAATTGAAGTTGAATTAGATTAGTAACAGGACAACATGACCAATGTTAACTACTTCATGACCGGCCCAGTAAACTTCCCATCTTTACATCACAGTTGTGCCTCCAGTCTAGTCGCACCACGACGACACGGAGTCGGGCTCCGCGAAACAGGTGTGGGCATTGTTGTTCGCACATGGAAAGCCATTTTGGGCCGCTACAAGAGGGCATCGTCAGTCGTGCGCGGCGGGGCAAGAAGGTTGCACGGGAATGTCACTTACTCTCCTTGCACATCCTCTCCATCGTATCGCCGTCGATGACGTTACCGCCAGGACCGACCGAGGTGCACTGAGCGATATGTGAGCTGACGGTCGTTTCGGAGCACCGTAGGTCCTAATCGCACGGCGCTTGAGGAAGCGATAACTCACCCGTCCGCTGGGAGTGTCGTATCTCACAGAGTTCTGACTGTCAGGCCACTGATGAAGCAAATATCAGCGGAAGCACTGAGATGTGAAAACGAACTGAATTCACGTACCGTCTGGAAGATGTAGGAATTGTAGGAAGAGCAAGCATTGCTCGTGATGCGCCAGATGTAGCTCCCGCCGTTGTGGCAAGTGCATGAATAATGCCATCTTGCCTCACTTGAGAAGACTCAAATATTAGCATCGACCCAGCAGTAGCCATAAGCCTTTTCAAAGATAACTCAATGCTCGCGATGACTTGGGTAGATGACGGATGTTGGGCTGGAGAACTTACACAGAAAGGACAAGGAAGGCGACAGCCGCCAAGGCAGAAGACTGAAAGCGCATTTGGAAGGTGGATGGAAGTTGGGATTGTGCGGTGACGCCAGTAGGACGCAATATTCAGGTAAGTCCAGAGTCTGGTGAAAGTCTTCGAATTGATTGCGGATTTGAAGGTATGCAGGCGTCTGTTGAAAGAGGCGTTACGTTGGCTTTATAACAAGATTCTGTGAGGAGTTACTATAGTACACTATTATCACCAGGCATTTGTAACTAACCGTCTTACCCTTATCGTGAGCTAGTAATGATTCAAGGTGTTCAAATTGAAGGGCCACGCTACACCAGGGTGTAGTCCATGAGCCAGGGCCGTGTCTACCTTGCGTCATGTCATGGCGGCTGGAATGATGCCTCATTGCAAAAGACAAGCGGTAAGTATTGGAAGACAGCGATATCCGCGGAACCCGCCTTGAATCCACCGTTAAATGAAGATCTGAGTTGAAACGGATAAGATCCAGCCTGCCGGGTGGTTTTCATCTTCGTCGTGTGATACTGCCGAGTCAGAGGTTCGACTTATCTACGCAGAGTCATTCCTGTTTTGTTGAATATCTTTGGGCACGTGGTGGCTTAATCATTGCAAACAGTTAGACTTAATTCTCCCGCCCAGGGCTGGACTTGTTCTAAATGACCATAAATGTGATCATTGCTGCTAAGCGGAGCGCAACTGACTAGTAATGTTCTTGAATGCCGAAAATCCGAAGCTCTCGTATGTATTCCAATGTGCTCACCGGCAGGAAATGCAATCTAGCTTAAACACGTGTATATGGAGCTAGAGCCCCAACCAATCTATTGAATCTGATTAGCTGTCTAAACATCAGTCCTGTGCTTAGGGAAAATGATCAGCGGTATTTGAAGCCATCCTCAACGTTGACAATGTGGTCAAGATGTTCACGTGTTTGCGTGACTCGTTCAAGGCTGGAACTAGACAATCTCCCAACATCTTCTTAACTGTTTTTGAAACCAAACTGATAACGGATGGGACGGCAAATTGTGGCACTAGTGATTGTGGTTCGTGTAGTCAAATCTCTAACACAAGGCTGCTACGACGGGGATGCAAAGGCGTCATCCACAAAAGGATACAAGACTTCAATGGAGCTCCCGTACTTCAGAGAGTATAAGTACGATAATGAAGCCTCTCCCAATTTACTAAGCTCATCAGAGACTCGACAAGCTCAGGCACATCTTCTCCGGATTCTCAATTACATCCCAGCGGCCTTCAAAGGTACTCTTCATCCAGTCTTCTCAAAACAATGAGATTCACGGCCCCCTTCGCCCTCTTCGCGCTTGCCGCGGCTGCGCCTACCCCCGAGGCCTCCAAGAGCGCCGCTGACAACCTGCTGTCATCCATCTCGTCTTTGGACCTCGCCCATGACGATGTTGTTCTGTATGGCGTCAACGGCGAATACAAGGTCATCAAGGAGGCCGATTTCCAGAACCTCACCGATGCTGGCACTCTGATCTACGGCGGTGACGAGGTCAAGGCTCGTAGCCTCCCCGATGCTCTGGCATCCCTTGAGGCTCGGGACTGCGATGGACGCAACGTCGAGTACGAAATCACCAGCCAAGCCAACTTCCTCGACTGGGATGTCCAGATCTCCCCCGTCATCGGAGCCCAGCAGGCCCCTGTCACCATCGCTGTCGCACGCGGCTACCAGGTTGCCAACTCCATCACCATCGGAGAGACCGCCGGAATCTCTGCCGAGGGCCTTTCTGTCAGTCTCAAGATCGACTACCAGACGACCTGGACCACCAGTGATACCACGACCATCACCTACACCGTCCCCACCGGACAATACGGCGTCATTGTCAGCCAGCCTTACGTCCACCGCATGTATGGCACCGCCTACAGCTCGTGCGGCACGGGCGGTGGAACGACGGAGAACTGGCAGTCCACTACCCACACGAGCCAGACCTACGCCAGCATGAACTGGGTCACTGGTGTCTTCCGCCTCTGTGCGAACAAGAACTACCCTGTTCCTTTCTGCAACGGCCAGGGCTCTCATAAATAAGTGCTTGAGAAGACTTTGACTTTTGAGGGGGAACTATTGCTACAAGCTGGTAGTTACTGCTAGGACGTTAGTCTGGCTAGGGTCGTGCTTAGCTTTAACACGAGACGGTTGTCTCACTGATTTGGTGAGGCTTTTCAGCCTAATCTAGCTAGCGTTATTGCTGTCCTAACTTAGGCTCGCCTCAGTGTAGGGCTTAAAGTAGCTTAGATATATAACTGAGTTGCTTAGAAGACCTACTACTTATGTATTATATGTAGCTTATATATAATGTATAAACTATATGCTAATTCATTCTATATATATATATAAGACTTTTGTGAATATAATATATATATGCGTCTATATAAAAGTGGTGATATATATACTATAAGTAAATTTATTTATCTAAACTAACTATAGGAATAATAACCTAGTTAATAAGGCTATAATAATATAGGTAGGTGTCTAACTCTAGGTGGTATCTTTTATAGATAGTGTGACTATATAGTAATCTTTATTACTTTTTTTAAGTTAGCTACTTTAGATATACTAGATATTTTATATTAAAAAGTCTTTCTTTATATTAGCGCTCTAGGCTATAATATAAATAATAAGGACCTTAACGTTCCCTTTAAAAACATAAGATATAGTTAGTAATATTTCCTTAAATACCTAGTAGATTTATAACTTATATACCTATAGCTATAGTATATAAATAACTAATTATTCTCCTATATAAGTGAATAATAGCTTCTATATTATATAGAATAAGACGCTCTATTCCCTCTCTCCACCTTAGGAAGAGTAACTATACTGCTAATTAGCGGTATTATAGATAGGGAGGCCTTAGAATTCTCATTATGGGACAGCGTTATAGCCTCTAAGATAAGAATTATCTTATACTTAATAAGGTCTTCCTCTATTAAGTTAATAATTACTAGTTTAGAGTGAGCGTTATCTTTAACTTAGACTTCCTAAGTGAGATCTATAAAGTTAGAGGAGTCTATAAAGTTTATATCTATCTTAGTGTCTTTTATAAGATTAATAATTTTAATATAATTAAGACTGCAGCTAAGCGTAATCTATATGCACTCCTATTTAGTGACTTGGATAGTAGTGACTTACTATACTTAGGTGCTATTAACTAGGAAATCTAAGTATAAAGTTACTATTTTGCTAATATATATTCTTATAGGGATAAATAGAAGTATTATAATATATAAAGAATAGAGGGAGAAGTGTCTAAGACTCTAGGAAATACTTAACTTAAAATAGCATTAGATAGAAAGAATATACTAAGTCCTAGACACCTTAGTAATATCTTTAGCTTATATATTTAAATAGTAGACTTCTATAAAAATTATATAAGGGCTAGTCTTAGCTTAATAGTAGTATAATAACTTTTTAGGAAGTAGTTAACGTTAATAGTAATACAAAACTAATACTTAAGTGTTATATTTATAGCTTAGAGGTAATATAATATTATATTAGGGGCTAATAGTAGCTTTCTTAAAAGCTATTATTCTTAGGTATATTTGTAGCCCTTATTAAGATTGTAAAGATAGATTTAGCTAGCTAGCTAGGGTATACTTAGCTTAAGCGGTCTAATAATAGCCTCCTATATTAAAGGTATAGCTAAGAGGAGATTAATAAACCTATCTTAATAATACTCTAATACTATACTCTATAACTTAGGTTCTATAATATATATTTACTACTTAAATCCTTTTAGGTAGCCTTCTAGACCCTAGTATAGAGTAGTTTTATAAAGGCTTTATAAAGAGGGGTTAATTATATATTCTATTTTTATTTAACTATATACTTAAGTACCCCTCTTTATCTGTTACTTATATAGAAGTAGCACCTAACTGCTAGTATGCCTTACTAGTAGTATATTCTAGTGAGATATCTACCTATAGATATAGTTACCTAAATATATAACTACCTTCTTATATATCTCTCTACTTAGTAGCTTAGTAATACTTAGAATAATAAAAATTAGCGTTATTTATAGGAAATCTCCTTTTTATTAAGTTAGAGTATATCTTATAAACCTAATATCGTTATTATATAGCCTCACTAAGGAGTATTAGGGTTCTATAGCAATAGGGGCTTTAAGACGCCTTATTATATTAATAGGATAAATACCTTAATAGGTGCTTAGCTTTCTATTCTAAGGCCTAAGGGGATGCTTTATTATATAAAAAGGAAATAGAGGAGGGAAACTTTAATAGGGAAGCCTCTATAGGTAGTACTGCTTTTAGTATACTTCTTAATATAACCTAAGGGCTATATATAATAGTAACTTTTATATAAGATATAAGTATTAGACTAATATCTTATTAACTTAAAAGCTACTATATCTAACCTATAGAATCTATCTTTTTACCCTCTTTATAGATCTTACTTTAAAATTTACTAAAATTATTTTCTACTATAGTACTATAATTAGTTAATAATATAATCTTATTATTTAATAGGTTTTTTAAGGCTATTAGTCCTAATATGCTTAGAGATCTAATTAAAAATGCTAGTATAGGTTATTTATTAAGGCAATTAATAGGGACGTATAAAGAATTAATAGGGACGTATAACTCTTTTAGACGTATAATAATCTCTACGTCCTTATTAGCGTAAATATTTAAGCTCTATAAGTACTTTCTTTTAGGAGAAGCACCCTAATAGACTTAATTACTTTAGTGCCTTTTAGGAAGGCGGTCAGTCTTACTCCTATTTATAGCTCTCTCCTTATTAGCTATATTTAGGATTTATAAAGTTAGCTAATATAGCTAGCTTTATAAATCTTAACTATAACCTTTAATTTATATTAGTCTTATTAATTTATAAATCCTAAATATATATTTATATTCTAGATCTATAGACTACTTAATAATATCTCCTACTAACTCCTTCTCTAATAAATACTTAGCTATAGACGCCTCCTACTACTTTACTTACCTATAGCCCTCTTAGCACTAAGTTTACTTAACTAACTCCTTATTTAACGTTAGGATAACAATATAGTAGTTACCTAGCTTTACTACTTAGCATCTTAAGCTATTACTAACTTGTTTTTAGATCTATGAGGGCGCTCTCGCTTTTTTCCCTTTAAGGGCTAGCTTATAGTTGTGGCACTCTTTTAGTATTGGCCCTAGGCTATAATAGCGAATTGGGGTGGGACTAGCTGGGCGTTATTCCTTAGCTAACTATAGAGAGCTATAGCTATCTTAGGATTAAGAATATACTGGTATAGGTCTTATGAGGTAGTCTCCTAAAGCTGCTATTATAGATAAGCTTCCCATTTTATAAACGCTATTCCCTTAATAAGCTTGCTATAGATCTTATAGCAATATAGGATGCTATGCTATATAGAGACTAAATAATTATTAGTATAGTTACTAAGAGGGGCTAGGTGAGGGTTTTACCTAATTAGTAAGGCCTTTTTAGTAAACTAATATTCCTAAGTAATTAGTCTAAGAGCCTTTAATAACAGTATAGTATAGAAGTTACTAAGATATTCTAATCTTAGCCTATAGTACTTATGGGATATAAGCACTTTATCCTGCGTATAGGCATTATAGAAGCTAGACTCCTAATCCCTAAGTATATCCTATATAATATTAATAAGGCGGTATAAATAGCTAAAGCTATTTATTAAGTAGCCTTTAATATTATAGTTACTAGATTTAGTGCTAAATATTATATAGATACTAAAATTTAGATAATGCTAGATATAGTAGCGTGCCCATTATGCTCTAAGGGGCATATAGGTTCTATATATATACTATAAAACTTACCGCTAGTTATTAAACTCTTTATAGAGGCTAGCCTATGCCTTTTTAAACGCTTCTTTAGTCTCTATAAACATTATAACTTTCTATATCTCTAAGACACTATAGTAGGTATAAGGAATATCTCCTTAGACTATAGTATAAATATAGGCTTAATCTTTATTACTTAGCTTAGCTAGTGCCTTAGTTAGTTATTTATCTTTATTAGAAGCGTTATAATTATCACCCTAGCTGCGTTTCTTCTGCTATTTTTACTTAGCCTGAAGGAGGATATTAGAGTTAATGTGATGGATATAGAGCTGCTGCTGTGCGTTGGGAAAGTCGTGATTAAGTGTAGCCTTTATTTACTTATTGAAGTCTATAATGATAATGCTAGGTTTATAAATTGAGCTCCTCTCTATAAGTTAGTATATACCCTATAAAAGGAACTAAAACCCCTTAAGTCTTTTATTATTAATAAGCCTAAAGGCTATATTAAAAATAGACCTAAGATAGGTCTAGCTTATAACTTAGAATAGAGGAAGCTTAAAACGGTTAGTATTATAGGTATTATTAAAGCTTAATACCTCTAGAAACCGGTTCTATATATAGAGGTAGTAGGGAAATGTCTAGATAAGCCTAATAAGTTACTTAGGCTTATTATTATCCTACTTTATAATATAAGGGATTTGCTGCTTATTAAAAAGCTTAATTAAAGTAGCTATAGGTAAATATCTATCTAACTTCTTATAATTAATCTAGGCTCTAGCGTTATAGATATCTCTTTAGGTAAGGTTAGACCCTAGGAACTATTTCTAGATAATAGCATATATATTATAAGCCTAAGTTCTAATATAGTAGCTAGTAGTTTTAATAGCTACCTTAACTAACTCCTTAAGGCGCCTATGTGAGGGATGTATAGAAGGTTTAAAGCTAGGTGGGTAATTATATTAAAGGTATATAGCATTAGGGTGTGCTTGTAAAAGCTATTTACCCTCTTCTAATACTTTAGCAACTACTTACTACTTATACCTATACTTCTGAGACTTATATTGCTTAATCCTAGTACCCTAGCTAGGCTTTAGTTCCCCAAACTAATTGTAATGGAATATATACTATATAATGCGGCCCTTATATTTATAGGTATTATATCTAGCTATATTAAAGCTAGCTACCTTTATAAACGTATTAATTTAATTAAAGAGGGATATAACGGTTAGTTTAGGTGTTCTAAGTATTAATAGGTTTAGT